TGACTTGATCAACCCAGGAGTTCACCTCAATCTACCATTCGAAGAAGTTGAAGACCCAGTCATTGGAGCATTTGTTCCAGCAGAAGATGCAGCGCGACTTCAATCAAAACAAGACGCGATGACATGGATAACAGCACACAAGGAACAACTGAACAAAATGTGGAACATTTGGCAAACAGAATATATGCGAGATCTGCGAGCGAACCACAAGAGATCAATGAACAACAAAAGAGGATGCACAGAAATCCCTACAATTGGAAAAATTGTTTTATTGCATGAAACTTTAACGCCACGAAATCACTGGAAATTGGCAAGAATTGTCGAAATCAAGGAAAGTGCAGATGGAAAAATTCGCGAAGTCGAAGTCGAAACCGCTAACAAAAAGCGACTCACAAGGGAAGTCATTTTAGCTCCCGTCTTAGGATTTTTTGTAATTTTGCACACGTAAACTATAAGGTATTTTGAGTGTGCTCACAAAATTCCAGCCTGCACTGGGGGGTTACAGGCGAGTTATGGCCGTCTGAAAATTCAAGGTGTTTTTCCATTGTCAGCAACAATTTGGACAAGGGGTTACGCATACGCCTCTTGGGGCCTCAATTTGGCATCCAGGGGAAGTGAAGTGGTATGTGTGCGGTGCAGTGACTTTATGATGAAGGTTCGCACCCGGCCCACGCATTTTTTGTTTTTTTTTCTTTTTGCCACAGAAAATTCCGCTGCAAATTGGTTTCAAACGCATAATTTCATGTAAAAGTGTCGTTTCAACATTATTTATTATTTTTTTTTGCATTTTACAGTTTTTCGTTTTTTTCAAAAATTTCCTGAACTCTATTATTTTCCATATTGTTTGGTTCTTGGAGTGGATGGAAAGGAATGGATGGTCTGCAAGGACACGAATACAACTCCAACATTTCGAAGGTTCTATTCCAACTGGATATACGGGATTCGTGGAATCACTCGATGTTGGAGTGTTCGGAGGGTCCAAAAAAGTCATCAAATCCATCGGAGAATACGACCACTTTTGGCAACATTCATTCAAGGTCCACAAGCGAAAGTCGATTCTTTTGGTAAAAACCAGTAATGAAAATGTTATAACATTATTTTCTTACACATTCTTTACGTCGTGTACAGAAAATTGTGTTATCCGAAATTTCAAGATTGGATCAAGCATACATAGTTGGGCTGCGAGTGGATATAATGTTTCACGGCCTCCACCATACCTCACTCCAGCGCAGAAACTCTTTTCGAGAGACGTTGCCAGAGAATGCCAAACGCCAGAATGCAGCAATATATTGATATAACTCATTCATTCGTTTTTTGTATTTTGAGAAATTCTTATGTTTCGAACTCATGATTATTAACAATCACATGAACTGTTGGTTGCCTGGCCCGCTACTGACCTGGTGTTGCAAAATAAACTCCGAAAAAGAGTAAATTGTTAAATATGAAAAAAAATGAAATTATGCGTTTGAACGATCAGAAGTGAGTTTTCGACATCCAATTCGACATCCACTCCAAGAACCAAACAATATGGAAAATAATAGAGTTCAGGAAATTTTTGAAAAAAACGAAAAACTGTAAAATGCAAAAAAAAATAATAAATAATGTTGAAACGACACTTTTACATGAAATTATGCGTTTGAAACCAATTTGCAGCGGAATTTTCTGTGGCAAAAAGAAAAAAAACAAAAAATGCATGGGCCGGGTGCGAACCTTCATCATAAAGTCACTGCACCGCACACATACCACTTCACTTCCCCTGGATGCCAAATTGAGGCCCCAAGAGGCGTATGCGTAACCCCTTGTCCAAATTGTTGCTGACAATGGAAAAACACCTTGAATTTTCAGACGGCCATAACTCGCCTGTAACCCCCCAGTGCAGGCTGGAATTTTGTGAGCACACTCAAAATACCTTATAGTTTACGTGTGCAAAATTACAAAAAATCCTAAGACGGGAGCTAAAATGACTTCCCTTGTCAGACGACCAGTGAATATGATTGTGCCACTAGAATTGCCAGAAGAAACATTCACGAATGATGAAGAAAAACAAGAAAGTCCAAACGTAAGCGAAACTGATGGAAACATCAAAAGATACAACCTGCGAGAACGGAAACCAGTAAACTACCGCGAAGAAGGAGAAGAGGAACGTCAAGATAACTGTATCAATATGACGATGAAAAAACCATCACTGAATACAATTGGATGGATGACAATTGCTTTGATAACAATGCTGATAGCAGGAACAGGAGCACACCAATCTCATTTGGAATGTGTATCAACTGGAGGAAAGCTGAAAGCCGATAAATTTGAAATTTCCGAAATCTGCGTTGATGCCTACTGCATTAAATCGACTACATATAATGAGGAGTTAGAATTATGGATACCACCGAGCAGAAGAACACGACTTTTTGAATTAAAAATGAAAGCTCGAAAAGGATCGACATGGATAATGGAATCGAAATCATGCAATCCATCAAAAAGAGAATTTTGTGAGGAGATCGATTGCCTCGTATGCCTTGAACTAATATTGAATCCACACTGTCACCCAATCAAAGCAATTGCGATGACCACAATACTATTTCTTCTTCTTGTAACTATCGGATGTATGTGCACTATGATGACAAATTTGATATGGATTGTGTCGGTTGTAACAAGAATCCTGATCAAACTATGCTTTTCAATATTGCAAATAACAGTGAAGCTTGGGAAATGGACGGTATTACCATTATTCAGATGGTTTGCAGAAAAATTTATAGAAAAAAGACGAAGACGACGAATCAACTGGGATTCAGTTTCTATAGCATTAGTATTAGTTCACTTTGGGATAACGAATGGATGCCAAGAAGTCGATGTTACAGAATCACGGAATTTGCTATGTACAAAGAGCGCAGATCACGAAAAATGCGCATGGAACATCAAGGAGAACATTGCATTTAACTCGTGGACACGTGAAGCATGTTTGCGAGTAACAAAAAATGCAATAACATTGAGAGAATTGAAGATCGAATTCATAGAATCGCGAATGAAATGCATAAAAAATACCATCGCGTTTTCTAGAGAAACAGAACAAAAAGTATTAAGTGTGAAAAGATGCCCTAGAATGGGATCGTGTACGGAAAACAAATGCGCCAACATCACAGAAAATTCGAAAGTGACAGAACTGGACGAAGTCAATCGATTTCCAGGGACGACGGGTTGCAGTGAATCATGTGGTGGATGGGGGTGTGATTGTTTTTACACCAGCTCAGGATGCATTCTATACAGAATATACGCAGTACCGATCAACGAAGAAATCATGGAATTGTACAGATGCGATTGGAAGCATGAAATTGTGTTCAAAATCACGGAAACTCGGTTGCGGAGCTTCAAAAATGTCAAGAAACAATGGAATGTGACACTTGAAACAGGCAACACACTGGGAAAAATGTCCATTCATCTACAAGAAGTGAGCCTTCCAACATCATCGATCAACAGCGAATGGTTTATGAAAGGAAACCAATCGACAAGTTTATGGACGAACGGGAAATTCCCAGAGCTAAGATGCAAATCACTGAAAGAAGCAGAATTGTTAAACTGTGAATTCGAAGAAAATTGTAAATGTGTACCAGCTGAAACACAAATGAATTGCAAATGCAAGAACTCATGGGAGGAATACCATGACATTCACAGAAAATTACCACTGCAACGGAACTTGTGGAAATTGGAGACTGACGATGAAGGGACTGCAATTATGAAATCGACAGAAATAAACAATGCTGAACTTGTGTTGAAAATCGAAGACGATTCTCAATTGATGATTGTCAAAAACAGCGATGAGTGCAGAATTTCAAACGTCGAACTGACGGGTTGCTACAATTGTGCCAAAGGAGCAACAATTTCCTTAAAATGCCATTCACTAAAGGAACAACTGACTGGAGATGTGGAGTGTGGAAATCACAGGGCCGCAGTGAAATGCTCGCCGGCAGGCGAAGGAAATACGGCGAACATGTTTTTTGACAAAGCAAGGATTACAGAAAAATGCACGATCGACTGTGGCGGAAAGACCATAAATCAATTCAACTTGGAAGGAATCCTACGTTTTGAGGCCGACGTTTGGAGTTCAATGAGCCGCATACTGAACGGAGAAACAAAAATCTATGATGAATGGAAATTACCAGATTTTTGGTTCCTTTTGGAAACATACTTCCAATACATGGAATACGTTTTCATCGCAATAGCTACGGTTATAGTCATTATACTCTGCAGCTACTTGTTTTTGTGCAACTTGTTCAAATCTCTTCTTTGGAAACTTATCAGCCTTCCTTTCAAAATTTGTCGCAAATGCAAGCCCACACAGCGCAAAGACCACACTGCGTAAGTTTTTTTTTAACTTTCTTGAGTGAATTGATGTGTATGCTTAACAATAATAATGCTTTTGTGTAAAAAAAAATCTATCTTTTACTAATTTTAACTTAAACATCGTGAATAGTGGCGCAAATTTTGATGAAGTTTTTTTTTCTGAAGCCGGGAGGCCATTACGAAATTGGTTGAAGAATAATAGTTGTTACTTATCGTTCTTACATATACAATGTTAGATTTTAATTTTGAACATTGCCAATTCTGTTATCTTCTTGTTTCTAAATTTTAATTGTGTTTTGCAACTCAAGTCTATTAGTCACTTAAGCGTAGGCCCGGGGAGTGTGCTCGTTAGCACTGTTCAGACACGCCCATTGATGCAATATTTGTGATTGTTACAACGATGATCAATCATTATTAACATTGTGGTTCGCTATGAACTATTGCTTTTTCTATTTGTATTTTTGTTAGTTTTATAACCTACTTATATTTTATTCTTGCCTCGTTTATTAAATAAAAGGTTTAATTACCCAGGTGTCAAAACACGGCACAAAAAATTGTCAAAAATTCGAAATCCAATTTTTTTATATATTTTTTTCCGAGAAACTTCTCCCCCTCCCAATTTCTTTAAAATTGAAAATTAGCCACAAAAAAAAGAAAGCGCTCACCAATGGTCCCCAATACGTTATCGGCGCTCCAATTTGTATTGCCGGAATGAATTGCGAGCAGGCCATGAGCAAAAAGTACAAGTTCAAAAAGAATTTGAACTGTTGGAATAATACCTGTCGAAATTAGTGGTGAAAATGCTTAAAAAACAAAAAAAAACGTTCAACTCACTAGCGGAACGAAACTGAATATGTTGTATTTCTGATTGCACACTTTGTTCGGCGCAAACGCGACATTCGCGTCGTGACCTATCGGACCATAACCGACGCGGACGGTCCTCGAATGCAATACTCGTCGTCGCGAGAACAACGATCGGCAACATCTGGAAGAAAAAACAAAATAATTATCGATTACGGTATTCGGCTCCGCCCATTCTCATCATTCTAGATCCCGCAATATGTCGTCAAATCAATTGGCATCTATGATCTACCGCATCCAACGCCCCCCAAGCACACTGCTACAGTAATCCCCCCCTCTAAAATGATTCACATTCCTTCATACCAGATAATGAATCGCTCGTCGTCTCCACAGGTGACTCATTAACGCTATCGGATAATTACTAATTAATTGGCAATTAACAAAATTAGCGTGGAAATGACAAGAAAAACAAGTTCTTTCTTTTTTCTCGTCAAACTTAACGCTTAGATTCGAATAGTGTAAAATATCGTCAATTGTGGTGTTTCGAGAAGAAAAAAAGAAGAAACATCCCCAAGTCCGTAATTTGTCGTCAAAATCCAGACGAAACGTTAATAAATGATTTTTTTTGTTGAAAAACTCACAAAATGCCTCCTTTGGCCGCGGTGGTCGCCGCCGACAAATGCGATGTCGCATTCGATTTCAGCGATGCCGTCTTGTCGCGATTCGCCGCCGCCGCCGATGACGACGACGACGACAATGAAGCACAAGCCGACGGCTCGCCGCCGACATCCTTCACAAAACTCACGCCAATCTCATTAGTGCTGGCGTGCAATTTGTCCATTGGCGCGCATTTAGTCGACCATTCGTTTGCTCACAGGACCATTCAAATTGGAAGCAAGGCAAAGTAGTGTGGGGGCGCGTGGGAATCGGGCCAGATGGTCAACAAGAAACCAATCCTACTAATACGGACCAATTATTTTCGATGACAAACGAACGAGAAAGAGAGAGAGAGTGTGTGTGAGAGAGAGAGACGCCGAGAAAAAACAAAAGAGGGAAATCGCTTTTCCATTTTTATTGACAACGTCGTGCGCCTTTAAAATTTTAGTTAAATCCCTTCAAAATAAATTATAAGAAATCTTAGGGAAAAAACGATTTAGTCAATTTCGCACATTTTCAATTATGAAAAATCCAAAAACAATACCCATAAATCCAAAAATTTTCAGCTGAAAAATGCAATTTTTTGCCGAAACGATGTCGACGTGCAATTTCATTGAGAAAATGAGCTCAAATATCAGCGGCACATTTGACTAATTGCTCATAACGAGAATAATCATGTGAGAGGCAAAAAATGTTCTCAATTTGAACAAAAAAACAACTCACGAGCACACATTTTTGAGCAAAACCATTCATTCCAATAAAATTTGTCACCACTCATTTAAAAAAAACTCAAATTTTTTCAAATAATTGCAATTTTATTATTTTTTTCAACGTGAAAACTTCTCAATTTTCCCGGAATCAAAAAAAAAATGCGGAAAAAAAACTGTTTGAAAATGCCAATTATCTAGGAGTTCCTCAAATTGCAGGTGAAATGATTGAGGAAAAAAATAAATTCGATTTCGTCAAATCCAATAATGAGAGGCCGGAGTCAGACAAAATCGGTGGTTTCCAAGGGCGACAATTCGCAAAGCAAAGCAAAGCAAAAAAAAAAACAACAACAACGACACGAACTTGTCGCGACGAGACCCGCATATGAGTAATTGTAATAATCGTACGAGTTGTGCGCTCAAAATGTGCTCATCGCGCCAAATGTGTCGAGTTATTGAAGGGCAACGCACCGCCGAGATTCGTTTTGAAAGCAAACAGTATCATCGACGCGCGCGCCTGTCATCATTCAATTCCTTTGCCCAACCCATCCAACGTTCATTATAAGAACTTGTAAAATGTGTTTTCGCGGCGGGACCCAGAAAAAAATGTATGTTATTTTTTTTTGCCTATTTTTCGACAATTAAGCGATGTCGTGGCGAGACACACAAAAAAAAACAAAATCCTAAATGGGGTACTGTATATAATCGAGAATTATTTGGGTGATAAAATTAGGGGACCAAAAAAAATAACCAATCAATGTTTATTGCTCGCGGCGGGACCAATCTAATAATGCATTAGCAAGATTTCGCTTGTGGACCAGAAAAAACCATCGCAACCCAACCCCTAGAATTGTCCGCAGCACAATTGTCATTTCATCGATCGATTAGTGAAACATCATAAGTGATTAGAACGGATAGAAAAAAAAAACAAAATACTGTTTTTGAGTTGATGAGGCTATTTTTTGAAAGGTGTTGGTTGAGTCAACAAATATGTACATTGGTGGAATACGCACACACACAAGTACATATTCTAATGAAATAATGCGTTTTCGTTGCAAGACCCACAAAAATAATTGGGAAGTTAGTTATCGTACAGAAATGGCTCGGAAAAAAACTAACGAAAATCAATATCATCATTTTTTTTGGGAAATTCTTGAAATTTCGCCTCAAGAGCAAATTGCAAACAAAAAAAAATGAAGAGCAAGCGCCCTTTTTTCGCGTCAAGACCCTCCCAACGAAAAAAAGTTCACAAACCGCGATCAACAATCACTCAAAAAAAAAAAAATAAAGGTAATGTGTGAAAATCAGTGGAAACGGCGATCCAGAGCGGAAAAACGTTGGGTAAAAAATCGAGTCGGCGCGCGAAAACCAACCAAAAACCATAATCCATCGAGGCGAGCGCCGAAAAGCGGCGAAGAACGGTATCGAAACCAAACATTTTGAATGCGACGAAAACCCGATTTGCATTTTTTCTCCTTCCACACATAGTAATACTTTTTAAAGGCGCATAATCCACACAATTCCTTTTATTTTTTTGTTCGCCACGCCCACAATTTTGGCTTTAAATTTCTGACGAGGAACAACACGAAGAAAACCAAATTCGACGCACTCGATCAATTCAATTTTAAAGGCGCACACCGTCAAATGTATGTCGAACATGGAATGAATGGCGAAAATCGCGATGAGAAGGAAAGAGAGAGAGAGCGGGGTGAGAGTGAGTGATCGAACAAATAATATAAATAAACAAATAAATAAATAAAAAGTGGTGGATGATGATGAAGGGAGGGGGGGGTCAGACTGCGAACAAATAATATCCGAAATATCCCGTTGAAAAAAGGCAACACAACGGGGGGGGGGATGAAAAAAAAATGAAATATCGTTAAAGCTTCTCCCAATTTTTCGATTTACAACAAATTTGACAATGGTCTCGCACCGAATAACTCGCGGGGTTCCTCTTGAATGAATTGTCTGCTCAAGACCCAACTCATTTTTCGCGGTATGCGCCTTTAATTTTTAATCGTCATTCATGGAATTTTTCGAAATATATAAAAAAAAAAAGTCAAATATCAAAAAATAATGTTTTTGACTGAAAAAAAATAAACGCAAAAATCAGAAGGCAATTGGAGTATTTTTTGAATATTAAAAATAAAACACTTCTGGGTACGGTAATTAAAGGCGCATTATCATTTCACCTTTGGAAAAAATCATTTCTCTTCTTTTTTTCAGAAAACTAATTTTAATATTTTTTCCAACGTCAGTCGTCGGGTTCGAGATTTCGCACAAAAAAAAAAGAAGAAACAACACAAATCGATGAAAAATCTGAATTTCGTTTTTTCGATCAGCCCACACACCCAAAAAAAAAAAGGCTTAATTATGGCTTTTCACCACAAAAATTATAGGGTATGATGGAAAATCTATAATTTTCAGACACAGGTTCTCAGTTCCTCCCACTTCGGGTAAAACGTGGAGGAGGCGTTGAACAAATCGGAATTTTTTTTTCTGGGTCTCAACAGGAATTGGCTAATGACAAAAAAAAAGTCTGAAAATTGGGTCTCAACTCGAATATTTTTGTTTTAGCTAGAATTTTTTTTTGAGTCCTAACTGAAATGCGGCGCTGATTTTCACAAAAAAAGCTCCCATAGTTCATGAATGTCAGAAAAACCTGGGGGTAAAATCACAAAATTAGGTCTCATAGCGAAAACCACAATTCCTGGGCCAAAAATCGGGTCCCGCGTGGAACACTGCATCATATTTATATTTGTTCAAAAAAAAATGATCGAGTTCGTGGAATGTGCTAAAAAAACCAACAAATACATGAAAAAAAAAACGCAGAAAATTCCCATCGATTTTCGATCAAATTTCTTTTTAACGAATTTTATTGTGAGAAAATTGAAGTTTTTTTTTTCTCAAAAGACACGAGCAAAAAAAAAGCAAAACCATCGTTTTAAACAAAATTCGCAAAATTTCAGAAATTTTTTTCAGCAGATCAAATCAAAAATTAATTCAATTCAGCGATTTTTTCCCCACAATTTTTTTTTTCATTTCAAAATTTGAACAAAATTCTCTGATATTTTTAAAGCCAAAAATTCGAAAAATCAGTAAAAACAAATAAAAATTTTGCGTTTTTTTTTTGAAAATTTTCCCAATTTCAACATTTTCAAGCACACCAAAACGGAAAAAAATGCAAATTTCAGGCGTTTAGGCATTCGATTGGCGGAAAAGTAGTCAAATGAGTGAAACCGTCGGGAGGGAGAGGGAAGGGGTCCGATTAGTCAGCGAAACCAGTTCCAAACAACTGTTTGCCGATCGGCCCGATGTTGTAGAACCCAGAAGAGACGAGAATCGCTCAATTCAATCGAAATTCGGACGACAAAATCGACAAATATGGTAATACACTTCAAAATTTGATGAATTCTTGATGAAGGCTCGAAAATTCGGCAAAATCGCAATTTTTCATAAAAGAAATTTTTGTCACAAATTTTTCCAGTCAAAACCATCAAATATTCATCAAAAGCTCAAATTAAGGCCAATTCTCAACAGGAAATTAAACGTTTTCCGGAAAAAAGACACACGCTGTTGGGAAAATTTAATTTTTTTTCCAATTTTTGAAAAATAATACGAATTTTCAGGATATTTCATGGAAATTCAATTTTTTCAATGCAAAATTTCGCGAAAATTCAATTTTTTTTCTCATTTCCAGCCAAAAATAACCTCAAAATTTCGAAATTTTCTAGCCAAAAATCGTAAAAATCGATCGTTGATCATCAAAATCACAATTTCAAAAAAAAAAAGAACAGAAACACACGCGAAAAGCAACAAAATTGTTACAACCATTTAACTACTAGCGGCGGTCGTGAGCGCTCGACCGCCACCGATCTAGTACATTTCAATGAATACTGGTTTTCATGTCGTATTCCTATTTTCGCTTCGAGACCATTCGGAGAGAACAAGAGAAGAGATAGAGAGAGAGAGAGAGAGAGAGCGCGAATATTTGCGGAGTAGAACGGGGGGGGGAGTTCTATTCAATAATATAAAATAAAATATTGCAATTGTGCAGGACAATAGGTGAGAGCGAGAGAGAGAGAGACGCAGAGAAAGAGATGAGTCGTCTACAGTATGAAATTAAAGGCACATTGCCAGCAAATTAGTGACTTGGCAAAACACTAGTACGCCAAAATGCAGAAATATGAAGAAAACTACAGTATCGCGGCGTACACGTTGACGACAAATTACGGACCATCGATTAACATCATCAAAAAAAAAAGAACAAAAACGAACCGCGTCATGCTGAAACTCGACGATGACGTTGAAGACACTGACGGTAGGAGGTAGACGTCGTCCGATCCCTCAATTCCTAGCTGAAATTTTCAATTTAATCCACTTCAATTTTTCAGGTTTAAAATTCCATTCATATATTATTTCTTGAAAAAAAAAACGCCAATCTCATTCCTCTCGAAAATCTTCAATTTAATGGAAAAATCCGATATTTCGCGTAAATTCCCAATTTTTCAAACAATCTTCAACAATTTCCAAGAAAATTTCAAATTCGTTTAAAATTTCTTTTCAAAAAATACCGCTTTTTGAGCGGTATTTTTCTTTTTTTGAGCGGTATTAATCCATTTCTCTCAGAGAAAAAAATTTGTTTAAAAAACCCCCAATTCATACCTCAGAATCTGGCATTGGTAAAAGATGAGAATACTCGTCGGCCTCGTCTTGGCTAGTTGCCAGCCGACTGTATCGCATACACCAAAAACCTCAAAACCTGTAATCGGCTGAAAATGCAAAAAAAAAATATTGGAAATTGAAAAGAAATCGATAAAACTCGGGTAAAACAACCCAGGTGAATCAAAAAAAAAGAAAAGAAAAAAGCTGAAAATTATTAGAGAAAAATTTATAAGAGTAGCAAAAATAAAAGGTGTACAGAATGAAAAAGAACACGTCATTTCCTCGTTTTTTTTTTGAAACAATTCCTCGCAACCGGTCGCTGGGGGCCCGTTTTTGTCGAATATTTACAGAAAATTTGAAAAACAAAATTACAAGCTTTTCAGCACCAGCACGCCGACAATTCCGCCGAACATCGCTGCCGTCACTCCCGTCAGCGCTGTGATGCTGCCGGCGAGCTCGCGGTACTCCGGCGCAACACTTCTGGAAAAATCTCAAATTTTGAGATTGTCGAAGAACAAAAATTTCCAATTTTTACATTCAAAATCCAAAATTTCACAATTATTCCACTAAAAAATCCCATATTTCTGATATATTGAAAATATAGCAAAATTTCGACAAAAAAATGAAAATGATCTCAAAATTTCATAAATTTTCAACGTTTCAAGAGAAAAAAATGATGAAATCGACACAAAAAAATCATATTATTGCGAAATCCGATGCAAATTTCACAATTCACTCACAACGAGACGCCAATTGTTGCATTCGTGATGCAAAATCCGTGAGAAGCACCAAGAATGATGATGAGCATCACATATATCCCATCGTACGGTATCAATGACGGCGTGTATTTTCGCGGCGAGATATTGCACATCGCGATGAGCGGAATCAACGCGATTCGGACAAGCGACAATATTAAAAGATAGCGACTTTTCTGCAGAAAACAAAATGAAAATGTTGGATTTCGCGAGAAACTCTCACCAATCGAACGGAATTGGCTGACGATCGCCCAATAAGGTCAATCACGTTGTAGAGGAGGAATGAGACAACCGAGGAGAAGTAGGCTGGAATCAATTTTTGTATATTTTGAAAAGAAACATTTTTTCTCTCTGGTAGCTCAAAACCAATCGGATCCGGCAAAATTCGACTCTGAAATCAATATTATCCGATTGGTTTTCTTAAGGATAAAATTGTCGGATCCAATTTTTTAATTTTTCAATTCAAATCGAACAATAACCTATCGGATCCGACAATTTTACATTCTTATCCATAAAATTGCCGGATCAGGTAGATTCCGGAGACAAATATGGCCGGATCCGAGTAACCGCAAAATTCGTTTCAATTTTAAGGGATTTTTTTCAAATTTCCATAATCTTTGTAAAATTTCGTTTTAATACAAGTTTTATTGCTTTCATGCGTTCAAAAATGCGAAAACCACCAAAATTGTCGAAAATTTGATTTAATTATGGTGAAAAAAATTGAAAAATTCAAATATGATTCCGATCACCTTAAATTTTCCCACACAAATATCACAAATGCAAAAAAAATTGAAAGTTGCTCACCATTCCACGTCGGATTCCTCGTCGTACTTCGAACCAAACTCGTCATTCCGGGATACACAGCCAAAGTGACCAAAAGGGTCATCGAGACCGTCAGCAAATCCATCCAAGACTGCAAAATAAATCAATAAATCGACTCTTTTCCGCTTCGAAATTAGAAATCAGCCAAAAAAAATGGTACAACTATTTATTTGGGATCAATTTTTTGGCGAAAAATTCAAATTTAATTTTTTTGTACAAAAAAAAAACGAAAATTCTACTTCAAGGATCATTTCATTTTTGACAAATTCAGGAAAAATAATGAAAAATTCTAAAATTCCAAGTTTTCAAAGGAAAATTCTATTATTATTTGTTACGTGTCTGCGAAAAATCAAACATTTTTTGGACGTTATACTAAAAAAAAACAATATTTTGAATTCTTTTTGGCCGGGTACTGCAGAAAAAAATTAAATCTACCGGCAAATCTTTTGTTAGAACCTCCCAACGAAACAAAATAGTCGCACCGTTGCGAACACATTCGAAATAGTCGTCCAAACGGTCTCCTGAAGCGGAAATGTGATTTCAATGGCCGCCGTCGGCTCATCAATCGGCGGGAAGTTGGTAACCTGCGATTCAATCACAATCTCATCATCGTCATCATTCAGAAGTCTGCAAAAAGATGATAATTTCTAAATTGGCCTTACGCAGGTTTTGCGAGAAGTTTTTGCGCATTTCAATTTGCAAAAATCTAACCTTTGGAATAAAAAATCAAAAAAAGGAGAAAAGAAATTCAAAATCTTACCCTTGTCGTTCCGCTTCAATTTCCTCTTGAGGTGGTGCGATATGATTAAGGTACAAGTATGCTCCAATGCTAATAATCGTCATTATCAAACTGAACGCAAAATATAATTGTCCGTTGAGGATCACATTCGGTGTGACCGCCTGACACACAATGCTGATTGCTGTCGCCAGGACTCCGGCCAGCGATTGGCCCACCATTACAGCCTGCGTCTGGAATTCAAGCGCGATTAAAAAAATGCGATTTTGGCTGAAAAATCTCACATATTTCGCTGGAAACGTCGACGAGAGCCCCAGAACGCCGCCGGCGATCAATCCGAGCGATCCAAAGCAGGCAATCGAGATGAGTATCATGGTGACTTGGAAGAAAAGCTGCTGGTCTGAACATTTTGAAATTTGATTTTGAAACAACATATTTTCGCTTACATGAATCCGAATCGAACAATGTTAGGGCAATTGTTGGGATAAAAACGATTACAACTAGCGCATGACCCCAAATCACGCGAGCCGAGTTGGAAAACCTGCACAAAAAAAGAACCAATTTAGTGGAATTTTCGAAAAATTCTCACGATTTCGTTCCAAACACGTTAATAATCGATCCGATGACACAAGCGAGGCCGCCATAGACCGTCAAATACGCCTCGAAGTTGGCCTGCAGCTCGGTTGGCGTCTCCTCGAACACTGAAACAGCAAAGACTCACAAAAAATTATTTCGCCGGTCAAAACCAACACTCTTTGATAAAATACCGATTCGTCGCGTTCACCGGATCGCCATCATTCGTCACATTTCGCAGTTTATAATAAAAATACTGCAAATTGTGGGAAATTCGTTGAAATTCACCAAAATTGTTACCTCGTGCGCGTTCATAAACGCGTTATTCGGAAACATCGAGCTTATCGACACAATTGTAAACGCGATATATATTAAAATCGTCATTTCTATCAAATTCCATGAAAAAACAAATGCGAAAAACCCGTAAAAAGTCGATGAGGAAAACTCGCAACGAATATAATGATGAACAGTGGGCGTGGTCTGCGGCGCGGTTGGTCGGCAAACACGCGGCGCGTTCCTCAATTTCCACGAGGCCACCCATTTTTAAATTCATTTTTTTAAACAAATATTAAAAAATTGATTTATTAAAAATACGAAACGTCATCCAAATAAAATTATATTTAATATAATATATAGCAAAAACGCAAAAAAAAAAATAACACAATAATAATTTTGAAACAAAAAATCGAGATATAAAACGACAATGAATCTTTTTGTTTTCTCTCACACAATAATAATGGAATGGCCCTGTCGGAATCTATAATTTATCTATTTGACTGTGTTTCTTCATCTTTTGACACTACATGAATCGGGATAATCACCCGTAACGCGGGAATCTACATGGGTTCGAATGCCGGGTGGGAAAATAACGGAAAAAAAATTACAACGAAAACATCGAAATTCACGTCAAACACGACGACGAGACGACGTTCGACGGCGGCGCGAAGCCCATCTGGAGGTACGAGACCATCTCCTGCGCGTTCTCCTCGTCGGCGTGATTCTGCGAGATGTGGAACGCGAGTTCCGGACCGAGATGCGCCACAAAATCGCACATCGGGCATTTGATCGCGTTGCCCGACTGATGCATCACCTCTTCGGGCGTCGGCGCCGCGAGACCGTCGATCGCCGGCGGCACAACGAATCCGTGATCCAGCGCGTACTTGATTCCCGTATGGGTGTCGGTCAGCGACAACTCTTTGCTGATATGATGGTTCGTCTCGTGGAAGTCGACAATCGATTTCGTGTTGTCCGAATAGTCGCACATTCTGAAACGGCGAGTCTCGTGTGACGAGGCATATCAGGAAATCAAATTTCGCCCAACCTGCACTTATAGATTCGATTCCAGCCGTGACGATCGACGTGCGATATGTAGGCATTCATGGAGACGCATCGAAATTGACATTTTTTACAATGGATCTGCAAACAAAAAAATTTTCAGCAACCAACCAAAAAGTTCGCCCTTACATTCGCCTTGTTCGCCGAATGAAACTTCATTCGCGGCTTCTGATAGTCGTCGCGACACCCCGACCGCTTCATGACCGTCGACAATCGCGTCCAAAGCGCCCGACGATGCTCGTTGCGATGCTCGACGAACGTGTTCGCGTCGACCGTTTTGAAATTGCAATTCTGCGAGGTGCACTTGAAGTACTTGGCGCCGTTCGGTATCACTTCCGTCTTTTTCGCCGCCTTTTTGCCGCGCGACGACGAGCCCTCGGTGCCCGGCAGGCCCATCGGCGCGTGAAGCTGCAAGTGCGCCTGAAGCGAGCTCGCCGTGAACGCGCTAAACGAGCAATCGCAGCACGCGAATTGTCGCGGCCGATAGTTGTAGAAGTGCATGTCGCGATGGAGGCGGAACAACGTCAAATCCGACGAAACGTACGGACAATCCGGACATTTTTGGCTCTCTGAAAATCGAATTTCGGAAAAAAAATAATTTGATGCGAATCAAGTCGGTCTTACTCTCCGCCTGATCCTCCTTCTTCAAATACTGCCTGATCGCGAAATGCGTCGCCTCTTCGATCTTCTTCTCCGGCTGCTTCAACCTCTTCTTCTTCTCATCAGCCTGCCCCTCAACATGAACAAATCTCTCCAAATCCATCAACGGCGTCTGCGATTTCGACGTCGCCTGCACTTGCTGCTGCTGTTGTTGTTGCTGTTGCTTATTATTCACCATCATGTAATAATTGCTGGAAAAAAAATAAAACTCAATTATAAAGCGCTAATTCCAAATCACTCACTTCTTATTCCTCGTGCTCCTCTCAGTACGGCCACCCTGCGGAGACTTCGATCCAGGCGTCGACGAGCGCTCCTGAAGCTGCTGAACATCGGGATTCGGAAGAACCGCGATCGATCCCGGCGAGTTCTGCTTCTTCGATACCAAATCATTCGAATAATCCGTTATCATCGGAATCGGAAGTCCCTCATCATTGACTCGCTGAAAACACAACAAAAATTTATCCATATGAGAATCTCCGACGAATCAATCTCACTCGAGCGAATCCATTGGGTTTCCCGTTCGCCGAATGCACAACAATATGCTCATCCATACGATCCTTATCAATCGAGCTATAGCAGCAATAAGAGCACACATGAACGCGTGGGACCCTCTTGTGCTGCCGATGATGTCGCCAGAGGCAACTCACCGCCGATGTGATATAATCGCATCGATTGCAGCAGTAGATCAGCAACCGATGACCTCGTCGGCTCTCACCAATATGATGTCCATTGTTCACAATGAGCTGCTTCCTTCGAATACCCTTTTGGAACTGCAACAACCATCGCAATGACTAGACGCTCAACGGATCTTACCGTTCGCTCGTGTTTGGCAATATGAAGTCTCATGTGGTCCCGAAGCGACACCGGCCGTTGAGCACTATAAGTGCACTGTGTGCAACGGAACGCCTGTCCCGAATTGTGTCGCGTCTTATGCGTCCGAATGTCGCCACGATATTTCGATTGATACGGACAATCGATGCATTGGAATATCTTGTTGCCATCCTGAATCCCACCGGACGTCATATCAATTCGATTGAATGCCCTCAACTCACCACTACGACTTTGATAAAACTATCGTCAATGATTTTGCGATCAAGCCGCGACTTCTTGCACCACTTCTTCAGCGCATCGCCGAGACGAACCGCGTTGTTGCCCTTCTGGAAGATCTCCAATTTGACGCGCTCCTCGGTGGTGAACGATTGTTGCGCGGCGGCCGTCTCATCGGGCGGCTCGCATTTGAAGTGAAGGCGCTCATGCTGCTGGACAATCTCCTGGCTGCGAACCCAGAAGTTGCAATACTGGCACTTGAATTCGGCCACGGTGAAATGCTTCTCACGATGGCGTTTGACGCGACTCTCCGTCACCGCCGAATACGGGCACAGATCGCAATACGATAGCTCTTCGCCTTCTTTCGAGCTGCACCTGCAAAATGTTTTCAGATATTCGCAAAATCATTTCATCGCCAAAAAAACATACGAATTGAACGACGAGTTCATCGAGTCATCGAGCGACTCCGGCTCCTGTTTGATCTCAACCTTCGACTCGCTCATGTACTTGAAGAAGAACACATCGCCGAGAAGCTCTTTCAGATAGAACATGCGCGCGATCTTCCTAGGCTTCCGACGATGGCGCTTCATTTTATGAATCGAGCGATCCCAAAACGATTTGAATCGTTGGCCGCACTCAAGACAAATGTAACGACGGTATGGCTGCATCTCCCTCTGAACATTCGACATTACTATGTAAAGGCAATCCAAAACACTTACCGCTTTATGTACATGAAGCTTATGAAGTATGAGATCGGTGGTTGTGATCGGCTGATATTTGCATCCCGGAATATTGCAGATTCGCTCAAATCCATTCTTCACCGATAGTGTGTTCAATTGCGCCAATCCGATGTGTTTGTTGGTGAGCGCTTCGAATCGCTCAAACGTCAAATCAATATATTCGGGAGCCCACGGCTGAAAGTCGTCGCGACTCGCGCCCTCATGCAACTCATAATGACGCTTGAGGAAGCCCGCGTGGACCGCCTTATACGTGCAGCTCTCCTTCGGACACTTGTAGCCCTTTTTCATATTGTGTCCGGCAGTGTGCTTCACAAGTCGCTCATACGATTTCGCGACGAACGGACACTGCGAACATTTCCGACTCGAACGCCCTTTGAGGATAATGCATTCGGCGGGCGCCGGCATCAGCGCGCGATTCCTCGAGTTCAAATCGCATTCGGCGATCAACGGCGGCGGTCCGCTCGAGCTCGGCTCATCCTCATCGCTGCTAGTGTTCAATTGGAACGGCTCATCGGCGGCCGCAATCAAGTCGGGAGCATCAATAAGCGGCGGTGGCGTCGGCGTCTTCTTCTTCTTTTTCGCCGGTGGCGGCGTCGGCTCTTTAGCCGGCGTCGACTCCTTCGCCGCTCGCGGTGGAGTCGGCTCCTTCTTCACCGCCGACTGCGCTTCTGGAGCCGGAACGGCACTGCTCGACGTCGCCGGACTATTCTGTTGACTAACAACACCGAAATGTTTGTGGAGTCGTTGATGGCGCGCGCCGGCTTTGACCGTCGTCGCCGAGAAATCGCAAAGCTCGCACGCGAATCGTCGCTTCTCGCCGCCGTGAAGCTTCACGTGATTGTTGAGGCCGCTTTTCGTCTCGTACCGCGCCGGGCATTTCTTACACTGATGTTCGCCGACAAGACCTTTCTGAAACAACACAAAAATAATCGTGAGAATAGAAAAAAAGAACGACGCCATCATACATCGTCCTCATCGGTATCCATTTGATAGAGGAAGTAGTCGCGTGTCGGTGCAGAGCTCTTCCGCTTACTCCTCCGAATCCCGTCATCCGGACTCGTGTGCGATGGCGGCGGCGAGGGAGGCGGTTGAGAAGCCACTGCCATCTGAGAAGGTGGATTCCTCGACGGCTCCGTTTCCACTGAGAGCGGTTCAAGCTTGATCTGAAATCGATGATGAATGTTTGAAATCCATTCCCCCAAATCCAAATCTCTACCTTCTTGCCATGAATCGCCGCGACGACGTCGAGATTGAACTTATTGCGCTTCGAGCGCCTCAAATCCGTAGGACTTATCGAAGACGCCGACGACGACGACGACGGCTCCATTCGTCTGAAATCAAATCAAGTTCGATGATTCGGATGGCTTGAACACAAAAATCAAGGGTTTCGGGGGGGGAGCGGGTCTCCAAACTCTCCGATATAGTGATAATCAAGGTTGGGGAGGGGAATAGTAGAGAATGGGTTGGTGTGTTGGGGAGATGAGGAGGTAGGGAGGCGGGAGAGGAGTTGAGGTTGAGAGTCAGTGTTCGAGGATGGCGAGACGCAGTGATATTACGCATCAGCCAACCCAAGTGCACCGGTCGACCGGCGACTCGTCTGCGCATCACCGTCTCCGCATAGTGTCTCGTCGAAGCGCGCTAGCCGCGTTCTCGCCTCTCAACATCCTCCCGCCTTCCCCCAGCCACCCTCCCCCTCCCCCCCTCCATCCGATTCATCGATCGGCTGGAAAAACGCGACGCGCGGCGGCGACCGCAACCGACGAGAAACCATTGGAGACGTTGAGACGGCGACAAAATCAAACCCAAAAAAAATAAAATGAATTGATAGACGGTAGACGCGAGCGCGCGCGCGCTCTGGGACCATCCCGAACAATGAGCAAATGGGTGACCACCATTGGTGTCGATGGTATGGTGGGCGGAGAATTCCGTTAGGCAACACGTCGCACCAAATTTCGCACCATTGGCGAAATGATGAGAATCACGGAAACTTGGAGGTGCCAATTCTCGCACATCCTATGAGATGATTGGATGAGAGACCAACTAAAAATCATCTTGGTCCAATAATAAGAGATGGGGATATTTTTGAATATGGTCCCACAGCGAAAATGTACTCATATTGAAAATTGGCGATTCGAATGCTGTAAAACAGTCATAATGCGATAAGAAAAGACCATCTAGAGAAGTTTAAGGGTCACTTAAAAGGTTTTTCTTTAATTCTTCCAGTCTGGAAACGATCTTGCGACGAAATAGATGAATCAAGAAGAAATCGCAATGCGCCTTTAAAACAATTTGACGAAATTCCAAAATTTTCAATTTCGAAACAGTCATCGGCGTGTTGTCGTTAGAAATGTGACACTAGAGTCCCAAAGCGAAATTACAGAAAAAAAAGAAATCGCGCAAATTGAAAAAGTTTCGATTTTTCGAAATATTCCTAGCAGACAAATTTTTTAAAATTCAAAATTTCGGTTAGAATTAATTTTAGAATGGTCTTAAAACGAGTGAATTCAATTATAAATTGCAATTCATTGAAAATCTCAATCAGAAAAAGCTAATTGAGACGCCAAAAAATCAATAAATTCGTTAAAACTCGCATTTCTTTCCCAAAAATCCCCAGCGAAGAATGAAAGAGAAGGAGAGAAAAGTCTTAAAACGAAAATTAATTGACAAAAACACAAAAACCAAAAAAGGCAAAATCGAAAAGTTCGAAATTCGCGAGAAAATAAAAAAAAATTCAGTGCCCTCTAACCATAGGAAGATTGAAATGGTCCCAACGCGAAAATCAAATTTGAATTGAGAAATGCTTGGAAAAATCGTGCAAAAATCAATTTTCCAGAAAAAAAAAATGATGAAAATGTTCTGAATAACTCAATATGTCCCATCGGGGAAAAAATCTGGGGAAAAATCCAAAATTTGGTCAGTTTTACAAAAAAAAAAAATAACACACAGGCGCGATCGGGGTTGAGGAGGTGCCGGTTTCGAAAACCGTCTACCGAGGTCACCACCTGCTTAGCCACAAAACGCCGCCCCTCCCCCAAACCAAATATGGGATTCAAGCAATGGCGAGAGGCACGATTAAAAGCCCAATTCACAGACAATTAATTAACTGATAAATTGGCGGCGACAAAATCGTCATATCGCAAAAATCGCGAAATTCCGCGCGCGCGCGATGACGACGACGAAGGGGGGTTTCGCTTTCGCGTTGCACAAAAATTTCTCAACCGATCGCTATCTTTCTCTCAATTCTCCACGACGATATCCAAAAGAATCGATATTCGCCACGAGACCAACAAGAGAATCAGGGGGGGCGTGGCCTAGTCGAATATTGCTTAATTAATTAGCATTGAATTGTCGCCCGACGCGAAGGGTCTCACAGAGATTCGAAACATCAATCTATGCGAGACCGTGTCGAAATATAGGCCCAACATCGAAAAAACAAATCTTGGGGGCTCCATTGTTCAAATCAAAAGCGTCTTGCCAAACATTTTCGTCGTTTCCTCAATGCTCCTTTAATGGGATTACTGTAGATTGGTTGAAACCGACCGGACTCTTAGCGAGAAGTCAATTCTACTAGGTACTGTAGCACTTCAAGACCTTGAGCTTGAATTCACAAGGTTGCCGGCACCTCATACCTAGATCGCTTCCAAACTTCGGTTCATTGGTCTTCAGGGCGGAGCTCGGTGACCTTCATCCCCTCCAAAATCAAATGAATCCGAGAAACCGCATAGGCGGAGTTTCACGGTGGTCCGTCGAACCCCTACCTTCTCCGATCCTCCTTCTTCTTCTTCTTCTTCGTCATTCTTCCGATGACAACGACAACGTCGTCTTCTCCAGAAGTCTGTGACGCAAGCGTGCGTACGCGGAAAAATTGAAATAATAAAAAAATATACGAACACTGGGGCGGGCCGGGCGGGGCACGGAAACAAACCACGGCGAATTTCGAGACGCGCGGCGACGGCGGCGGCAGCAGCAGCAGCCAGCAGCCAGCTCGAAATAGCGCGCGAGACGCTGAGACACACACGCGAATCGATAGTCGAAGTCAGGCAACGTGCAGGACGCTGATGCGCCAGAACGCGATGGAATCGCTTCGACGAGGCCGTCGAAGAGGAGGAGATGGAGAGGTTCCATATTTTTTTCTGTTCCAATGGAACCGCCCTAATCTAGACAAGCCCATAAATGAGGTCAAAAAAAGGAATCCGGCAATTTTCGGGCACTCCACCTCCTCCAGACCCTTTTTTCCAGCCTGCCAGGGATGTGATTAAATTCAAATCACATTTATAATTCTTTTCGAGAACGCCGTGGTCCCACCACGATCTCGGTAATCATGCGCGAACAAAATAACAGAACCACCGAATATTTTCGTTGCTGGTGTCGAATGTTCGCAAAAAGTTGCTTCTTATCAGTTGGTGGCTGACATTCTCGATATCATTACAACACATACCCATATATACATACAGATGCTACAATAAGCAATGACTGATGAAACCAAAAAATATATATATGTACTAATATGGAAGGGAAGAATGGCGGACAACGACGACGACAGTCGAGAGCATCGTCGAGACTCATAAAGATCATTTCGCAGGCCATCGTTTATTGCGCATCATAACATTCAATTGGCACGTTAAACGCGTGTGCGGTCGAATCGATGTTAATTGATTTAAAGGCGCATCGCTTAAAGCATCGATGGCTTGAAGATCATCACGGGAAGAAGCGCCGAGGTTTTGATAATTTCGATATAAAGGCGCATAGGCTTTTAGCGCATTCGTTTAAATTTCAATTGATTTCTTCAGTATGAAAGGTGCAGGCTTTAAAGGGACACTGGTTTTCGTAAAAATTATTTGAATGTCGGAAGAAGGTGGTCTTGAGTTTTGGGCTTTAAGGACACAGATGTAGCCAATTCGAAATATTGATTTAAAGGCGCATAACTTTACTAGTTCCTTGAAGCTATAATCTAAAGAACTATCAATGAAAGCTTCAGTGCAGTTTGAAAATCTGATTTAAAGGCGCATCAATTGAAATTTGAATAGAGTCTCGAAGGGTGGGATTTAAAAGCTCAACTGTATTCAACTGGAAAAATGGATTTAAAGGTGCATAATTTAGATATTTCACTAGTTTCTAGAAGTGATGATTTAAAGGAACATTGATGAAAACTTAAAGGCGCATCAGCGGAAACTTTAATGAGATGGTATTGAAGAGAAAAGGGTGCTATTCCATTAAAATAATTCCATTCGCTTCAAGACCAATCAAAATGAGTTTGAAAATTTCAAACATGAAAGCTGGCAACATTTAAAGGCGCAAAAAAGGAATTCACCGATTCTGCCGAATTCTCGACACTTTAAAGAATTAGCAAGTTCACACTTTAAAGGCGCATGCTAAATTTCGTGGCAAATTAACAAAAACACTCAATCAATCAATATCAACTCAAAGCTCATTTAAAGGCCCACAACCTCGAAGAATATCCGAAATGGTACGAAACGATGGAAGTCTATCCCCCGGACGAAGCAAAAACTGATGGGGGGGGGGGGGCAAAAAAAAAGAGCGAATCAGCGGAAACAAAGTCCCAAAAAAAAATCGCTCATAAATCGTGGTTTTGAGACGGTGATGGAATGGAAGAAGGAGAGGAGAACCAGTTTTTACGGCCAATTTTTTCAATTTCTGCTTGGACCCCAGACAAATCGGCAACCAACGGACCATTCGTGTCGGCCAATCTTCACCGATCCATGGATCAGTTGAAGCTTGAAGCTCACACCGAATCGAAAAGATTGCCCATTTTCGGCTAATAGTCGTAGAGGGGGGGGGGGAGGCCTCCCCACAAACTACTACAACACGACAGACGAGCAGCGTCGGGTTAGGCATACGCAACGAGGAAGCGCGCGAGACGGTGAGACGCGAGACAACGATGACGGCTAGCGACAACGGTAGGAGAAGAGACGGCCGCGGTTTCCGACGAAACCATTCCGAAGCGGCAAAGCGCCGACGGAGGCCGGAGAGATGCGGAGACGAATTGAACTATCCGTTGTCTAATTGGGCATCGACTGACGGGAGATTCATCTCGATTTGGGCTCCGAAAATTTCGAGCACAACAGTTTTATGTGTATGGTTTGTCGCAACCAATCCGCAAAATATGGATTCGGCGAACATCATGACGATCGGAGGGATAAACCAGAGCTGAGATTTCTGGACGGCCTCGAAATGACCGAAAAGAAAGAGCATCGTCTGAACAAGGGGGGGGGGTGAAGCGCCATCAAAAGCGCGAACACAAGCCATGCTTTCTTTCTGCGTTTAATAAAGGCAATTTATTCAAGATGACGAGGTGAGGGGTCTCGAAGAGACTCCCAAAAATTTCGAGCAAATAATTCCATTGTCAGGACTCCAACAATATGGCATCGGAAATTGTGAGTCCTTGAGAATATTGTAGTGGCGCGCGATGAAAAGCGCATTGGGTTAAATTTGCAAAAATTTCGAAATCAATATTTCGGTGCGAGACCTCTCCCCAACGGATTTTTTTCGCGGCGGGATCCACCATCAACGCGATTCGCAGCAAGATTATCGTTCAACCAATCAGTTCGCGCCTTTAAAACGACAAATCGTTTTCAATGATTGCCAACGAACTCGCGTGCGCCTTTAAACTCGAAACGTTCGGCATAAGCGTCTTCAATTTGTTTTCAAAGTGAACGCAACGAAAAAAAAATCAATAATTTCAGCGGAATTGTTCGAATTCGCTTCGAAGCGTTCAAATTCTCAAAAACAAAGAAAAAGCGCAGAGATTTCGCTTCAAGAGCCCACAGGACTTGGAATTTGGAGGAAAAAGAATGGACAACTCTCAATCGACGAGCTTCAAGAATCTGAAATCGGACCAAACAATGGGAATATGGTAGAATTTGGTGAAGACAAGAAATGATCATATTAGACATGTCATCCCCCCACCCCCACCCCCTGAAAACACTCACACTCCCCCCCACCCTCCCCAATCAACAGGTCCAAAGAGACTAGTCAGCGTGACTTGACGAGGCAAAAAAAAAATAGAAGGCGAGCGGTGGCGGCCGATAGGGGTGCGAGACGCAGAGAAAACAAACATGGGTTTCGGACTAGAATTGTCGGCCAAAATACAAAATTCGCCCAGCGATTTTTTGCGAACCGTTTGGCCCGAATGGGTCCCAAATAATTCGTTGAGATTCCATCATGTCCCCAACCGGAATTTGCGCGGGTTTCGAAATATGGAAAAATCAAACCGGCGAAAAAAAAAACACGCACATACACACACGCGTGTATGTCAACAGATAAGATCGCGGGTTTTCCTTGGGGGTCTTTGATAATAATTTTAATTTAAATAGATACATGTGCGCAAAAAAAGAGGAGAAGCTGAAATCCGAAACATTGAGAATCTCGAATTGCCACGTTGCACATTTCTCAATTAAAGAAAAAAACGCGTTTGCCCCCCAAAAAAAATAGGAGGCCAATTCCATTGTTTCGCGAGATTCGCGCTCGACTGCGTTTTTAATTGGACCACGAAAAAAGAAAAAATAATAATAATGTGAACTCACGATAGCAAATCCTCGAGCACATCCTCTACCATCGGCACCGCGCTGAAATTATCCCCCGCTAAATTTCGGCATTTCTGAATTTCAGATATTTTAAGTATTTTAATTAAACGTTTCCAAATAGCTTAAATCGTTAAATTTCGATGTTTATGATGAGGAAAAAAAACAAAACAACAGACAAATCAACAAAGAGAAGGCTAGATATTAAAAAAAATTGTTTAAATTATTAATCATCATCGTCGAAGACGATTTTTTTGCCGCATGGCTTCGCCGACTGCATCTCCTTCTTCTTCTGCATACTCGCCGCCCAAGACGGATGCACTTCGCCTATAATTTTTTAATTAATCCCAATAATTCCAAATTTTCAAAACCTTTTTCAACAGCGCTCTTCTTCTTCTTACTAGCGCCTTTCTTCTTCATTTCGGCTACTTCTTTCTTTTCCACATTTTTCGGCCTCTTCGGCTTCAAATCCTTATTAGGCAAAAAGAATTTCGCTGCCGGATCATCGTCATCCTCTCCTTCCTCTTCTTCCAAAACTTTTGGCTTCTCAACAGCTCTAACCGTCTTCTCGACCTTCTCAATAACCCCACCATCCGACAAATTGATCGTTTTGATAACCGCTGTCGAGGGCTTCTCAACAACTGCGAGTTCTTCCTTGACTTTCTTCTTCTTTTCTCCCTTTTTCTTCAAAACCTTTTTCGGTTTTTTCACCTAAGAACATAATTCAAAACTTCGTTATTCATGGAAAACCCTCACCTCAGCTTCTTGAATAACACTTTCCAGAATCTTCTTCGCCTCATTTTTCAATTCTTCTTTCGGTTTCTTCAAAGTCGACACCCGCGGCTCATCAGCTTCTTCAATTTTCCTCTTTTTCGGCTTCAACGCCGGCCGCGTTTCGTCAACTTTCGCATTAATTAGGCCCAACAGCTGAAAATTGTCGTAAAATAGCGTGCAAGTCCGCAGTTCATCCCGACGCAAAACCACACACACACTCACAATTTTTCGCCGATTCTCCGCCGCTTTCGCCTCTTCTTCCTCGTCGCTGTTCACCATCTCAACATCAGACGTCACGTAAGTCTCCTCATCATCATCTTGCTCATCATCCGTCTCAATTTTAGGCTCCTCCTCCTCCACCTCAACGCCGATCGCTTCCATTTCCTTCTGCTCCTTCTTATTGCCCGCGTATTGCAGTCCCAATCGTTGCAGATAAAATGCGACGCTAGTGTCCCAATCGCTATATTTGGCGCGCATGCCGTCCACCATTTTCACAACAACATCCTCGCACGCCAATTTGTATAACAATCGTTGCGCCACCGGCGTTGTGCCGTCGATGCGAAGCTCATCAAACGATTTTCGATTGACCAACGCGAATTTGGCTACCGTGTCTTTGTCGACATTCTAAATCATTTCGCGAATCGATTTGCGATTTTCAGCTTCAGCCCACCTTTATATTCAACGCCTCCTCGGAAAGCCTCGCGATTTTCCGTTCGAATTCGTGCTTCTTCGTCGCATTCTTCTCCAATTTCCCTTCAAACACTTTTCTGCGTCGGACAATCTTATGCGAAACTCGCGTTTTGGCAATTTCCACAATTTTGCGCAGTTCAATCAACTGAAAATTGCCAAATTCGAGATGGAAAGGGCGTAAATCAAAAAAAATTACCTCATTGTTCAATTTTTGGGCGGTGAGCGGCTCTTTCTTTGAACTATTTTTTGCCAATTTCGATTTTTTCGCCTTTGGAGCTCGAGGAGCAGAAGCCTTCTGAACCTCACATGATTTTTTGAACGTACATTTCTCACAAATAAATTATTTTCAGGATTTCGAATAGGCATAATATCGTCTTAAAATTAAGACACATATTTATCCAGTAAAAATTAAAGGCGCACGCCTTCTTATAAAGCTCGGTCTTGTGGCGAATGATTCAACAATTCTAAAAATTATTGCCTCCCTTTAAACCGAGTTTTAAATGAATCAGATCAATTTTTTTCGCCAAAAATTACATTAAGCGAGCGCGTCGTCAGAAAGCACATGCTCACCTCCTTCTGCTCTTTGCCGGCTTCATCGGTTCCTTCTTCCTTCTCGGCACCATTTTTGGTCGAATTCATACAAGGAAGTTCGAATTCGATGACCGGCGCCGGAATATTCGAAAGATCGGCAACCTGACAACGCAAAATCATTGAAAATTTCCAGAATCCGCGAAAACCTCAAAATCCTCATCGTCAAAATCTCGTTGAGCATCATCCGCCACGCGAATCTTCGTCTCCAGCTTCTTCTTCTTCTTCTTCGTCGTCAGGGCCTTCTTTTTGATCACCTTTTTAATAACCATTTCGCTAAAAAAAATCTAAAATTATTGTGGGAAAAATGAGGCTCGTTTCGATTCCTTTGGTTTAAAGGAGCATGCAATACTATTCTCAAGGCTCATGAAACGAAAAAAAAAATAGAAAAAATGATTTAGACATTTTCACGAATAAATAAAAATGAATTTTTAAAACAACTCGAATTCGCAATTTATAATAATTTAAAGGGCAATATACTATGAGAAATTCAATCACACACAAAAAAAAACGAAGGGGCAATTCTTGACGAAAATTTGCACAAAAAAAGCACCAATCAGCAATTAAATTAAATCTAGAAAAAAAGCAACGGGAACGAAATGATTTTTGAAGTATCACAATTAATTCTGAAGGGAAGTTTTACTCGAATAAATTCAATGGGGGAAAAAAAACTCAAGGCATCCGGGATAATGTTTAAGGCATTCTCGTGGGGCGAATCATACAAAATGTACAAAAATCAAATAAATTTTGGGCAATTTCAGAAGCGAAAGAGTTGGGTTCAAAATAAAACAATAATATGAACAAACATTTAAAGTGGCGGCGGCTGATTGTGAAGAGGCGGCGGATTGAACATGCCTTCCGTCAGGTATCCGGCAACTCCAGTCGTTCCACCTGAAAAAATGAAAGAAAACCCGTTAGATTGTCAGCAGCAGGAAAAACATTTATAATCATTCAAAAATTGAAGGAATTCTCCAAAAACCTAAAAAGAGTTTGTCTCAAATTCTTGAAAAACTTTGAAGAAAAAACTTTTTCAGCATCAAAATATCTGAAATTTCAAACTTTCTATTGTTCTTTTCAATTCTTTTCACTTTAAAACAAGCATATCATTAGAAATAATCAAATGTGTGCAGTTTGGGGGTGTGTGTGAACGCACACTTCTGCAATTTCAACACCTACCTGTGATCGCTTGGGTCCTGGCTGCCGGCAAGAACAAATCGTGCCTCTGATCCTTGAACTGCACCCAAATCGGCGACTTGTCAAGAATATCCGCAATCTTCTGACCGACTTTGAGATCGAGACACGCCGATTTCAGCGCATCGACAATTTCAGCGCGAGCCGCCGCCGCATTCTCAACACCTGCAAAAAACCGATTCTGATTCCAACGACAACAACCCAATCCGATCAACACTTACCGCTCATTGAGCTGTCGAGCACCTCAAGAAGGTACTGGACCATTCCACACGAGAGCATTTGGGCGGCAAGATCACCCGAGTTCCTCTTCATCAAACATTTGAGCGCGTGCGCCGATTCGCGCATCAAACTCGGCTGCTTCTTCATCGATCGCATGATGCCGTCGATGCAGCTCAATTGCGACAACGCGTCGCAACAATATTGATTCTCGCTGAGCTCCTGCAGGATGAGAATCGCGCTTCGCGACGCCGACGTATTCTGAAGGCACATCGCCGTGCAGAATTGCGGCAGATAGCCTTGCGACGGCAGCTGATCGGCCGTGTTCGGATGATGGCGAACAAGCTCCACAAACGCTTTCGTGACGAGCTCAATCTCCGAGTTGGGTTTACTCATGAGCTCGAGCACCTTCTCGATGAGCTCAGTGGCAAAATGCTTCGGATGTCGGACCGCCCATCCGGGATTCTCAACAAACAGACGAACGAACACACCGCCGACGATCAACTCCCCGCTAATGCTATCGCCATAAGCGCACTCCTTGTCGGCCAGATTCGTCTGAAATTCTCAAACGTTCTCAAAGCGATTTCTTTTCAAACTGAAAACAATACCGTATTCCATTTAAACGCGGGATCTTTGAGGTGCTGCTCATAGAGGCGACCGACCTCCGCGTCGATGACATTCTTGACTTTGGTTCGAGTCGCGTCGTTCCAAATCAACTCCGGATTCTCATTTGACGAGTCAAACATTTGTAAGCTGAAACGATGAATTATTGCCAGTTTGTTTTTTTTCCCCTAGAATATAAATTACTAGCTGCGGACAAATTCAAGCAAAATGGAATATCGTGAAAAAAATTTGATTTCGCTTCGAGATATTTCAATGAGAGAATTCGTTTTGAAAGGCCAATCACACTATTCCTAGAGGCGCCTTTAAAAACTAGACATTTTTTTCGAATTTTCATCCAAAAACATCATTCGCTACGAGATACTAATGCAGATTTTGGGCAACAAAGTAGAAATCTTACGCGGTCGCCGGCGAATCCCGAAGAGCGTCGGCGAAAATCTCCGGCAAAAATTTGATGATAAATCTCGTCCATCTCGGACCATTCAGCTTATCCGCCTGCAATTTGGCGAGAAGCTCAGCCGCCAATAATCGTTGTCCCTGCTCGGACATCGTTTGGCACAATATCGCCAATATGTACATAAGACCGCCGTGCTCAAGCATCTCTTTGGCGATTTGACCGTTCGACGACAGTGCGATCAATATGTTCAAAATCAGCGCGACATCTGGAATTTCAACAATCTCAATGAGTCGCTTGATAATGACGCTCACTCTTCGGCTCATCTCTCAACATGGTGAACAGTGTGGTGGTGACGCCGCACGTCGCCAAATCCGTCACGCATTCCTTGTTCGCCGCCGCCAACGACAACACCCTGAGTGCGCCCAATTGAAGGTCCGGATATTTTCGGCATCGTAGGTACGCAATGAAAAGCTTGAAGTTGCCAATGAGCAGAATTTCGACGCCTGAAAGAAAAAAATTCAAAAATCGATATCTTAATAGGATTCCTTTATGAAGCTCGCACAGCACATAGATATAGGGACCACTGAACTAAAGGGATCTAATCATAGCGATCAACACGTCGGAATTTTAGTAAAAACTGAACAACACAGAGGCCAAAATATTAAAAAAAAAACCTCGAACCTTTTTTATCAGCAAACGACGATCCTGTTCAAAAATTTTCAGGTAAAAATAAAAATATTCAAAAAAAAAACAAGAAAGGAATAAAACCAAGAAAATTGCAAGAATTACCTGGATTGGCTGCAATGATATTCGCAAGCGCTGTCATCGTCATATGAACCTTCGAATCGGCCGCAAGAGCGTTACCATTCGTCATCGGACCGTTTCCCCAGTCAATCTCAATCAAATCATCGCTCTGCTTCGACTTCTTCGCTGGTCCCACAAGCTCATCAGCATGTTTCGAAATGTATTCGATAAGATCGGCGGCAACCTTCTTCGGCTCCTACAAACAATTCCAATCCTTGATGCGACATTCCTTCAAAGGCAACTCACATGAAGCGGAAACGTCGGCTGCTCATTGTAAATCCTCACAAAAATGTCGCCAACGATGAGCTCTTTGGCGTGCACGGAGAGCTCGAACTCGGCGCCGAACAGCTCGCTCGAAGGCTCGTTCGATGTCCGATGTCGTTCGACAAACTCCAACACCTCCGCTCTCGTGCCATTATCCCAGATCATGTAGGGATTCTCCAAATTGCTGTTGAGGATTTTCAGAACCTAGACCGAAAATTGAAAACACCAATAGATGGAGCCGCCCTACCGCATCATTGCTATCGTGCCGCATACACCGACAAACGTACGGGGTGAGTAGAGCGCGTAGGCTATTCTGAACGCCTTCATTCGCCGGCGTGTCGTCGCGGAATCCCGCCAACGCCGCCAACGCTTCACAAGACGATCGCGCCAATGAGTTCGCCAACGATTGTTTGTTCGACTCCTCGCTGTGAGACACACCGCCTTCGTCAAGCGTGTAATCATAGTGGAACAGATGTGGTACAAGTTGCCAAAGGATTCCAGTCTAAAAAGAAAAGATGAAAAAGAAGAACCATTAATTCGCAATGGGGCGTGGCCCAATACAGTCTTTTCTCGCCGCGAAATTCAAAACTTCAAAGTCTACCTGGAACAACTGAATCTGAAGAAGCGTATCGACGGCCATCGCTCGAATACATTGCGCGGCGGCCGTCGAAAGTCTCGGCAGACTCGCAAACTGCATTAGACGGCACAAATTCCCAAAAATTGTTGGCATTTCGACGAGACGCTGACGACATCCTTCAAACGTCGCCGACGTCGCAAAACAATTGCACACGTGTATCGAAACTTGCACCGGCATATCGTCAGGTGTCGAGCTCATCGTGATCATCGGAACGCAACGATCAAACGCGGTGACCAACGCCTAGAATTGGCAAGACAACAAAAAAACAGTCAAAAATCGAGAAATTTCTGCACCTCCAGTCCATTCTCACGTCTCAATTGTTCTGCGTTCAACGCGCTGCTGATAAGCGTATAATTGGCGAGCTCAATGGCAGCCGAGAGCAAATCGCCACCACCCTACAATTAATTAATTAGCTAATTAAGACAACAAAAAATAATCTCACCTTAACAAATAGCGTTTGATCCTTCGCTTCCAAATCAATCGTTTTGATAAGCTGCGAGTAGCCCGCATATTTATATTCGGACAATTCTAGAATCGCAATATCAGCATTTCAGACAAGCATTCCATTTTTTTTTCGATTACCTTGACTATACCGACTGTAGATAATCGATTGCGCCTGCAAACAGAGCACAATGCGGTGCGAATCCGGAATTCCCGATTTCTGAGCGCTGGCGCTACTCAAATATTCATAGGCCGCATTGATTCGCTCAAACATCTCGCGTCCTTCCGGATTCTTGTCGGGATGATATTTCGCCGCCAATTTGTAGTATTGCCGTCGTATCGTTGCCGGCTTCAGGCCACTGAAAATGCGAAAAAGAAAGTAATGGCAAAATTTAAAAAAAAAGAATGTTGTTGGGAATCTCTCACTTCTCATCATTCGGATCAATATGAAGTGTCTCTCGCGCTTGCTCGATCGACATCGTCGCCGGCTTCTTCTCAAGCTCATCGTACCACGCGGCGAGGCACGACCTCAAAAACGGTATCGGATCGCGAATCGGCCAATCCGGGAATCGCTGCCGATTGCACAAATGCCGAAGATAGTAGACATGACAGAAGAGCTCATCGGTCAATTCCGGATAGTCGATGAGCGGAATCGGGCAGAATTGATAAAGCGCTTTGATGTTCGATGTCAAACGATGCGAGAAGTCGGCGACGTGAACAGCAATCCTCTCAATCAGATGCCTTCGCATCGCGGTGTTCCAGATGATCTCCGGATTGTCGAATTCGCCCAAAAACACCTCAGCGTACTTCTCGGGACCATACTCTTCGAGATAGAATGTGGCAGCTTCCGGGAGCAGTGTGGCAAGAATCGATTGTCGCGTCGAATCCAAATGCGGCTGAAATACATAACGATATAACAATCAATCAATGATTTTTCTACGAGAAACAAGATTTGTTTTTATTTTAAATTTCTAGAATGCAAAAAAAAATAAGAAAAAGCCTACCAAACTCGATCGATAAGCCTGCTTCATATGGGTATAATGCAGGAATCTCGCAATCGGAAGCACATTCGATCCATTGTACATCAATATGAAATAGAACACTCCAGAAAGATACAATCTCGGCAAGAACGGATTATCCTGAAAACCCAAATTCGTTGCTTCGACTTCACATCAACACCTCCAACCTGCATGATCAAATAGAGGAGCGAGGCGACACGCTGCACAATTTGCGGCTCATAGGTGAGAAGGAGTTGAACGATTTGATAGAGCAACACCGGCTCGGTGAGCTGCTTTTTGATCGCCGGCATCGGACGAACGACACAATCATGAGCGTCGCGCGACGGGAAGAACTCGCACATTTGGAGCATCGTGTCAAGACAGAGCACACACAAATCGGTGAAGTTCAACACGGTGGCTTGAAACGACGTCGTCGTCGACGACGACAATTCGTCGCTATCCTTGTGCTGACAAATCGTCCAACGGAATTGCGGAACCGACGCCAAACTCATCCATTTATCCATTCCACCAGCCCAAACAGGCGTCTTCTCAAAAATCTTCTTCTCCTCGTAAAGCGTTTTCATCTGAAAACAATAGATTTCAAGATTATCGACGAAAAAAGATGAACCTTCTCAAACGACACCGGACCCTGTCGTTGATTCTCCTTATCATTGTAGTACCATTCGTCCGAACCGCCTTCCGAGAGCTGTTCGGCACTCGCTTCAATCACGTTCGTCTGATTTTGGACCTTGGCACGCTGAACGTGCAAATGCGCCAAAACCGAGAAATCAACGAGAAGCGGCAGGATGTTGGAAACAATCAACTCGCGCACATTCTCCTTGTTCAGCGAGAGTTTCGAAAGAAGGAGAAGCTGAAAAAAAAATGGTAAAATTTGATGTCAATACAACGAAAATAAATCCCAACCAAATGATCTCGTTCAAGCGGATTTATACATTTGGCGAGCATCGCCACAAAATATTTGGCGTCTGAGAATGCACCAATCGTCATGTGATGCCTTGAATAGGTGATCGCCATTGCACGAAGGCACAAACATCTCATGTCAGGCTTCGATGAGAGCAAAAATCGATGGTAGACGTTGTTGAAGAATTCGACACTGAAAATTGTCGGAAATAAAAAAAAAACTATGGGATAGGTCTTGAAGTGAAGATCAAGAATTGTAGATTTACGGGACAAACAAAAGGCGCACATCGCGTCAAGACCGAATTTCCATTTTAAAAAAATCAAAATTCATAATTCTAGCCAAGAAATTGGGAAAAACACCTTACGGATTATGAATCGGCGTCGCATTCTCGTCGTCCTCGACAAGCAGCAATCTCAAATAATAGTCACCAATCTTGATTTCCTCTTGCAATGATGGATATCGAACCTGAAGTCACAAAATCATAGTCGAAATATTGAAAAAGAAAAAGAAAAAACAAATAGTTGCCTGAAATTCGGTATGATTCCACGCGATCGGCACACCCGTCGCCGCCTGCTCCTTCTCGCTGGCCAACGCCCGCGTCTCCGTGTCCATCGCGTGTCGAAACTCTTCGCGCGTCTTCTCATTCCATATCAAGTCCGCTTGCGAGTGATCGCGCGCGAATTGATAGGCGAACAATTTCCAGTTCACCGTCGGCTTGACGCGATTCCGACGCTTTCGTAGCACAACCGGCTGCTGCCGTTGCTGTTGCTTCTCGTCGACCATTCTCGGCAAAAAGTTGAGCTTATGATCGAGATCCCAATGCTGAATGAATCGCTCCAATCCGGCTTCGGCGGTTACGCGCAACTGCTCGATTTTCTCCTTCATCGCATTCTGCTTCGACTCGTTCGTCGCCGCCGTGAGATTATTCCGAGGTATCAGCAAATCCTTCTCCTGAACGGGAACCTTCTCATCCGAATCCAAATAGTTCAACAATCCGCGAGGCTGCAAATGAGAGAGGAAGAATGACAAAAATTGTGGGCATATGGCAAATTTCAAATCAAAATTACCAGACATCTCGTGAGCAAATCGTTCGCCGGCTTATTATCGGCAATCCACAAACTAATCAAGTGTCCGCTGAGCTGTCGATTCGTCATCACCCGCAAGTCCTTGCCGTTCGAGAGCAACGCCATATACAAGTGTGTCAGAAATGCGCCTTCAGATAGCGCCAACATCTGTAATTGTTCTCCATAAAAACCGCCAAAACGCCCCCATACAAAACCTGCATCGATTTCGACGTCTCAACATCGGCCTCCTCGATGATCGCCCTCATCACCATTCCAGCGCCCTTCACAATTGTCATGCTCGGGCATTGGAAAAGCTTGAAGAAGCTGCGACCGCGCGCCGAAACCAAACGAAGGATGTGATCGAAAGTGTCGCCCGACGTCGTCTCCGAGTACGGCGAGCACACCGAGAACGTGAGGAAGTTGAGCATCGAGGCGATCACAAGCCATCCCGTCGATCGATCCACGTGCGTCACGATCAAATCGAGAAGGGTTTCGATGAAAGCGGGACTGCTCATCAAGCTGGAAATTTTCTTGTTTGGTTTTTATTTTTTTGCAATGGTCCCTAAACCAATTCTTGACCCCCCCCCTCTCTTTTTATTTAAAAAAAATTCAAAAAAGTGAATTCCCCAATTTTTATACCATAAATAAGGGTTTCCTCTAAAAAAAAAAACAAGATAATCCCAAAAAATTATTGAAAATTTCATTTCTCAATTCCACATCTCCATTTTTTCAAATGTCAAACCTTTGTTTATTGAGCTGCTCAATTCTTAGCTCATATTGATCATGCATTGGGTACATCAATGCGCACAGCGCCTCAACCGTCGCATGATCGACCGACTCGGACTTCCATGAGAGCACCCTGACAACCAAACTGCCAAGCTTCTCACGAACACTACAATTGAATGCTCTAAATGAATGACCCAATGGCTCATTTCAAACCCGGTAACTTCGGTGAACGCCTGAAATCCGCTTTTCGACGCGAATAGCCGCCGCAAACACAACAATTGCGCTTCAGTTTTATGCCGATATTGCGCATCATCGGCCGTGTAGTTCTCGCTGAGCACCGCCTCAATCGCTCCAACAATCACTTTGCCCTTATTCTCCGTGAAGAAGCCCTCGTGCGATTTCGAGAATCTCAAACCCGAATACGGCACGTTCGCGTTGAATCGACGAATCATGTCCGATCGTTTCAATCCGGCTGCAACTCGAACGCATTTAAAAAAAAACCGAGATTCAGGTCTTACGCGGAGAAGCGATGATGTGCCGCATGCATTGCGATTCGCTGTCCTCATCGAGATTCGTCGTGAACGGCAAAATTCGAAGATGTCGCTCGAATCTTTAAAAATAGAAATCGTCAAAAACGTGTTCAAAAATGTTTTTTTTTTAAATCGGGGTCCTCCAATAGACAAAATTTCAGTGCAGAAAAAGGAAAAAAAATTTTCAATTTCGTATAAAAATTTGTAAAAAAACACCTTAACCCCTACCTATGACCGCATACAAAGACTTCATTATTTCCAGAAGCGCGAATGCCATCCAACAACGACGCCAGAATCAAATCCCGTTCAGCGGCGACATAAGCTCGCCCATCACCATTCTCATACTCAACAATAAACTGTTGGGGGTCCTTCTCGCTTCTAACAAGACAAACAATCTAAAAAAAATTCCAGAGAATGTCTATAGATGGAATATTCGCGAATTACATGTTTCAACGGTGTCGCGCAGATGACCGAATATGTCGCCATATCGCGTTCAATAATGCACGTCTCGCTTAGGCAAAGAAGTCGTCGCGTCGGATTCTCGTTTCGCGTCGTGATTTTCGACACTTTGAATTCGGCGTACGAGGTGAGCTCCTCGTCGCGACTACACAATCCTAATCGTGTGCGCATGAAGTCCTCGAGGCTGATCTGCTCTTTCGCAATCGGGACAACAATCCCAATATTCTCGGCCGCCAGCCGACGAATCTCCTTGACAAGGTCCTCGTAGGCGGAACACGCGAACATATGCTGTAAAGAGTCGAAATGGTTATTCCTCGAGGGTTGGCGAATTCTCGACATACCCGTCTTCTATGCTCTCCAACGTCGACGACAAATCCACCGGGGCAATCAGAGATCTTCCCAATGCTTCGAATGTTCTTATAAGGATAGCTTTGAACAATGACTCCACGATTGTCAATCTGAATTCATAAAATGCGAATGACAATTGAAGCTTCATACCTGCTCCAAACACGATGGGCTTGCTCTCAAAACCACCGGTACCCGTCGATCACTCCAGCTCTGTTTAAAAGCGTTCACAGTCTGAAAATGTTCATTCTGAAATTCGACGTACGAGCTTTTCAAACCATCGGATCGAAATTGCGTTCGGCGAATTTCGTGCTATACTGTAGACAATGTGTGAGAATCTCCGTCGTGTATTCCGATGAGAAGCGCATCGTGTCCTTCTTGCCCTTCTGCCGAACATGTATCACAAATTCGTCGTGTCGCGATTCATTTTGTGCATTTTTCGGCGATGGTTTGACGCCGAGAAAATCGGAATAGAGGAACTGCAAAAAAAATATTTTTTTTCTTTATTCGCCTAGGTAATTTGACACCAGCGCCTCAAAAATCGCATTTTCACTTGAAAATCTGAATTCTCCGCCTAAATTTGAGACAAATCACTCGAATTCTCCACTAATTTCAAGCTTCTCAGCCTTCTAATACCGACCTGATTTGTGATTTCCAGCGATTGCGGACTATAAGTAGTAATAGCCAATGTCCCAATCGAAAAAACCCTCTTATATCTGCAACAATCAATTCATTCCGCAATCGTCTCGCCCGGTTCTCAACTCACTTTCCCTTCCATGAGTGTTTCGTCACCAAATAGCAAGCAATGTCGCGATTGTCGGCGCTGAATTGAGCCATTTCGACTCGACTTCAATTGTGCATTTGAGTGCAAACGAAATCAACCCCTGAACAAATTTTTGTTGTGCCAAATTGAAATTATCGCAACAAATTAGTTCGACTAATTGTTGGCAATGAAAAAAAAATAAATCAGCCACTGGCTAAAATGAGTTGAAGTTCGATGGAGCGCGATTGCAACATATACCAACGAAGACTCGAATGCGAACGTCCGATGAATGCCGAAAACCAGTTTTTCATAACAAATCACTTCCTATTTCGAATAATGAAATGCGGGGAATATGAAACAATAAAAAAGGAAACCACTGGAAGAGAAATAATATTCGAGTTTGTGCTGCGGACAAAATATGGGAAAGCACGGAAAAAGGATTATTTTTTCGCGAAATTTTGTAAAACAAACACAATTTTTAAAATTTGGGGACTCGATATTGAACATTTTCCAAAAAAAAAAACTTTGACTCTTAAAGAAATCCGATGCAATTCTTTGGTGGTATAAAAACGAATAGAAATTTATTCCAGAAAATATTTTTCAAAAAATTTGAAAATTTCAGCCATTTGGAATTCCATGCCTAAAATTGGTGTAAAAATTGATTTTTTCGAGCTAACATTTTCATTAAAAATTAATATTTCGTGAAAAAAATTAAAAGATGAAAAAATAAAAAACAACCATTCAGGTTTAAGAAAAAAAAACCAAATTTCAGTTTGAATTTCTCAATTTTTTAACTTATTTCCCCAATTTTCGATAATTACCACAAGAAAATTGTCCACATAAAACTATATTTCAAAAAAAAATACGAAAAATTTGCCAAAAACCCAAATTTCAATTCCTAAAATTTCTGTAAAACGCGAAATTCGCTTCAATTCCATTCCATCCAATAACCTCGAGCGTCATTTCCAATTAAAACTCGGTTCCGCCACACCATTCGTTTCCCACCAAGCGCCGTGGAAAACAACACCATGGCAACCGCAATAAACACACAACAACGAGAGCAAGAGCAAATTGCGTGCTTCAAAATCGCACTAATATTCAACATTTCTTTCAATTTTTCGCCAAATTCATCAAATAAACCAAAATTTTTCGCCAATTTTCGCATAAACAAAACGATCAAATTTCAAATTGAACAAGTTCCAAAATAAATTTGTATTATTAATTGAATCTTTTTCATCTGCGGACAATTTCCAGCAAATGACGTCAAACGAGAAGGGCGATCCGAGGAAGATTTACATTCTACGGGTGGCCAGCTACCTTCTTGGGCTCAACATCACCGAGGAGAAGCTCAAGAACACACAGCCATTGGAATCGTTTGTGGATTCCAATACGAATCTTCTAGTGATCTCAAGATCCGATCAGGTACCTTCAGGTCTTTGTGATAAGAAATTTATAAATTAAAAAAAAATAAAAAATAGAGTTGTTTCAATTGAAAAATAAGTTAATTTCAAACTTTTTGGATAAATTTTTTTTATCTCAAAATTGTCCGCAGATAAATATTTACAAGATTTTTTTTTAATGACACACCACAATTCATTGCAAATAACTTTGTCGAGAAAAAAAATCTTGCAACATGCTAAAATTTTCAAATTACCGGTAAAACTTTTCAAAAAAAAACCAACGACGACATAAGAGACCATAAAAATCGAGCCAAATTGCAGAAGGTGGATCTTTCGAATAAAATGAAGTCGTCATCGCCGTCATCGAATATTCTACGGGTCGCGTTCTACAAAAACCAATCAGTTTCGCTCAACAACGACAATTACAAGTCGATCGTGAATGTGATATCGGCCAACGGAGCCCTCAATCACGTCTTTCTAAAATCTGTGCAAAATGTTGGGCGGCCGAGAAATCGATTCAAAAAAGCAAACTCAAAATTTCTAGGTTTTCGGCAAAGAATTATCCGAGGGCTCGAATAGGCAGCTCATCGCCGCCGTCAATGAGCTCGAGGAGAGCCTTTTGGCCACCGTCGACTCATCGGAAGGCAAGCGACGACTAATTATGGGTAATTAAGTGGTTACAGGTGGCGGCGATAGTCTAACGAATGAGATTCGCAGTTGGAGAAGCAAATCGGGAAGTGCGGCGAATGAATATAACGAGGCTTTCAAGAATCTACAAATGCTCATTGATACGATGCAGGTAAAGAGGATTACTGTAGCGCGCTTTAAAATAGCTAAAATCGCTAAAAATTGCCTAATTTTCACCAGTTTCAAATGAAATTCCTTCAATAATCTTCGCATCAATTTTTCACGACGAGTTAGAGAGCGCGTCGCGGCGAGAAACGCAGACATTCACTAGCTATCAACCTTTTTTCGTGTAGGAGCGAAAAATCGAGGAGCTCGCCGAGCTTGTCGAATGTTTTGAAGAGACGTGCGACGATCTATGGCACGCCAATACACCGTACCCTCAATCGAAAATGAAGGTGCTTCTTGAATTGATGGGTATGCACCTTTAAATAATTATAATTGATGGCTTTTTTTTTTCAGCGTCGTACCTCTGCGATCAAATCAGCTCGAAAATCGATGAGAAGGGCATTTGGCGCGAAGACGGCGTCACCGAGAAGCTGCTCGCCGGCATCGACGTCTGCGAGCAGATGCTCTTCACGGTGAAGCTGCTCACCTCGCAATCATGGAAGAGAGCATCGGATCACGTGTGGGAAGGCAGCGCGATCGACATCAAATATCTCGCCGCGTTTCGCGATCGTCTCGATGAGATCGTCTCGCTGAAATCGCTCGGCGCGCAACTCGAAGAGCTTCTCCAGGAGAAGGGCGTCAAAGAGGAGATCGAGAAGACGATTGAGACGTCGATGCGCGGAATGGCGCCGTTGGCCTACAATCCGTTCACCGAGCCGAATTGGAAATCGCGAGTTTTGGTAGGAATCGGGTCTCGACGCGCAAATTGAATTTGATTTCTCACAGGTCGCCGAGCGATCAATTGAATCAACCATCGATAGGACGATTCCAATTCTCAAGCAAAGATTGACATTTTCGAATGGTGATTCTCAAAATGTAAATTTTTTGCGTTTCATTCCTGCTTTCTTCTTAAAGATTACCAACCTTCTAGATTGTTCTGAGTCTCGAAAAGCTTAAAAGTTTCCTGTGCCGCGCCAACATCAAGGAGAAGCTGCAATACGAGCGCGAGACATTCCTCGCCAAACTCATTTCAATGTTGTCGACGAAAAGCCAAGAATTCGACGAGAAAATCAATCAGGTCGATGTGAGAAGCTTTCAGTTTCTCACCGAAATCGCCGCGAAAATTGTCTGGATTCGGCAGCAGACGTCGCAGGTTTTTTTTTTCAGATGGGCTCGAAAAATTCGCAAGCGATTTTGCTTTTTCTCCAGATGGAAAGTGTGAAAGCTTTGAGCAAATCGATGCTCGACGACCTTTCGAATTACGCAAACTTCTCGAATAAAGTCGACGAGTTCATCGAAAGACTTCAATACGCGGAGAAGGAATGCTTTGATGATTGGTTTGAAGCTGAAATCAAACATTTCAAATCATCTGCGGACGATTTTCCAGGTGCCGGGAGACAATATACCTGATCGATGATAAAAATGACTCGATTGCCTTGGAAACGACGGGAAAAATTATGATATTGGAATCGTCGAATCGTGAATTGAACGTCAACTATTCTGATAGACTGTTAAGGCTATTAAAAGAAGTAGAAGCTTAGATAAAGCTTCACAAAAAAATCATTTTCGCTTTTAGGTTCGTCAATTGAGCAGTCTTGGCTTCAACATACCGTCAAAAATTTTAACATGCGCCAATAATGGTGAAAAATACTTCAAATATGGTGTGATTTTGAAGCAAATCGCCCATTTTTACAATACAATTGATCAGCAGATGATTCCGTCGCAGCAGGTTTTGAAAATTTGAATGAATAAAATCATCATGTTGCAATTTTTTAGTCGCTTATGCTCGATGATGCTATTGCATTTGAGAAATTGGTGATTCCACGAAAGGATGCTTCAAATAGCGCCTCAAAAGTCACCTGGAACGAGCCGAAACAGCTCGAGGAGTTTATTAAGCAACTTCAGGACGCCGAACAACGCCTATCCAATAGGAATCGAAGGCTGAGGAATGTGCATATGGAGCTTATTGAGTTGGTCGAGAAGCTCATGGATTTGAATATTGTTAAACAGAGTAATGAATGGAAAGAAATTATTGTTAAAATTCGATCAAAGGTGAACAACAAATTATAGCATTGATTTTTTTTTAATTTTTTTAGATGAAAGAAGAGGAAATTGTGCATGGTGCATCGAAAAAGAATATGAAGCCATGGCTGATACATTGGGATTTTCAATTGTATAAGGTTTAATATAAAAATTGAAAAAAAAAAACACAAAATTAATTTTAAAAAATATATTTAAAAAAATGAAAGTACAGTACCGTTTTCTTCACAAGAGTTTCGACAAATTTTAGCTTGCGCCTTTAAGATTCTACAGTAACTTTTTTAACTGGATTTTTTCCGAGCTCAAAATAATTCTAAAAATCCCATTTCAGGCATTATTGGTGCAATATGAATGGGGGATTGAAAGTATTCAATCACAATTGGCACCAATCGCTGTGCATATCGTCTTCGCGTAGGAGAAAAACACCCAAAAATTGGAAATTTCCATACGAAACTTTTCAGCGATCAAAAAATCCAGCTAAGACCAACAATCGAGGAGGTTCGAGCGAAATATTACAAAGAAATGTCGAAATTTCTTCGAATTCCCGACCGATTTCGCGGAGTTCAAGAGGACGAATCAGTTAATTTTCCAAAGAAAAAAATAATAATTTTTTCAAGCGCTTTTTACAGAATGTCAAATTTTTCGCGCAAATGATTGATCAAAGTATGCATTTATTGCCGACAATTTACGAAAAAGCCGAGCAATTAATGGAAAAAGTCGCAAATTGCGATCAAATGTTCGCGGTAAATTGAAAAATTTTGAGAATTTGAGAAAATCGTCGCGGCTTTCAGGATTGGCTAGTAATTGCCCAAGTCAATCTCGAGGAGCTCATCGAGGAGAACCTCAAAACCGCTGCCGATTGGGAGGCACAATTGAAGATTCTGAAGGCGAAAGCGAGAGAGGCCGAACGTCTTCCACAGTAGGGGGGAGGAATCGAGTTTAAAGGCGCATAGCTAACACAATTTCAGCGAGCTCAAATTTGAGTGCATTGTCGTGAGCACCGCCGGCGTCAAATCGGCCATTGAGGACGCCATTCAGCGACTATTCGACACATTGACATGGACGTTGAGGTAAAGCGCGCAACCCGGCGACATGTCCGCAGCATGAATTCTAGGCACTCAATCTCGACGACGTCGCAATCCATCAACGCGTTTCTCACGCAGGCGATCGATGTGCTCTCGACGCGTCCGCAATCCATCGATGAGATCGCCGAGGCCAATTCGAAGCATACCGTATTCGCCGAAACGAATCGAAAGGCACATAAGCCGCATTAGGTACCACTGAAATTAATGACTGAATTGCAGCTGAAAGAGGATTGGAAGATCATGGAGGAGCAGCACACCCTGTTAAGGTCGGTCGCGGGAACTGGTGTGGACCAATTTGATAACTTGGAGCAAAATTGGGATCGGTTTGAGCTGATGCTTGACAGCCATCAGCTAATGATCAAGGATCAGGTATAGATCCAGTGATGGATTCAATTATGCGGTCTTTCAGGTGGAAGTCCTTAAAAGTAATGTCGAGACGAATGTGAAAGGAATGAAAGACGAAGCGGAGAAGCTGAAAGCGCGCTGGGACCAATTCAAGCCAAGAACGGACGCCCTACAAGGCGATCGGTTTGGGGCCGCTGATTTCAAAGCAAAAAAATTGAAAATCGTTTGGAATTTCAGAGAGCAAATGCTGAAAGCGATTCAATTTATTCGCGAGAAACGCCAACAATGGCAGGAATTGGCGGACAATCGCGCCAAAATTGAGTAAGCTGTTCTCTTTTCGATCGAGACACATTTCTGAGATGGCCGATTTCAGAAAAGAATGCGAACAATTCGGGCTGGAATTGCCCGAAACTACCATCATTGATGAGATCGATGAAGATATCAAGCAATTCGAGGACAATTGGCTCATTTATGAGCTATTCAATCAGGAATTGGACGCGCTCGCCCAAGAAGAATGGATTGTGTTCAGGTTGTTGCAAAAGAAATTTACTTTTTCTAATTTTTAACTTCAAATGATCACAGTTTGTCATATCGAAACAAAAATAATTATAAAAAATAGAATTATTGCATATATTGAAGAAGCATTGGATAAAATAATCGAATGATGTACATAAAATGATAGAAAGATAGCATTTTGTTAAAATGAAATATCTATTTAAAAAAAACAAAAAAAAGAAGATCAATCGGAAAAATAACTAATTTTGTTTTCAATCGGAATCGAATATAAATTAATATATTTCAAAGTATTCCAAAATTTCAAAAGAAAAACGATTTCAAGAATCCGCCTAATTTATATTTCATTTTTCTTAGAATCCGATTGATTTTAATTAATTGAGCAATTGGAAGAATTTCAAAAATGTGTGCAATTTTGCGTGAGTGTGTATGCGTCTTTTCCGTTACATTTTTTTTTTGAGCTTTCAAAATCAAATTTCCAGAAGCAAAACCTATCTATTCGATGAATTTCTACAAAAATGGATGGAAAAACTGAAGACTGGAAGCCAGACGCATATGAGCGTACGCCTTCTGAAAGACGTCGAACAGTTCAAGGTAGATTCTTTCACATAGTCTCGTCAACGTCGTCGATCTTCTAGGAGCTCAGCAGCGCGCTGAAATTCTGCCGAGGCGACGTGCTCAGCGCCGATCATTGGCACGAGATGTTCAGATTCCTCGGTCTTCCCCGGTAATCAATTCATCGAATCGAACCTTCTAGACAAATGTCGAATGTCCTTCAGAGGCACGACCATCGAGAAGCTGAAGCTCGCCGATCTCCTCTCAGTCTCAACCAACATCCTGGCCAACATTGACCAATTGAAGCAGCTCAATTCGCGTGCTCAAGGCGAAGTGGCGATTCGAGATGCCATTCAGGAGCTCACCCTATGGGCGGCTCAGACCGAATTCAGCCTATCCGACTACAAGCATTCGAACGGGCAGAACGTCAAGATCATCAAAGAGTGGAAAGAGGCCATCAATTCAGTATTCAATCCTAGATCATTCCTCTAAATCTCTTATTCTCTCATTTAGGTGAAAGACAGTCAAGCACTTCTACAATCGTTGAAATCCTCGCCATACTATTCGCAATTTTCGGATAAAACAGCGGTGTGGGAAACCCGGTGAGTCGTCCGCAGCATGTCTCGGTGAAAACACACAACACTCGTTTTTTTCTTCTACAGACTCGCCGATTTGGACATTTTTCTCGCTCAGATGAACGACATTCAACGCAAATGGATCTACCTGGAGCCGATTTTCGGCCGCGGTGCACTTCCGTCCGAAGCTTCGCGATTCTCACGAGTTGATTCCGAATATAGAGCGATTTTGAACGGTTGGCTTTCCGATTTGTTTTTTTTTCGTGGTCCCTAATATGGTAGTTTCAAGATGTTTCGAAAGACGCGCGCCTCGTCTCACTGTGCTCACGACAATCGCTCAAAAAATCGCTGGAGCAGATTGTGGACCAACTGAATCGCTGCCAAAAGGCGCTCAATCAGTTTCTCGAGCAGAAGCGAAGCACATTCCCGCGATTCTATTTCATCGGCGACGACGATCTACTAGAGATTCTCGGGCAATCCACAAATCCTCTAGTGATCCAATCGCATATGAAAAAGCTGTTCCAAGGAATCGACAAAGTGATATTCTCGTCAAACAATGAGACAATTTCGTCGATAGTGTCCGCCGAAGGGGAAACGGTTCCACTAACGAAGCCCGTTCGAATCGTTCCGCAAGTTGAGGTAACATTCTTGGATCACACTAATCATCCATTTGTGTTTTTTTTCTCTCTCTCTAGACCTGGCTTCAACAGCTATCGGATGAGATGCGAAGGACGCTTCGGGATCTTTGCGCGAACGCCGTTGCCGATCCGCAACCATCGCTCGCCAAATATCCATCGCAAATTCTTTGTCTCGCCGAAGAGGTCAAATTTTGCGCGTCGGTCGAATCGATACTCGAATCCACCAAAGATCTCAAATCGTTCAAATCGCAACTTCAAGACAAACTCAAAACCTATACGAATATGAAGGTTGACGACAAGGTGTCGCAATTGAAGCTCAAATCGCTCATTCTCGATTTGATCCATCATATTGATGTGATGGATCAGCTGATATCGAATCGCGCCGATTCAACGGGCTGCTGGACGTGGCAAAGGCAGCTGAGGTGCTATTTGGTGAATGGCGCAGTGGTGTTGAGGCAGGTGCACAGCGAATTCGACTACACCTATGAGTACCAGGTAGCATCGAGCTTCCTTCCATCCAATCAATTTGATTCCAGGGAAACTACGCCAAACTCGTGCACACCCCTTTAACAGACAAGTGTTATCTGACATTGACTCAAGGTAGGTCCAATGTTCGCAAAAACTGCCTGATGCGGGTCCCTTCAGCAATGTACATGGGACTCGGTGGCAATCCATACGGACCGGCGGGAACCGGCAAAACCGAATCGGTCAAAGCGTTGGCGGCGGTGATGGGCCGTCAGGTGCTCGTGTTCAATTGCGACGAGGGCATCGACGTGATGTCGATGGGTCGCATCTTCACCGGCATCGTTGAATGCGGCGCGTGGGGCTGCTTCGACGAGTTCAATCGTCTTGATTCGACCGTCTTGTCGGCGGTGTCCATGCAGATTCAGACGATTCAAGGCGCGATCAAATCGCGAATGAGCACGTGCACGTTTGGCGGCAAAACGGTAAGCAAACGCCGGCCACAAAAAAAAAACAATAATTGGGGGGTTGTAGGTGCAAGTGAATCCGAACAGCGCCATCTTCGTCACACTCAATCCGGCTGGCAAAGGCTACGGCGGCCGTCAGAAGATCCCCGACAATCTCAAACAGCTGTTCCGCGCCGTGGTGATGGGACGGCCCGACAACGAGCTGATCGCGTCGACCATCCTCTATTCGGAGGGATTCGTCGACGCGATGTCGCTGGCGCGCAAAATCGTCGCCATCTTCCAACTGTCGCGTCAAATGCTCTCGAAACAGCAGCACTATGATTGGGGTCTTCGCGCGCTCAAAGTGGTGCTCGGCGGTTGCGGTGCGCTTCGGCGAGCGAGTCCGAGCAAAGAGGAGACGAATGTCGTTGTTCAAGCGTTGCTGCTCAACACGCTGTCGAAATTGACATTCTCCGATTCGGTGCGATTCAATTCGCTGATCGACGACATCTTCTCGAACGCGAACAAGGAGATGGCGAAATTCGGCGATCTCGTCGAGCCGCTCGCGCAGGCCTCGAAAGAGATGAACATCAAGTTGTCCGACAAGCAAATGGAGAAGGTGTTTCAGCTCTATGAGCAACTTCGCCAACGAATCGGCGTCGTCGTCGTTGGGTCGCCGGGAAGCGGCAAATCGACAATCTGGAAGGTTCTTCAACGCGCGTTGATCATCGCGAAGCATTCGCTGCGAGTGACGGCGTTCAATCCGAAAGCGGTGAATCGGGTGAAGCTTCTCGGCAACATGGACATGGACACCCGAGAATGGTCCGATGGTATCATCACAATGGCGGCAAGGGAGGTCATCAAGGACACCAGTGTTCATCATTGGATCGTTTGCGATGGCGATATTGATCCGGAATGGATCGAAGCGTTGAATTCGGTGCTGGATGACAATCGACTGGTAGGTTTTGACGAGTCGGCCTGATTCAATGCGAGTTTCTAGTTGACAATGCCTTCTGGTGAGCGTATCCAATTCGGATCCAATGTGAATTTTGTGTTCGAGACTGACTCGCTACAGTACGCCTCGCCAGCTACAGTATCCCGAATGGGAATGATCTACATCAGGTACTCTTCCGAATCGCCAAATCAGCATCTCGATAATATTCAGCGAAGAGGACGTCTCACCACACGACATCGTCGCTTCATGGCTCAGCTCCAATTCCGAAGATGTGCACGCCGAATTGGCGTCATGGATCGACGAGCACTTCTTCCGCTGCTTCAAATGGGCACGAACGAATCAAATCGGCGGGATCTCAAGCTTCGGGCTTCTGAGGAATGGTCTGACTCATCTGAGAGCATCGAAAACGAAAACGCACTTCCTTGTGCTCCTCTACAACGGACTTGTGCCATTCGTCGTTGATGAGAAGAAGGCCGATTTTGCGAAGAGCGTCGTCTTCCAGGGCATCTCCGTTCCGGATCCGAAGAACATCTGCTATGATGATCGCATCGATGGAATCATGACCTATATGGATTACGTGTCGCAGGCGGTGACCAAAGAGGAGATCGAACGCGAGGATCTTCGTCCGTTCGTGCTCACCGCCGACGCGCAGCGATACACCGACGTGGTGGGCTCGTGGATGCACGAGTCCAATCGCGAGAGCTTCATCCTAATGGGTCCCGATGGATGCGGAAAGCAGCAGTTGCTGAAGCACTGCTTCCGAAACGATCACGAGAGCCAATTAGCCACACTCTATTGTTCGGCGCAGTCAAGCTCATCGCATTTGCTTCAACTCATTCAGCAGAATTGTGTGCAAGCGAGCAATCCAACCGGAAGGGTCTGGAGGCCCAAGGATCGTCCCAACCTGATTCTGTTCCTCAAAAGTATTAATCTACCAGCGCCGGATCGGGTAAGAAGGGGTTGACCGAAAGAAAAACTTGATGTGAATTTCAGTATGGCTCCAATGAGCTCCTCAATCTCCTTCATCAGCTTCTGACCTATCAGGGATTCTTCGATCACAACCTGGAATGGGTGTCGATCGAGAACATCCAGTTCGTCGGCAGCATGCAGCCAATCGCCGACGGTTCGGGAAACGTGCCGAATCGCCTATTCTCGCTTCTGCGATGCGTCGCGCTCAATGAGACCGACGAAGCGCAACTCACGTCGATCTACAAAACGTATTTGGCGCCGATTCTCGACGAAGCCGGCGAGTCGAGTGCGGAGATTGTCGCGAGTCGAATGGTCGACGTCTTCCAGAAAGTCCGCCTCAATTTTCGGCAATCCGACAATATCGTGTTCTCGTTCACACCGCGCGATCTCACCAATTGGACGGTCGCGTTTCTGCGGCACGAGCTCGATTCGGGCAAACTCGACGCGGTGATCTTCTTCGAAGCGCATCGCATCTTCGCTGATCGCCTTCCGAATGAGGAGAGCAAAAGCAAATTCGAGGAAATTCTGAGGAATGTCATACCAATGTCAAAAGCGAATGGTGAGAATGATTGCGGCCATCTAAATCAAAGTCCTGAAATTCCAGAGAGTCTGTATGTGACGACGTCGCGCGCCGTCTCCGGCGATAGCAACACAGGATTGCCACTGACGCCAATCAAAATTTCCGATTTCTCGCAACTTCTCGCAAAATCGATTAATCGATTCGGTTGGAATCTCGAGGCAATCATTTTGTAATTCTTGATTCCAGAATTCGAAGTCGCCAACTTCGCATCGCCGCTGACCAATCAGCTCGTCATGTTCTGCGCGTTCGTCGATCGCGTGCTGACGTCGCCGGCCGGCAATCTCTTTTTGCCCGGTCGCAGCGGATTCGGACGTCGCGACGCCGTGCGCCTCATCGCCCACATGCACGACATCGTCGTGTTCTCGCCGATCGTCACCAGCAACTATTCGTCGAAACAATTCGACAATGAGCTGAAGAACGCGATCACTCATGCAGTGAGCAATAATGAGCACGTCATGTTCATTCTAGAGGATCATCAAGTTCGACAAAGCGTCTTCCTGCAGAAGGTGAACTCCCTTCTCGCCAGCGGTCAGATTTCAGGACTGTTCACCCAGCAGGAGTTGGATGGGCTAGCGGCGCTGGTGGCAGAAGCGGCCAGTCAAGCATCATTCGCTGGTCCCTTACAACAATATCTGGCTCATAGTAAGTCTCTATGGATAGGAATGAATTGGATGTGGATCATTTCAGGGATCAAGGCGCTTGTTCACGTTGTGATCATTCTCGATGTTGATTCAGAGGACTTCAACTCCGACATCGCGCAGAACCCGTCGATTCTAAAACACTGCAACACCATTTTCGGTTTCGGCTTCGATCGCGATTCATTGAATACCGTAATCCAGTTCGCCGTCAAGACCAACGTGCTAATGTTATGATTGTTAAGATTCCAAAGTTGTTGCTGGAGAAGCACAAGGTGAACGCGAGCGACGCGGTGCTCACCGGCTTCAGCGACATTCTCGTCAGCATTCCCGTCGAGCTGTCGTCGCAACCAATCCGCTTTCGACAATTCGTCGAGAACTACGTCCGAATATGCGATGTGAAGAAGTCGACGCTGACGGTGCGGCTGAATCGTCTTCAGGTAGTCGCTTGAGCGCATTCGAGCGCATATCGATCGATTTCAGGGCGGTGTCTCGAAATTGAACGAGGCGCGCGAAGAAGTGGCGAAGATGCAGAAGAAGGCGGCGAAGCAGAGCAAACTGCTCGCCGAGAAGCAAGCCGAAGCCGATGAAGCTCTTAAAGCGATCACGGAGAGTATGAGTGTAAGTATCATTGAGAAACCAAGATTTACGCATTCTTCAAGGGCGCCGAAGATCAGAAATTGTCGATGGAACAGTTGAAAGAGGCCACCGAGAAGGAGAACATTCGAATCGAAGAGCAGAAGGCAAAAATCGACGATCAGCTCAAAGAGGTGCAGCCGATGATCGAGGCGGCTCGCAAGGCGGTCGGCTCGATCAAATCCGAATCGCTCAGCGAGATTCGAAGCCTTCGAGCGCCGCCGGAAGCCGTTCGAGACATTCTACAAGCGGTGCTCCTCTTCATGGGCATCTTGGACACCTCCTGGGAAGCAATGAGGAAGTGAGAAGCCAATTTCAGATGATCCTAGTAGTATATGATTGCCTTTTCAGATTCTTGTCGAAAAGCGGTGTCAAAGATGAGATAATGAATTTCGATGCGCACCGAATCACGAATGAGATGTACAAAAAGGTGTCGGCGTTGGTGAAGCAGAAGGCGAACTCGTTCGAAGAAGCGGTTGGTTGAAGTGTCGGCAGCCAATGAATCCAAATTGCAGACGGCGAAGCGCGCGTCAATCGCTGCCGCTCCACTCGCGGCGTGGGTGAAAGCGAATCTCGAGTATTCGAAAATTCTCGAGAAAATCTCGCCGTTGGAGAATGAGAAGAACAAATTGATCAAGTCGGCGAGACGACGCAATCGGACCCCCTAGTTGTTGTGTTTTTTTTTTTTTGCAGGAATCTGAAAAAGGCCGAGAAACAAATGGAGAATCTATCGAAGGGTCTTGAAAGCGTCGATGAGGTGGTGGCGGATTTGAAGAAGAAATTTGAGAATCTCATGAAGGAGGCGACGCAGATCAAAGTGGATTTGGATCGCGAGAACGTTCGTCCGACCAATTCCGCCTATTCTCATCAAACGACATTGTAGGCGACGATCGAGGTGGCTGGAACGCTTGTCGCGAGTCTGTCAGGCGAATTCGAGCGCTGGAAACAACAAATCGAGACGTTGGGCGGCGAGCAGGCGAAAATCGAAATATCGGCGCTGATCACCGCGGCGTTCGTTACCTATCTCGGCGACTGCAGCGAGAAGACGCGTCAGAATGTGATGAAGTCGATTTGTCAGATGTTCCAGATGGTCGGCTTCAAGCCGCTCTCGTTTGCCTCGCTCGAAACCGAACAGGTGGGGGGTTGAAGGCAATTGCGCTCTATTGAACTAACCTGACACCTAATGAAGAAATAAGCGAATTTCCGTTGTTGAAAATGGATAGATCAAATCTAGGGACCATTAATTGCAGCTCAACTGGAAAACCAAAGGCCTTCCGTCGGACGTTTTGTCTCTGGAGAATGCCATGATTCTATTCAACACCGATCATGTCCCCTTCATCATCGATCCGTCAGGTAGTACACCTGATCCATGGATCATTGCAATCATGCTTGAGATTCTAGGCCAAGTTCCCGTGTTCCTCAGCAATTACATTGAGAAGTCCGAGGTTTTCAAATCGGCTCAATCCGATCTGATGACGCAAATCGAGTTGGCCATCCGATTCGGCAAAACGATTCTGATTGATGATGTCGTCGATGTTGACCCGACGCTGATGCCAATTCTAAGACGCGAGTTGACATCGCAGGGTCCCAGACAGGTTTGGCGAGGGGGACCATTTGAATTCATTGGATGAAGCTTGTCTCTTTGAGGTGATCGTGTTCGGTGGCAAGCAGATCGACTACAATCCCGACTTTCGTTTGTTCATTTGCACCAGAGACGAGAAGGTGAAAATCCGACCGAGCGTCAAGAACCATCTCATCATCGTCAACTTCACAACGACCGTCAGCGCGTTGTCGGCGCAACTCCTCGGCGTCGCAATTCATTTGGAGAAGCCCGAGCTCGAGGAGCGCTCGAGCAGTTTGTTGCGCGACGCCGAACTCAAACGTTTGGAGTTGGAGAACCTCGAGCAGCTACTCCTCCAACAATTGGCGTCGTCGCAGGGCAATCTGCTGGCGAACACCGACCTATTGGACTCGTTGAACAAATCGAAAGAGAGCTCCGAGACGATTAGTCGAAGTATTGCCGAGAGCGAGAAGCTGCACAAAGAGCTCACAATGGTGAGTCGAGCCCGATTCGCCCATTATTGTCGTTTTGCAGCAAAAGGAGATCTATGTGCCGCTGAGTCAGTTCACCTCATCCCTCTATTTCTCATTCTCAAACCTTCACCATCACAATCAAATGTACAATTATAGTGTGAACACGATCATGAAGTTGTTCGCGAAAACGCTGAAACAGTGCAAGGTTGGCTGAAATCGATCGATCAAAATTTTCGAGACGCGCCTTTAAATTCAGGACACCTCGTCGACGCGCGTCGAGACGCTGGCGCGCCAAATGCAGCTCACCGTGTTCTATCATGTGTCGCGCGGGATATTCCGACAAGATCGCCTCATGTTCGCCGTCGAGTTTCTCAACGCCACCATGCCGAAGTTGTTTCAGCCAAAAGTGCGAATGACGGCAACACACGCAATTTGTTTGTTTGTTTGCAGGAATGGGAATTGTTCACCGGTGTGCTTGTCGACGACGACGCCTCGTCGCAGAATCTTCGCGTCGCGTGGACGCCGCCCGAACGACTGCCGGCATTGAGCAAAATCAAGGTTTGTCGAAAGGAATCGTCCGCAGATCGATTATCCATTCCATTTGCAGACGCATCTTCCCGCGTTGTTCGCCACCCTTCAGATCACCGACGAGGCGACATGGAGCGAGTTTGGGAAAACGTTGCAATGCGAGACGTCGTTCCCATCATCCATCGACAACAAACTCACCTACTTCCAAAAGGTGCTTCTCATTCAGGCGGCGAGACCCGATCGCCTCTACAATTGCCTTATGAATTTCGTGCTGCAGACATTGAGTGAGTCTCGAATTTTGTCGGCAGATCGATTCAATGTTTCCAGACATCGCCAGCATCAATCCGCCGGCGTTCAAACTCAACGAGATCTACGAGGAGTCGGACAGCAGTCAGCCGATTCTATTCATTCTCGCCGACGGTGCCGATCCGTCGCAGGAACTCGCCGAGCTCGCCGCCTCGCTTCGAATGAGCTACACATCGATCTCAATGGGACAGGGACAAGAAGCGGCGGCGATCGAGGCGATTCGCGACGGCGCCAACAACGGCGGCTGGGTGTGCCTCAACAATCTCCATCTCATGCTCGCCGCGATTCCGTCAATCCACAAAGAGCTCTCATTGTTGAGCCGACACGACAATTTTCGGTTGTGGCTCACCGCCGAAGCCGATCAGCGATTCCCGACGATGCTTCTTCAGCAAGCGCTGAAAATCACGTTCGAGCCGCCGCCGGGCGTCAAGAACAATCTGTTGCGCACGTACACGCAGATCGAGAGCGTTCCGCGGCCGGTAATCACGTGCCAATCGATATTTGTGCTCGCCTGGCTCCACGCGTTGCTCCAAGAGCGACGAACGTTCATTCCGCAGGGTTGGACCAAATTCTACGAGTTCGGCGCCGGCGACGTCAGAGTCGCCCGCGCGTTCATCGAGCAGCTCACCGCGAAAAGTAGTCACTCAGTTTTGTTTCGCTATTCGACAAGTGTTTGCAGAATCCGATTGGGAGTTTGTGCGCGGAATTCTCAAGTTCGTCATCTACGGCGGCATCATCGAGAATGATTTCGACGCCAAAGTTCTCGATTCCTACATATTGACATTGTTCAACGGTGAGACGTTGAGCGGAAGACCGGGTCAGACGGTGGCGAAAGGCATCGAGATTCCAGCGGCTCAGAATCTTGAGGTAAACCCGAACAATCGGTCCACGCAACCCTCGCTCCGATCCTCGTGATTTTTAGGATTACGTGGCTCATGTGATGAAGGTCGTTCCCGCCGTCGACGAGCCTTATCTGTTCGGTCTTCCCGAGAACATCAAATACTCATGGCAGATCGTTGAATCCGAACGGGCCATCTCGTCGATTCGAACCCTAGCGCTCGGCGGCTCGTCGATATCCAACGCTCACGACGCGGTTGCCCCAATCATAGCGCTTTGGAAGAAGTTGTGCACGACCAGCGGCGATTTCCACAAGATGCAGGTATAGCGATCCAGTTTGATCCGCTCCGATCCAATCCAATTCCAGCTACCCGAGGAGAGCAAGTCGGAAGACGCGATTGTGCAGGTCCTTTCGCTCGAAATGATCAACGCTCTTCGAATCGTCCAAAATGTGCACAATTCGCTGAAGTTCGTCTCAAAGGCTGTCAAGGTGCCCAGTCTGGCGTCGTCGGCAACCCGCAAGACGATCCAATCGCTAGTTTTACATCAAACACCCGATGAATGGGATCTCGCGTGGAGCGGACCGCCTGATCCAGCCGACTATCTCAACGCGGTGATCCGAAAGACGCGCGGAACCCAACAGGTTAGGAGTCGCGCAAACGCAATGTCCGAAATTGGACCCTACCTCTATTACAGCTACTCGCCACCGCCGAATCGGGAAGCCTTCTCAGCCATCCCATCGACTTCTCCGATCTGTTCCAGCCGAACGTCTTCCTCAACGCTCTACGCCAGACCACAGCGCGTCAATTGTCGACACCAATGGATCAGCTTTATCTATCATCGGCGTGGGACGCCTCGCAACTTCCGCAAAAGCAGACGATCCATGTCAAAGGACTATTAATCCAGGTAGGATTCGAATCAAGAAAAATAAATTATTACCGCGTTTCATCTCAATTATTAAGGGCGCCATATTCGACGGGTTCTTGCGCGAAACCACCGTATCGAGTGCCGTGTTCGCGCCGGCGCCGCCCCTTTTCCTAGCATGGACCGCTCAGGCATCGTCGACAATCAACGGCGAACAAGTCCAAGTGCCGCTCTACACGACTTCCGAGCGTTCCGATCTCATCGCGACCATCTCGATGCCGTGCCGAAGTGCTCATCAATGGAACATCGCCGCCGTCGCGTTGTTCTTGAAATGATCTCCTCAACATTCGAACAACATTGTTTTATTTTGTCTTGAATGAATGCCGAAGAATTAAAATAAACGATGAAACGAAACGAGAGAGAATAATTGAATCGGACACACAAAACGAGATGAAGAGGATGAATATAATAGGCTCGTCGTGCTCTCATTATTACAAGAACAGACGGCGTTCGAGAGCACGGCGACGAGTGTAAAACATGGAATTCTCTCGTTAGAAATTGGAATTTTTTTTGGTTTTTGATGTTTCCGCCTTAATTGATACCAAAATTGTTGTATTGGCTGCCGGATGGTTGGCCGTTGTTGACCGCATTCTGATTCTGTTGCTGTTGTTGAATAGCGAGACCCTCGCCATAGGCGCTCGGATGGATCTTGAATCCGTACAATCTACAAAAAAATAAGACGAGGATCAGAATGCTATTCGCAGCTTCTCATTTACTTTGGCACAAATTGAGTAACGGGTTTTCTTGGGCGCAAGTCCGGATGAACGAAGAAGAGCATGTGCGGGAATCCGGTTCCGAAATAGCTTCCGTCTGTGTGCTGATGGCGTGATGATCTTGGCACAAACCTGAAACAATCCAAAAGGAGCCATTATAATATTATCCAAGAACTCGGGGCCGCTTACACATCGCAACATCTTGGGCAGTACAATTTGACCATCGCCTCACCAGGAACGTCGGACAAACCTGAAATGAATGTCAAACTTATTCGAATTTCGAGATGAAGCGCAAACCAATTGGAAGCATCGGCTGATTCTCGCAATAGACGCGCGGACACACACCGAAATCGTGATCACGCCATTTCTCAATCATCTACAAATGAAAAAAAAAATAATAATAATTGACGGCGATTCTCGATTACCTGCGAGATTCCGCGATTCGTCAAAATGTATCGGGCGTGAATCAGGCCGTAGAGCATCTCTGCGGCCTGCTCGACGAGATCGGTGTTCGCCGAATTGTCCTCGAGTTCGTCCTCTGTAAAATCAAGCATTGGGTCTGCAAAAAACGCCAAGTCTCTATTAATCGAGAACGTTAGGTGGGAGGGAATGGGGAATTTGCGCGACGAAGCGATTGGGTTAGATGGACGCACCTGGTTCAAGATCGAGAATCATGTCGAGCGCCTGACGATACTTCGGCACCTGCTCATTGAGACCGGTGAGATTGAAACGATCCTGAATGTACTCCTCATCGACCTCGCAAAAGAACTCGTTGCCGCGCAGACCGCAAAACCACGTGATCCACGAAACCTCTTCGGAGCTGCTCATCTCTTCAGATCCCGACAATACGATGCTTGCCTCGCGTTCAGAGCCAGAATCGGTCTGAAAACCCACAAGTTTGTTGAAACGGGGCAAATATTGGTTTTAAAAAAATATTACACACATACAGAATATTGATTCAACTGATGCCAGCGAGCAGAAGCCGTGGCGATCACTTCGACAAGTGGGCAAAGCTGCGTGCACGGCACACAACTGCCTGCAAATCAAATGTTAAATCAAAAACCAAAAAAAAAACAAATAATGAATATTCGAAGGGAAATGTCTCCATAGTAACAAGTACACGTCACAGGTATTTTCAACAAATAAAAATCGCAAAAAAATGGAGCGAATCATCTCGAAAGTCGCAATTTCAACGTTTTAGGCCAATTCGGCGAGTTTTAAGCCAAATCTTTCGGCATAACTGTGATGAAAGAATGTCTAACGTTGCGAAAATCGCCAGAATCCCTGATATTCGAGACAAACGCGCGCCGAACAACGCCGATGGCCAAAAACGACGCAAAAACTAGTCGAAAATATGCGTGTGAGTGTGTGCGGGTGCACGAGAGCGCCGCTGCCGACGGTTGGCAATGGGGCGCGTTTGCAACGCGCGCGCACAAATATTCGCACTCAAAATCAATATTAGACAATTTTATCGAATAATTCTACAATTCAACGCGGAGGGAACCCGGGGGTTGTCAATCAATCAATATAAACTAGCAACATTTCAATATTAGAACGAAAACGTGAAATTATCATCGTAGAAATCGATTTTATGCATTGTTTCGCGACGATGCGCTTCAGCCGCCGCGTCGCTTAATTCAACATTTCGAACCCATTCGAGATTCTCATCGTTCGTTACCGACTCGCGAATCGCCATATCATCGTGTTGGAATATCGCCGAAGCGCCGCTCGGGAGGCTCAAGCTGCGCTCAAACACATTGTCGGGCCAGTGGGCTTCGGCGCAGCTCTCGTCGGTTACAACGTAGGCTCTCATCAGGAACTCGTCGATGTCTTCTGAAAAGGAAAACGTTTGATTTTGTTTCTCTTTTGTCGCCTTCAATTCAAATTTCGATGAGAACAATCGCGAAAACCCACCATTATTGAATCCGGCCGGTGTGCCCCTCAACCAGCCGGTGCCGCGATGCACCGGCATCGTCGGAAAACAGAAGCACTGTTTGCGGAAGTTGTCGAACACACAATTCGCCACCGCGTCCGATATCTGCATGTCGGTGGCGCCGGAATGCTCGACGAGCACCGGCGCCGAGCCGAGCTCCTGCGGCACGCTAACAATCGCCATTCGTCTCCGCTTCGAACATTCCTCGTCGCGATGCAAATCGACAATCGGCAACAGCACAAAATCACCAAATTCCGTGTTGAGAAGCGCCATTCGCGTGTTCGGATCGATTAATCGAAACACGGTGATGGCCGACGCAAAATTGGCGCATTGGACGAGCCAAAATCTGAAAATTTTCGCGTGTTTCGAGCACACAACCATAACGCCAAAATCTGGCTTCGCACTTGACACTATCATTATACCAGGTGCGCAATTTATCAATCGCCTGGCCAACAGTCTCATCATCTTTATAGTACAGGGTCTCATCGACGGGCTCCGCGTTGTAAGTGAACAATATTTGACAGTTGAGTGTTTTGAATTCTTTGGCGTCCATCGCCGGATGGCTGCGAAGCACTTCCGGCGAATATCTGGAAAATGGACATTTTCCACAAAATTACGGGTAAGCAATTAAAAAAAAGCTAGCGACGGCACTCTAAATTTACGGAGTAGTCGTAATAAAGAATATTTCCAGTCATTAATGCCAAAAAATCGAGTAAATGTCGAAAAAATTTGGAAGAAACAACGATTCGCCAGAAAAATTTAAGCAATATTTTTTTAAAATTGCTTTGACTCGAAGAACTCAGCAAAATTTCGGCAATCTTAAAATTATTAAAAATTATTGCATTCCATGTTCTTCAAAAATCGAAAAATTGCCAATTCTGATACCTGATTTCCGGAATTCGGCCATCATTCAGATGATGGCGGCTTCTGAGAAGGAATTGCGCGAATCTCGTCAGATATTCAAGTTGGTTCGTCTGGTTCATTTCGACGAGCATCTCGTTCGCCGAAATCGCGTCCGCCTCCAAATCGGTGTTCCTATTGATGCATTGAAGAATGACGACTCCCATCGCATAATAATCGATCTAAACGCGTTCGTCTCGAGAATTGTGCGGCGGGCTCGCGAACGAACCTGTTTGTCGAACGCGAAACTCGTTCCGAATTTTCGCGGCGCGTAAATCGGCGCGCCGCACTTCACGTCGACGGGCTCCACCGATTGTTTGAACGTGAAATTCTTGAACGACGTCAAACGATAGATGCCTCGATGGCAGCGAATATGATCGATCGTGATGTTCTGATGGATGCCGTATTGATGGATATAGTCAAACGCTTGCGAGATGTCGCGGAACATGCTGAAAAACCATTGTTTTTCGACAGCGAATAAAAAAAAGCATTTGATCGACTCCCAACTTTTTCACAATCACTTCCGGCGAATATTCCTCGTTTTGGATGTACTCGCGAAGCGTTTCCGGATAATAATCATAAATCATTGTTATGAAACCGTTGCTTATATAGCAATCTCTCATGTAGCTGATATTGAAATGTTTGACAAGTGAGCAGAGCCATGAGCGATCGGATTTCATAAATCTCAAGATTCTAGTCGCATTGGATTCCTGAAAGAATAAAAACATTATTTTCAAGTAGCATTTTTTTTTTTCAAATATGAAACTTGCCTTTTGATTTCTTTTCGGGAGCAATGGGGCAGTAACAAGGCAATATTTATTGGATCCAACTTCGGCAATCTCGATTTTTTTCTCATTCTTCTCCACTTCCGAGCTGATTCTCAGGTTCTCGCGTATCACAATCCCAAATTTTCCATTATACTTCAAATCATGAACGTCCCACACAAACGATTTCGATTTCTCGACAGTCTCGTCGGAAACAAACTCCACCAAACTATTTGAACCTTGAAAAAAAAAACAAAAATGAAAATTTTCAACAAAATAATTGTCAAACCTTTTGAGATTTTGCCACGAAGCTTGATAACAGCTATCGGAAGATTATTAAACCTTTTGTAATGGTACAAATTTGGCGCGGTGAGACAATTGCCCTCGCATTCCCAATTACTATCCTTCATCGGCCAATCCCTCCATTTGATCTTATAATAGTACTTGTAGTATTCATTGACTCTTCGGCCGGGATTCACAACAGTGTCGAATATATTGCTATAGCTCTGATCGCCGTTGATAACGTAAGCGTTGAACGCGGTTTGAAAACTGAAAATTGGCGCCAATTGGATATTGTTTTTTTTTGCGACGCGCGCGAAAAAACTGACTCGACATGATCGATGATCTTCTCAATCGCGTACTGATCGTCGCCGCCGTTCGATTCAACCTCTTTCAGCACTCGTTTACAGCGGCGCGTGTGCGACGCTATCGGATACGAGCGCCTTTTGCAATTCATCTAGAAAATTGCGAAAATTTGAGAGAAAAATTCGAAAAATTTCGAAACTATGACGAAATCGATTGTCTACCGTAATACGGTTGCAATCGCGTCACGCACAATTGCAGATCGATTTCGAAAACACGTCTAAAATTTAAATTTTAATTAAATTTTCAAATTCCCCGCTGCAAACGCGCTTTATTGAACAATTAATCTGTTCAAGTGCATCGCATTGCAGTATCATCACATGTTTTAAAATTTTGCACGCCCAGAAGTCAAAAGACGAATCGGTTCAAACGTTCAATTGCTATTAATAAGTGCGAGGTGACAGATATTTGTAAAATTTCACTAGAAATTGAAAATGACCTTGAAAACCGATATAGAATATTTTAAATCGCGAATTTTTTTTCGTTTTAAATAGAAGGCTTCAGGTAAAAACTCAAAATTGATTGAAATATTTAATAAAACTGTTAGAGCTTCTCAAATAAGCAACAATTCAATTTTTCAGACATTTTTGTGTCAATTTGGCCAATTTTCATGAATTGCGTCAAACCCAAAATGTGTCCGCAGCACATTTCGTCCAAAAGGTCACTTTCCATTTTTTTTCGCAATTTCAAACGATGCGTCGTTGCGCGTCGAACTAGTCCACTGACCTACTTTGTGTGCGTCTGCGTTTCTCCACCATCGGATCGAATCGGATCGGATCCCACAACCAAAAAAAAAGAAGGGCGGCGAGGAGACGACGAAGAAAAAGAAGAAGAAGAAGCCGACCGTCGATTCCAGTTTCATTGCGTCGTTGCGTCAAGTAAAAAACACACTCAGATTTATCGATTCCAATTTTGTTTCATCCTTATTAATGTCATCCAACGATATTCTCAAAGACGCGTTCAACGCGACCGTCTCACGAAACTACGAGAAGTTTGTTTTCTATGAAGAAAAAAAAATTTTTTTTCGCACATCTCCCTTTAAGAGCCGTCGCCGTGATTCGCAACGCCGTCGCCAAGACGTCGCACTCGTTCTCCGTTGATCAATTGGAATTGATCGATCATGTGTATGCTTGCATTCTCAACACCTCTCATTACGACGAGAGCCTCATTGCGGTTGGGTCTCGCCGCGCCGACGCGCCTACTGTAGAATTTCAGGTGTGCTGGGAGTGGATCGAGGCGATCGAGCGCCAACCGCGTACTGTCGACTCGCGAGCCGTGTCCAGCTCGCAGTTGAGCATTTACTACGCCTATCATACGGTATGCACGAACCCGCGAGTTGTCCGCAGATCGATTTTTTGTTAGCGTTGCCCCGATTTTCGCACCAGCCAAATACCAAACACTACGCGAAGAATTGTCCGCAGCACAATTCAAACATTTTCAATCAATATTTCAGATATGTCGAGTTCAAGAGCGAATGCCGAAGCGATCAAACTACACTCAAGTCCGCACTGAGACATGGATCAAGATTACTCATAGTTTCAGGTAAAGAGACACATGCACACACACACACAGAACCTTTATTTCAGCTACCTCTGGGCAGCGGCCACCCAATTATGGAAGCCGTACGAGTTGGATCGTCTCGATATTCTGTGTAGTTGGTCGTACCTATGCCTTCAATTCGCCGACGTCTTCAACGAGGAGGTCCTCAACGTCATCGAGGTTCACATCATCATTCGCATTTTCCATTATTTTGAATTCAACTTAAATGTAGGCGTCCAAGGACAACGCGAAGAGCATTCTGAACACGTCGGTGATCATCGAGAACAGCCATCAGGCGAACCAGCGGGTTCTCACCATCGAGCGCAATTTGAGGGATTCGCGAGCGATGGCCGAGAAAATGGGACGGAAATTGGTAATTCACTTATAGGCTATTGGCTGCGGACATCCTTCCGGGCCGCGACCACATCCATCTTTTTGCAGTCGAAAAATGAAAACGCCGAAAATAAGGACAACGTCGGCGAGCACGAGCATTCAGATCATGACGACGATGACGACGAGGCTCCTGAAGCGAAAAAGTCGAGAACTGATGATAACGCTGCTGCGGACATCTAACCGGGTTCAAACCCATATGTATATAGCCAATGGTTTCTTCGGTTTTATTATGAATAGCCCGGTTGTCCATATAAAGTCTTGGTGAAATAAATTCGTCCAGTGAATTGTCCGCAGATGAAAATTGCTTAAAAAAAAGATTCGTGTCTCGTTTTGAACAAAAAATCGCAATTTTTTAAAATATCATATCTTTGCCATATTTGGCCAAAATCCAATGATCAAAAAGTCAAATTGTTGCAAATTCGATGGTCTTCAATTTCGCTCAACAAACTATACCGTAAAAATCGATAAATCGAGAGTTATCAGTGAAAAACTGCCGGCCCAAATGGTTTTGATCTACCAAACAAAAAGTTTGTGCCAATACTCTCAAAAAAAAGGTGTGTGGGTGTGGGTGTGGGTGTGAGGGTGTGGAAACCCCCCGTTTTACGGACGACGCCATTGTGATGTCATGTGATTGATACCATATCGGGACAAACGGCCGAGAAACACGCGTATCTGCGTCTCGCCGTTTCGCACGCTCTCTCGCCATCCCCAAATCTGTCACAATTTGTAAATTCGCCTTAATCAATCGTCTTTCACAATCAACATCGTCACCTCTCTTGTGTTCAATTGATTCGCGTTTTTTTGGTTCTTAATGTCTCGCCTCCCCCCCATTTTTCCGTCTTGATCAATTTATTCCATCCATGCTGCCGACGAGTTTCCGGTTCGCCTAATTAACCTTTTTTTGATCTACTACGACGCTCCGTTGCACGACAACCGCGTTTTCGATGTGTCGCAATTATTGCGTGGAAAGTGGCATCAACGAACTTCTCAATTTTCATTTTCAACAAACAATAAAATTTTGCTGCGGACAATTTTGCGGGCCAAATTTTGGGCTTTTGGCATTTTTTTTCGAAAACCGCGCGTTTTGAAGAGAAGGTTTGTTCGGAAAAAATAAAGATCATAAATTTCTTTTTATTTTTTCGCCCATTAAATTTAAACCAATTATGGTATAGTTGTGGTTTTTGGAAAAAAAAAATATCGAGACCCGGAAAATTGTCCGCAGCACAGCTCGGCTAAATAGCAGAAATTTCTCATTCAATTCGTTCGAGTTATTTTCAAATATTCAAAAACAAAATCGACAAAATCAATAATTGAGTGAACCGGATAATTGTCCGCAGCACAAAATTTATATCCTCATCGGGGGGATCAATTTATCTGAACCAAATTAGCACTCAAAACTCTTTTCGAAAAGGAAACGAAATCTCGAAACCGGAAAACTGTCCGCAGCATCACTATTATCAATTATTGATCCTATCATTCAAAGGCGCCATCACAATTTGACGATGACCGCCTGAAGGCCACAATTACAATAATTTTAAACTTCTTTCGCCAGTCTTTTTCTTGTTTCTCGACCGCCGCCCTTGAATTTGATATAGTTGTCACTGTACACCATCAAACAAACATTTTTTTAAACACAAAACGCGGTCTTCCTTATTTGGCGCCAAAAAAATTGAATCGATGAAGACCATTTCTTGTATTTGATCTACCCATGCGCCTTTAAGCCCAAACATCACAACGTTTTCATTCATGTGCTTCCTTATTTGGTTTCGCTTCCTTCTTCGCGGTTCATCAAACCATTAATTCAGAGTATTCGTTGTTCCTCTTCCCGCCTCCCTCGCTCGCCGCCTTCCCCGCAAGTTCCTCCCCAAAAATTGGCGAACATCAATTTTTTTTCTTGGGAAGCATATCTGGCGTATGACACGAAGTAAGACCTCAATGAATTGCTCGCCCCCGCAGCCGCCGTCGACGATTTCATCGTTCCAGAAGATCATCATGTGGTCGCCAACGATTCGATGTGGCATTGCGCGTCGCCGAGCACGACGTCGAGCTCAGCGGCCAAGTCGGACAATCAAAATTGGCAACACGTCAAAGTGAGGCCCGTCGCCGATGAGAACGACGTCGAGCAGACGAGAATGGTTCGTGATGGGACGCAAAATTCAAATTTTCACCGATTTGCCGCTGAAAATTTCCAACAAAATCCACCTACAGCCAACTTCTTTTTTTCTTGTCGGATTTTCCCATATTCGAATTGCAGTCGGTCGGCAGCTCATTCGTCGAGCATCACCTAACACGCGAGCAACTCAAAGACGTCTATCCCGATTCGTTCATCCATCCCGAATTTGCCGATCGAAGCGACGGATTGCATTCAGAAGAGGCCAAGTGGGGTCTAAAATATCATTGGAAAAAAAATACCATTGTGTGTGTGTGTGTGTGAAAATCGAAAAACTTCCAGAAAACGCCTCAAAGACGGCGGCCTGAATCACATCGATCCGCCGCGAGAGGGCAGCGTGTTCGCGTTCCTCGTCTCGCAATTCCATTTCAAATTCTGGGTGCTTCTCATCGGTGCCGCCATCGAGACGGCCGAAAAAATGACGAATTCGGTTTTGCAGGCGCCTCGATTCTCTCGATTATGACATATTTCATTCATATGGCGCGCGGGTTCAACGAGCCGCTCAACATCGTGTGCGCCGCGATTCTCCTATGCGTCGTCTACATCATGTGCACGCTGAGCTATTGGCAGCAGTCGAAGGCGAAAAAAGTGGTGCGCCAGAATCGACAAATGATGCCGGCGATGGCGGTGGTGATACGCGATTGCGAGGAGCAGGAGGTCAAAGCCGATGAGCTCGTTGTTGGCGACCTGGTGCTGTTGCGAGCCGGCTACACCGTTCCGGCTGATATGCGACTATTGCAGGCGAATTCGTTGCTCATTGGAAGCGGGGAAGTCACAGGTTGGGGCCTGAAATTGCAAAAACAATTAATAAAATAGTTTAGAAATAAAAATGCAACAATTTCAAAAAAAAACATTTCTTATTTAAAACTCTTTTTTTTTTTCCTCACATTTTTCTAAGAATCTTTCGATTTTCTACACTTTTTAACATTTCGAAAAATAATTAAAAAATTATTATTGCAAAAATCTGGAGAAAAACAACGAAAAAAACTTGAAAATCATAATTCAAAAAATAAAAAAAGGGGGGCGTGGCTGCGAGATGCAATTGCCGCACGGTGTTTTGCCGTAATGCGGCACGCCTCATTTTTCTCATATTTTTTTCCCAATATTTTTTTTGCTGGATGATCAGAATTGATAATCGCTCGTTTTAAGGCCATCGAACTGTAAAAGAGTACCACGCGGAGGCGGTCAGCCAAGAAACATCGGTGTTCGACGCCTGCAATGTCGCATTTATGGGCTCGTATTGCACCGAAGGCGAAGGCATCGGCCTAGTGATTCGAACCGGCAAATATACGGTGAGTTTCGTTTGATTTTATCGAGAGACCAACAATTGTAGGTGATGGGCGCAATTGCCCGATTGCACCATCACATTCCGCCGCCAAGCGGAAAATTGCATCGCGAGCTTCACAACTTCTCAACATTCATCCTATGTGTGGCAATCACGATGGCGACACTCGTCTTCCTCATCGGCTGCATTGTAGCAAGGCAATTAGCATCAAATCACCTAATTAGCATTGCCCAATTATCGATTTTAAGATTCGAGAACATCCTCGACCATTTCATCGTCGGCTTCGTCGTCATCATCGTGGCGAATGTGCCGCAAGGCCTACCGGCGACCGTCATGTCGCAATTGAGGATCATCGCGAGGCGAATGGCGCAAAAGAATATTCACATCAAGAAATTGGAGTTGATCGGTGCGTCGCGTCGTCCCGACGATCACATTCGTCTGAATTGCTGATTGCTTTCAGACGAGCTCGGCGCCGCCACCGTGATTTGCGCCGACAAATCGGGCACGCTGACGAAAAACAAAATGGTCGTGTCGGACTTGTGGTTCAATTCGCGTCTCGTCACCGGCGCCGCCGTCGACATGAAGCATCCGCATTTGAGGGCGATGAAGTCGTCGATGAAGTCGCCCGAGCGACTCGAGGAGCCGCTTCCCGACATTCTCACCGGTAGGAGAAGCTCAAAAGCAATTCGAAAATTTTTTTTTCTCTCGAAACCCCCCACTCAATTTGTCATTTTTTGTAGGATAAAAAATTGGCAAAAATTTGGATAAATGCCAAAACAAAAAATTCTCGGTATGCGCCTTTAAACCATCCTTTAGCCCGTAAATCGACACCTAATTTCGCGCCAAGACCACTGCCATTATTTATTTTTGAAACAATTTAGGCGGTTTCCAAAAAACAAGCTTCTCACTAGAATTTTTCACTGCAAAAGTTTGAGGAAAAAAAGAACAGAACAAAAATTCGTGGCGGCATCGATCCAGCGACCATTCGCGTGGAAATTCGAATAAAAAAATTGTTTTAAAAATGCGTTTTTCAAGCGCTTTTTCCATATGAAAAAGACTATAATAATTTTTTTCGATATTAAATTTTCAAATAGAATTTTTTGCGATGTGTAACACGTTGAAAATTCAAAATGAATAGTCAAAGTGTCCCACAGCGAAAACACTCGATTACGGTAGGCAATCAAACAATTAAAAGTGTCTATTTTTTGGGAATCAATGAGGCTTTCGCTGAAAATTGCTGAAAAGAAAAAAAATTTTTTTGCGTGCTGAAGAAAAAAATTTTTATGCAAGCTGAAAAAAAATTAAAAAAATTTTTTTTGCTTGCTGAAAAAAAATTTTTTGCTTGCTGAAAAAAATCTTTTTAAGCAAGCTGAAAAAAAATTCAAAATCTTTTTAAGCAAGCTGAAAAAAAATTTTTTTGCTTGCTGAAAAAAAAAAATTTTTTTTGCTTGCTGAAAAAAAATTTTTTTTAAGCAAGCTGAAAAAAAGAGAGAATTTTGCAGTGATGTCGGTGTGCAACAACGCGCAATTCGAGAATGTTCGCCGCAACATGCGGCGAGTTTCAACCATGCGCGAATTGCAAAAGAGCGCTTCCGAGGCGATGCTCAGCGCGCACATGAAGAAGAAGTTCACCGTCGTGTAAGTGCAACTGCCGAGAACGATGTCCGCACATTGATTCTCGCTATTATCCAAATCTTTTTAAGCGACACACGAACCGGTCAGGTGTCGGAAACCGGCTGCGGACGCGAAAACTCGAGCCAACTCTCATTGTCGACGATCAACGAGGAGGGCCGCCATCGGAAGTCGCGCAAAAACGAGATTTTCGGCGTTCCGTCCGACGTGGCCCTCATACAGTACGTCGAGTTGAGCGTCAGCGTCGAGCGGATCCGCAAAGGCTATCAGGTTCCCCGCCGCACCTAGATTTCTATTCAATCCTTCTGCAGACAGTCTACGAGGTTCCGTTCAACTCGGTCCGTCGATGTCAGATCGTCGTGTCGAGGGTTGTCGAGGAGGATTTGCCGCAAACCGCCGAGAAGCTCACGCCGCCAGGAGAGGTGAGATATGAATGAGATGCTGCGGACAATTTTACGGGCCAAGCCCAAATTTTGAATTCATGAATGCTTGTGTTGAGAAATTGTGAAGAAAAATTGTCGAGTCAAATTTTGATGCTGCGGACAATCTTACGGGTCTCATTTTTCAGATTTTTCGCTGTAACTCGATTCTTCGACATTTTCGCTAGCAAGTTTGTTAAAGAAAATTGAAGCTTACACAATTTTCGACATTTTCGCGTTTAGCTGATCAAATTTGAGCCAAAATTCAGAAGGCATTTTTTTTCGCGCTTTCTCTCTTAGAAATGCGTCGTTTTCGAGAAATCGCCAAAAATTTTCATGACGCTGAAATAAAACCCCATTCGATTTGTTAAAACCGAAACAAACAAAAATAAATAAATTTTGTTGAGAATGAAGCGCGATTCGTCGTGTTCGCCAAAGGCGCTCCAGAAGTGATACTCGGCATGTGCTCGCGCGTCGTTCACGGCAAAGACATTCGCGACATCGACGACGACTATCGAAATGAGTGCCAGGCAAACCACACACCAACATAATACCGTAATCGGTCGGACAAATTGTAGGCGGCTTGGGAGATGCTGGGCAACGAGGGCCGTCGCGTCATCGCGTTCGCGAAACGCCATTTCAACGCCAACGAGAGCACGAGGTTCGGCAACAACGGAAAACACGACTATCCGCGCGATTTGGTGTTCCTCGGCATGGCGGCCATCATGGACCCACCAAGGTAGGCGAGTGCTCTCGTGTTTTGCACCCGGACTCCTCATCGAAAGAGACCGGGATTTCAAAATTTTTTACCCGCGTCTCAACCGCCCCCCGAAACGGACCGCCGAGGCGTCAATTTTTTCGACCATTCTCTGCTTTGCGCTTGCTGAACCGAAACGAAGACACCGGTTTTGGTTTGGCTAATACGTTTTTGTTGAAACCGGGTGCCGAAATCCGGGTAAACACGCCTCGTCAAACGGTTGCCGTTGTCGGGGAGACGCGGGTGTGCTGCACTGCGAGTAACGCAGGAGCGGATCGTTGCTGTTCGACGGCATCTCGCCGACGGCTTTATGCAAACCCTGCTGCCGACATTCATCCGGGCCGCCGTCGCGCGCAATTCGACAAGAATCACGCGCCAAGCGTCCCCCCGCCAATTTCTTTTTTCTCGACACCAACTAATCGTCGTTCCGATCGCTCGGAACGACATCGTCAAAAATTTTCACCCGCTCTGGACCCAACGAGGCATGAACCAACGGAACACAGAACTTGGTGGTTGAAATTGCCAGGACTCGGTCTGTAAAGCTTGCGGCCGCCTAGCACCAGCCGCCGGTGGCGACGAAAAATTGGCGGCCCAAAAGGAATGCCATTCGCAGCGCCAAACCAGAGCGGAGTGCGCAGTGTCGGGGAGAATGGGCCCGACCGCGCCCAACGATCCGAAGAGATGCGCTTCGCGGCAGCGCCTTATGCGCAACCAGCTGCGGACATTGTAGCGGGCCGCGCACACGCGCATTTTCGCAGAAATGTTGGATGGCGAAAAGAAACCCGCGACTTGTCCACAGCACAATATCGCTCATTCACTTCTTTCTTTAAGGCCTGAAACCTCGGCAGCCATCGAGCAGTGCAAAATCGCCGGCGTCAAGGTCTTCATGATAACCGGCGACCATCCAACAACAGCATCAGCGATCGCCCGCCAAATCGGACTCATCGGACCATCACCACCGGTAGGAGAGGGCCCATTGAAATAATTATAAAAAAACAACAAAAACAATTCATTTATTATTAATCGAGTGATCGGAATGTTTCATTCAAGCGTGATTGTTCCTTCAATTCGATACACTTGTAGACTCCTTGACTTTGCTCGATTCGAAGCGAATAATCGGCGTAATTATGTGTGAGTAGATCAAACAGAGTGGTGATGATTAGCAATAGAGCGCACAATTCAAAATAGAGCCACCTCAACGGATAGGCCGGCACGTGCTCCTTCGGCCAAATGTCAACCCATGAGTTTCTGAATGATGCCAATTCGGTGCTTCGGACAATTTTCTGGTTTACACAATTTTGCGCAATAACTCAAAATTTTGCCATTTTCGTGGCATAATTGATTTAGTAAAAATGAATATCCTCAAATTTGCTATTATTTCCTTTTTTGATGATCAAAATTGAGTAAAACGATGAACAATTATGATAAATGTCCCCAAAAATGGGAAAAAACGCATTCCAAAATTTTACCTGAACATTTCCATGTCAATTAATATATAAGTCCAAATAATAAATTGAGTGAGGCTGTGAATGACAACGCGAACCTAGAAATCCCAAAAATATCACGAATACCATCGATTTATCAACTTACAAATGAGCTTCGACTAATCAATATCTGAATAGTGAGATCAATGAGCGCCAACGCGGCCGAGCCGATCATGAAAATGATCAAAAATCGAAGCGGCGACAAAATTTTGGTCAAATTCGATTTTTTCGAGCCATTCAAATGCCCAAAATCCATCTGAAATCAAAAATAAAACACACACACAAAAATCTCAATGGGCTTTTTTCTTTTTGTCGCGCCCAAAACTCTTACATTTAAACACGAACGCGTTCGCATTTGAATAATTTCACCGTCAAAATCGGTTTTGAGCCATTCTTGCGCGTACGATTTCAAATCGCTGGTATTGGTGTCCAAAATATTTGACAGCGACACCAAATCCTTGTTGATGACTGGCTGACTGCAAAATGTCCATTGTTTGCTAATAGGGATGAGTTTTGAATTTATATATTTTTCAAATTTTGACAATTGCTTCATATTGAGAGAAAGAGGGCGGGGCGCCACTTTTATACACAATTCCGTCGGGCAAGATCGAATGCACTCATGGCGCAGTTGGTAAATGCATTGATCACAAGGCGGGAAGTTTTGCAAGTTCGACCCCCCCCACCTTCCATTTTTTCTTTTTTAAAACTTACTAATCATATTTAATATTGTTCCTCAACTTTCCAACATCGACAACATACTCGAAGAAGTAATAGCAATTCGTTGCGCATACATCAGCCTGAATTCGGAGTTCAGAGAAGCGGGAAAAAAAAGCAAACAAACAAAAATGTTACCGCGTGAACGTTGGGCTCGAAATGAACGCACAATTGGCGATTGGCGGCGAACAAATAAGCAGCGATGGCGAACAACGCGACGAATATCAATCGGACGATGACGAAAAATCGCATTTTTCTCTTTTCTTTTCTTTTCGTTTTTCGAGTTGCCTTTCGTTTCGTTTCTTCTTCACAAAAAATGACACGTTCGTGTCGGAAAATAGACGAGAAATGAAGGGGCGGCGAGGAAAAAAATTGATTTTGACGCGTGATATGCGAAAAATAATCAATTTGTTGGATTTGAAGGGCGCCGGCGAGGAGGGCATCCGAAACTCGTGGACCGTCGTCACCGGCGATCAGCTCAAATCGTTCAAGACCGCCGATTGGGACCAACTCCTCAAACATCACAACATCGTGTTCGCTCGCACCGACGCCGTCCAGAAGCTCGAAATCGTGCAGGAGGTTCAAGCGCGCGGCGAGACGGTCGCCGTCACCGGCGGCGGTGTCGACGACGCGCCGGCGTTGGCGCACGCCAACGTCGGCATCGCGATGGGCCAAAGCGGAAGCGACATCGCGAAACAGACGGCCGACATCGTGTTGCTCGACGACAATTTCGCCTCGATTGTGATGGGCATTGAAGAAGGACGACTGCTGTTCGACAATCTGCGCCTCTCATTGGCCTACACGTTCGCCCATTTATGGCCGGAGGTCTTTCCGATCATGCTCTCGTTTATGCTCGGCCTTCCGCACGGTTTGTCGCCGTTGCAGGTTGCACCAACACCAATGAATGACGTCGATCTGAAAATTGGTTTCAGATTCTTTCAGTGGATTTGGCGTCCGAAATGCCGCCGGCAATTTCGCTCGCCTATGAGCAACCCGAAAACGATATAATGCATACACCGCCGCGGTCTCGAACCGCCCGATTACTGTCGAAGGTGCATTCTTACATGGCTCATCTACAATTTGCTCAACATTTTCAGAGTCTTTTGGTTTATGCTTACGTTCTTGCCGGATTTGGCATCACAATCGGCTGCCTTGCCGCTTACTTGAGCGTTTACACGTGCGACCAATTTCGTTTTAAGAGAAATCTGTAACAACTCAAAATTTTCAGCTATCATAATATACCAATTAGTGATATTTTGTTCACCGCCGAGCATCATTGGAAAGTTGGCGCCATGAATTTCACCACCAGCGAGGTATAACGATAATGAAGACGTCGCGATCACTAGCGATTCATTCCAGGGCCTCGTGTTCGATGAGCAGCAACAATTGATCATTAAGGGACAGGCGGCGGCTGCCTGGCAAATCACTTTAGTCATGTCACAGGTAAATTGCTTCAATTTTGGAAAATTTTACCTATCGCAATCTTCAAGGTCTTCCATTTGTACAATTGCACGACGCGACGCGTTTCCGTGTTCCGGCATGGCCTCACAAATATCGTTAGCATCTTTGCGGTTCTCATTGAGGTAGGGTAGAACTGAAAATAAATTATAAATCGATTTTTTCGAAAAAAATATTTCGAAATCTAGAAAAATTGATTTTTTTGGAGTTTATAGAAAATAAACGAGCTATTGGCAGAATTTTCAATTTAGAGAATAATTTTAATTAATTTCAATTAAAAAAAATTGCATAATAATAGAAAATGGCGAAATTTTGCAAAAAAATAGGACAAAAATTGAATGAAATAAAATCAAAAATGAATTGTCGTCGAATTTGGTGCGACAATGTCCGCAAGCACCATACCATACGCGATTTCGCACAAATTCAGGTCCTGCTTCTCCTAATGTTCGTCTACACGCCGGTTTTTCAATATATCATGGATATTCACACACCGCCAGCCCATGTATGGGCAATCGCGCCAATCGTCGGCTTATACCTGCTAGGATTCAATGAGATGCGCAAATATCTCATTCGCAATTTTCCCAAAAACAATTTAGTTCGTTTAATTAAATGGTAGTCGGAATAGATTTTTCACAACTAGAGTTCAAATGTAAATAAAAACCCACTAAATAGATTGGTCCCCGGTTTGTTCATCTGTCGCCCATGTACACCAAAATACAGGTTGTCTTGTATATAAAATCATTTTATTTTCACCCAAAGTTTTAATAAACCATTTCATTTGGAAATAAATTCGAAAAAAAAATTTTTGTGCTCACATTTTTCTCAACTGTTTCCCTTATTTGGATGATTGATTCGTCATTAGAAAAAAAAAATAATTGCGATTGCAGACAATGCGCTTCATTTGACGACGATTTGCACAAAATGCGATATTCGCGAGTCCTCATATGCTTTTAGTTTTTAATTTTCCAAAAATTTGACTCAAATTGCTCGAATCGAAATATTTGTCGATTCACGTGTCCCACTAAATTGTCCGCAGCACACAATGCATATGAATCGTTTCCATGGCGACGCGTTGTTGAGCGAAACGCGTTCGACCAACGCGCTCATTTCTCGCCAATCGAAATGCTCGAAGAGCTCACGCTTCCATCATTCACATGGCGAAAACCGAAAAATGACGCGACCAGCGTGGTCCGCACTTCAGTAGAAGTCCAAACATCGGCGATAGAAAAGAAAGACGCGCAAACCGAAGCCAATAATCAAATTGAAGTCGGCGTTCAAACCGACGAAATCGGCAAAGGAGAAGGCGATGCGAGAAGTGTGAAAATCAGTCAAGAGGTTCGCTTTCTGTTTCTTTTTTTTATAGTCAATTTTACGACAAAAAATTCGAGGTAGTCGATCTCCTATTTGATTTCGTTCACGACGATTCCCGCGTCAACTACAATCGCCTTCTGGAATTCCATCGATTCGAGAAAATCGATTTGGAAGTCGTTCATCGATATCATATCGAGGTTGGAGGGTCCATCAAAAAAAAAATAAAAATAAAGATCGTCATCGGTTTAGACGCGCAAAGAGAATGTGCTGAAAATGCTGTCGAGCTCATCAAGGAAGACGGTGATACTGATCGGAAGCGAGTCGCACGACACATTCTGCTCGCATCAGGCGAGAGCCATCATTTGCTCATCGACAATGGTGAGCCGATTCAAATCAGGGAGTAGCTTCTCGTTGTTGCAGATCTTCTCGATTCCATTGGCGACGTGCGCCTTGTCGGCCGCCTTCGTCAACTCCTATCAAATCGCCGTCGCCGAATTGTCGGGATTCGTGAAATTGTGCACAAACGGCGAGATATTGTACGAGCAGCAGGTCAAAAAAACATCATTTTATTTTTTTCAAGCCCTTCAGAACACCAAAACTGGATTGTCTGCGTTCACGTGACGCAAAAATGCACACACACAAAGAAAAAAATGAAAAGTCATTTTTTCCCAACGTCATGGAAATTTTGGGATTTTCAAAACAATTAAAATGAAGGAATTGAAAATTGAAGAAAAATTTAACAATTTTCTTTTTTTTTTCTTCGAAATTGAAAGAAAATGAAGGAAATTCGAGAATCCGAAAAAATTGTGCATTTTTGCGTAATAATGACCGCGGACTTGGCTACCGTAACCTTCAACAATTAATTTGGTTTTTTTTTGGGGGGAAAATGAAATTCCATCAATTTTTTCCCACAAAAATTATTCGAAATCAAATTTTCCTTTCATCGCATTTCACGAAAACCCAAAAAAACTTTTCTTTTTTTTGTTTCATCTAAAAGGCAAAAATGCGTTTTTGGGCTAAAACCGCACACAAAATGCCGATTTTCCGTATTTCTCGCTCGCACCGTACCCTCTCGCGTTGTGGGAGCCATCCCGCTAAATGCCCTGCGCCTTTAGACCGCGCTACTGTAATTAATAAATTTTTTTTTGCAATCCGTTCGGCAAAAATTTTCCATATTTTTTCAAATAAGCCTTTGCTTAGGTTTCGGACCATTTGGGTTTTCAGCTTCATAATTCGGCCATCACATGCGTCGAGATGACGAAACACGGGATGTTGTCGGCGGCGGACAACGGCGAAATCGCTCTGTGGGGCGTCGGCAAGACGGCGTTCGAGCGCCTCAATCAGACGCGAATCGTCGTCGCCGATTTGCCGAGAAAAATTCGAAAATCGTCGACGTCGACGAAACCCGTCGCGATTGTCAGCATTCAAGCGTACGCATTCGTTTTTTTTTCTTCTTTTCAGGGCGGCAAATTCAAAATTTGCGAAAAAATTGCGCCGAAACGATGTTAATACGATTTTCACAAAATTGAGAGTAATTAGTAGTAATTAATGACTAATTAGTAGTATGAGTCATCACTGGAAAGAACCGTTTTTGGGGCTTATGGTCCCAAACCATTCACACTATTTTTTCTGCATAATTGCGTCACGGTGTTTGCACACACGCTACCATTCCCTTCTATTTTTTTTAATATCTTTAAAGTCGCAAATTATATATATAAATCCGCAAACACGTTTGGCGGCAATTCAAAAAAAATTGTTCGCCTCAAAACTAATTTTTTCGACAATTTTATTTCAAAAAAAATTTGTAAAAAAAAAGTCTGCAAACGGATTTTCAGAAAAATTTTGCCAAAATGCGCCCATTTTTTTGCTTCTCAAATATGAAATCCTTCACCAATTTGCGCATTCAGACATCGGAATGAGTGCTGTGTGGCGACGGAAACGGGCGGCCTCTATGTGATGGGCGTTCCGTCGCTTCAAACCAAAATCGTCAATCATTCGCCGGAATCGATTCGCCAGATTCTCTATTATTCGCCGCTGATTGCCGTTGTCTATCATTCGAATAATGTTCGAATTTTGACTGTCGAGCGCATCATCGATGATCTCAATATGAATGCGACACACGCGATTCGGTTCGTTGATCCGCAATTTTGCGTCATATTGTGGTTTCCTATAATCCGTCAACATTAAAATTATTTTTGGGTCACTTTGAGTGCAAAAATCCGAAAAAGTCCGCAATTTGGCGTCATTTCCAATGCAAATGCACAAAGTCCGCAATTTGGCGTCATTTTGTGGTTTTCAGCATTCAAACAAATTTTCGCGTCATTTTGAGTGCAAAAATCCGCAATTTGGCGTCAGTTTCAATGCAAACGCGAAATTTCCGCAATTTTGCGTCATTTCCAATGCAAATCTCTAAATTTCACTGATTTTGCTCCATTTTTTTGATACACAGCTTCATTTCGGTTAGAAATGCAAAATTCTGCAATTTCACGTCATTTTCAAGCACATTAAGCTAAATTGTCCGCAATTTTGCGTCATTTCCAATGCAAATGCAAAAAGTCCGCAATTGCGCGTCATTTCCAATGCAAAATTCTTTCAGATGCGGTTCGTACTTCATCTTCTCCAACTCTCGCCGCCTATTATTGTGGTCGATCGAAACGCGCAAAACCGCTCTCGACATTCCGCTCGAGACCGTCGCGATCAGCTCGATCGGCTCCGACGTGCTCCAGCTGCTCGACGCCAACTCAAATCTCGTCTCATATTTCATTAATGACAAGTTATAAGTTATTTATAAGCTAGTTCGGATCACACATACACACAAGAGAGAGAGACGACGACAAAAAGAAAAAAAAAGAATCGAAATAAAAATGAGTGGGCGTGGTCAGCTCGTGGCGGGACCACCCGAAATTAGAAACGGAAAGATTTTGAGAAGAAGCAGCGGCGGCGGCAAAAATCACAGTAAAAGCTCAGTTTCGATATAAGCAAAGGAAAAAAAAGAACGAGAAACAACAAAAAAAACGTCGAGGATTACCCAGTCAATCAATAATTGGAAAGAAAGCGGTTAGCTATATATGGAATAAATTACGCAAAAGAGAAATAACTTTGCTGGTTTTTTTTTTTGAATCTAAAAAACACACGAAAAAAAACAAATGATTGGATCTAGCAAGAAAACAAAACAGGTTTTGCTATTCGAGTGGCTCTAATTCTTTTCAGACGCTCTTCTATTTGGAAGGCGGCGGCGGCGGCGGGATGTCGTCGTCGTCGACGTAGTAGTGCACGACGCCGTCTTCGTCTTCAACGGCTCGAACGCTACAAAAATATTTGTGAACATTTTTTCCTCAATTCAAGTTTTTTTGAAAAAAGCTTCAAAATGTTGAGATTTTCCGACAAATTCCAATTTTTTCGACTCAAAAATTCTATTCAAAATTTAAAAAAAAAATAAATTTATCTGAAAAATCCTTTTTTTGGGTTGATCTAGAAAATTTTCGCTCAAATTTTTGAGGATTTTTAGCTGAGAATAACCAAAATTTCCCTGATTAGAAATTTTTTAGCTTCACAAATTTTTGCTTCAACTCACATTTTTTGGTCTCAAAATTCGAAAAATTACATTTTCAGCTATTTTTCAATCAAAAACTCTTTTTGAAACCGTTAGAAAAACCCCAACATTTCTTATTTCTTAAAATCGATTCAATTTTTTTCCACAAAAATTCGTAATTCCAATATTTTCGTTTCACAATTGAATAATTTCTCGTAAAAACCCAAAAATCGCAAATTTCTAAAAAAAAATCCTACAAAAAAAAAGCAAAAGTTGCACAAAAAACGTTTCAAACTTCAAAAATCGCTACCAAATGGTCTCATTTTAAAAAAAGAACAAAAAAATCGCACAAACCTGGTCGACGTCGATGATCCATCTTTGGTGATAATGTCCAAAATCGGCGCCACATTCTCTTTTTCGTCATTCTCGATGCCAAACGACGGAAGAGTCGAGCTTTTGCACGGCGACGCGCCGAGCGACAACAGTTTGTCGTAATTGAACGAGATGAGCACCATTTTGTGTTGAGCAAAACATTCGTCGCACAGGAAATTCGTCGCCTGCGAGGCGGGCTGCAAAATGGAAAACAAAAAATCACATCAAACCCAAATTTCTCAATATTTCACTCGACGGGTTACTGTAGTGGGCGTGGCCAACCCAAAAAATTTGATTCTCTAGATCAGAAATGGTGGCCAAGCACAAATAGATGTTTTCAAATTCATTTCTTATTCTGTCGAAATATCGCGTCAGGACCCTCAGCGATTACTGTAGCTCAAATTGAAATCGCGTCAGGAGCCAAATCAATGTCGTGTCAGGACCCAAAAACGAAACACCTACCAAATTGCACGCGGCGTTGATACACGTGATCATGAGCGACGAGGCGCTGAAACTCCGACTCATCCGCTTTTTGTCGTTGCTCGACGTCGCCGCCTTCTGATTCTGCTGGAATCGCAATTTCGCGCTCTTCATATACTCGTTCACCATCACGTCCATGTATTGATGGTGCGTCGGAATGAGCTCCGAGGCGAGCACACACGTGCCGTTCATTCGCGCAATACAATCGTTCGCGTCGATGCTCTTCTCTTTCGATTTGGCGTTCGACGATATGCGAAGTGTTCGCATCAGATGCGTCGTGATCTCGTTGATGATTCGCCACTTCTCGTTTCGACCGCCCGACGAGACGCCGGTGCTCGCCAATGTCATGCTTTTCGGCGCCTCGCAGCTCGCGTTGCGCTCGCGATTCGGCGACGACTCCAACGGCGCCGGCGGCGGCGGCGCGTGCGCACTTCGCACGCGTCGCGTCGATCGAATCGAACCGCGTCGAACGTCCAATCGCACAATGTCCATGTATTCGCTGATCAGCGTTAGTTTCGCCGTCGCCGACATCGCCAACGTCGACGCCAACTTCGTGTCGGACTCGCTTTTCCACCTGCAATTTTTTTGAATTGACTAATTAGGCAATTAAGCAGGAAATTGGACAAATCGTTTTGATGAATTTTCGAAACCCAAAAAACCAAATTTCAAGTAATTAGGGGTAATTAAGGTAAATCATTTTTCCAAAAACCAACTCACCATGTGAAATTCTCTCCGGGATCCACAGCAAAATGCACCGGCAGCAAATTTCGATTCACATCGATTATTGGTATAATTTCTGCAATAGAAGAACAATTTTAAAAAAATTGGGCTCCAAAAATGGCCGAGATGAGCTTCTTCTTCTTCTGTCAAAATGCTCACGTTTATGACTCGAATCGGTTCGCATTGGGACGAGCGGCGAAAAATGCGCCGAATCGTAGCACAGCACTAACGGCGATCGATGGCATTGCGACGGCGGACATTCCAACGGAAGATAGATGCCACCGAACGACACTGGCGATAATTCTTCGCCTTTCGCGTTGCGCAACACCTGAAATTTCATGCTTCGAAGAAAAAATCGAATTTTGGGAATAAATATTTGCAATATAAATTTCAAAAAAATTTTATTTTCGGGCACAAAAAATTCAAAAAATGCCACTTTCTTCGAATTTTTTAATTCAAAAATGCCGAAAAACCATAATTTTTAATTTTTTAAACCACAATTTTAAAAAATTCTACAAATAATTGGTTTTGTGCAAAATTGTTCAATTTTTTTTTCACTCTCAGAGACCACGCTTTAAAAAATTCAAAAGAAAACAATTTTTGTCCTAATTTCAAAAAGTACGCAGTCCGTAAACATCGGCACGCAAAATTGCACACATTCGCAAATTTTTAATGATTCCTCCCTTCGAAAATGAGTTTTTTTTTCAATAAAAAAAATAATAACAAAAACGTTGATCGAATTTCCAAGATCGGTTCGAGTTTTTTGCAAAATCTATCGAAAATTGTCTTTTCGTCAAAAAAAAAAAAAGAAAAAAGAAAAGAAAAACACATTTCAATTGCCTACCGTGTCGGCGACGACAACAATCGGTCGCTTCAGCACGTGGGCGAGCGCGAACACATGAATCGTCTCGAGACTTTCATATATCTGATCCGTCGAGTTCGATCCATTGTCGTCTTGCTTCCGCGGCACCGGCGAGGCGAGCGCCACAAGACCATCCCACTCTTGTTGCCATTCATCATCCGATAGTGTCAACGCCAATTCGCTCGACTAAATTCGCCAAAATCAATGTTTTTTCTTCTTCAAAGAAAGCCGCTTACATGTATCGCGTTGTGCTCGGCCCATTTCCAGCGTCTCCACAACGCTTCTCGTCGTGTGCCCTTCACCAACATCTCATAGAGCGTCTCGCGAAGCGTCAACTGACGATCATGGACACCCCACATGCCTGGGAAGAAGAAAAAAAATGAAAATCGCAAGCGGATCATCGCCGGATAATCCAGGCCATTTCAAAAATTGAAAAAAAAACGCTCACCCAAAGAAGCGGCGTGGAGTAGGCAATTCCCATCCCCGGTCGTTGATAGCGGATAGAGACGCTGGCCGAATTGATGCCACCAATTCAAATGGCCTACAAATCAATTTGAATCTCTCGGATGATGAAATCAACATACGTGAAGCTTCAAGACGCCGCTGCGTCGACGTCTCGATCAAATCCTTTTCGAGGAATATTCGAAACTCGCTCGGCAGATTCGCCAAATCCGGCAAATAGAACGCGTAGCCCGGCACGCGCAGTCGACACGCCCAACGATCCCATTCGCTGAGCTCGTCTACAAGTTTCGGTGTGTCAAACATCGTCAGATTTCAAGGCGCATCATTGATTTTATAGGGAAATTTTGCAATTCGCCGCCCACCAAAAAAAAATCTTTCGATTTTTGAAAATTATTCGATTACTGTTCTTTTCGCGTCAAAAACTTCCGATAAAAAAATCATAAATCACAAAAATTTCGACGATTCCAACATCCCCCAATAATGTATTTTTAAAGGCGCATACCACTTGTGTCGATAAAAATAACTATAATTGTCGGGGGGTGGCAAAAACCAAGGGAAAAATCGATCTACCGTAATATTTAAAGGCGCATCGCCACAAATTGATACCTTTTGATGTGCACGGCTTCAACGACAGCGCATTGTCGTACTGTTTGGATACACGACGCGACGACATCGTAATGTCCCAATCATTCTCTACAAAAATAATTTCGTTGATCAATTAAATCGAAATGCTAATTAGAGTCATAATTACCCTTAAGGAATTTTTAAAAATTTCTCACTTCTGACGCCCATAATTAGGCCGGTAATTGCCATTAACAATTCCCGATACATTATCAAGAAATCAAAATTGGCATAATTAGTGTTAATTAGTTATCAATTTGCAAAAGATGCAATTAAAGATTAAATTCGACAATTTCAAGCTTCATAAAACCTTCAAATTAAGGCCCTAATTTCATTTTTCAGCAAAATCTGAGTGTTTTTGAGGACTAAAACAAAAAAAATTTCTTTTGCCTTTAATGAATTCCTGTTTACCGCTCTCAAGTTTTTTCTCATTACCAAAAAAAAAGAAATTTGGTGGGCCGAAAAAAAATGAATAAAATATTCGGCGGAAACTATGAATAATTTGGCTCGAAATTTCGATGAAAAATTGCCGGCAATTTGTTTCTTTTCTTATTGTTCGTCTCGGACCAAATTTGGCACAATTCGATTGAAAATTTAATTTTTTCATAAATTTATTTGAAAATTCTCATTTTTTTTGGGTTAAACTAGAAAATATCGCCGATTTTTATCAGAAAAAAAAACAAAATTTTCTTTATTTCCTGCTTAGAAATTTTTAAGCTTCACATTTTTGCTTCAATTTTTATTTTTAGGTCTCAAGACGCTAAAAATTACATTTTCAGCTATTTTTCAATCATAAAAATTCCCCAGAAAATGAAAAACTGATAAGTTCAAAGAAAAAAAAATTAATTTAAGCTGGATTCTTTTTATTTTTGAACCAAATCTGAAAAACCACGATTTTCTGAATTCATTTTCATTTAAAAAAACACTAAAATTTCAAATGTGTCAAAATCCATTCAATTTTCTCGTAAAAATTCCAAATTTTGAGCCAATTTTTTTAGAATCTCATAATTTTCAAAATTCTACGCTTCAATATCGCCCGAATTCTCAAAATTCGATGGGCCGCGATCATTTCAAAAAAAAAAAACAAAACCGCATTTCGCCGAGCACTTGGCTATACGACGACGACCACCGAGCAAAACAGCGAACATCTGTCGGCGGTGGAAAAAAATTGATTAAAAAAAACCAACGGGCGGGTTTCGATGAGAAATTTGTCAACGCGAAAGGTCTCGACGCGATATTGATATATTGTCAATCAGAAATCGAAAAAAAAACCATGCATTTTGTGTAAAGTGTTGGCGAATTTCTCCAAAAAAGGTAAAGATAAAAGTTTGCAAAAAAAGAAATTCTTCTTGAGGTCTCTCAAAGGATTTCCACAATAATTTCAGTATTTTCAGAAAATTTTTGAAAATTCTCAATTCAAAATCGACAAACCTTTCAATAATTTGACGGCCTCCTTCTCGCAAATGTTGACAAGCGCGCAAAGTTCCTTAACTTTGAGCTTCTCATTCTCGCTGAGTCCATCAAGATACATTTGTGGTGTTTTCGAATATAAACCCCTTTAGCACTTCTGAGTCATCTAGTCGACAATTCTAGAAAATCAAGAAATCGATTTAAAAAAAAAAGAAGAAAAGAATGCAGGTGAAATTGCACAATGACGGTTAATTGAGGAAAGCGAGAGAAAAAAATTCTTCCACAAATTTTCGACAATAAAAAGGGCAATAGTGTGTGTGTCAATGCGAATGGCAACAGAACGAATGAATGAAACAATAAAAATTGAACAAATAAATGATGAGTAGTATCTGCTGGAGGCGAAATGAAGGGCGGCAGCCGGCAGTCGGCGGCGGGTTCTCTTCTCTGCAGCAGCGAAACATTCGCCTCCGCTCCTGGCATTGATCCAAAAAGAAATTGCGAAACGAGGCCGAGGCGGCGAGGCGGTTTTACTGACACGCGTATGCGCGCGCGCAAACCGGACCCCCCCCCCTTCTTTCTCTCGCAACCGTGGCCTAGCGATGAAGGCTCACCGATGAGGCTCACCGATGTGCCGCTACGAACCAATATTTATATCGAGTGTATTTCGTTCCAATTTTATCAAACCATCCTTTTTCATTATCTTATCAATAGGGATTGATAGAAGGAATGCGTTTAGGAGTTGACACTGCCGAACATTCGATTATTCTTAGCAATTTCGCTTTATAGCTTTAATAATTTTAAAAAGAATGCGTTCAGTATAAAATAATTTATAAGAGATTTGTAAAACATTGAACACAACAGTGTTAAAAAACATGCTTGAAAACGGGCAGAAAATTTCAAAATAAAAAAATTGAATTGGGTTATTAGGCAGAATAAGTTCATTTTCATGTCACTGTGTTTGCACAATTACACTATATCTGACGCCTATATTTTATTTCAAAAATTCAAAAATTCTCCAATTTTCAGAGTGATGAGCAAATCCGACGCGATTGTTGCCGACCTCTTAAACGAGGTAAAAGGATCGGAGCAGGTAATTATTCTAATATCCAATCAAACACAAAACGATATTGCCTTCAGCCGTTCATTGTGGAAAAGTTGGCGGCGGCGAGCGAGCCGGAAAACAAGGAGAAACCGCATAAAAAATCGCACAAGCACAAAAAATCGGGTAAAAAGAAGAAGAAGAAGAAGAGCAAGAAAGAGCACAAATCGCCATCGAGAAAGCGGAGAAGAAGTCGATCGCCGAAGAAGCATCGGAAAAAGAGAAGATCATCGTCGTCCTCGTCGTCGTCATCGGATTCAGAATTCGACGAAGAGCGGGAAAGAAGGAAGAATCGAAAGGCTAAAAGTTCCGACGATGTTCCATCAGATCCGAATCAGTGAGACGAAATTTGTTTTTTCCAGAAATTTTTGAAAAATTATTTCCAGAGAGCCGAATGACGACGATGATTTGCCGCTAGGCGCCGATTATAGCACAAAATTGCTGAAAAAGGATGTGAAAATGGAGATCAATATCAAAACGGTGCTGCCGGAGTGCTCGAAATCGACGGAAACCGTCAAAGAAGAGGAGGTCGATAAGGAAACGAAGGGAAATTGTGCGGCGAAAGAAGAGGAGGATGTCAAAAACGTTTGGATTCGAAAAAGTCCCGAAGTGATTCGATTCTATTCTTGTTTTTGAGGAAATTTTGGCGATTTTAGAGAAAATCCAACAAGAAGCGTCGATATTCGTGCGAACGCCGTCGATCTGCGAGCTCTTCCAGTCGAGACACGCGGAAGAGGACAAGGTTGGCAAATGCCATAGTTATTTTACATGTTTTTTGATAGAAGTGCCCAAATTTTAATCGAAAACGCGAAATTTTTGGTCGTTTTTCAACAAAAATTGATTTTTCAAATGATTTTTGGCTATTATTTGATGAAAATCAATAATTTTGTTGAAATTTCACAGTGAAATTTTTTAAAGCTGATTTTTTCTTTAAAATTGACTAAAATTTGTTAATTTCTCTACAAAATAGTGAAAAAAAAAAGTTTGGTCCATTATTTTTTAAAAATCAATTATATTGTTCAAATGGAAAGGTCGATTTAAGATTTTTCAGACAAAATTCTAAAAAGCGTCCAATTTGAATCGTTTTTGACCATTATTTTCGATTCAGAGATTCCGGACGACGATCGCCGACGCGAAGCCGACGACGAACACCATCACGAAGCCGACGACGAAGCGTCTCCAGAGATCGACGACGTCGTCGAAGTCGATCGTATGATCGACGACGGAGCCGATCAAGAGAATGGCGAAGACGGAGCCGATCTCGACGGCGATCGAGGAGTCGCGAGAAAATCGACAAACAGAAATTATTGGAGATCGCTAAGAAGAATCGAATGTGTGCGATGAATTCGGTGAGATTTTTTTGGCCTAAATTGAAGTCGCGAAATGCCCGCAAATTGGAATTTTGAGTAAAACAAAAGGATGGTGGAAAGAAGCCACTATCTTGAATTTTTTTTGCTTAAAATCTGCAATTTTACATTTGGATTGAATTTTTTGTTGGAAATTTGGTCAAGAAAAAAAAGAAGACGTATCTAGACTTTCATTTTTTTTTTTCTTCAGACGAGTGATCGAAAAGGCGCCACCGTTGACGATTTCGTTAGTAAGTCATCAATCAACCACTAGCAGAATTCGTTTCTTCTGAATTCAGCGTACTGTAAACGAATCCAGAAGCGTCAGGAGCGCGAGAAGCGGCGAGAGAAGGGCGAAGACGTGAGCAGCGACGAGAGCGAAGAAACCATTCAATACAAGCATCCCTATGCGCTTCCCAAAAATGATCCGATTCGGATTAACATCGTGGTAGGACCCTTTTTAAGTGGGGCATCCGTGAAATGCAATAATTCGAGAAAATGTGTTTCTTGTGCAATTTGTCGTCAAATCAAGTGTATTTTTTTGGGGGCCTTGAAAAACCAAAAATGAAAATTTTGAAGTGTGGTCGATTAAAAATTGCACTCGAATTTCAGAATTTAAAAAAATACACTGAAAATGGCATTGCACTGAATTTGACGACAAATTGCACACTATCAATTTTTTTTCTCGAATTTTTGTGGATTTCAAATACGTTGCCTCCCTTTAAATTCGGCACATTGCAATTTTCAGACGGCTGCGAGTGCGAGTCTCGCGCAAAAAGCAATAACCGCCGGCGAGGAGAAGGAGCTCGACCCAACGCAGCTCCACCAGCTTTTTCCCGTCTCATCGGGCGCCATTCATAAAGAGAATACGGTATTCTTGTTTAAAAAAAAAACGATGAAAATTGGATTTAAAGGCGCATGCTCTAATTTGTGTTGGTGTTTTTCTTTTGTAGAAACGACGAAATTTTGAGTTGTGCGCCTTTAAAAAAACCAAACAAAAAAAGGCAATAGAATTGGAATTTTCAAACGTTTTAAACATAGAAACTAACTGAAATTCCATTCTTTTTGGTTTTATTTTTGCACGCAATTGATGCGATTCCAGGAATGGACGCCGGTGATCAAAGACGACGTCGTTCCGATGAGCTGCACCGACGTTCAGAAGAAGCATGTGGCGTTGACGAGCGTCGAAATCGAGAAATGTCGTGTAAACGGGCTGGTAAGCGCGAAAAAGGAATGCGAGAAGAATAATGATTGAGAATATTTGAGGAGCCGCCACCGCCAGTGCCCACCCAATTCCTCTCCTCGATTCTTCCTCCGCCTCCCCCGCCGCCAAAATTTGTAAACGCCCAACGAATCGCGTCGAATAATAATTTTTTTTGTTGTTGAAATTTTCAGCTTCCCGAGCCCGCCGCGGCGCTCGCTCATCGGCCGCCGTCGCCGCCCGCGCTTCCGCCGGTGCTCTACGTTCCGCCAAAGGAGAAGTTCATCATGAAGGATCCGAACGACATCAAATTTGTGAGCGCGCTTCGCATCGTTGACTCGTTTAGTATCAGGCATTTGCAGCCGGCGCCGAACGACATCAGGGAGACGCTGAAAATGCGCGCCGACGCGCAGAAGCGTCTCGCCACGAATCCCAACGATTTCGACGCGCATCGCGATCTGAGAGAGGCGAATGAGAAGGTTGGTAGATGATGGCGAAAAAATCGCACGTTGAAAACCAAATGATCAAAATGCATCAGCTTGCAGATTGAAGCGTGGGCGGCGTTGAAAAGTCTGCCCGGTGAGTACACGGGTACGACGGGCCTCAAACTCTTGACGCCCGAACAATTGCAGCCCGAGAATCCGAAATATCACGCCTGGGTCAAAAAGGTATCGATTTTTTTTTCAACGCAGAGAAAAAAACCAGCAAGGAATCGTGTAATAGCGTGTTTTTTGCGTTCCGTTTTCCCATCGAGACCCATCCCATAAATTAATGGTATGCGTCTTAAACGTCTTGATTCGTATCTTTGCGTTTTTTCGCCAAAAAAAAATCTGAAAATAAAAACGCTTGACGCCTTATTAATTTTTTGTCTGCATTGGCCCTTTGCCAAAAAATGGAATATAAGCAAAGCTTGAAAATGGTGGTGTTTGTTGGTGTGGGTGTGTGGTGCACGAGATTTGACCATGCGCAATGGGATCATACTACAAACAAAAACGAAATGTGAGAGACGCAGAGATAAAGAATGTGATATATGTCGAGAAAAAAAGGTTTTTCCCCTGTGAGAGACACAGAGAAAAAAGGCGTGGCGGGAAACAGAGATCGAGCGTGAGTGAGAGGGTGCTATACAACGAGACATTTCAATAGAGCGCGTTTGTGGACATTATATTTGGAAATTCGCGCCAAAACTCGATTTGCCAAAGGAGACGTCGATGAATTGCAGGATTTGTTCAAAAACGCGCCGCCGGCAATCGGCGGTGTCGGTCTGAAACTGCTCGAAAAGATGGGCTGGCAACCGGGACAGGGTCTCGGCCGCGACGCCGCCGGCAGTTTGGAGCCGCTGACACTTGACGTCAAAAGCGATCGACGAGGTTGGAAATCGTCCCTTATTAATAATCGCCCCCCCCCCCTCTCCCCAATTTGTGTTTTCGTTTTTTGTTTGCAGGATTGATGGCCGAGGAGGAAATGTCGATCAAGCAGCGCAATAAATTGCGGCCGGAAACGGTTGATTTGTCGAGTAGGCTCTCATTTCTTTTGGATTTTTGCTTTAGGGACCAGAAAAAGTTGGATTTAAAGGGACATGCCGATTTTCTAAAAAAAAAATGCAACCCTATTGGAAAATTGGGGGAAATAAATTCAAATTTTTTTCAAAAAGCGCACGTCAATAATGGGTCTCGCAGCGACCCGAGTTCGTTCTTGGCCACACCTCTCTTTTTTTCCAATTGAAACTCTTCAATTTGACAACAAAAAACCGAATGAAACTTTTTTGTTGCAGCCAAAAACCCGGTGTCGCTTCTAATGGAGTATTGCGCGAAGCGCAAATTCGCGAGCCCGAGCTTCGTCTGCGAGGAGCACGGCGCCGACAACACGAAATCGTTCCTGTGGACCGTCACCGTCAATAATGTGCAATATCGGCCGTTGACGGGCTCGCGACAAAAAAAGGAGGGCAAAGCGATCGCCGCGCAAGTCGCCCTGATGTACATGAATATCATTCCGCGTGATCCGAATCTCGTGCCGACGTCGGCGATTTTATAGGGACTTCATTCCGTATTTCTTTTGGGTTTCATCAAACATTGCATATTTCCTTCATCGTTTCTTTTTGTTTTTTGTTTGTTTCTTTTTATTTGTTGAATATTTCTCAAAATGACACAACATTCAAAATCGCCTCTCGAATATTGTCGGAGCACAGAATCTCGCGCTTCTTGCGCTCATCGATCATCGTCTTCGTGGTCTCGAGACTCTTGAGAATCTCGCCGGCGTTCTGAAGAAGCAAAACGAAATCGTACTAATTGAAATCCGCCGAAACCTCGATGACGTTCTCGTTCAATCCCACCATTTTGGCGACTTGCAGCCCGAACGAGCATTGCGCGACGCCGTCGAGCACTCTGTACAACATGTGGATCTCGCCGTTCTCGATTCGAACGCCCATCTGAAGCGCGTTGCATCCGTCCTCTTTCGCCAATTCGCCCATCTCGTGAAAATGGGTGGCGAAAATGCACAAGCATTCGACGCGATTCAGCAGGTCCCTGGAAATTCGATATGTCGAGATGAAATCGAAAGGCGCACGCGTGCCTGGCGATGGCCGACGCGATTCCGAATCCATCGAATGTCGACGTGCCGCGTCCAAGCTCATCAACGACGACGAACGAGTTGGCGGTGGCGCGCTGAGCTCAAGAAAAACATAAAATCCCATTAAATAAAACGGTGTGTTTGAAAAAACCTGCAATATCGCGGCGCAGTCGAGCATCTCCGCCATGAACGTCGAGATTCCGCGCGATTGTTTGTCGGAAGCGCCAACTCTTGTGAAAATCCCGTCGACGATCGAGATTTGAGCGCTCTCGCACGGTACAAATGCTCCTAGAAGGAAAAAAAACCAACAAAATGATGTGCTCAGTGCGCATTGGTACCAATTTGAGCCATCAGAATTGACAAGGCCGCCGATCGAAGATACGTCGACTTGCCTCCCATATTGGCGCCGGTCAAAATCATCAAACGATTGCTGTCTGCTTATTATACATATAATGCGTATAGTATATACAATTCTCATCTCATACCAAACACAACGTCGTTGGGAATGAACGGCTTCTCGCTAGTGGCTTCGATGACGGGATGCCGGCATTGGACGAGCTTCATCCGACGCGAGCCCATTGGCAGAAGTTCGGGTCGTGTGAAGATTCTCGACGACGTTGTGGCGAACGTCGCCAACGCGACGAACACGTCAAGCGCGGCGGCGAGTTGCGCAATGAGCGGAATGAGCCCAACGAATTCTGCAACAAACCCGACACTCTCTAGTTGGTCCGCACCGCCATTTATGGACCTATTTATGAAATGTACTTTTTAAACAAAAAGAATTACACGTTTTTCCAATGCAGGGCTATAAAAATTACATTTCAAGAATAGGTCCATTACTTTTTTAAAAAATTAAACGGAAAATCACAAAAAAATTGAAGACAACAAATTTCGGCTCCGCAATTTTACGATTTCAATTTCAAATTGCTTCTACAATCAAAATACGTTCACGAATCGCGACGGGACCATGTGAACATTTTTGAAAATTGATGCGTTGCGGTCGCGTAGCGGCTCGCGCCCGAATCTCGCCAAAATTTGTCGGCGTCGAAATTTTTTTGCAATTTCAAATTTTTCCCTTTTATTTCTCAATTGAACGAAATTTTGAGATAAATTTTAGAGAAAATAGAAAAGGAAAACAAATGAGTTGTTTTTTCTTATTTTTTTTTTTGCACTGCCTCATTAGTAGGCATACTTGCAAATTTCCGGGTCGACCCGGGTCGACCCGCCATCGACCCGCCCCGCCCCACGGGGCGGGGCGGGTCAGTCAAAAAATTCGCGACCCGCCCCCGCCCCGCCGACCCGCAACGACACTCCATGTTTACAACGAGGCCCTTGTTTAGCGAAAAAAGAATTTCGAATTACATTATTTGAGTAGAATTAATTATTCTCGCAACAAAAATTGTTCAGAAGTCCTCAAACAAAATTGATTGAACCAACTTTCACTGTTTTTGTTTCGTTTTCGATTTTTTTTAATAAACTTTTCTTCAAAAAATCTATTAGCGGGTCGAGCGGGTCGGGGCGGGTCGGGGCGGGGCGGGGCGGGTCAGGGGCGGGTCGGGGCGGGTCGGTAGAATTTTCACTCTGACCCGCCCCGCCCCGCCCCGACCCGCCCCGTTGCAAGTATGTTAGTAGGTCTCAGAGCGATCGACTACAGTAGTAGTCAATTGAAATACAAAATAGGAATGCGCTATTACCAAATTTAGGCAAAAAACAAAATGATTTCACCTTGAGCCTTCTCAAACAACATTCCAATCACATCCTCTTCGGCTTTCGCGTATTTCGAGTGCAAATCGAGAAAACTGCAAAAAAGAATCAATATTTGAGAGTAAAATGCTCTCATGATGACTCTTCGTTCAAATTCGACAGCTCATCAACAGTAAATCGCACGCCGCCAGCTTTTGTCGTCTCCAAAATTGTCACATTCGCTTTTCTCAAATTTTTCTCTTCCTAAAACTCCAGGGGTCAAAGTACAAACGAGAAACCCGAAAAAAAAAACAAAAAAATAGGAAGACCTTTAAAGTGATTCGAAAATGATAGCCATACGTCGAATTTTTGTCAACTTTCAGCCCATCAATGTCAAATTTCGACGAGAACTGCAAAAAAAAAAAAATCCAATTTTTCTTTTCTCTCCGCCAAAATTGCACCTTTTTCCTCAACTTCTGCGCCAAACTCTCGACATGATCCAACTTCTCGCGAATCTCCTGAATCTCGTCGACGAAATCGACGCGAACGCGAATCTCCTTCGTCTCTTTCTCATATTCAAAATCGAAAAATTCGTCGCAAAGAATTTGGAATCGTTCGACGCTCTTCAGAATCTTTTGGATGTCTTTCTAGAAAAAAAAAGCGTGGAATGAAATCGCAAAAATTTTTTTTAACCCTTAAAAGTCGATCAACGGATCTCGCAAATTTGGCGTCGCTCATCTCAGCGAGCTCGTTGAGCTGCATTTCAACAGCTTCAAGGAGACTCGTAGCCTGATAAAACCGGTTCAAATCCTGAAAAAAAAAACGGAAAATTTGCGGAAAATTGGCTAAATGCCAATAAAAAAAATAACAGTGGTCTTGACGCGAAATTAAGTGTATTATGCATAACGGTAGGATAGGTTAAAGGCGCAAACCCTTTCCTTAAATTTTTTGACATTTTTCCGGCAATAAAAAAATGCCAAAAAATGTTTAAAATTCATTTTTTTTTCTAAAAATTGTCAATCAATAAAATTGAAAGAAAGAAAAAATCCAAAATTACAAAAAGGTTTCTCTAATTTTCAAAAATCGACAGCTTTTGTGGAGAAATTTTGAAAATGTTAGAGAATTCCACGATTTTGAGCGTCGAAAATCATCCAGACTTCAAATTGATTATGGAAAAATGCTAAAGATTGATATTCCCAAAAGCAGTAAAATTTTGAGAGACGGTGAACCAAAAAAAAATTGGCAAAACTATTGTATGCAATAAAAATTTCAATTTTCTTCTTAGAAATTCAAAAAATGGGAATTTCTCAACAAAAATTGGACCTGCAAGCTCATTTTCCTCATCAATCGTCGAGCCAATTGCGAGCAATCGGGCATTCTCGCCAAAATCGAATCTCGGAGCTTCGATCGAACCGACGAATTCTCGACGAGCGCCTCGACAACATCCAATCTCTCATTGATATGCTCGATTTGGCACAATGGTCGCGATATCCAATCACCTAAAATCACATGTGGATCGGATCAAGTCTGGATCAATCATACGCAACAATTTCTCGCCGGGCAGCGTTTTGCACTTATTGAGCACATTGAAAAGTGTCAAATTGTTGGATTTCTCTGAAAATGTTCACAATTCGTCGCAAAAATTCCGATAAAATTCAAACCCAAATAATTATAGTTCAGCTGGAATAGCTCTAAAGCTTCAACTGCACATGAATCCAGTTGCATGCTTCCATGGGCACCGTAATCCAGGATACTGTACCTCTCAAGATCGCTGTACTCCTCGCCAGTGTTCGCGTGAAGCATTTGAAGGCATTCTTTGGCGTTTTCGCCAATTTTTTCGGCACATTCTATTAAAATCTCGCATTTTTTCGCGTTTTCAAATCGACAATCACCTTTAGAATCATTATGAATCAACTTCAGCACGTCGCACCAATCCGATTTCGGCTTGAGCGACTCGGCGATTGTGCGCGGCTTCACGTGCACCTCCATTTTGGCGAAAACCGCCGCCAACTTTTTGGCGGCTGGCGAATTGGCGTCGGTGTTCACCAGAATGTATTCATTGGGGCACAAGCCGAACACGCTTTGCTGGAATGTGATGGTGAAAATTGGAGGGGAAATGGGTTTGAATCGACAAACGAAGAAATCACCTCGACAATGCTGAAATTCGGCGTGTCGCTGAATTCGCTGATGATGATTCGCACAGTTCCGGCATCCCAGGCGCACAGCGTCACACGATTCTGCAAAATTTCGCGTTAAAGGCGCACACACTTGAAAATCCATCCCCCACATTCTCGTCGTCGACATTCAGATGGACCGCGAAAACTGGCGCCTGATCGGCGACGCCGACCTCCTGCTCAAACTCGACAGTATTTCCTGGTGAGCCCTGCAACGATGAGAAGGTCTCGAAGCGATTTTGACAATTTTGAATTTACTAATTAGTCTCACGCGGGTAGATTTACGCGCATGCGTCTTTCTCTTCCCGACTAACTCGTTATTTTGCAATTTATGGGCCGGTTCGATAATTTTTTTAATCGAATGACGTTGGAAATTCAAGGAAATGCCAAACTCATGAAAATAACGAAATAAGTGTTCACACGTGGTGAGACCATTTCGAAAGGCGCACGCGTAAATCTACAACCGTTGCCGGATGCCAACTATACTTCAACTGATTAGAATTAAAGGCTCATAGCATTTCTACCGTAATCAATGGATCGCTTCATGACATCCCCCGATAATCTCAATTTTCTAATGTTAGCTATTGACGGCCTCGTAATTGCCGAAAATTCTCAATTGCATCTTTTGGTTAAAATCCATATGGGACCCAAAATTTCGTACACTTTTTTGCAATTTCCATTCGCCATCCTCCATTGCGTACAATTCGACACTGCACCGAAGCAGAATGATCGTCTCGCGGACCACCTTCTCGTATTGGCCGCGATTCATCGACACGTACTTCATTTGTTGGGCGTTGTTAGCTGGAGAGCAAAAAAAAATTGAATTCACCAATTCCGGCGGCCCTACTACAAAGGGTGAATGTTTTGACGCAAACGTCGCTTTTGAAAATGTTGGTGGCGACGAACTTCGCATCATCCGCGTAAACTGTGAAATATTCCTGAAAATTGCATTTTTTGGAAATTTTCAACAAAAATTGACATACTCCTCTTGAGAAAATTGCGATTGTGTTCACCGATTTGGTTTTAAGCACTTTGAGAAGCGCTTTGTCGCTGTACTCGTCTTTGCCGCCGCTCATTCTGTGAAAAAAGGAAACAATCGGAAAAAAATTTGAAAATTCAAATTTCGCAGAACTTTTCTGGCTGAACTTTTGCAATATGGCCTAGAAAATTCTCGGCCATTTTTATTTTACATGATTTTTTGCAATTTTCTGGAATTTTCTTCTGATTTTCAACTAAATTTTTCTGTTTTTTTTTAGAATTCAATAAAGAATTCTAATATGCAGATCCATAATTTTTAATAAAGTCAAATTTTTTTTTAAATTCAAAGATTGCGTCATTTCAAATTTCATAAGATAAATATTCAAAAATCTTGATTTTCAGAATGGATCGAATGGAATATGGTCCCGATGGGAAGCCATGTCGCGCCTGCGTCAGTGTAGAAGATATGATGAAGCGCGGGAAAGAAATGGCCGAGAAACTAGGGAAAAAGCAGGAAGCTGCCGGCGCAAGCACAAGTGTCGAGAAAAAGCCGTGTCCTGTTGACAAAGATGAACTAGGTTATTTATAATTTTAATTTCTAAAGAAATATTTTTAAAAATTAACAATTCAAGGCCGTTCTACATGGAATCTTCTTCACACAATGTCAGTTTACTATCCTCAAAAACCAACAGAAGAAGATAAGGAAAAGGCTCGAAAATTTATGGATTTATTAGGGCAGGTAAAAATTTTTTGTTTGTTTTTCGAACTCGAAAAGTTCCAGATGTATCCCTGCGATTTTTGCGCGAAGGATTTACGGAGAGATTTAAAAAAAGACCCACCAAAATTGGAAAGTCGCGAGGAATTCTCGCAATGGATGTGCCAATTGCACAATAAGGTATTAAAGCCAAAAAAATTACACTATTCTTTAAATTTTAGCTTAAACTTTAAAAAAAAAAGGAACAAAAAAATTGAAAATCCTAAAAAAAATTATTTGATCGTTACGGTAAGTCTGAAAGTCCGCAGAATTTTGCCTCAGTGTTTGCACACATAATTGAATAATTTCCCAAAATTTCCAACTAGATTTTCTCATTCTCAAATTACAACAATTCTATATTTCAGGTGAATGAAAAAACCGGAAAACCACTTTTCGATTGTAAATCCGTGATGGAGCGATGGCGGGACGGCTGGAAAGACGGTTCGTGCGACTATTAAGCCAATTCTACGATAAAATTTCCATAGGATTTATTTATAAATACATTTTTTTTAAAGAATGCGGCAAAAATTGTTAATGTTAAAGCGGCGTCCTGAGAAATGTCTAATTATGTACATGAATGCGGATAAATTAAAAATCGGTGGCCTGGACGACTTGGTTCGGGTAGAGCGACAATTGAATCGTCTTCGGCGCACAATACGAATCCTCTTCAGACGTCGACGATCGCCTCTTGATGCGATGCTCCGTCAGAAACTTGTAGCAATCAACGACAACGCGAAGGCACCAAACCTTAAACATTTAAATTGTTGAAAAAAAAATTGTTGATCTCTATTCTCACATTAATAAGTACCATTACAAGGTACATAATGAAGAACAACAAAAGGGTCCCGCAGAGAAAACTCGAAATCACATTGGTGCTGATCAACGGACTCGGAAGTTTCACCTAAAAAATTTGGCTTCAATTGGTTCCCAACAAAAGAAAAAGACCATGGATTCTGCGGCCGCGTCGGGATTCGTGATCACCAATTGGACGTGAAGTGAAGCTCCAGAGAACAACGCGTACAATGAGAAGGCGGCCATTCCGAGAAGGCTGAGCACAAGAAGCGTCTGCATGACGATATGCGGCACGAGAAGGGCGCCGATTCGATAGAAGATCGCCAAAAATAGAAGAACGATGACGACGAGGAGCAGGACGGCGGCGAAAATCATGATAAGCGAGTTGTCCGAGTTGAACCACGAGCCATTGGCAACCTGAAAATGGAAATTTGTTTTTTTTTTTTCAAAGGAATGCCTCTAAACTAGTAATTCCTCTGAAAAAATTGCAAAATTTTAGGTTTTTTTTTTGGTTAAAAAAATTAAAAATTTTTGCTTCAAATCTTCAGAATGCTCCTTTAATAAAAACATTATTGTAGTAAAAAAGACCATCGAGTGATAAAGATCTCATTCGGAAGTCCCTTTCAAAATTTACATTTAAATTCGAATTTTTTTTGAAAATCTAATTACACAGTTTTCCGCGTTTCGAAGACAAAATTTTACAAGATTTTTCAAAATCATTTTCCGTTTTTTTTTCTTCCAAACAATTTCAAATTTAGACGGTCTCTTTAAAGGATCATAGCCAATAAAATACCTACCTGATACATCAGAATCGAGAGCTCGGCAATTGCGATGAAGACCGAAATGAATCTGACATGAATTCGGAATCTCTTATCTTTGATCTCATCCTCTTCGATCTGCAACCAAAAAAAAACAATACACAAAATGGAGATTCAAAAAAGAAAATGTGAAAATCGCCGCGCAATCTCATCTCTTATCAATTGCCCATTCAAAAAGAAAAAATAAACGAACGGCAATCGTCGCTCAAACTCACACTCGCGTTTTTGTTCAACGAGACGATCGATGAGAAGACTTTCGACTGAAACCGCTTCGTCGTCTCCATTTCCTCTTCCGATCTGACGACGAGAATTGAATCGATAATAAATTTGAACGTTTTGAGGAAAACAGCGATGACGAGGATGATGGGGGGGGGGTCGTCGTCGTTGTCGCCGCGCGCACGCACGCAGCCTCCCTTTTCGATTTACACTATACAATGCGCAGAGGCGCAGCGAGACAGAAAAACTATGCATGGTATAATTATCGTGAATGGTGGGTTCACCAAATTTCCCTTATTCTTTTTTTCGTCGAATTTCCCGGCAGACTTCAATTTTTTGACTGGATCGAAAATACAAAATTTTGAGATTGGCGCCAAAATCGAAAAAAAAAATTGTTCAAATATTTGCCGAAAATCGAAAAAATTGAGATTAGTGAAATAAAAATGACTTTAAAACCGGGCGAGAGCAAATTTTAGAAGATTTGAATGTGTCGGTGTCGTGTCGAGACCGCCAAAACCGAAAAATCGAAATTGATTGCCCCATTTTTTGTTGAACAAAAAAAAATCAGGGAAAGCTTAAAATCGTCGGAAATTTCGGCAAAATTGGAAAAAATTTGAAAAAAACATTTTTTTGAATTTCGCGCTGAAGAAAAAATTTTTATTCGTCTAAACGAGAAAAAATTTTTTGTCAAAATCCAAAATGAATCTAGAGAATTTTAATTTCCCGTTGAAAAAAACCGACAGTCACAAGATCGTGCCGAGACCCAACGCAGTGTGACGGTTTGAAAGACAAATTTAAATGTCGATTAATTTGGTTGGAAAAAACGGTCGAAATTATCGAGAATTCGAAAAAATTTAAGCAATTCCTCAAAAAATGTGCCAAATTTCAGCGAGACGTCGGAAATTCTCCAAAAAAAAAAATCCCAAAAATCAATAAGATAAAACAAGGTGTGAAAATGTGAGGTTCGAGTAGCGAATACTCGTTTCCCAAAAAAGGAAAGAGGAGAAAGTGAATTAGATGGGCCCAAAAAAGGTCAAATTCTGCCAATTACATTCCATTAAGAGAATATTTTCGACGAAAAATTGAAAGATGGCCGAAATTTGCCGAAAAAATTCAATATTTTTTAGAAAATAAAAAAATATGTTGGAAAAAAATCGAAATTGGAATTTTTTGGTTCGAATGAGAAACGAATTCGATCGGGAAGGGCCACGCCTCGAAATATCTCATCGAAATCCCATATTTTCTTTCTTCAAATCAAACATTTCCAAGAATGATTGATTGGAAACGAATCGTATAGTGTTGAAATGAATACGATTCGACGAAATGAGGAACCAAATACTGGTTCTCATACAACTTTTGTCGATTTGGCCGAATTTTCGCAAAAAAAAAAAGAGAATTTTAAATTTTTTTGGTGTATTTTTCTAAGGCTTTATCGCCAAAATTCAAAATTTTCCAAAAATCGTTATTTTGTTCGATTTTTTTTCAAATTTGACAATTTTTTATTGTTATAATCTCACAAATACAAAAAATTAGTTTTTTTTTAATGCTAGAATTAGTCTCGAGATGATGAGACGCGCGATCGCGTAAATCGACATTCTCATGTTGCGAGACCTAATTCTACAGTAGGATTCGCAATCGCGCGAATTAGGCGCTATTTTTTCGGCAATTTTAAGCCTTGAAAAAATTGTGCCCAAAAATGTTTAATGAATATTTGAAAATTCGAATTTTCGAAAAAATAAAAATTCCGAAAAAAATTTTTTCGAAAAAATAAAAATTTTAGTAACCGGAATTTAGATTGTTCTTTTTTTTTTCAAATCTAATCCCAATTTCTTTGATTTTCAGCCTAATTTGAAATTTTTGGCAAATATTTAAATGATTTTTTTTTACTTATTTTCAGTTTTGGCACAGAATGCGAAATTTTGGCAGATAAACCATACTCTTTTAAATACATTCGAATTTTGAATGTCAGATATTAATTGTTCAATAAAAATTGGGAAAAAGCTTTAAAACATTCAATGTTGTATCAAAGGAGCATCTTGAATTATTTTCGAATAGAAAAATCGATTAAATACTTTTTTTTTCTTCAAAATAAAACCTCGAATTACAATTTTCTCCGTTTTTGATTAGATCTTGGCGTTGGAATTGAATTTTCTCGAAAAATTGTTTTTTTAATCAATTTTTCGGAAAAAATCTTATTAGTAGTAAATTCAAAAGATGAAATTTTCAATTTCTGAAGGAAATCATGTTTTGTTGAAGTATCACCATCAATGATGATAATCACGTGATTCAGGTGGCATTTTTCCGCCAAAATCTCAAAAATCTCACTTTTTTTCGTCAAAAAGTACCAATTTTCACTTTTTTTACAATAAAAAACATCACATAAAAGGTTGAAAGCTCATGCTCACCTTGGTCGAACAAGAAAGTAGTGGGACTCGCTGGGTCAACGACTGATCCGACATCGAAACGCTGTAAAATCGGGTTCGGTGAAAATGACAAGAAAATTTCGAGGGCAAAACGCATTGAAATCGGTATATTCGGACAGCATTATTAGGGTTGAATCGAGGACAACAGATGGCGGACAGATAACGGCGAAACGAGTGGCGGGTGGGGACCTGGGAAAAAGATATCGGCGGGGGAACGGCGTATCATCAGCAGACGAACAAAAAATCCAATTTCATTGGCAACAAATTGCCTTGTTTTTGCCGATTCGACACCCATTTTTCACTCGATCGCGCCACAATGATAGATATCAATTGAGGAGAGGGCCGGCGGACTTCCAATTTAGTCAAGCGAACACTGATTCGATGATACGGTTGTATTGCGGTAGACATGAAAGGTTATCGGCACTGAACTTGAACTTTTGAACGGTTTTTCTTGAAAAAAAAAAAGAAAAGAAATAAAATTAAAAAAAACGGGTTACTGTAGAATTTCAAGGTGCGCGCAATAATTTCCATGTGAGTTTCATAGCGAATTGCGTACTGTAATTTTTTCTTTTTTTTGTAAAACAAAACTCATTTTTTTGCTCATTTTTCTTGCAGATAATGGGAACTCGCCGGCATTTTTCGTATTCGACACAAAAATCGAATCAAGAGCCAGCGTTTAAACGATGGAAAACGCGATTCTCGGCCGGCGGCGCAAATCGAACCAACGTTCACAATATTATTCGAGATTTGAGCTATGAGCATCTAGGAGAAGCGCGTAAAAACCGACAAGAATGAGATGTAAAATGAAAAATCGATACAATTTCCAGCAATCCGATCGCATCGATTGCCATATGATCGCTATTCGTACAAAAAAGATGCCGCCGGCGAAAGGGTAATTCGATTTAATAGTGTTGATTCATCAAAACTTGGGCTTCTCTATTTCCAGGTATACTCACCAAGTCATTATTACGACGAAAAAGGCCGCCCACTGCAAAGAGTTGGTCTTTTTCGAAATTCGAAGCATTCCGATTTGGTTTTGCCGAATGTCAATGAGGAAGTTTTAAGAAATGTCGGAACCAAAAAAAAATGTGGGACGAAAAAATGCTTTTCGTTGTAAATTTCAGGCAGAAGCTTCAATTCGGAGGATAGTGAGGCCTGAAAGGAATCTAGACTACGAAAAAGGGAATTGTAAAGAAAATCGAATGTTTCGCGGAGGGAAAAAATGACAAATTTCAGCGATTCGAAACCGCGTGAGACAAGTGGTCCAGGAAATGGCCGGAATTCCGGCGGAGCCCGCGTTTCAGCGATTCGTCAATCCGACATCGCATCGTCGGCTTTTCGACGTCTCACCGGTCGCGCGATACACCAATCCGCATCAGAATGTGCTCTATGATAGTGGATATGAGCCGCGATACGAGAATACGCGCTATGAGGTGAGAAATCAAATAAGAAATTCTCGCTTCAACACCCATATTTAGAAATATCGACCATCGAATGATGAATATTATGAGTCTCAGAGGGTTCGAGAGGATGATGAATACATGGATGATCGACGCGGTTATCAAAGGTTTCATTTTTTTTTGGAATGCGCCTTTAAAGCGATCTTGGTTTGAAATTTTGTCACGCCTGCGCAAAATTCACTAAATTCCAAAAACCTGCATACGAGGCAGCGCATCGCGACGAGACCTCTTTTACACATTTTTGGCATTGAGACAACTTTTTAGAAATGACCTTAAATTAACTGAGTCTGATCGCGCTATAGGACCCAGCGGAATAAATTACTGTATCGAGATTGAAAAAAATCATTTTGACAATTTTTCAAATCAAAAATTTGATTTCAATTCAAAATTGCACCATTTTCATCAGAAGATCAACGCCGAGAACTGAAGAAGACGATTCTGATGATGATGATGGCGAATTGCGACGTCGTCGCGATCGGCGGAATCGTCGAATTGAGGCCGACGAGCGGAAGCGGCGTCGCCGCCGCAATGTTTTTGATAATAAATCGCCGGCTCGTGATTTATTGAGTGTTGCGTCGCCGATGGGAATACGAAGGTCGCTCGAATCAAAACGTCGCCATCAATCTTATCCGAATCAACGCAATGTCGATTCGGCGGCGACGAACAGCGATTATGAAGAGGAAAGTGCGATTCCGATGCCGAATAAGGTTGGTTTGAGCAATTCGGATCTCGACCAATATTTTGGTAAAATTATTTTTTATTTAATTGGAATTTTAAATTTTTCTGAATTTTAAAAACATCTATGGTCTTATTCGTGAATTCTTTTTACAAAAAATATTTAGAAAATTGCCTTAAATGTGCATTTTTAAATTTTTTTTGTATAAATTTGTTCACTGCAAAAAAATGGCACGAAAATTGTCTCGCAATCTTCCTTCAATTTTTCATTTATTAGATGTTCTGTCAGAAATGGGAAAAGCTGTGCTCAAGATTTCGTTGCGAAATCCTGAAAACACTTCGCAATGCTCCTTTAATCGTCATACTGTAGTTTTGAAAAAATTTTGATGATGGGATCTTTAAAATTATTTTTTAAATGTTTTTTTAGTCAGAAAAGCAAAATTATATTTTTAATCACTATGCTCCTTTAAAGGCGCATCATTTCTCTTGAAGTGACATCGTTTGATTAAATCAGCGAAAATACGAATTTGATGAAATCGATTAGCCGACAAAAATTGTGTGCTTCTTATTTTTTTTCAGAAAAATTCGGATTCGAGTAGGAAATCGGAAAAAATCAAAGGTGAGCCAAAAAAAAGAAGAAGAAGGAAAGACAAAATTTGATTGATTTTCGCAGAACGCCGACAAAAATTTGGTAGAAAACGCGAGAAAAAGTACATAATCGACGAGGCGAATGAGTCATGGCGAAAAGCGCTCGGCTTTATGAATGATCGGTATTGGACAATGTGTAATGTTGATTTTTTTTGTTGCCCTTTTTCAAATTAAGAAATGGCGATGGAATGTTGATTGTGAGACGAATGGGCGCCTCTTTGCCGATGCTGCCGTTGCGGGAGGACTCGCAGAAGTGCTATTCGAAAGTTGCGAGCTTACTGATTCGGAAAAGCATCAAAAATGCGGTGATTTTCTTTTAATTTGCTTAAAAAATCGTGCAAATTTTGCGATTTCTGAAATTTCGACTTTAAATGCTCAAAAATTGAACATTGAAGAATATTTAGCTAAATCTTGAAATTTCACTCATAAATTGAAAATTGCTCATTTTTTTGCCTGAAATTAAAACAATTAGAATTTTGCTCAAGACAAGTGCAATTTTTTGGGAATTTTGAAAAAAATTGCAAAAATCGAGATGTTTCCAAATTTCTAAATCAAAACTTGAATTGTTGCCTGAACCGCCGAAAATTTTTTGGCAGATGATCAAAATCGGAGAAAAAAAAAATCGCGAAGAATTAATCCGTTGTAAAACCGGTTTTTGGGTATCATTTTTTGAGACGTCGCCTAAAAAATTTGCATTCTTGATGACGATTTTCGCATCAATTTCAATTTGCATCAAAAAACGTGAGCGAAAACGCGCAAATTTTCAGGCGGATCGCGAAAAATCGCTGACGACAGCTCGAAGTAAACCGTCAGTCGAGCAGAAATCGGCTTCCAAGGTGTGTGTGTGTGTTTTTTTAAAATCTTTTTGACCAAATTTTCGCGCCTAAAATTGAGGTGACGTTTTTTTTTCTGCCAATTTGCAGATCTACAACGAGCTCGTCGACATGAGCACAATTCTCGCTGCCGGCGGTGATTTTGAGCCGAAATCGACGCCTTCTGGTGGATTATTGCCCCCCAAAAAGCAAGAATGATTTCAATTTCTCGCATTTTCCAGCTTCACACAAATCGATTTTTCACGATATTTCGAAAATCCGAAATCCGCAAAGATTTTTGGGCGATGATTGCTCGAAGTTTGAAGCGAATTCCGTCATTTTCAAAGTGCCAAATATGGAAAAACCGCGAAAATCGTGAGTTTCTGTTTTTTTTTGTTGCCAAAAAAATGCACAATTTTTCTTTTTTTACAGATATCGCCCAATTTTTCATTCATCACCGGTAGCAATTTGATAAAAACTCAATTTGATCGACTAATTTGGTTTGCAGCGAAGCAATGACGTCATCAGGTCTTCGGAATTCGACCTCATGCCCAGCAGCATTCGGAATACTGAACTCAACGATTCCGAGGATCTCATTGATCCAAAGATCGGCAGGGATTACACAGAGGAGAATATTGAGAAGGGCGCTTCCCTTCTGACATTCATCGATTCCCCGGGTTCGCCAAATTGGTGATTTTTTCAATTATAGGATGTTTTTTAGATGTTGGCTGTCTGAAATCGAATTTTGAGTTTGAAATGAGTCCTGAGCCGTCGAAAGACGATCCTTTTGGCTTTGAAAAACCGATTTTTGAATATGGTTTGACATCTGCGGACAATTTACCGCGAGAATTGGTTTTTTTTTTAATTTTCAGAAAACCCGTTTCCTGATGAGACCCCACCGAATTCTGCATTAGGCGATGATCCAACTTTTCGCAGGTCCAACAATTAAAAAAAATAATATAATTAAATTTTCTTTCTAGAATGTTCAATAATGCTTATAAGGAGCACCAGACACGCAAAAAATTGGCAAATCCGTTCTACGACGATGAATTTTGAATTTATTGCATCTCAATTATAAATCTGATAGTTTTAACTTTTTTGAAAAATGCGACACATGGTTTGAAAATTTGCCGCTGAAATTATTTGGTCCGCGAACACCGCGACGCAAAAATGCACCGAGGCATTTTGCATCATTTTCTGTTTCGATTTTCAAATTTTCAGGAATGAATTTTGCGGCGAGGATCACACGGCAGGTTTTAAGAACAAGGTATATAAGCAATATTTACTATGTATATCTAGTTAAACACAAGCTTTATATATAAATTAAGTATTGTTTGGCGTTCGCGTATCTCTCGCTAATATTTTTCCAGTTAGCAATCTGAAATTCAAAATTACTTAATTTTTACGAGAGGATTCATCTAGAAATTACCTTCCAAATGGCGTTGACATAATCTGGGCGCACGTTTTTATATTGAAGATAGTAGGCGTGCTCCCAAACGTCGATTCCGAACAATGGGATGAGGCCAGTGGTGGCTTCGAGTGGGTCCTGGTTGGCGCACGTCGCCACCTTAAGCACTTTCCCTTTTGGACAGTATCCGAGCCATCCCCATCCGGATCCTTGAACAGCGATGGTGGAAGCCGAAAGCGTCTTCTGGAGATTTTCAAGCGAGCCAAAGTCCTTCTTAATAGCGGCCATGAGCTCGGCAGACGGCTCACCGCCATCCTTGGCGAGATTTGTCCAGAAGATGGAATGGTTGATGTGACCACCACCATTGAACTTCAAGCCCGGTTGAAGGGCAATCGCTTCCTTGACGTTTCCTGCAAATTGTTCCATTTTGAAACTCAATAATTAATTGAAAGCTAATTACCCTTGGAAACAGCCTCATGAAGCTTCTCCTCAATTTGGTTGAGGTTGTTAACGTAGGTAGCATGATGCTTCTGGTGATGAAGCTGCATAATTTCATGGCTGATAACGGGCTCAAGGTCATGATAGTCGTACGGAAGGTCGGGAAGTGTGTGTTTGCTGCGGACAGCCAATCTAAACCAACATTTTGAAGTTTTCCGGTTTTTTTTTATATTTTTTCCTTACCCTGCTGCTGGAAGCAAGGTTTTGGAAGCGGCAAGCCGAGAAACAGATTGAAGCATCCTTAATCAATAAATTTAAAAAGAGGAATCTCGAAAAAATGGCGGTATTGCGCAAAAAACCGGTTTGCAAGCAAAATTTTTTTGAAGAAATGAAGAACAGTCGGTGTGCAAAAAAACACTCCTCAGCGATTCAATCGGAACGAACAGCGGTTGTTTTTGGGCGAACCCAAAAACGATGAACGGCCTTCCCTCGGGGTCACACTGGTCGTCCCAAAATGTTCCGCGGGTTAACCCAAACGACGGGTGTACGCGCGGAGTGTTGTAATCACCCTTGTTTTAGCAGCTCATAAATTTTATTGGGTAATGCGCGTTTTATTTAAATAACATATTTATTCGAACCTTTCCAAAATCAATAGGTAACAAATAATGCAAATATCGATATTTAAAATAAAAACGTTGACAAAAAAAGAGGAAAGATTACAATAAAACATGAATAATTTAACATTTAGGATAACAAAAAAAAACAAGGACACTCTGCTAATTCGTCGAATACTAATGAATGATCGAATGTAAAAAATTTAGAATCAAATTCGTATTGCTCGTTTCACAATCGAACTACATTCCAATTGACTTCTAATGGAAATCGATTGATCATTTAAGATATTGCGTTGAATCGAAACAGATGAATTCTATTCGATTCGACGAATGAGCAGAGCAAAAAAAATTGGGATTAAAGCAAATCACCGTTATGTTCAATGTCGTTGTTGGCTTCATCCTCATCGACGTCTTCTTCATCCGAAATCGGTGTCGGCGAATGGCGGAAGTCGTTCGATGTTTTCTTAATAAAAAAAAGTTTTAGTTATTTCATGACTCTAGAAAACTGTGATTTCTATTACCTTTTCTTTCCTTTTTAATGCGTTTGGATCCTGTTCGAATCGTTTGCGCACAACTCCATTTTGACCTTGGGTTTCCACAATTTTTTTGTTCCGAAGATCATTACTGAATATATATAGCTTATTTCTATATATAAAGTATTACAAAAAACTTACAAAACTCGGTGAGCTTTGAAATAAATAAAGTCCACCATATTTGCCACATCCATAATCAGCTTCTCATAATGTTGACTTATTTCCGCTTTATTGTCTCCCAATCTTGCTGCCAACCTGAAAAAAGTAAAATAAAAGATTAATGGTTAATATACTAACCTCGCATTTTCATTTTGAAGATCTTCTACTGAATATCCAGGGAATTGCAATTTTACTGGATATCCGTAGCTTTCCAGAATGAAGTCTGAATTAGGTTCCATTTGGTATTGACTCTTTGATGATTACCTCTGATAGCGTCAATAACGTCCTCAGGGACTGGTTTCAGCCCTTCTTGCATTCGTTGACCGGGGCGTTTCGCAATCGAATAGCTTTGGTGCGCTGTTGGAGAGTCCATTATCTAGAAAATTATTTTTTTTAAAGTCACGCGGCTATACTTACAATAAGAATTAAATTTCTAAGACACTGCGCGATCTCTCGTTGTATACTTGTTTGAACAATCTTCATATTCCGCAAATCGAGGAATGCATGCTTCTGAATAATTATTTTTTATTTCTTTAGTTTGGAAAATCTCTTGTGCAAAAGATACATGTTCTGATTACTTTTCATTTATCCTTATCGAACAAATATACAAACCAATCCGCATTAACTACATGTGACGAAAAACCATTCATTTTTTGTTCCGCAATCATCGTTTTCACTTCTGCCAGTGAGTATTTAACATTATTTGACATACCATTTTCTTCAAACGTTGGCCTTCTTCTTTTCATTCCAATTGTTGCGTTACCGTGGATGACTGCGCTAGAACTAAAATTAATTTTTCTTTACATAATGATGAAAATTATATAGAAATTGAGTAAACGTTAAAAAATTTTCAATAATTCCAGTACGACACTCCAATTACAAACTGCCCTCCGTTTAGAGTTTGGGCTAAACCGTGGACGACTTTTGTTTTGACCGAGTTCAATGTTTCCCGTGTTTGCCCCAAATTGTTCCGCGGGTTATCCCAAACCCAAAAACAACCGCTGTTCGTCCCGATTGAATCGCTGAGTCGGTGTTTGCGGGCAATGCGCCGAAGCGTACGGACAAATTTCAAATTCCAAATAATCCCCATTTTGTCATCACTAATTTTCAGTGAATTTGCTTGAGTTTCCAATTTTCGATTTTTTTTCAGTGTCCTCAAACGAGCAATGTCAACGATTGATCGAAGCTTGTACGTCATTCCAAATGACTCGCCGGTGTGCGAATTGGACGCAACTGAGGCGTTCAAAAGTAAAATGAAATTCCACAAAAAGAAAGTTTTAACGAAAAGAAACAAATTTAGACTTGACTAATGTTGAGCGAAAATACGCGCACTATCTCGCCAAGGCTTCATTCGACGGCGCGCTCACGGTTTTCCTTCAAGTCTCGCCGGAATCGCCGGCGATTTTCTATGTCCTCTACAAATTGTTCAAGTCGGACACGATCGAGAACATCAAATCGATCGCGTTGGGCGTCGGATTCACCGACGACGAATGGGGAGCGTTGTTGGTGTACGCGGCGGCGTTCTATTCGAATTCGGGTAACTATAAGGGATTCGGCGACACGAAAATCGTGCCGAACGTGTCGGAGGCGAAAATCGCGGCGCTTTTGGAGAAGTCGAAAATCGGACAAGACGCCAAAACGATGAAAGTGTGGAAGACGATTGAGAAGCTCGTTGGATCATTGGAGTCCAATCAACTACAACTCGGATTCGGCGATAATGTAGGAAAATGTTCAATTTCAAAAAAAAATTTTTTTGAATTTCAGGGGACCACTTGCTACCATTCTTCGAACGTCACCAAAGCCGATGCGGAGAAAATCGACAGATTCTTCAAGGTTGGCAAAAATTTACTTCAGAATCTTTTTTTTACCAATAAATTAAGAAAGCAGCCGTTGTTTTTTAGGAGAAGAACATCGAATCGTGGAATTCGCGACTGTTCAAAGAGGTCAAAGACGGAAAAACGATTTTCACGGTGAAATTGGCGAGCAGCGATGATGGCGTCGTTTCGGAAGCCGATTTCGAGAATGACACTGTCCGATTGGTCCGTGGCGACTATGGTCCGTTGATGAAGAGAACTCAAGAATGGCTCAAACAGGCGAAAGAAGTGGCCGCCAATGAGAATCAGAAGAAGATGATTGAGAATTATGTGGAGCACTTCAAAAATGGAGACATTAACCTTCACAAGGTAACTTTTTAATTAAAAAAAAAAGAAAAAATTTAAAATCGGTTCAGAATGGAAGCCGATATTGGATCAAAGATGTCGGACCAACCGTCGAGAGCTACATCGGATTCATTGAGAACTATCGCGATCCGGCGGGCACGCGAAGCGAATTCGAGGGCTTCGTCGCCGCCGTCAACAAGGAGACGTCGAAGAAATTCCAGAAGCTCGTGCAAAACGCCGAATCGATTCTCAAACGTCTACCGTGGGGCGCCGCTTATGAGAAAGACGCGTTTCTGAAGCCCGACTTCACCGCGTTGGACGTGATCGCGTTTGGAAGCAGCGGAATTCCGGCGGGCATCAATATTCCGAATTGTGAGTTTGGATCTCGACAAGAAATGTGAATTAATCGCAAAAAAAATTGGATTTTAATGTTTGATTGCTGTAGAATTGGTTAATGTAGAATTTTTTATCTCTACACTCGTGACGAGACCAAATTTCCAGACGACGATATCCGTCAGAACGAGGGTTTTAAGAATGTCTCGCTCGGAAATGTGATCTCGGCTCAACCGAAACAGAAAATGAACTTCCTCGATGACAACGATGAGGAGATGATGTTCAAATATCATAAGGACTCGTTCGAGGTGCAAGTCGGCCTCCATGAGCTTCTCGGTCACGGCAGCGGAAAGTTGTTCCAGCGAATGCCGGACGGCACGTTCAATTTCGACAAAGACAACACGAAAGACATTTTGACGGGCGGCAGAATCGCCACGTGGTACGAGCCCGGCGAGACGTGGTCCTCAAAATTCGGACCATTGGCGTCGGCGTACGAGGAGTGTCGCGCCGAAGCGGTTGGCTATGTGTTGTGCTGCGATTCGGACATTTTGGAGTCGGTGTCGCATTTCGCCGTTTTCGAATGTTCCATCATATTTTTTTCAGAATTTTCGGCTACACTGGCGAACTCGCTCAAGACGTCAAATATGTGAATTGGCTGAGCGAGATCCGCGCGGGACTCATGGCTCTCGAGTTCTATCAGCCGGACAAAAAGAAATGGGGACAAGCGCATTGCTATGCGAGATATGTGCTCACCAAAGTCGTCTTGGAAGCTGGACAAGATTTTGTGCAGATTTTGGACAAGACGGGCGATGATGGCAAGCCGGGTAATAATCGATCGCAATAATTTTCTTGACGACGATTTTTTGTCTAGATCTTCATTTCAAGCTGGATCGCACCAAAATTGATAGTGTCGGAAAGCCGGCGGTGAACGCGTTCCTCGCCAAGCTTCAGGTGTGCGATTTTACGATGTCCGATTGAATTGTTTTCGTTTTAGGGCTACAAATCAACCGGCGATTTTGAAGGAGGCCGAAAACTATTTGAAAGCTATGGAATTGTTGGCGAAAAGGTTGACAGAAAAAATGGGTTTCGTTGAGAAATTGGTCTTTTCAGGAGCTCGCTTGGCGAAAAATTTGTGTGGATCGCCGAAAGCCGAGACGTTTGTTCGTTCAGCCGAATACGATTGAGAAAGATGGAGGTAAATTGATGTCAAACTTAATTTTTTGAGAAGTTATTCAATATTTTCACTCTTTTCCTCATTTTAAGGAATTTTTAAGGAAAAAATTGAATTTTTCCTATAATATTTGAATTTTCGATTTTTGTATTGCCGAAAATTGATGCGAAATATCATCGTTATAGGACACAATTTGAAATTTTTGAGAATTTTTTTTACAAAAATTAGAACATTTTGAATTTTGCGGTCATTTTAAAGATTATTCTACGTAAAATAATTCATTATTAAGATTCAAAAATTTGAAAATTGTCATTTTTTTTCCAAAAAGTTGATTTTAGACGTCCAAATTTTGACTTATCCATCGGATCATGCCGGAGTCATCAAATCGTTCATCGAGAGATACGAGGATTCCGCTTTGGAGGACATGATCGCCTGCTGGGAAGCCGATAAAAAGTGGTTCGGCCTCTAAATTCTGTGATAATTATGCTCGGTTTTTTCTTCATTCCCGCCGTTTCTTTTTTTTTTAAATTGATTTTTTTAGGGTTGCATAATTTATAAACAATTTGCATGTTTTTTTTTTTTCGCTGATTTTCTCCAATTCTTGTGGTTTTTAGCCACGCTCTTCTATCTGCGAATTTCCCCAAAAGCTTTGTCATTTTCTGTTTCAGCAATATTTTGATTTTCAGATGGTAGTTTTAGATGATTCGTTAATGGAAGAGGATGAGGTGGATTTTGCCGTTAAAATGGTCGCAAAGTATGAACGAGGTATGACCGGGATCGATGTCCGCAGATGGCGGAATTGAAGTTTGATCGAATTCGCGAGAATTTCGATGATATTTTTCGGAGATATGAAAAAGCTTCTCATCGAGAAATTGCATTACTCGACATATGAATAGAATTATTCGAAAAAAATATTTATAAAAAGAATTGTCACCAAGAAAGAAAATTGTGAATTTTGTATTTTTTTTTTTGAAAATCGCGAATTTTTGAAAAATTTCTGCATTGGGGGCGAAATGACCGAAATTTCTTTAGTATGGTCACGTTATGATGAATTTGCAATTATTGAGGTCTGCTCCTTTAAGAATTTCCCCTTTAAGAAACGCCTCGATTATAAATGACGTGAAAAAATTGCGAGAGTGTCGAGACCCCGAATTTAAAGGTGCATCACGATTTTCAGCACATTCGCGCCCGATAACCGGCCTATGGTCGTTTCGATTCGCCGGCCAAATTGCGTTCATCACGATTGCGCACGATTCGGCGAAACTGTGGACACTGTAAGTCATCAAACGAAAAAAGAAAAGAAACTCAAGCATTATTTTTGAATTTCCCGCCAAAAATTCGGGATTTTTTTTTTTGCAGCGATGAGGACCGCCATCGCAAGCAGGCGAATATCAGCGAGAAGATGTCGCTGGCGAAATGGCGGCACGCCGTCCAATCGGCTGATGTGTCAGCCGATGGCAAATGTGAGGCGAATTTTTGAAAAGCGTTTTATTGGAAGTTTTTCAGACGTGGTTGCCATCGGAATCGACTCGATGGTCCATGAAATTGAGCTCGAGAACGATGTGGTGACGAATGTTCACGATTTCGGCTACATGGACGCCGTTTATGTTTCAATCGCGTCAACAAAGAACACGTATATTACAGGTAGATTTAAAAAAAAACCAAATTTCTCACAAAAAGAAATTTTAAGCGAGTTTCTCGGGATTCCTATCGGAAATTGAAGTTGGATCGGGAAAAGTGTTCCGCAAGCAGCCGCACGCGTTTGTCAAAAATATCAGCTGCTTGAAATATGTTGGGCGTTAAATTAGCGATATGATTCGCATTTTGTTTTTTTTGCAGTCTTCTGATATGAAATTTTTGGCGGTTGGCCAAACGGATGGCGGAATTGAGATGCACGAGACGTCGACGTTGAAGTCGATTCATAAATACGAAGGTATTTTTGTTTTTTTTTTATTTGGCAGCTTCTTCGTTCTTCAACAGCTTTTGCCAATTCTTTTAGTGCACTCGATGAGAATCCGACAGATCGTCTTCCTGCCCGGCGATGAGCGATTTTTGAGCGCGTGCGACGATCGGCTCATCAAATTGCACACACTGGCTGAAATGTGAGTCAAAAAAATATATTTTTGTTTGAAAAACATCAGGATTATCGTTTGAGTCAAGCTATTTTTCTCATATTGTAAGCCGAAATTGTCAAGTTTGATCAAATATTTAATGATTTCCATATTCAAACAATTCAATCGCATTTGTTTCGAGAAAATTCCTCGATTTTTTTTAATTCAAGAAAAAGCAGGGTTGTTAAATTTTGGGCCCGGCCGGCTTTCGGCCCCGGCTTCAATTTACCAACCCTGAAAAAAAGTAAAATTTTGCTGTTTTTTTTTCAACAAAAAATGCTTCCCAATTTGACGAGTCGCGTCGAACTGGGGAATTTCGTCGATTCGACGCGACCCGATTTGAGTCGATGGACAATCTTTTTACGGACAACAGTTACTTCATTTTTGATGATTTTAATCGAATCTTGCTTAATTTGTGACTGAAAACGCTCGCGACTCGACCCAATTTTTTGCGTTTTCAGCGGCCAATCCGATTCGGTGAGAACGGTGAAACCGATTCGCGTGTTTTCTGCGCACGATTCGCCCGTGTTATGCCTTTCGGTTGACGAGAGATCCGGTGGAACGCGATTCGCGAGCTCGTCGGCTTCCGGACAGGTATGCTAGAGGAGAAGCTTAAAGAATTGCATTTTGAATCATCTGCGGACAAAAATCCGGTTCGTCGCCAAAAAAATGTGACATTCGTTGCAGATTTTCATTTGGCACATCGAGCTGTCGGCGCCGATTTGCGCGGTGCCCTCCGAGCACAACACGATGATCTACGGATTGTCGTTTTCGCCGAGCGGTCGCCATTTGATATCGGCCGGTCAGGATTCGACGATCTGCTGCTACTGTGTGCCGCCGTCCGGCGAGCAATCGCCGATTCAATCGGAAGACGTAGGCCGAACGCATTTTGATTGGGAATTTCAACGAATTGAGTGTTTAGGAGGAGATGTACTCGCAAAGGGACACCTATGAACAATCCGGAATGGATCAATCAACAATCCAGGATCACAACACGGAAATGTACGAATCTTCGCAAAACTACGCCACGATGCAAGAAAGCTATGGTATTCATCCCCAAAATCATTGGCCAGATTCGATAGACTCGATTCAGCTACCGATGATTCTCAAAACTACGAGTATACTAACATGCCGACGGAATCTCAAGAATATTCGCAACCAACCGATCATCGGAGTGCCGAACATTATGAGGCGACAGCCGAGGAAATTCATCCGGCCAGTCCCGATGACCCACAAGGTTTGGAATTTTGTCAACAATTTGGCACGATTATTGAAAATTTTCAACGCATTAAAAAACAATTCGTTTCCCAGAAGTTTAAAAATCGCCAAAAAGGATAATGGCGACAAAATTATTCAAAAATGACAGAAAAACTCGAGCCTATGTCAATTTTTGCAATAAATTGGGGTTCTTCCAAACATATTTTTAAAAAATGACAAATTTTAGTAGGCGAATATCAAACGGAAGATCACGAGAATGAGTACGATGCTGTCGCTTAATCAACGATCTCAATTTGAATTTGAAATTATGCTGAATCTCTCAATTTTTTTTAAATTAATTAATAAAAAATAACGTTATGGAATGATAATTGTTATTATTATTATTCTTAATTATTGCGGCGTCGACGAATACGCAACTGGAGCGCCTTCCAATGTCACCGGCTCCGAATGAACCGGCGTCGAGTGTTTGCTCATTGGCTGTCCGTTCGGCTCCTTCTAAGAGAAATCGGCAATGGTGTCGATTCACAACAAAAAAAGAATCACCAACCTGCAGCGGCTCCTCATTGAAAAGAAGCATTCGATGGAATTCGGTGAGATGCTCCAATAGCGCCCACGCGCCCATGAATCGTTGGCTGCACGTCGCGCATTTTAGACGATGTTTCGGCTCTTCTAGAAAATGTCCATTTTCGGAGAATTTTTCCCCCCCGCACTCCTCTTACCAGGATCTTTGTATTTTACGCATCCCGCAATTCGGTGGTCCTTGAACTCCTCGAAATCGCTCGTCACAAACCGACAATTGCCGCAAATCATTGTGTCGCACATTTCTGCAAAACAAAAAAAAAGCCATTCGCCTTGGGACCATCGAATAACGTACCATTAGTGTTCAGATCCTCGTTTCCCGTCTTATCGCTCATCGCAAATGTCTTATTCCGTTTGTTCTGCTTCGAAACATCATAATCGTCATCATCATACGTTCGTTTTTTCGAGCTGAAATTCAACAAAATTGTAGATTTTGGAAAAAAAAAATTAATTTTTCTCTCAAAAATCAATTTTCTAGTTTTCCGGTTTTCGCGCAAATTATTTCAGCAATGTTGGGCAAATTTTCAGGGACAAAAAAAATCATGAAAATGAAAAAAAAATTTAAAAAAGAAAACAATAATTTAGGCCTACCGATAAAACTCGTTAGATATTTTGAAAAAACAATGGTGCTGCGGGAAATTTAAGAATGGAAATTCAAAAAATAAACCGCTCAAAATTCGGCGGTTTCAATTAAAACATGAAAAATTGGAAAAGAATGAAGAAAAAACAAACGTGAAAACTAGAAAAAAGGAAAACCGGAAAAGAAAACAAAAGTTTAAAACAAAAAAACGAAAGCAAATTGCGACCATGTGGTGGTACCTTGGCGCCGTTGGATCAACGTTCGACACGGCAGTGGTGGCGGCGGCGACAACATTGGCCGCCACTGGTGCCTGCTGTTGCGGCTTCTCCACTTTTTTCACAGCGCCCAACATCGCGAGGTGAACATCTGAAGTAAATCAAACAAATTTCGCGACCGGATGGGTTTTGCATTTTTTTTAATGAAAAAAAAGCTCATTGAGGTCAATTCGCAATGTTTTCTGCTTTCCGCAAATTCCTACCCAAAATACAAGATTTCCATGAATTTCCGTTCAACGACAAACACGATTTGTCCGCGGCTGCAGCCTCAGCAAATTGTACGAATCCGAATCCTTGAGCCTGTAAAAAATGGCAAATTTGGGTTATAACTAAGTGTTCAGAAGAAAAAAAATAACGAATCTTTACCGTAAAATAATTGACGGCGAGCAATTTTCCAAACGGACGAAACAACTCGATAATTTCATCACGAGTGACGATGGCTCGCGCCAAGTTTCCCACAAATACGCGAGCCCTATAAAACAAATTCCAAGATGGACTCAAAAAAGAAAATTGTTGAAATACCGAATCATATGCGGGTCTTTGGACGATGTATCGTAGCTGATGTCATGATTCAAAACGGATGACCCAACTCTGGAAAAAAACTCTTTTTTGACGCTGAACTTCTCACTGGAGCTTGAATATTTTGCTCATTTCTATATCAATTTTGCCAATTATCAACTAAAATGGCAAAAAATGTCTTTAAATTTTAAATTTTTTTATTACAAGCTCAAATTAGGAAAACAATTTTAGATTTTGGTGTACAACAATCAAAATTCCAAAAAACCAGAGACTTTTTATCTTTCAACCTTCCATTTTCAAATAGCGAACTCACATATTCAACAATGACGTATACGGTGTTCCTTTGCCATCTTCCGAAAACGTGGGCCTCTGCTCACCATAAACCGACGAGCCAACTCCAGACGTTGGTTGTTGTGAGTAGTAACCAAAAGCGCCATTATCTGCAAGAAAAAAAACAACAACAACAATTGTCACATTTTTCCTTTCACAGCCTCCTACCATTCATCTCCGCAAAAAAAGGTGTCTCGAGGGCGCGAAGACCTGCAAAATGTGCAATGTGATGGGAAAGTCGAGGTGTTGACGAGCGAGGTGCCAAAAATGGGAAGAGACCGCCCCTGAATTGGGGATGGTGGTGACGGGTGTGACCAATTGGTTAGTCATTAGGCGAGTCTCACTATCGAGCGAGCGTCTTCCCAAAACTGGGTATTCTCTTATTATTATTTTTTAACAGCTTTTTTTTCTTCTCAGCCAGAAGGAACCAATCATCGCAAATTATCACAATGTTATTCGGAATAATCATAATAACACAATACGATATGCGGATGCTGCAGCGGCTGCCGCCATATGTCCCGCCTGTTACACAAAGCAGCATATGCAGTTTTGCACATTGCGCCTACCTCAACTCACCGCCGTCATTAAAAATCTTGATTTTTTTACTCGAAATTTATTTTATAGTTTTTCTTTGTTACAGTCATGGTTATCAATACTACACCTCGACGACTTCATCTCGCGATGAACAGCAATGATTCGACAATCACCAAGGGCCAACCATCGCCGATATCGATGAGATATTCGGTGACATGCGCAAAATCGAGCATTTTGCAACATGAAGCGATTAGCCATCATTCTACCGAAACGCTAAATCATGAGGCAAAACAGGTGGTGGATCAGACAGCGTCGGTAAGAAAGGCAATTTTTTCAATAAAAATATTTGTTATTTTTTTTTTTAGGTTAAATGGAATATCGGTCTCCTAACCGCTATGAGCATCAGCTCAGCGCTATTCTCAATGCTGTCGCTTCATTTTTACTTTATGAGCAATGACAGGCTACGCGGAAAACCGGGAGTATACCGAAATTATGTGGTAAATTTCAATTATCAATCGAGTTATTCAAAAATTCTCAAATTTCAGGATGTTTTAAAAGACGTTGTACATTGCTTTGATCTGGCTATCGTTATTTGCTCAATTGCCACATTTTTTATCTCGTCCCTTCAACTTTTGTTCTTTATGAAGATGATGAAGCTGCAGAATCAGAATGCTGACATGTAAACGTTGAAAAATATTTTAAATTATTCAAAAATGTGAATTTCAGACCTCTACAGTACATTCAGAACACAAGTTTTTTAAGGATTGTCACCTACTCCTTCTGGTACGCTTCGATCGTACTTTTCATAACAGGTGATTAGAAAACAATTTAAAATGCCCTAGTTAATTGAACAAATTTACAGTCACCCTAATTACTTGCGCAATTGACCCATCACGTTCACTTGCTTCAAAATGCGTCTCAATAACGCTTGGTGTCTCAGCAGTTCTACTTTGCATATGGTTTTCGATAAGAACTCTACACTTCTGGAGCCGGCTCGCCTACGGACACGTTTATACGGATAATTATTATAATCATTTGAGCACTCTTGTGTAATTTATGAATAAATAGATATAGAATAAGGAAAATGTTAAGAAATACACGAAAAATTGGAAAAAATTTGAATTGATATGAATGTCGCCGAACGCGTCGCGGTCGCGCTGTTTAGCAATAGTCCATATTTGCTTGCTTTATTCAAATTCTGCCACGTCGTTCGCCGCATAGCAGTTCTCTCAACCAGTTTTTAAATTTTTTTTTGCATTTTTGGTATTTTTTGCCGAAAATGTATAGAAAATTGCCCAAGTTCGACGATTTTGTGTCTAGAACGTGAATGCCAATGGAAAAATTTTAAAAAATCTCCAATTCAAAAAAGTTAAAATTTAATTTTTTCCTAAAACTTCAAAAAAAAAGTCATTCTCTTCTTTTCTCTTTGATTTTTTTCTGATAAAAGTTTTTCTGTTCAAACTCCATCCAACGATATCCCGTTCGCGAATCTTCACTTTCATTGACCTTTTCGTTCTCCAAGACATCTCACACCTTCTACATTATACATCCCATCATTCTTCTTCTTCTTTTCTTTCCGAGTTCCATTTCTACAACAATAATTCAGGGTCTTCATTCCAAAAAAAAAATGGTCGAGCTTGGCGGTAACGGTCCATTCTCTCAATCCTTCGACAATTTTGTCTTTATCATTCCGGCAATCATTGTCGTCGCCGTTTTCTGTAAGTTTGTTTCGTTTAAAAAAAATTCAATTAATTGCCTCCACGTCATTCGAATCGCTGCAATGCCATAATTTCAGCGTTCGCCGTCATCAAGCTCCGCGACGCGACCATCGCCAAAGAGGAGAGACAGAAGCTCGCCCGTCAGCGTCGCGAGGAGAAAAAGAAGGCCAAGTAGATATTCGACGAAAGAAGAATCAACAAAAAAGGCGGTGATACCGATGCGATTCTTGTCCAACACCATTCCATCATCACAATTTTTCTGGGTTTAGTGCATTTCATCTAGTTTTCGTTTTTGATATCATTTAATTCTGTGAATGAAAAAAAATCTGATTATTATTATAATTGTTGCTTAAGAATGACTTTCATGTAATTTAATATTTTATGCGTTTACTTATTTTTTAAATAAATGTACTTGTGATGCCAACGGTTGTCATAGTTGCACAACGGCGCAAAATGTCGCCATGGCAACTGAAAATCGAATGCCCACCAAATAGGAGGCGATTGCCGATACCTTATTGGGATGTCGTTGTTTCGCGTCGTCGATTGGGTGTCCCATCTGATTCCAAATGCCTCTGCTATTGTGACTTCCCCATTTTTTGAAGATCGAGGTTCGAGAATTTTTTTTAAAGGCAAAACGTTAAACTGAAACTTTTTCAATTTGGTTTTTTTCAAAAGAAAAAAACATAAATTTATTTACTTTTCATGAGAAAATATTAATTTTTTACTAAATTTGGGCTTGAAAATTTTTTTTACTCGTTTTCAGCAGTGTATCTACCCGGGACAGGATTTCCCGGGATCCCGGGAATTTCGTTTCCCGGGTTTATCCGGGAAATCCCGGGACTCCAATCCCGGGTCTCGTCCCGGTTTCGTCCCGCAACTACCCGGGATCCCGGTATCTCGGGATCCCGGGATCCCGGGAAATTCATTTCCCGGGATGAGCGGGTTCCCGGGAAATCCGGGAAATTCCCGGGTTTCCCGGGAAATTCCCGGGAAACCCGGGACAATCCCGGGACAATCCCGGGAAAGTCTGCAAACACCGCGCGCGCAAACGCACACTCTTCGAATATTGCGTATTCTCGTTTCATTTTAATGAATTTTCTTATTTTAAAAAGATTCCAATGCTTAGAAAATGGCGTAGGAAGTCCCTATTTGGAATTTTTAAAATTTGGCAGAAAAATGAGTACAATTGAAATGTGCAAATAACGATTTTTCCAAATTAGCAAGAATTTTATACGAAATAATGGTTTTAAACTTTTTTCAATATACTTTTTTCAACGAAAAAACTTATTGAAGATCGATCAAGTAAACAATAAATTATAATAATAAATAATATCGCTGATTCGATCTGAAAAGACTGACTGAAAAGATTCGATTTGAATATGTCGCGAATCAGAATGACAAAGAAAATAAGAAAACTCATAAAATTTCGAAAAAAAAAACGACAATACGCAATATTCGAAGAGTGTGCGTTTGCGCGCGCGGTGTTTGCAGACTTTCCCGGGATTGTCCCGGGATTGTCCCGGGTGTCCCGGGAATTTCCCGGGAAACCCGGGAAATGAATTTCCCGGGATCCCGGGATCCCGCGTTTCCCGGGAAACGAATTTCCCGGGATCCCGGGATCCCGGGAAATTAAGTTTCAATGAGTCCCGGGTCCCGGGAAAATTTTCCCGGGAATTTCCCGGGAACCCGGAAATTCCCGGGAAACTTCGTCCCGGGTAGACACACTGGTTTTCAGCGTTAAAATTTCAGAGCAATTAGTTGTCGGCTGCGAGGATGGCCAGATTTCCGTCATCGACGCCGGCGATAAGCAATATCAGGTATTTTTTCGCTGAATTTCTCCTCTGGAATTGCGTGATTTAGAGCTCCATCCTATTCACATATCAATCGGACCATCCAGTCCTTCAAATGGAAACCGGCGAATTTCTTCCTTCGATGCGAAATATTCTTGCCGTCTTATCGCCGTCAAAATTGGATTTTTATAAGCTTAATTTTGGTGAGAATCTACTATTTATTTTGCTATTGCAAATTTTGCAAAAAGAAAATCAAAAAATCGAGCAATTTTTTGAAAATGTGTGCAATTCGTCGTCGCGGTGCATACACACATTTTCAATTTCAACGCAGAAAATTTGAAATTCGCTTATTTTTTTTTAGAAAAAACCGATGAAAGCAGCGTTTCGTTCGAGAAACTCTTTTCGCATGCGATGAGCATTTCGGCATGGAATATGTGCAAAGTGCTCACGGAGACATCGCTTCAGCTCATCGTGCAAACTATCGATTGCAAAATCTCGTTGTTTCAAGGTGAATTTTTTTCCGCCAAATTTTTTCCATTAATTTTGCGATTTCAGGAGACCAATGCGTCTTCGAGCATTGTGCTCTTCGCGCCCTTCATCCAGGTCCGATCCTCTACTCATCGCCATCATCATCGCTGATCACCGCCAACAATGGCTTCTTGAATTCCGTCAAATTCAGCCTTCTATCAAGCGGTTCCCAGAAACGGATTAATGTGATCATTTTGAATTGAAAAAATTCCAACGAAAAATGTTCAGTACGACTGGTTTTTCAATCTCGGCGACACCGCCCTTCAACTCGAAGTCTTCGAGTCCAATCAGCCATCGATTCTGGTGCTGTGCCGACGCCACGTCACCTGTTTGTCGACGGGCGGCTCAATTCAATGGCAGATTCGGTTCGAGGCGGTGGCGACGGCGATGTGCGTTTACACCTCATACGTTATTAATGGTACGGTAAAAGCGTCTGATACTATATGACATTTATATGTATATTTTGAAAATTAAAGAAAAAATTTTAATTTTCATCACAAAAAAATGTTTTTAAAAAATTAAGACAATTCGATATTCGAAAATTTCAGATCCACTCAATATTCGCTTCATCGTCGCCACCAGCGACGACAATCTTCTGATTTACAACGAGCAAAAGCTCGTGTGGAATTGTCATGCTCACATGACGCCAGTTGCACTGAAAGTCAGCTCATACAAGTGGGATGAAGCTGAAAAGCAATCGTTGAAAATTTCTTGATTCCAGCAAAATTTATGAGAACGTTCTCACGATGCTGTCGGCCGATGGTAAACTACTCATTGGTTATCTCGGCACTCAGCCGAATCTCTATAAGGTCCGAAAATTGGTGAATTGATGGCACGAGAAAATTTCCAGGTGCCGACTGACACAAAAATCGTGAATTTTGCCGAAAAAATGGAGCAGCTCAAGGGTCTCGAGAAGAAGATCAAAGAGAACGAGTCGTCGGGCGGCGGCGGTCTCGGCAAGAAGGACGGCATCGGTTTGAGTCTGACATTCGGCGAAAAAGGCAAACGCACGGTAACAATTCGTCGCACATTAACCGATTATTAATTGAGACAATTAAGATTGAGCACAATGCGCGAAATAATGTGCCGTATTGCACTCTTCAATTGGAATTCGCCAATCTCGGCGACATCACCAAATTGCACATCAACATCATGTCGGAGCTCGAGACCCCTTCGAAGCAAATTGTCCTCAACGTTCCCGCCAATCGTAAGCTCTTCTGCCTAGATTACTGTATATCGGATTTTCGCTTCAGAAACCTCAACGATGATCGGCTTGCCGTTTTATGTGGGAAACGCGAACATCCCTTTAAACACTACTGTAACCGTTATGGCACATTGTTTCCATTCTCAAAGTACATTAACTCCCCCCCCCCGCCTTTGAGAATGTTCCAATTGTTCTTTTTTTCAGCTTCTGTTGTCAAAAGCATCAAAATGCCGCTGGATACATTGTTTGGAGAGGCGCCGGTTGATCGAAACGCGAAATTCAAGTTGACAATTGACACCGATGCGCCGGTAGTGCCATTGAATCAACTATTCAAAGGTATCATTTGGTGGACGCCACAATTTTTGAGGTAACTCTTTCAGAATTCGAGTCCGAGAATCCGCAAGCCATCGGTTTTCTCGTTCACGGCTGCGACGCCGCCAACGTTTCCATATTCGCCGCGAGCAAGTCAAGTAAGTACGAGCTCTGGGTTTCACCACGATTCACACTAATCGCGAACCACCTCGACATTCTCCAGATCGCTATCGTGTTCAATCCGAACACGTCGGACTCCTTGAAGTCGCGTTCGACGAGCTGATCAGCCGGATTCAAAGCGCCGTTGAGAATGTGCAAATCGGCGCGAACATTCCATTCGAGTACATTTCCGAGATTGTCGAATTCATACAAGAAGCTGAGAAGACGAAAAGCGTCGAGCAGACGACAATCGATAGTCGAATGAAAGAGGTGCGAGCGATTGAGGCGTTGAGTTTGAACAACTGCAAAAGCGGCAATTTGGACACAGTCTCATGCTTGGACGCGTTGTTTGAGAAGAGCTATCGAGAGGTTTCATGAATTTTTTTGTTGGCGCCTTCTCCAATATCGAAAAAATGTTCAGCTGTTGGAGCACATGGATCGATATACGGAACGAAAATTGGGAATTGAGGCGAATTACGCGAATTTGGGTAGGTGGAAAATTGATTTCAAAAATTTTTTTCCTATTTTCAGCGTCGCTGTTTCAATTGGCCTCGGAAATCTCGAAAATCAGCCGAGTCGAAACGATAATCAATGGGAACTTCTATCGAAATACCCAACAGGTTCATTGTTTTCTTCCATCATTACCAAACAAAAAAAAATTGATTTGAGAGCCTTCGTGATCGATTGATGTGGTCGGCGAGGAATGAGAAGGGCACCGAAATTCGATTGATCGAGAAACTCTGCGAGCATTCGAATAAGGAGTTGCCGAAAATTAGAGAAGAAGACGAGGAAGGCGACGAAGCGTCAGCGGCGACCAATTAGGAACTGATTCATTTTGTTTTGCACAAAAAAATCTATATAAATGGAATTTCTGGTAATTTTTTGGGCACTTTTAAATTGATTTTGAGCCTAATGAAACAAAAAATTCTTCGGATTACGGTAGTAGCTATTTTTCGTCATTTTCACAGTTTAATGAAGAAAAAATAAAAGAAAAAAATGGACGAAATTTCGATGCAGAAAAAATTTTAATTTTTTTTAAAAACAAAACTCGCTTGTAAGAGTTTTCACCATACGAGACCTAAGGCGGCAATTCAAATGCTACAGTAATCGCGCCCAAAATTCATAGTTTGCTATTCGCGAAATTGTACGCAGCACGAAATGTTGATTTCAAATAGGCAAATAATTTATTCATCGGGATTCTTAAGAGTCCACATTGACACCGCTTCTTCCATAAGCTTAACGCACGCTTCGTGCTCGAACAGCTTGGCATCATCGAGAGGTGTCCGCCCATAGCGATCCTTTGGATCTGAAATGGATCTGAAATGGATCGGATTGGATGAGGAATATTCTAACCGGGATCTTGCTTCCATTTCGACAATACGTATTCAAGAGTGGCCGAATCGCCTTCAGACGCCGCAATATGTAGAACCGTGCGATCGTCATAATCCTTTAAATGGATGTCATGGCCCATTAGGAGGAATCTAGAAGAACTCTGGGATTGATCTCATTTTTTAAAGGCGCATGACAATCGGGTCTCGAGGAAAGAAAAATGAGCAATTTGTGCGCGAACCTTTTGATCGCGGCGATGTCGCCAATTTTTGTGGCGTACATAAATTTGTTCTGCCCGTCGTCGTCATTCATCACCTGCTTCCGCGGATCGATCTTCTTGTCGTCGGAATAAACGAGACTATCATAATTGTGGAAGTTGTAGTGTTGAACGAATTGCTCGGCGAATTTGAGGCCGCGAACCGTGTTGCCGAGTTTGTCGAGACGCGGACTGTACAACGCGATGCCCATCACGTTCGGTATCACGATGATCATGTCGCCGGAAACTCCCGACTTCGCCGGCAGGCCCATATGGAACGCGAATTGGCCCGAATAGTCGTACATGCCGCACGAGTACATTAGGGAGAGCGTGTCGCGGCACGCGCTGAACGTCGCCACATTATATTTTTATATTGTCGGCGTCAGACGCGTTCCGGGACCGCTCGCGAACCGCAACGCATCTGGCGACATTGAACAATTACGCGTAATGGATGTATCTATTGTCGACGTCAAACGACTGAAAAGAGACTTCGAATTCGCGAAATCAGTGTGGAATTGAATTAATCGTTGACTGAATATTAAATGCGCGTACACTATAATGCAATGTACGCAGTCTCGCGTAATTCTCGCTGCCTCAAGACGCATTGGCGCATAGCTTAAAACTAAATTTTTAAAAAATATTGGCAATGTGCCAATGCGTCTTGAGGCAGCGAGAAGTGCGCGTGAATGCGTACATTGCATTATAGTGTACGCGCATTTAATATTCAGTCAACGATTAATTCAATTCCACACTGATTTCGCGAATTCGAAGTCTCTCTTCAGTCGTTTGACGTCGACAATAGATGCATCCATTACGCTAATTGTTCAATGTCGCCAGACGCGTTGCGGTTCGCGAGCGGTCTCCCGGAACGCGTCTGACCGTCAAGATCAATTCTGGCACTGCATTCAAAAATAATTGAAATGACGAATTGGAGGCATTTTTGGCGCCAAATTTGAATATCTCATTGATTGGCATAAATGTGATCACATTGAAATTACTGTAGTGCGAATTGTGTGCAAACACCGCGACGAACAGATTGCCGAATGATTTCTGTTTCTCCTCTTAACATTCCTTCCATCCGTGCATTTTCGCGTCGCGGTGTTCACACACAATCGGAAAATCAATTCGTCTAACCGATTATTAATCACTCTTTCGCCGTTCAACGGATTCACACCGCCGTTCGCCAACGTCGCCGCCATCACCGCCAGCGAGTCGCAGTTCGTCTCAATCGAGCAGATTTGAAAGTACAAGTCCAACGTGTCCTGGAGCTCCGTGTTCGGCGGAAACACCTTGTGCTCGCGCATATAGTACGATAGGGCGTAGTTGCGATCGGCGGTCTCGCGTTCCGACAAAAACACGGAGTTGTTGAAGCCGATGTAGCCGGAGCCGACGAATTTGCGGCACGCGTGGATCATCTGCGAGCACCAACGACGATTGATTGGGGTCGGATGGACGCGGTGCGGCTCGCGTTGCGGTTTTTGCCACCCGACGCGTGCGGTGGTGGAAAGAACCGCACGCGAGCCGCAACGCGTCTGACAGGCGTAGATCAAAATGCAAGTCCGCAATGACAACTGTTGAATCGACTCAATGAATTTTTGAAAATAAAATTTTAATACTCGTATATCTAGGATTTCGTGCTACTGTAATTTTTTGTGAAAAAATCCAAATGTTGTGCAAACACGCCGGAGACCCTTTACGGACTTACATTTTAATTTACGCCAAAAATGCTGATTGGGGCAAAAAAAATGAAAAAGTTTGATTTTTTTTTGGAAAATTGCAAATTTTGTCATTTTTCACATGAAAATTTGCAAAATTATTTCAAAAAAAAAAAAATCAAACTAACAAAATCGAATCGATCGGCCAAACTCGCTTTGTTCTTCAAAAGCGACGCGACCACAATTGCGCCGGCGTTGATCAATGGGTTGTGGGGTTTCTCTGAAAAAACACTCGAATCTCATTTCGCATTCGAGACCCGCTTTTGACGACCGACTATTATAATCAAGGCAGATGTCGTTGAAGAGCCGTCCCGATGGCTCTTGGCCAACGTGAGAATGGAGCGCTTCGGCGCCGATGTCGTCGTGGACCAGCGCATAGGTGAAGGGTTTCGAGACACTCTGAAATTCATTTTTGTATTGTTTGCCAAATTTTGAATTGCCGCCTATTAATTGGGTACTTTTTGAAAAAAAAACGCGCCAAAAATTTTGAAGAATCGAAGAAAATTGTGATGAGGTTTTTTTTTCCATTCGAGACCCGAGGCGGCAATTCAAATGCTACATTAATCGCGTGCCAAAAAAATTGATAAGAAGGTCTGAAGAAAAACTAGCGGGATGCCGATATTTAAAAAAAAAAACGTTGCAAAGAAAAAGTGCGGTCCGTAAACACACGCGTACGCAAAATTGCACACATTTGAATTGGCGCGAAATTCAAAAAAAATTTTGTTGAAAAAAAATCCAATATTCGAGTATCGATGGGAGAGAGGGCTCTTGCGCCTTTAATGACGATTTGTTGGGGACGCTGTGTTCACCTGAAGGCAAAACGGCTTCAGCGAATCGCCCCAACTTTTGCGTTGGCCGTCGATGGTGCACACGGAGGCCGCCCAACTGTCGGGCGCGCATCTCGCCAACTGCGGAATGTACGTCGCCACTTCGCCGCCGTTGTACGCCCGCGTGCTCTCGAAAATCTCGCCAATATCGTGCACAAAACTCTCCCAATTCGGTATGATCATTTGCTTTTTGACGGCTTTCGTCACGATGCCGATACTGCTTCCGATGTATCTGCAAAAAAAAACACGGGGGATGTTTGAATGGTCCCTTAAAACCAAGGCGGGGGGGGGGTTCGAACCGGAGGACAAATGAACGTTTAATCGTTCAAAAAAAGCAACACTGTGCAAATTGTCGTCAAATCAAATGTCAGTGTGCGTAATAGATTTTGCCGACCTTGAATTACCAAAAATTGCATTTTTTCAAAGAAATGTCGTCAAATTAAGTGTATGGTCCGCAATTTTTTAAATTTTGGATTTTTCTATTTGGATAAGGGCGATATTTAAAAATTTGAATGCATTTTTCAGCATTGTCGTCAAATAAAAGGCATTGTGTGCAAACATCTCGTGATTTGGTATTGTTGTAAAAAAAGTGACGTACTTCAGAATTTTAAGCTTAAATGCAATTTTAGATATGAATAATGCGGACAATGCACTTTAATTGACGACAATTTCGTCAAATCAACTGCATGAGCCTATTATTCAAATTCCTGCATTTTTAAAAACATTTCTATCCCATATATCAAAAAAAATTTTTTTTGAAAATGCCGTCAAATAACATGCATTGCGTGCAAACACGCTGTCTCATCTCGAAGCTTTTTAATGAATTTTCAGGGAAAAAAATTAAAAAATGGAATTGCGGACAATGCGCTCTACTTGACGACAACTTGCACAATTTTCGCGATTTCTTTGATTTTTATTTTTCCAGCGCACCCCCCCCCCTTTAAAAATTACTTTTTGAACATGTCCCTTTCCAAATAAAGGTGTTGACTACCCCAAACGAAATCATCGAGCATGTCGGCGTCGCGAAGCCGGGCGATCATCTTCTCGATGCGCGGATCGTCCTTTCGAATGCCGGCCTCGAGAAGCGCCTTGAAGAAGCGCGGCAGATAGACTTTGCCGGTCGTCTCGTCTTTGTAGAGGTCGAACAGAAGCTCCTGCTGATGATTGCCGCACATGTCGTAGGAGATCGAGCGGCACACGGCGCGGCAACTCATCACCGTGTTCACTCGATACAGGCTGCAATAATCGATTGACCCGGTTCGATGTCCGCAGAACGAAAATCATTTTTTTAATCTTGTTTTACTTCAATCCTCTTTTGTGTGCAATAGCTCGTCACGGTGTCACACAATTTTGGTCATGCGCGCAAAAATTCAATTTTTTTTTGTTTAAATGAAAGGCATCGCGAAAAATGAATTGTGCAATAGTTCGTCACGGTGTCACATGATATTGCGGACTTTCCCTTTGTTTTTTTTGGGTACCCTTTTTGAGAATATTTCAGTTTGCAATTTAAACAAAAAAAGGCACGAAGCGACGAGCAAATGTAATCCAATGCCGTCAAAGTAATCCTCGACTAAAAACGGAAATAGAGAATCAAACAAATGAGAGATGGAAAATCAATTTTTTTTGCGCAAAACTGCATTTTTATTGAGAAGGAGAATGCAGAGAAATTTTGAAAAAAAAGAGGAAATATAAATTTCTTTTTTTTTATTTCAGAGATTTGAAAAATCGCGTCAAATGAAATTTCAAAGGTCTTGAAGCGAAATTCACTTTACAATGAAAAACGGATCAAATGGGAATCGTGAATTTTCGCGTGCGCCTTTAAAATCGAATTTCAAATATGCTGCATTCTCGCCCAAAAAAATCACGTTGTCAATCCGCAGAAAGCGTCGATAATCTAATGCGGGGCCAAAAAAAAAAGAAATAAACCAAACCTCGGCTTCATATCAGCTACGGGACTCGGAAAATCGATATTCGGCGGCGATTTCTCGTCGTCGTCGTTGCCATCATTTTTGGCGGCCTCATCGGACATTGAAAATCGCAAAATTTTCGCGCGAAGTTGGTTGTAAAACGCCACTATACTCGCTAAATTTATGATTTTTTTTCCGAGTTGGCTCGAGTAGTGCACAAAAAGGAAAAGCTCAACGAGTCGTAAAAGCTTTTTCTTTTTTTTGGAGGGGCGGAGCGTGACACAATGAATGAATGGGTCTCGAACAAGCGCAAAACAAAAATGTGCAATATAAAGGAGAAGCTGAAGGAGTTGAGGAGGATGGGGGGAGAGGAAGACATTAGGAATGCAAATAATTACACGAGATGTCACCTTGTACAATTTTATTGCCGAGGGTCCCAGTACGATTAGGGCACCGCTAGATAAGAGTAAGCTGTTGGCCAAATATGGCGCACGAGGTTTTCTTCCTTATAAAGGGGGATTGAAATATTTGCTTTCACTAGCATTTTGAAAGGGACTATTTTCAGCCAACATTTTTGGAATTGCTCTTTTCCCACCTTACTCTTATGGGGACCATTATAAACTAGGGGGGGGGTTGGAAAATTGGAGGAAAAATGCAATGTTGAAGAAATTGACGAATCAAATAATCGGCTTACGATTTTTCAGCCAAAAAAATGAGGATTTTATTCATATTGTCTAAAACGCCTACGCTTTTTTAATGGTCCGTAAAAATTTACGAGAGGAGCTCAAAAAAAAGTGAGCCTAACAAATATGGCAAATTTGCCAAATTGAATTAAGTTTGACCGAATTGAACTTTCGAGTTCAAAATCGCAATTAAAATTATTAAATAATTACAAAATTTCTCTGAATTTTAATGGTCCCTATTAGGAGACCTCGAATGCACTGCGTCCAAATTAAGGAGTTGAATGGTCCGCAAAAAAAAAAAAACCAATGAATGGCTCATTTTATTTTCTGAGCTTTCATCTTCATATTTGGCTTGTTTACTACATACAATTGCATTATTTTTGCACGAGTCTGGGTCTCGACACGAAAACAGCACCTGGTCATATTGGTTGGAAAAAAAAAAACAACTTACAAGCTCGCCGGCACGCTGACGGCCGCCTTGAAAATTCTCATCAACGAACTCATATTTTTTCCGTTTGCTTAGTTGTTTTTCTTGACGAACAAAAAATCATGATAGTTGTTCATATTTTTGCCTCACCGAAACGCTCAATATCTCATTTAAAAAATGGCGTCATCGCATTTTTTTTTTGGCTTCATATTTTTTCCGGCCAACACGTGTGATCGGCAGCTGCTCGTCGATCATTGAAAAAGTATGAAATGGATCAATTTTTGAAGCACAAAAAGTGCTTATTTTCAATAATTTTAATGCAGATGGAAATATTTCACCGACTTTGAAAAAGGTGAAATTGAAGCAAAACTGGCTCAAGGTCTGGCCAATGATTTCTCACTACCAAATTTTCACTACCGATTTTGCACTACCGTTTTTTCACTTCCAAATTTTCTTATATTGTTGAAAAATGACAAATGTATCCAGGTGTCGTGGGATCCTGCGTTTTGTACGCAATGAGAAGAGACAGTTACCGTAATCCTCGCAGCGATTTACGGAGTTTCTTTTTTTTTAATTTTCTTTCATTTTTTTGCTGTATTTTCTTATTTTCTTTGGAAATCTTTTATTTAAAACCTGTAGAAACCGAACTTAATTATTTATTTTTCAGAATATGCACTTTTCCACTTGTCTAGTTGAGTTGGGAATCATTGTGAAGATTTTGTCGCTCTAAAAATTATTTTGAAAATGAAGAATACAAAAACAAGATAATAGAAACGTGTACAAAAAGCAAAAGACGATTAATGACAAAAATGATTTCTTTTAAATCTCTGCTGTTTTTACCAAAAAAAAACCTCGTTTAAAAGTGCTTATTCTGCTAAATAAATTATTAAATCGGTTTCTTCAAAATTTCGAAGGAAAATACGAAAATTGAGCGAAAAATAAAAAAAATGAATATGGGAAATTAAAAAAATTCCCGCTGCGAGGATTACGGTAACTGTCTCTTCTCATTGCGTACAAAACGCCGGATCCTACGACACCTGGATACATTTGTCATTTTTCAACAATATGTCTGACAAGATCAATCCGCCACCATTGAATGGCTCAATGAAGCAGCATTTAACTGGTGTCATGAAGGAGTGGCATGCAATGCGCTCCGAAAGTAAGAAGAATTAAATTTATTATCGTAATAATGAAGCTTCTGGCATTTTAATTTTCTAGATTTATGTTATTTTATTGTTTTACTAAAATGCCGCAGCTCATCTGGTCTTGAGCCTATTGTTTGTTTTTTATTCGCGTTATATTGGAAGTTATCGTTCAAAAAATAAATATTTGTAATGATACAAATAGATTTAATTGTAAAAATGTCCAAGAAGTCATCGCATTATTTTAGTCATCATTTTTTTGGCCAACATGCAATCGATGTCTGTCAGTGATATTAGAAAGTGAGGTACACGCCATGCGCTTGCCAATCTGTATGCCTCGTGTTGCCAAATGGGCGGGGCTAGCAAATTAATTCGCTTTTCTTGCCCGCTTTTCGCCACCAAAAATGGATTCATCGAAAATGAGCGACGAGAAAAAGCTGGATTTATGTAAAAAGTGAGTTTTTCTATTAAGTTTCATTTGAAAATCGCAAAAATTGCAGATATTTTCTGATCGGCGCCTGCTTTTTGCCATTTGTCTGGCTTACCAACTTTTTCTGGTTCTTTAGCGATGCGTTTGTGATTCCGAGAAACGTGCAGCGTGTGGAAATGCGCAAGTACGTCGTCGGTTCGGGAATTGGCACGATTTTTTGGTTGATTATAATTTTATCATGGGAAATCATTTTCCAGGTTGGATTTTTTTCGAATTTCCACGATATATTTTCGAATTTTTTCAGCTTTATCGTGATCTTGGCATCGAATGGGCCGATTATTTGACATTTGTCTTCCCAAAAGGACGAGTTTAATCTAATTCATTCGCCAATTGTCTTATTTAACGGGTCGTTTTCACATATTGAAGATATTTCGCTCATAATTAATTAATTATCAAGTAGCTATAAATTATTATTGTTCCATAATTGTAAATTGGCGTTAATTATTGGTTGAAAGCCGAATTACCTGCCAAAATTGTTTGCAGTGTTTTGTGTTGCAAATTTGGCGAAAAATTTAGATTGTATGGATTGGAGCGAATCAGGAAGTGCAGCGACGTTTACCACGCCGACGACGTCGTTTCACTTTGAGAATTCTGGCGCATCGACTTCAGAACAACTGTTTTGTGGCGAAGTAGGAATTTTTAGTTGATTTTTTTAAAACTTCGAAAAATGACCAAATTTTTTTTTGAACAAAAAGAAGAAATTTTCAATCAATTTAGCCCAAAATATTGATTTTTTCTGATTATCACAGTTTTTTTTAATTCGATTTTTTGATGATTTTACAAAAAGTACATTTTCGGCTCTTGGAGTATAAAAATCCCCAGAAAAATTCATATTTTTTTCCTCAATCGATTTTTCCTACTTATCAAACCTCCAAAAAATTGTGTTATGAGCACATTGATAAGGGCTCTTAAAAATGTTCTTTGAAAAATGAACATGTGCCGACTTTTGGCTGAAATTTTTCGACAATTCTGTAATTGCTGCCTTCGAAATGTGAGTTGACACAATTTCTAAACGCGAAATGTCCAATTTTAGAAAAAATGCGATTTTTCTCGAAATTTTCCTTTAAAAATTGAGATTTCAAAAAAAAATCATTTTAAGAGATTTTATTTTGTGCTCCTTTAAACTAAAATTCAAAACCATATCACATATTAAACTCTGAGATTCCCAAAGAAATCAAATTTGACCAAAAAGAAAAAGAAAACTAAGAGCGAATAATCGGCAACAATCTTGAAATCGCTCGCAAATCCCATAATTTGCCTCCATATTTAGGACATTTCGAATATAACCGTCGACGGCTTAATTCTGCCCGATCTGGACGGCGACGCGGCTCAACGAAGTGTGCTTCTGGCGCGCTCGTCGCTCGACGACTCGTTCGGCTTCGCCCTCCAATCCTATGTATTCAAGCGGGCTTCCACCGATTCCTATGAGCGCATCACCTATGTCGATTATGTGTCGACGTCGAGTCCGGCGTCGCGAGCCGGCGTTCGAAGAGGCGACATGGTGATCGCGGTGAACGGCCAGTGCGTCATCACCTCGTCGCATACGGAAATTGTCGCCGCGATTGCGCAAAGCCTTCATGTCACACTTGTTTTAGTGTTCAAGGTATCCGCTTTTTCGAGTTTTCATTTTTTTTTTTCAAAATGATATGATTTTTAATAATTGTTTTTTTTTTGTAGGATGTTGCCCGAATTGTTGGCCTTACGATGCGCTCGATTCAGCTTAATTGCCTTTTAAAGGAGAAGGAGCGCGAATTGGATATTCTTGAGGAGGAAGAGATGCGACTAATGGAAAAGCTTAAAAAAGGTACGAAAATTTCGGGAAAAATTTTTGGATTTCCATTACGACACTCCGAATTTTACGCGCCCGCCCTTGGTTTAGTGTAAAACGAACCTGGTTGGGTTATATTTTGAATTTCTATTTTTTGCGATATTTTTCGCTTTTTTTAAAAATTAAATTTCTGTGGAGATTTTCCCGCGTTTCAATGCACCTCTAACGGAAATTTTTCAAAAGTTTTTCAAATCATTTATTGAGAATTTTGATTATTTTAATCAATTTTTTTGCTTGCCGAAATTTTGAAATTTTTTGTTGAGAAAAAATTGTTCATCATATTTGAAAATTTCCATTGATTGCCGAACGCTTGGAATTGATTTCGCGTGATTTCGGCTTGATTATGAGCATTAGGATGAAGAAAATTGAAAAATGGATTAAATAAATTGGCTAATTAAAATAGACATTTTTTGGCAAATTAAGTCCCACGTGGATTTCGAATCGAATAATTTTTGTGCTAATTTTATACCGAAATTTTAATTAAAAATTTTGTTAATTTTGAGCCGGCTTGACTCTCAGACCGGTGAAATCCAACATTTGCGTTATTTCAACATTTCGTCCCTAAAATTCCAAATAATCTACTAGAAATCGATGAATAGTTGATTTTCAGACGACAATTCGAGATATTATGAAGTTGATGAGGATAAAAGCAATAGAAGTTGTAGTAGTAGTAGCAGCAGCTCAGAAGAAGGCAGTTGTATAATTGAACGACAAGAAGGCGGCGGCGGTGAGAAGGAAATCGATGGTGTGAACAATCGGCACCTGTTCCGAATCAATTCGGGATCTTCGTTTGGATCGCCGCAAGTCACGAGGCTTTAAATGAATAGATCGATTTGATGAAGACAATTCTGTATTATGTGATATCTTAATTTTTATAGTCGAAATCTTGCCCGGTTTTAAATCATAATTCGATGTTGTTTTTTTTTTGTTCTTTCCCATGGATATATATTTGGTGTATGAATTCATTTGAAATTCTCGTTGTCATTCATTTTCGCTTAAAATTTTGATCACGGGTTGCTCACCTAATATTTTTTTTGTTGTGAATTGGCGTGATTAGATCATTTTTTGAAATTTTCGTTTTTCAGAATGCACGGTGTTTCGAGATTATTACCGAGAACTAGTCGAAGTTTGATCATTTATAGGTTTTTTTTTGTTCAGATTTTTTTTCAAATGATGGTTGTGAATAAATTATATGGATTTTTTTTTCAGGCAGACGTCTGCCGGACCACCGCCTGCGGACCCGCCGAAACCGGGTGGATTGATGCATAAGTATGAGGAGTTTATTGGAAGGTGGCCGAAAGCTTTGGCACTTCATCGTACTGTTATGGAAGGTATGAGCACGTTTTTCTTAAAAAAATGGCATTAGATGTGCATTTTTGTAATTTTTTATTGCATGATTCTGTCCATTATACTTTCTGGAGTTTTATGGGGCAATAAAGAGAAAATAAAGGCATAATAATTTTTTTTTCTGGTTTTGCTGCATTGAAATTTTTTTATTTTCTTTTCTGCATTGTCCCTTTAAAGAAGTTGAGGCGTGTAGGTGTGCCATATATATCGTTGGGCATATTTACTGAAAATTTTCACAAAGAAAATTTGCAAACACGCCACGCAAAATTGCACACGATTGATTATTTTTAAAAAGTACAGAATAAAAAAAATAAATTGAATTTTTAAGTGATCTGTGATGTGAGATTATTGTTGAAAATCGATTATTTATGAAAATTGGCGCAAAGTTTAAAAAAAATCGCCAATGAAATTTTGAGATTTGACTAGAAATTCTAAAAATAGCCTCTTTGAGTTAGGAAATTTTGAAATATTCAAACACTAACTAAATGTGCTCACGTGAAAATAAAAAACGGATTTTTTTTTTGGAAACTAGTGAACTTTAAATGAATTTTCTTTTTAACATAATTAAAGATTGGAATTTTAATATCAAAAAATGCGAATATTATCAAAATTTAAGTTTTCTTTTTGCAAAATTGACTGAAAATAGAAATTTTGGAAAAAAAAACCATAAAAATTTAATTTTTATAATTGATTCCTGTAGCTTTGAAGCATTACCAGTCCAGATTTCGCTTCACATTACAGTTTTTAGCTAAATTGTAAAAAAAAAATCACAATAAAAAATGTGTCTGCGAAAATTTCAGGCTCGCGCTGGTGCTTTTGGGATGTGAAGACGTTTTGGAGAACGAAACGCGCGCTGATGAACGGCGAGAAGAAGCTGACGGATTTGAATTTGCACGAATTGGAGACATTGGTACAGGTAGGCACTTTTTCATTTTTTTTTTTTTGATTTAGCCAACTTTTCACAAAATTTTTAGATGTTTTGCCAAAAATTGGGCGTTAGAATGCCTGAAAATTGGTAGAAATGAATACTTATTGAAATTGTGGTTAAAAAAAAATGGAATTAATTGTGTGTATTATTGCATTTCAAAGCACGTTTTTGCCAAAATCCCTGAGTTATTTTTGGAATTTAAAAAAAATTTTCAAATTTTTATAGGCTTTCAAACCGATTTGGTGAAATTACGGTGCTTTTCTCGAAAAATGTCGAAAATTGAATGAATTCAAGAATTTTTTTAATGGGAAATTCGATTAAGTTTTTTGTTCGCATTTCCACTAGATTTTAAGCATTTTCTCAAAGATTGCTAGCAATTTTTTGCAGTTTTTGGCGAATACGTTGAATTTTGTTTTGGAAATTTTCAAAATTCGCGGAATTCGGACCGGATTAGACGAATTTATAGTTTTCAAATTAATTGAACTACAAAAAAATGAATTAAAAATTTTTGACCACAAAATGTTCAAAAATTTTCGAAAAATGGTTGGAAAAAAAATGAAAGTTTTTGTCGCAAGACCAATTTTTGTCGAAATTCGACGTGACAAGTATGATTTTGAGTTTTGCTTGTATTGTCGGCGTTCGGCGACTGCTGTCCGCGGGTAGATTTACGCGCATGCGCCTTGAAAAGGTGTCGCCACGCGTGAACCCTTTTTTTTGCTGTTTTCACGTCAACTGCTTCATTTTTCTTGATGAGTTTCGCATTTTCTTGAATTTCCAACGATATTCGATTAAAAAATTTTAAACCTGTTAGTCTTTGCGAGACCATTTCGAAAGACGCATTCCCGTAAATCTACCCGCGTACAGCAGTCGCCGGACGCCCCGACTATATATATATATATATATATTTTTTTTTTTGATTAACAACCCGCATTCATTTTTTTCTTTATCGTCTCCGTTGTTACTTTTTTATTTTGGTGTAGAGTGGCGGCGAATTGCTCAAAATGCTCGCGTTGCTGGTTATAATCCAAATTCCCGGTCCCGGCGACATTCTAATTCTGATGCTGTGAGTAGAATTTTATTTTTTACATTCATATTTTTCGTTTCTTTCAATTCTTCTTGCTTTGTTTTTCGCATTTTTTTCTTTTTTTGATGAAATGACACACTGAAAAAACGGAATGTAAACGGAGCATTTTGAGTTGTGCACACCAGCGACTAACCTTCTCAGAAAAACGATTATTTTAATAATTATATTCCATGACTCGAACAGATTTTTGATTTTAATTAAATAAAATGTTGAAATTTTTTCGAATTTTCTTTAGCAAAAAAAAATCTTTAGATTTTTGAAAAAAAAAGTGATTTTTTGGAATATTTCTATATTTTTTAATCGTTTTTCCTGAATTGATTCACATTTTTTTGCAACAACAACAACAAAAAAAAGAAGAACCAATTTGGTGGTGGTTTTGCAGATGCCGATCGAGGGTCCGAAAATGACGGTGATCACCATTCTTCTGCCAATGCCGCTCACCGTTTACATTTTTGGTTTCGCTGTGTAATTTCATTCAATTTTTTTTTCAAAAATATCCCAAAAATCATCATTTTCCGTTGGTTTATTATTTTTTTTTAGAATATTCTTCCCTCGAATTGTTCTTACCCGCCATTTTTGGTCCGACGCTCAACGACGCGAGTTTTTCGATCGTGATATCAAGAAGGCGTTGACGAGCGGCGAGAAGCTCGTTGAGAAGATTGGCAATGTTGGTGACTGGAATTTTTTTTTTTCATTTAGGCTCAATGCGCCTTAAAATGATTTTTGATTTTGGGTCTTGACGCGAATTTTTTTAAGAGCAAACGCAAAAAACGTCTTAAAAACGAATCCTGAAATTTTTAAGCTCAAATTGCGAATTTTTGAACAATGCGCCTTTAAATTATTGGAGTAGGTGTCTAAACAATCAACGGCTATCGTATGTGAGAAAAATTACCATTTCGAACCATTTTTGATATTGATTTTCGATTTTATGCCAATCTAGAAAAATCCGGAAAAACTTTTCTACCCTGTATCATTTTTCGAATAGTTTCGTTTTTTTTTTGAAATATGAATTTCTGCATTGGGTCCCGTATAGAGAAATAACTCGTAAGATCGATTTGTAGGTCTTCCCAAGGTTGTCCAAATGGGGACCGGCGCTCCTATTTATAAATGTACTTTTTAAATTTTAACGAGAGAAATTTGATTTTGAACATCTGCGGACATTTTTTTTAGCGGTTCAGCAACTTTCATAATATGAAAATTTTAAATTTCACACAAAAGACCTCCTTTTTGATGTTCTGAAATCAAAAAGAAGGACATTGAAATTTTGAAATTCGTCCAGAAAAAAAAGTGGAAAGTCGAAAATGACAAGGAGCAGTGAACATTCTCGATTTATCTGAAAGTTGCTGTGTTTTTAGCCGAACATCACCGTGGAGAAGCAGCTCAAAAAGTATGAGGAGATGGATCCGACCCAAAAGGTGGGTTTTTTTGGTGTTCTCAAAAAAATATGTACGAATTGAATTCAGTTCTTCATGCTTGGCCTCCAATCCATGTATCCACTACCACTAGCACGGCGGCGGTTGGAAAAACGGCAGGAAGCGTTGAGAGCCCTTGACGCCGCAATGCCGCAATATATCGATGAGCTCAATGAGAGGCAGCTTGTGTTTGTAAGTCGCTGAATTGTTAGGAAATTGACAACAATTGTGAATTTCAGCATTGCTACATTCGAAAAATCGAGATTGTAACGAAAAACGCTGAGGAGATGAAAAATGAATTGAGGAAATACTTGAAAATTAGTGAGGGCGATTTGTTTTTTTCGCAAGAAATGTTTCTAAATTTTTTTCAGCGTCCCGTCTCTCGAACACTGCTTACCTCTACGCGCCGATAATGATGCGAAAAAATTCCTGAAATTTGTGTAGCTTTAATTTATTTAGGGCTCCCCTAGATCGTATATTTGTTTTTTCTTTTTTTGAATTGTGGTTCATCACATGAAACGATTTTTTTTCTGCTTTTATCACTGCTTTTTTTGGTTGTTCGGAACTGGTTTTCGTCCAGAAATACTGTGCCATCTTTTTTCCCCTCATTCTTCATTCAATTTTTTCCCTGAAATTTAAAAATTTAAGCAAAAACCATAGGAGAAATAAAATTTATAAATTTCCAAGTTTTGCACATTGATAATTGGTGCTACAGTAGGCTTTGCGGTGACGAGACCCAACGAGAAATTTTAGTGTAGTGCACCTTTGACAACCGACTACGGTATCCGATTTATTTTAATTTTGTTTTCCCCGAGAAATATGTCTCATTTCCGTTCGAGGAAAATGTCAAAAATTGCGATTTCCGTTTTTTCTAATTGGGTTTTAGTTGTTTTTCCGGATTTTAGTCACTTTCAGATTACAAAAAACGCTTTTTTTTTGAAGAATGAAATAGAAAAATCGAGAAGTTGAGTATTGGGGTTTGAAAATAATTTCCGACATTTCCCCCCCTCCCCATTGAGAAAATCGCAATGAATCCTTTCATCTCACACTTGAACCGTCTTGTTTCAACTGGGCAAACAATCACATCGAACAAGTGGGTTCTGATACGAATTTTCGATTTCCGCCTATAAATTTTGATTGAAACCGGAAAATAATTATTTGATCGCGTGAATCTGATTTTTTTGCGCTTTAGAATCTTCGAATTTGAGGGATTTTTATTAAAAAAAAATGTAATTGCAATTTTTTTCGACAAAAAAATTGGTAAATCAAAAATAGTAGAGAAGTATCATTTTTTGGAACACTTTTATCATTTGCCGTTTAAAGGCGCATGACGCGTGTTAATTGATGTCGCCTGTTTTGGAGAGATGCGTTTTCGCACCGGCCGAGTGACAACGATGACGACGACGGCGAAAACGCGCCTGCTCACACACGTGTATACGTATAGTGTGTGTGTGTGTGTGTGTGTGTGCTGTGCCTCATTCAGCCGTCTGCGTCTCCTCGTCATTCGCGTTGAATTTTGCTGGAAACGGCGAAAAAGAAAAGAAATTGGTTGCTCGAGGGAGCCGAGTTGACAAACGGCAACGACAACCCCGCCCACAAATGTTTTGCTCTCGGCTCGCGCTTGGAGTTTGTTGCCCTTTTTTGGCGATGCATACAGATACCTTTTTTGTTGTTGTAGTTGCCGGCTCGTCGATTATGTGCAATTTGTTTTCCGCCGCCGTGCACTCCGACTTTCAAACAATTTTAATTTTTGCCCGAAATTTGATAGGTGCTCGAGTTTAAACTTTCGAATTCTTGTGAATTTGAGGCTCAAAAAAAAAAACACACACATTTAATAACGTGAAATAATTTCATTGCGACAAAAAAAAATGTTGAATATCTCGTTTGAAAAATCGCTAGCCGATGGCGGATTTGTGTCGATTCGAATCGGATTTCCGCCAAAACCGATGATTATTTTTGTTTTTTGTTTGCAGAACAATGGAATGGTCGGCGTCGGGCGCCGCCGACGACACCGCCAAAATGCTCGACGAGCCGCCGCCGCCGCCGTCGTCGGATGCGTCCGACTTCGTGTTGCGTCCGCTGCGCCTCTGGGATCGACCGGCGGTTCGCCAACTATGCAACGAATGCTTCCCGATTCAGTATCCCGAATGCTGGTACGACGAGGTCGTGTCGGGATGTCTCGATTCGGTCGGACTGTTCGATGGCGCCGTTCTCGCCGCGATGATTGTCACCGAGACGAAACTCGTCGCCCATTGTAATCCGGAGGTGAGTGCGCCTTTAAATAAGTATTAAAAAAAAATCTTGGCATTATTATTTTTCAACCCCCAAAAAAAAAGGGGCCAATTTTTAACGACAACATTTGTGCCTCATTTTTGTTTCTGCACAATATCGTCTCGGTGTTTGCGGGATTGCCGCTGACTACAGTAACCGAAAATGTGGATATTGTTTGAGGAAAAACGCGGCGCAAAAATAGCCAATTCATTTTCGAATTGAAAAAGTCCGATTCGGTGTTTGCGGAATACAGTAATCAAAAAAATGGTTTTGCAGGACCAAGACATTCTGAACGAGATGAATAGCAAAGTTGTGTACATATTGTCGCTAGCGGTGACGAAAACCTATCGGCGAATGGGTCTCGCCACGCGATTACTCAACAATTTGTTCAAAACGGTATTTCTTTTTTTTTCTCTCTCTCGCGTTTGGCGACATTTTCACCAATTCGATATTTGCAGATTGTTGATCAGTCGCCCTATCCAAGAGCGGTATTCCTGCACGTGTTGTCGACGAACACGCCGGCGCTCAATTTTTATCGAATGAACGGGTTCCAATGGCATTCGTCGCTCGTGTAAGCTCGAAAAATTGATTTTTTTTTTTGCGATTTTTACGTCAAAATCATTTTAGTTTGATAAAAATTCCATGTTTCGCGAAAAATGAACGCAATTCGAAAAGCTTGAGTGTTGTTTTCAGAAACTACTATCGAATAGACAATGAAAACTGCGATGGGTGCACGTATGTGAAGTACACGAACGGCTCGAAACCGCCCGTCTCATTCTACGAGGTGCTCAAAATGCTTGGCGGCGTCGTGTGTTTTCCGCTGAAAGCGATTTGTCGAGTATTGACGATTTGAACTAAAACACTAATATTAGAAAATTAAAAAAACCGATTCCCTGAGAAAAATTGCTCCTGTATTAGCCATTTTATACCGTTTTTTTGCGCTCGCTTCGAGACCTCATGTACATTTCCATCGTGTGTTTTTCTGTGTACCCTCATATCTCCCATGTACCTTTCAGTTATTTCTTTTTTCCGACCCTGAATCGATCTTCTTCTGTTCTCCCTCCTCCTCTCTCGATTTGTGCCCATTATCTCGACGAGTTTCCATCATTTCCTTTTTTTTGTGTGTGTTTTTTTTCTCGACAAGAAAAATGAACGCATTTGTTATGGTTGTTGGATTTTTTTTTATGAAAAATTGCATACACATTATCTTTTTGTCGTTTTTTGCGGCGGCGAGACGTCAATCGTGTTTCATGGGTCCCGCGGGGAAAATGTTTCGAGTCTCTCTCCGACGAATATGGTGATAATTTATTTTGTTGAGATGAGAAGCGGTTTGATGGAAATTGGCGAGGTTTCGCCGCTTGGGTGATCTGCAAAAAAAAGTTTTGCGCAATTTTCGAGTGGGTCCCAAATTTGGCCAACTCACGAATTGTCTGCTTCTTTTCTAGTTCGCTTTTGACTGCCTGAAAATGAGATAATTATATTTCATTAATTGGAATTCATTTCAATTGAGAGTTATACGAAAATCAAGGAATTTAGGAGAAAAATTTAAAAATGAAGAAAAATTAAATCGGTAGGTTACTGTAGTTTGAAAAAAGTTCACGACCGAATGACGCAAAAATGCAGACAAATATGAAATTGATGCTCACGCTTAATTGCGAAAATTTAAAAAAGTGCCAAAAATAGTGGAAGCGAGCTTGAAGCAAAACTTTATATGTAAATTTTAATCCTAATTATAGATTAAAGGCGCACATGCGCCGCAAGAGCGCTGCCGGATTTCTGGTGAAAAAAAACATTATATTGGATTGAATTTTGTGTTTTAAATATGAGAAAATTGTCCGCAGCACGAATTTGATATAAATTTGGAAATGAAAACCTCAATATCATTCTCGACTTGCGCCTTCAATATCATAACCGTCGCCAACAAATTGGTGTTGCCCTCCGCCATTGCGATGGTGTTCTCATACTGTTTGCTGATTCGATGCAAATTGATCAACTTGACGTTCCAATAGAACATTTGAACATCGTTGAGTTTGACGAGCTCATCATCGTCGGTGAACAGCTGGCAGCCGAGATCGAACTTGCGGATCGTCGCGTTCATCGCGTTGAACGTCCACGCCTCGATGGTGGTCATTTTGTGCGAGTGCATCGTGTACTTCTGGAGGATCTCCGGCGGAATGTCGGACGGAAATTTGCTGAGCAACTTGAGCTGCACCATGTGCACGGCGACGTAGCGCTCGCGGTTGCGCGACACCGCCGGCAGTTGAAGGCCGTCGATGGTGACCCATTCCCAGCTGGCGAGGCCAGCGATCAGGTCCTCGTCGCGATAGCCGCTCAAACGTGACAGCGTCGGCGTCTCGTGCGCCTGTAAACATGTCCGCAGCATGAAAACGGTTAAACGCGAAATTTTGAGAACTCAAATTTCGCTAGAACTGAATTAAATAAAAGCGTTTTTCTAGGCTTCCATTTTTTTGTGAATTTTATTTTTTTTTTAAATTTCACCCAAGAAAAAATCATATAAAATGGAGATTAGGAGGTGCTAAATAAAATGTGTGCAAAATTGCGTCTGTGTGTGTACAGACAAAAATGAATAAATCGCTTATGCTTTTAAATTTATATATTATGCCAAATATTGATTTTAAATGTTTTTCAGACATTTTCTGCTCAAAATTTCGATTTGAAAGTCTTTAAGCAAGAAAGGCAAACATGTCCGCAGCATGAAAATTAGAAATGAAATTGCGTACCTCTTCGGATTGGTTGCGCTCGTCGTCGCTCAAATTCGACGATGGACCTCGCGATTCGTCATCGACGACCACATCGGGACTCTTCGGCTCCGATTTCTTGTCATCCGGCGATTTCGAAGGCATTGACGTCTCATCGCCATCGGGCTTCATCTCCGCTTCGCCTTGTGTGGAAGACGTCGCGGCTATCGATCCGTCTGCGTCTCGGCTGTCTCGCTCCATCTGCCGCTGCTGCTGTTGGCCGCTTACTTTAATATTCGCCATGCTATTCACGCGAAGCACAATGATTTTCGAGGTTTGTTGCTGATATTTTTCGTTTTCGCTGGAAAAAAATTGACGAATTCTCAAATCGAGTTTAAGTTATGAAATTTTGAGTGAAAGTGTAGACGAATGCGATGATTTTTATTCGATATGTCATGTTATCAATGTTTTCGGTATGATCATCATCAATTTTTGCGATAAGATAACACCATGCAATTAGCAACACACATCTCAAAAATAATATAATTTTAGGTTTGAAATTGTAAAAATTTGGGTACTGTAGGTGAAACTTGTGCATTCACTACATTCTACGAGCAATTCATTGATTTTTTTTTAATTTTTGTCAAAAATGTTTGCATTTTTATTGAAATTTTCCATATTCCGCGTAATATTTATTTTAGCGCGATATTTCTTAAATGTGGCCTGCTGGCCGAGAAGTGGCGTGTTCGAAAAACTCGGCCACGCCGGCCAACGCGTTGATTTTAATCGACGCAAATATTTTTTCACACCAATGGCTTCATTGATATTCCAGGAATGCATGAGCCGTCGTCATCAAACAATTTAAACGGTTCGGACCTTTCATCGCCGCAGAATCACACGGGACCATTGAACGTTTCGACGATGGAGGACGTCTTCTCGAAACCAATGACGCCCGAAATGCTTCAAATGATGATGACATATTTGCGACGGCACGGATTATCGGTAGAAATTTGAAAACAATTGCAAATAATCCGCAAAAAAATGTCTAGGAAACCGAAGAATCGCTGTCGCGCGAAGCGCCGGGACTACTGAAAGCCGGACTCAGCGCCTCGAATGGGCTTCCGCCAGAGTAATTGATTTCTGTCAAAAAAAAAAAAACATTTTTTTTGACAATTGCATTGATTTTGTTGATTTTCTCAATTCAGCGAGGCTTTATCGGTCGAATTCGACACATTTGTTCAGCATTTCAACTCGCTCACCGATGTTGTTCAGGTAATTTTTGTTTCCGGCTGAATCCTCAATTTGTGCCAGAAGTTTTTGAGAAATTCCATTTAAAAAAACCAAGGCGAATGTTCTTGAATAAATTTTGAATTTGATTTCTTTTTTGCTTAAATGTCGAGCGTTCAAATATCTGATAAATTGAAAAAATCTGCCGAATTAGAGTTTTTTCCCAAAATTGACAAATTTCGGCCAATTTTTACCGAATTTGTCGTTAAAAATCTCAAAAATTGCAGTTTTTGCCTTGAAAGATGATTTAGATTAAGATACTAAAAGGCGTTTTCTCTAAATTATTCCAAGAAATCCAATTTTTTTTTCAAAAATATAAATTTTCAGGCGGAATTCAGCCAACTATTATTCCCGGTGTTCGCCCACAGTTATTTCTCGTTAATTGGCGCTGGTGTGCAGGCGACAGGTATCACATATTCTCGAAATAATCGACGATCACCAACGTCGGGTTTTAGCGCGATCGTTTTTCGAGCGATTCAAATGCTTCATACCGGAATGCTATGCTGAATATGTGCACGAGCTCTCGCGAATCGACGACGCCATTTCGCTGAAGGCTTCTGATTGTTTTCACACGCTGACGTGAGTTTTTGCTTGAAATATTGCCAATTATTGCTTTTTGTATCATTTTAATTTCGAAATTTTTTTTTTTAAATCACTATTTCAACATTTATATTTAAAGCCAAATTGAGAGTTTTTTCCCCATCAAAGATTACTGTAGATGGTTAAAGGCGCACGCAGCGAAAAATTATTTCCAGATAATTTTTGCGAGGCGAATTAATTGAAATTAAAAGAAAGTTTTAAAGTTTTCCCTAAAAATTTTTTCGTTCCGCAATCTGATTTTCTATTTTCTTTTTTTTCTGCGCATGCGCCTTTAAAAATAAACAAGTGGCTGGAAAAATCGAAGATTTATTCATGTTTCGCGCGGGAAATTCAAAAATCGAGATTTCTTCTTGTTTCATCCATCAATATTGCCGAAAATCGATTTCAGAGACAATCATTTCGTTGTGAAAATGTCGAAAGCTTGCACCAAACAGCTCGAATTGGTCACGTTGCGATTACGAGCAGTTAAGAATATCATCGCCAAAAATGTGCTCATTGAACGTGAGTTGAACGTCGAAAATTGGCCAAATATTGCATTTTTCCAACTTTTTTTTTGTATGAAATTTGAGAAAAATTGGTTTTTTTTTGAATATTTCTGCCAAAAAAATGGATATTAATGCGGTTTTTTGATGGAAATTTCCAAATTCCTCAAAAAATCGTCGAACAATTCCAGAAACCGACGTGAACACGAAATTCCGGTCGACGATCGAAGCGCAAATGGGCGGAATTCTGGGTCAGACGTCGAAAAACGACAAACGGCACAAGGTATTTTGGGTTTTCTTTTTGGTTTCTCGTTGTTTCTATAGAAAAATATTTTCTTTTTTAGATGTTCTATGGAGTTGTGAAAGACGATTTGATGGTGCAAATCGAGAAGAAAAAAATGAAAGGCAAAGAGTCGAGAGATGCGGGCAAAAAAATTCAGAGTGTACGTTGCAAAAAAGGAAATTTCTGCCCGGCCCGGAATTCCGTCTTCCGCCATTTTTTACGGCTCCCCAAAAAAAAATTTGCCTTCTGTTTTGCGAATTCTGATTATTGTCGCGCGACTCCGGAAAATTGGAGAAATGCCAAAAAATTTACGAAGACGGTTTGCGCCTTTAAACTATTATATTATTCTCAGCTCCGTAAATCTACACTTTTAGTTTTGCGCTAAGACCGCTCATTTTTGATTTTTTGGCGTTTAGCCAATTTAGGGTTGGTTTAAAAAAGAATTATTTTATGTATTACGGTAGTATCAAAGTCCGCAATCAGTCAATGTGACGCAAAAATGAACACATTGATTTTGGATTCTCAATTTTGGGGGAATCCTCATTTTCAGAAAATTCATGATCTGTGCAGTCTGTGTTGAAGGAATTGAAAAATGGGAGGAATTTTTAGGTGGCCCCAGCCGCTGATCGAATTCCATTGCCGCCTTTGAGCGAATATATTCGAGAGGAGAAGAGAAATCACCAGCGGGTGTGTTTTTTTTTTTTTGATTATGAGATTTGAATTTTTGCAGGAGGTCTCCAAAATGACGATTGTGTCCGCCGAATCGCCGGTGTCGATTTGTATGTATACGACGCTGAATTCGCCGTTTGGAATCGCCTCGTCGGATTTCTCGGATGACTCGTCGTTTGTTGCAATGGGGTAACCAATTTGTTTTTTTTTTTTCAATTATTTGCCAAAAATTTGGCATTGAAAATTTTGTTCAGATTTTTCTTTAGCGAAAGAAGGTGTTTTACCGGCGGAAAAAATTGCAGAAATTTGATTTTTCTTGTTTTTGCTTTTTTTTCATCCAAAAATGGTTGGATTTGAAGATTTTTATTGAATTTCACGTGGAAAATTCGGAAAAAACTAAATTTTGCACTCGAAAATCTTAACGTTCTTTTTTTTTGATCGAACAATTTTTTTTATCCGCCAAAATTGAAATTTCAAGTATTAAAAGTGTGATTTTTTCGGCTAAATATCGAAAAAATTGAAATTTTCGATTTCTCAATGTTTTTTTTCAGCATGTCGGATTCGACAATCGTCATCAACGCGATGAATCCGATGTCGAAACTTCGAAAATTGCATTCGGTCGACGTTTTGGAGAAAATCGATATGGAAACCGCCGAGAATATCCAGGAGTTGATGTTCGACGCCGACCAATCGGCGGGAAATTTGAAATTCACGGTTTGTCGAGGAGAAAAAAGAAGAACTATCAAATTACCGTAATTTAAAGGGACACGGCGCGCCGGTGTTCTCGGTGAACTTTTCGCCGGACAAACGCCTACTTTTATCGTCGTCCGGCGACAAAACGGTGAGATTGTGGAGTCTCGAGGTTCAGAAGAATGTGGTTGTGTATCGGACGCCGACGGTCATTTGGGATGTGAGTTTCTATTCTTTTCTTTTCGTTTTTTTAATTAACGGACCATTAAAATTTTTATGAGAAATTTTGCAAAAAACGCGTGCTATTTTGTTTAGAATAAAGTGAAAATTTGAAATTGTTTCGAGAAAAAAAAAAGGTTTTTTTTCAAGCCTAAACGAAATGGGCCTGAAATTTTTGAAAATCGTTCACGACCAATTCGAAAATTTGGGCATTTGCGCAAAATTGCGGAAAATCGGACATTTTGGCGAAAACGCTCAAAATTTTATATTTTTTGTTAGACGAAATGAAGTGGAAGATCAAATTTGTTTTAAAAAATTTTGGATTTTTCTAGGTTTTTTCTTTTTCATTAAAACGAGACGAAATTGATTTAATGAAGATTGAGAATTTTCAAAAAAAAAACGAAAATGAACGCGGCTCAAAAAAATTCGAGATTTTTCATTAGAAAATTCGCAGAGAAATATTTTCAAAAAAAATGATAGTATGAAAAAATCAATCGTTTGATTTAAGGTGCTATAGGTCTCGTGACGAACTTCGTTTTTTTTAAACAATCGACTATAATTAACTAATTAATTAATTATTTTGGCGTTTCAGGCGCAATTCTGCAATCGCGGCTATTATTTTGCGACGGGCGGCGCCGACAAAATGGCGGCGGTCTGGTGCACGGATCGAATGCAGCCGATTCGGATGTTCGCCGAGGCGTTCGGCGACGTCGGCTGCGTCGACTTCCATCCGAATTGCAATTACGTCGCCGGCGGCTCCGATGATCGATATGTTCGCGTTTGGGACATGCTTCAGGGAACGTGCGTTCGCAGCTTCAGCGGTCACAAGGGCAATGTGATCGCGGTCAAGGTCGGCCACCCATCGGTTTTTCTCTCATGCTCCTTTAAATATAGTTTTGGTCGTTTCAAAATTGGTCCAATTTTTAACCGGAAACTCTATTGGAAATTACTGTAGCCTTTAAAGGCGCATGAGACGACTCTTGAATGGTTTAAAGGCGCACTAGTGGTTTTTTAATTTGAAAATATTCGATTTGCAATAGCTTTTTCACTTAAAAATTTCAAACTATTTTTGGACACAAAAAATATATTGCTTTAAATTTTAAAGGCGCACGACACGATATTCCTAGAGGCAATTGAATTGATTGTTGGAAAAATTGAGAAAATTTCCAAATTTTGCCATTTTCCCTGTGTTGAATGGAAAAAAACGTGATGTTTTGCATACGTTTTCAGACGAAAAATTTTCAAAGCGATATAACTGTGGATTTTAAAGGCGCATGACACATTTAAAAAAAAAAGATGTCTTCATTATTCGGCGATTTCAGTTCTCGCCCGACGGCCGCTATCTGGTGTCGGTCGATTCGGCCGGCAATGTCCTATTGTGGGATCTCGCCTATCAGCGGCTTCTCGCCGTCGAGACGACCGAGCAGACGGGCACGAAGGGCTCGATAGCGTTCACGCGCGACGGCGGCGCGTTTGCGGTCTCGCACGGAAATTCGAACATTTCGGTGTACTCGTTGGACGCGATGATCGCGAATATGGCGGCGAACGCGCAAAACGACTTTTGTCTTGATCCCAAGTGAGTGATTTTTTTTGTTACTCCATTAAGCTTAAAAAAAAATGCTGAAAATTCGCATTTGCCTTCGAAATTGGCAAAACAAGAGTTTTTCGATGCTGAAAATTTCATTTTTTTAATATGCTTCGAAAACTCGAAATTTCAAATTAATATTTTAGCTAAAAGTGAGAGTTTTTGAAGGTATTGATATGAACGCCCGCGGCCGCGAATTATTCGGCCACGGCGCATTTCACGTCCGCCATTATTTCGAAATTTTTTATTCATTATCTCAAGTTTTTATTTAAACAGAATATTTCGCCGATCTCTTTGGAAAATATATGAAAAATGAGATTAATTAAATTTTTAAATGAAATCAAAAAATTTTTTCGAAGGCATCCAAAATTCGTTATAAAATTGCCTTAAGAAATCGGAAAATTTTAAGAATTTTACCATAAGAGACCCAAGGCGGCAATTCAAAAGTTCAAGGCTCGAATTCATTAAAAATACTAATTTTAATAAAAACTCGGAGGGTCGATTTCTAGGTCTTTCAACTTTCTAGAATCTGAAATTGTAATTATTTTGGTTTTGATGTCGAACCGCCTAATTTGGTCCTTATATCGTTAGATCTGTTACAGTCGCAAAGAAAATCGAAAATCCTCTGTTGTTTTTGATTCGCAGAATTGAAATTTGAATTGCCGCTAAAAACAATGCGATGGTCCACAATTACTCAAGGTTCTCGCAAAATGATAAAAATGATAGAAATCGGGGCAAACAAAAAAAAAATAAAAAATATTTTGTTGAAAAATGGTTTACGCCTTCAGAATCAACATGGACGGCTTCAATATCGGCACATATCCAACAAAACAGACGCCCGTCATCGGGCTTCACTTCACTCGTCGCAATTTGCTGATGGCTCTTGGCTGCTTCGGACAATGATCGAGGATCTCGCATTTTTAACGTTTTTACGTGTATTTTTTCTAAAAATAAATTTGTCATTTTTTTAAAGAATCGATTTTTCAACATTTGATTTTGGTGTTTCTTTTTCGACACTTGAATACCTGAATTGTAGCCGAATTTGATTTGACGATTTCTTTCAGATGGCCAATTTTGTTGATGGCCTCACGAGACCCGAAATGGAGATTTCCGAAGGCGGTGTAATTTTGGACAATCGGACGTGAGTTTCTTGGGGTGTTTTTTTTTCCGAATTTCACCTGTTGACAATTTTTTAATGGGAAATTGGAGTATTTATTTAGTAAAAACCGACATTTTTTTGGCGAAAAATGAAAAATATCAGGTTTTTTTAATGGAAAAATGTTTCGAACATTGAAAATATAAAAAAAAAGATTCGTTAAAAAAAATACGGCTTTCAGAGAAAAAAAAATTTTTGAAAAATGCAGAAAGATTGTAGTAGCAATTTTTTTCAAATTCTCATTTAAAAGTGCAAATTTCTCAAAAAATAAAAAAAATTTGAATTCCCCCCCCCTCCATGAAAATCGTTAAATTCAAAAAAAAAACATATCAGGGATTACTGTAGGTGATTGAAGACGCAGGTGGCGAAGACTTTGAAAAATTTCACGTTGATTTTCAATTTTCTATTCAAACGAGCCCCAATTTTCAGACGTTTCGCCGATCTCAAAGTGATGCTCGACAGCAACAAGGACAATCTGAAAGTCGACGCGATGAAGCGCATCATTCAGCTGATCGCGAAAGGCCGAGACGTCAGCGAGCTGTTTCCGGCGGTTGTCAAAAATGTGGCGGCGAAGAACGTCGAGCTCAAGAAGCTCGTGTTCGTCTATCTCGTTAGGTATGCCGAAGAGCAACAGGATCTCGCGCTTTTGTCGATTTCAACGTTTCAACGGGCGCTCAAGGTTTGGTTTTCTTTTTCTTTTCGGACGAACTATGAGACAATCATACCTAGGATCCGAATCAGTTGATTCGCGGAAGCGCGTTGAGGGTGCTCACCTCGATCAGGGTCCCAATGGTGGCGCCGATCATGTTGTTGTCGATAAAAGAAGCGGTGCGCGACATGAGCCCGTACGTGCGCAAAATTGCCGCCCACGCGATTCCGAAACTCTACAATTTGGAGCCGGACCTCGAGACGCAACTCATCGACTGCATCGATTATTTGTTGGCCGATCGTCGAAGTCTCGTGCTCGGCAGCGCCGTCTACGCGTTCGACGAGATTTGCCCGAATCGCTTCGACATGCTCCACAAGCATTATCGCGCGTTGTGCCGCGCGTTGCCCGACGTCGACGAATGGGGCCAAATTGTGATGATCAATTTGTTGACGCGCTACGCGCGCAGTCAACTCGCCGATCCCGACAAAGTCGTGCCCGATCCCGACGTTGTGCTTCTGTTGAACTCGGCGCGTCCGCTGTTGCAGTCGCGGAATTGCAGTGTGGTGATGGCGGTGACGCAGTTGTTCTACCACGTGGCGCCCAAAGCTCAATTGTCGCAGGTGAGCGTTTAAAGGGGGATTCAATTTTATGTCATTGAATTGCGCTTGATTCGACGACAATTTACACACTACGTGAACAAGCCAGAAATTTCATTTTTTTTCAAATCTAGGATATTCGGAATTAATTTTTCTGTGATTTTTTTTTCTCAAATAAAAATGCAATATTCGATTTTATGTCATTCTAAACATTAAAGAGGTAATTTCAATCAAAAATTCGCAACAATGCCAAACTTTGTGGAAATTGAATTGCGGACAATGCGTTTTAATTGACGACAATTCGTACCACAATTTCAAACATCGTTCAAACGAACCAAATTTTTGAATTTGCAGATTGCTCGCGCCCTCGTCCGACTCCTACGCGGCCCGCGCGAGGTTCAATACGTCGTGCTGATGAACATCGCAACGATTTGCGAGCGAAATCCGGTAGAGGAAGGCACTTTTGCCATTTCGAAAGTGCGCATAATGACAAGCATGACCGTCAACCCCCCATCCATTAATAGTACATAGTTCTCGTCTCGTTGGTTATGTTGGTTGTTGTGCATACGAGACAAACGATTGTTGCATGCTTCGTCGAAAAGACCAAAAAAAAGTCGCCACGCCATTAATAGGGTATAATTGCAGAACATGTTCGATCCGTTCCTCAAATCGTTTTTTGTGAGGAGCTGCGACTCATCGCTCGTCAAACAACTCAAACTCCATGTGCTCACTAGTCTCGTGTCGGAAACCAATGTTCATATCATATTGAGAGAGCTGCAGGTGAGCTCGACGCGAGGAACAGAAGCGCGACATTGAGATTGTTCAGACTTACGTCCATATGGGCGATCTCGCTTCATCGGCAGTCGAGGCGATTGGACGATGCGCGGTGCGCGTCGGCAACGTCAGCGAGCAGTGTATGGGCGGCTTGGTGCAGCTCATCTCGTCGTCCGACGAGAACGTCGTGTGCTCGGCGGTCGTTGTGCTCAAACGCCTTCTTCATGCGTCGGCGCCGGTGGCGCTGCTCGCGCGTCTCATGCGGCTCATGCCGAAAATGGTGGCGCCGCAAGCGCGCGCGTGCGTCGTCTGGCTGGTGGCGACGCACGTCGATCGCGTCATCCACATGGCGCCCGATCTTTTGCGAATTCTCGCGAAAAAGTTCGCCGCCGAAAGCGAGCTCGTCAAAGTCGAATCGCTGAAGCTCGCCGTGAAATTGTGGATGGTGAAGCGTGACGAGTGCGAGAAGCTCGTTCACTACGTGTTCCAGCTGGCGCGTTTCGATTTGAGCTACGACGTTCGCGATCGGTGCCGATTCTTGAGGAACTTGATGTTCAACACCGAGATTTTGTCGAAACACGCCGAGGAGATATTCATGGCGAAGAAGCCGGCGCCGGCGTTGATGAGCACGTTCAAAGAGCGCGATCAATTCCAGCTCGGTTCGCTGTCGCACGTTCTGAATCAGAAGTGCGCCAAGTACATCGAGTTGCCCGAATTTCCCGAGGTGTCGACGGATTCGAGCCTGCGGAAGGAGGCGAATAGTTTGGAGTTGAATCTCGATGAGGATGAGGAGGAAGATGAAGAGGAAGAGGAGGATGAGGAAGAAGATGAGGATGAAGAAGAGGATGACGAGGAAGAAAGCGATGAGGAGGATGAGGAAGAGTCTGATGAGGAGGAGGACGACGAGGAAGACGAGGAGAGCAGCGAGGAAGAGCCGGAAGCGCCGAAGATGAATGGGAAGCCGAAGACGAATGCGATTGATTTGCTTCTTGATGTTGATTTTTCGGCGGCTGGAAGCCGACAGATCATGGAGCCGGCGTTGGTGGAGGTAGGCAATCGAGTTTTGCAATTTTATGGTAGCCGAATGAAGGATTACTGTAGAATTGGTATTTAGAACAAGGAGATTGAGCTACTGAATGTGGTCGAAGGCAATGGAATCTCGCTGTCGATCAGCTATCCGCGAACGAATGACGCCCAATACACGCCGATTCGATTTTCGATCTACAACTCGATGGAGCGCGACGTCGACGGTGTTGAGATTGAATGTTGCGACGAGCTCGACGTCAAAGGCAATTCGAAGATTGGTGGTGTTGCGGCTGGCGCGAGTCTTTCGGTGATCCTTGGCGTTGATTTGGAGGATAGCAGCAAACAGAGGGAATGGTGCTTGAAGCGTGACGATGGAACGGAAAAGCGGTTTCGATTTGAGGTCTTGAAACGGGGGTGAATTTTGGTGTTGATATCTAACGGGATGCGATTTGTAGGTTCCGTATGGGGAGCAGGTTCAGCCGGTGCGGATAACCCCAGAGGAAATGGCGAAGGAGAAGAATCGCCTCGGCGGATTGAATCGCAATGTGCTTGAGCTCGCTGAGCCGGTGAACGGCGATGTTGTTCAACGACTCGCCAATGTTTATCGAATTGATGAAAATGTAAATTTTCGAAAATCGAAATATTTCAAGTGAATTTGACATTTTTTAAATGTTGCAGACTTACACGTGCCAAACGCGATCGCGAAAAGATTTTTGCATTTTGAGCGTTTCGCCGAGCAAAATTGAGAGCTGCTGTGATAATTCGGTGATTGGACGAATGCTGGCGTTTGCCATTCAAAAGAACTAATCTAATTTACTATTTTTCTATGCCTTTCTATCACTTATTCAAATTTATTATTATTAATTTATTAAAGTTATGTGATGTATGATTTTTTGAAATTTGGCACTTAAATAATCGAAAAAATGTCGAATCAAGAATTTGGATCGTATATTTTCATGAATTTTGGGAAACATTTAAACATTTTTTTTAAATTCCCGCGCAAACCCCTCATCGTAAATTCAATCGGGACCAACTCGGCTCCGGCTCACGTTCGAGAAAATAAAACGAACGAGTCAAATCCGGGCGTCGTGGAGACGAAAGACGGGTCTCGATTGAATTTACCGAGTCCCCGGTAAAATTTTTTTTTGAATTCCCGCGAAAAAATACAACTAAAACAAAACTGGCAAAATCGTTAAACCGCGCCCTTATTTTTCAATTATACATTTATTTTTCTTTTTTTGCCTAGCTATTTTTTTTTAATTTTTCGCAAGCTCTATGTAGTTGGTTTAAAAAAAAATGCGATATATTGTCGGCGTCGCGAAATGCCAGAAAAAGCCAAGGCCTTGGCGCAATGCTAAAAGTGTAGATTTAGTGATCTATGTATAAGGGCAGTTTAAAGGCGCACACGCCGACAATACATGAAAATGAAAAAAAAAACAAACCGTATTCGGAAAAAGACGATTCGAAAAAGGGAGATTGGAACTCCCGCTTTTTACGGGGATGTCCACAATTATTTTGAAAATCAAATCTTCAAGCAGTTCAAAGCGTTTTCCGGAATTCTTCCGTCTTCACGAGATTCAAATCCTTCAGCGAACTGGACTTCAATATGGCTAAACAATTAAAAATGAAAATTTGGCTAGAAATCAAGCGTCAGTGTACCTTTCGATCGGCCTCTTTTTTGGAACACATGGGCACCATACGCGATTTTGACTAAAAATAATAATTTGAAAGGCTGAAACTGTTTGATTCGAACCCCCCATTGTTGCCAGACGATTCAAAGTTAGAATTTATGAAAATTCAGTGTTGACTAAATCCAACGCGAACCGTCGGAATCTCCAAATTTTTCAAATTCTATCAAAAATCGCTGTTCAATTAAGCTGATTCAGCTCTATCTCTCCTCAATTCTTTAATAAAACATTGAAAAAATGATGAAAACGTTAAAACTTGCCACTTTTTGAAGAGATGTCGTCGATGTAGGCAATCGAATTCCTTGTTCAGCGTTCATGAAAGAAAAAAATTAAAAAATTAAATGAAAATGATTTTTTAAAATTTTTCATCGAGAATTTGAAGTTTCCAAGAATTTAATGGTTTGTTTTTGCGCATTTCGTCCAAAAATATGGCAATTTTCAAAAATAGCTGCCAATTCGGCAAGTCTCCACAACGACCTGCCTCGACGCGCCACTTCCCCACCGTGTGCGCCTAGACTTCCCCAGGCATTGCCCTCCTGGGTCGGACCCTCATGGGTCACCGATGCGGGGTGTTGGTCCGCGTCTCGTGGTGGCACGAGAAGCGCGGCACCCGTGCGGGCTCTCTCAAATCCGACTCAACGAATGTTCTCGAGACACGCTCACGGTGGCCACGAGACACATTCGTTGTGAAGACAAGAATTCTATATTTTTTATTAGATTTTAATTCAAAAATGATGAACTTCGATTTCAAATACGAATAACAGCTTACCCAATCGAAGGGAAGCGACCTTCCAGCGAAGAAAATGATGTCAGTTGCGATTTTAGCCTGCAAAGTAAGAATTTCAGCGTTTTAACAACAATTAAATAATTAACAAATTAAAAAAATTGATTTTTTAATGAGAAAATTGCTAACACATCGCGAAAAAAATCGAAAATGAAAAGTCAAAACGTGGCAACGAACGATATTTTAGGATTGGTTACTGTAGGTGATTGTAAATCCGCAATTAATTGAAATGACGACATAATACGGATTTTTTAAATTGCCCTTTCGAAAATTGATTCCGGCAGTTTTTACCAGTTTTCTCTAATCGAGAAGAAATGTTTGATTTTTTTAGATCAATAATTAAAATCAGGTTTGTCACCTCCAGGTTTTTTTCAAATTTTCAACAAAAAATTTAAGAAGCTAATGTCGGCAAACGATTTAGCAAAAATAAAGTTAGTAAAAAATATAGGCTATTTAATCTACAATTATTTTGTGAATTAGGTCGTTTTATTATTTAAACTACCTGCATTATTCTATAAGGCTCTTCATTTCGATCTTCTTAACGAAACGGTCGACGCAATAGGAAAAATAAAAAAAGAATGAGGAAGAATTAATGAATTAAGTGTGGGAGGGGGCACGTCTCATTAAAAAAATGAATTTTACATTTTATTCGAATAATTTTTGTTAGAATAGATTTTTTTTTGTCGAAATTGTTTGTGTGGTCACCACTCGCTTCCTGAAATTATCCACATATTCAGCCTGTCATTTTTCATGACTAAATTTTGGAAATATTTTATGAAAATTGCGTCAAAAACCGCTGAAATTTGAGCGGTTTTGAGTTTTTTGCCTAGAGATTCTTTAAATTACTTCAAATTGATTAATATAGGGGTCCCAACGAGACATGGACCGTTTCCTATGAATTTTATACAAATTACAATAATTCTGACTTCGTTTTTCTTTAAAAAATTGTAAATTTTATATTAATTTTTTTTTCTTAATTTTTCGCGTTTTTATTTAAAAAAATATTAAATATATAAATACACAGTCATCTGATCAATTCCACGTTAATAGGCTTGTTGCAAAAAAAAACTAAACGCACAATAAAAATTCACTTTTTTTCTACTAGAAACAAAATTTCATGTATCTTTTTGGAGTGTTTTGATATTTAAAAAAAAACATTTACGCAGTTTTGGGTTGTTTCTGATTACTTCTTGCGACTTGCTAGGTCGCCAAGAAGCCGCCTGGTCGAGGAAGTGAATCCTCGAGTGGGACAGTGTGTCGATTAGCCTGACTCGATCCCCATGAAGGAGGACCGCGTCAGTTGATCTCCTTCGCCGCGTAGAGGCTCGACACTTGAAGGAGAGGCTCACCAGCATCAGGCCGAAGCCTGATGTGGGTCATCGCCGATCCCACCATGGGGATCACCCAAGGACATCCCACAACTATCATCCGAGGATAATAGAAGTAGAAGTGGTTGGGCAAGCCACGTCTGGCTGGGCCCCGGGTCTACTGGTGATATGGTAATGTGGTTTTTGTGTTCATAGCATAGCAGCTTACTACTAAGTAGTAGCAAGCCACTACAAAGTAGCAAGCTACTATGCTAAGAAGCACGGTCCATGTGCACCCGAAAGGCTGGACATATTGACATAGCTGGCCAATCCACGTCAATATAGGTCTGGGCCAGATGACATCCTGACTAGTATGGAGGACACCCGGTGAAGCAATTTTCTAAAGCATAACCATCCATAACGCCCACCAAGCACTCGAGAGTACTTGAAACGGGGGCGTTTGGGTAGGGTTCGATTCCCGGCTACGGAATCAGGGCTGAAAGGCTTGCCAGGCCAATCACCCGAATTTAGGATACAGCGGATAAGCCGCCATCCAGCCAACGCCTCGGCACTACGGGGGATCAGGAAGCCTTGGCGCTTGGGGGAATGGCCGACTACGGCCCTAATATGGCCGACTACGGCCGATTAAATAGAAGAGGGGTCCTTAGTATGGCTAATGCTTAATGGTGGAGGGAAGGGAAAACTTAGTTGTGGTGGTGAATCGATTCACCGGCAAGATCCTTCCATCGGCGGCGGCAGCGACGATACCTAAATACCTAAACACCTGAAAACTTGAAGTAAAACAATAATACAATACGGAAGGGGGGAAGCCAATCATTAGTGGAATGACTGGCATGGCCGTAAGTGGTACGACTTTCCCCCCCAAAAAAAAAAAGAAGCGATGGTTGGTCCCAAACGGTAGGACCGAGAGAGAGAGAATCCCAAGTGGTGGGATATAGAGAGTGGAAGCCGCAAGTGGTACGGCAGGAAAGGGGGAATCAGTCGACTGATAGAGAGAAGGGACAGTCGTAAGTGGTACGACTGGTGGCAGGAAGAGGGAAGGGGAAGCCGGCTTTCCCCGAAAAAGAAGAAAAGATGGTCCCAAACGGTAGGACCGGGAGGAAATACAGACGTAAGTGGTACGACTGTACAGATGAGAGAGGGAATCCCAAGTGGTGGGATATAGAAGTGGACAGTCGTAAGTGGTACGACTGGTGCAAGTGAAAAATAGTAATAAAAAATAAATTAAAAAAAAACTTGGACCTGACTAAAAATTACCAAATATCCGACTATTTTGCTCCGTCCTCGTCGCTTCTTCGAGACGTCGCCTCCGATTAGATCCATTCGATTCAGGATGCCTGAAATGATTCGAGTTATTCTGATAGACTGTACCTCCCTTCTTTACCTTTCGAATCCGCTTCCTCTTTCGTCATTCCTCTTTCTTGCTCCTCTTCACGTGCTATGTCTACTCATGCAATGTGGGTTTAACGTCGGCCTGGACGCGACACTGCAGTAGGGTTAGTACTGGCTAACGGAGTCGCACCAGTCGAGAATCCCCGACACTTTCAACATGGCACATCGGAAGAGCTCGAACGAGCAACGACTGTGGCTCTCATCGGATCTGCAATACGAGGAATTGAGAAGAAGGATTGCGATGAATGTGACATACCGTGTGGATCCTTGGCCATGACAAGTCCGCCAAGATATGCGGGGGCACGTGGAGCCCGCAGGTTATGCGGGACACGCGGAGCCCGCAAGATAGGCGGGCTTCCCGCAACTCGAGGAGCTGCGAGAACTGACGGGATTGCTCATCCGCCGGCCTCGAATAATTTTCATAAAATTAAATCACATGAAATTATTGCAGATTGACGAGTAAATTTATACGTTGGCTATAAATATTAAAGGCGCATATTGTCTCTATCCAATACACTTATATTAAATAGCATAATAATCATGAACGTGGTTCTATTCTTATTAATTAAATAAATAATAATTAATTCATTAATTCAATCGATTGTAAGTAATGAAATGGCTTATCTATTATTTCTGTTTGTTCAAAATACTCATTGTCAATTCTGAAAAGCGTAAGCACTTTTGTCAGAAATGTTACATAAAGAAACGAGGTTATAGCGATTCTTTTGGAAAATATTGCGCTTCGAGACTCAACGCAAAAGCGCCTTTAATTACCGTATTCAAATTGTCTTTAGAACCGGTTTTTCGGGAATTTTCTATTCATTTTTCAATCATTTTTTGATATTCGATCATTACGAACATTTTAAGAAAATTGTGAATAAATAGCAATTTTAAAAAAATTCTAATAATGGCGAAAAAAAATTTTTGGCACACAAAGTCTTGTGGCGATTGAGACCGGTTTTTTTGCCGGAAACAGGCTTCTAATTAATTCAAGTTTTTTTTGAATTGCAGATTGTCCCGAATTATGGACCTTGGTATTTCTGCCACCGAATAATGAAAAATGTTGGATTGTAAGAGAATTTTTCAAACAGAAAATTCAAAATGCAATGGGGAAAAGGACAAAAATTGGTTAACATTGGATGAAAAATTGTTCAGACTCTATAGAAGCATTTTTTTCTTTTTTTTTTGAACAATTTTTTGCCCGTTTCCAAGTTTCAGTGGATGGCGGCAATTCAAATTTTTCGATCAATTTCCAGACGATTCCCGAGACGAGTTTCGGAAAAATTGCGTGTAAAGCGGTCAGCAGTTTCACCGACAACGATCAAATGAATTTGTTGAATGGTTCGAGCGTCGACATGATTGCTCAATTCTCGAAACGATTTCTGCAGAGTTCTCGCGTGGCAATTGTGCGGCTTCTGAGAATGACTCGTGCCCGCTGCTTTGCATCGAGAAACAATTGGACCTTGAGGATTATGCGTTCGAAAATCATGAGGTTTTCCGTATTTCGCTTTTTTTTTTGCAATCTTTTTACGCATTTCAGAGACCCCCAAAATATTTGGCTCATTTCAATCGCGAAGGCTATGCGGATTTTAGCGAAGAATTCGCGACTGGCGACTCGATTGTTATCAATTTGTATCCGCATCCGTCAGTTTTTGGGCATTTTCAAAAAAAAATTCGCCAGAAATTCAAGATTCTTTTGATTTTTTTCCTCGAAATTTCTTTTTTTATTTTGATTTAATTGAAATGCGTGCAATTTTGCGTCGGGGTGTACACAGAGTACACTATGAATGACGAGCTTTCCTTTTTTTTTAAATTATTTTCCAAATTTTTTATTTGTTTCAACCAATTTTAGCTATTAATCGCTACGAGACCCGAAAGAAAATAATTTAATTATTTTTTGAATATCAATTAGTTACAGATGGTCGACCAAACTTGAATTGATAGTAACTGACGAGGCGACTACGTTTGAGGTGTTCCGAATCACTCGTATTGATGATGAAAATAAGGATATTTTCCGATTTGAGGTGCTTTTCTTACTTTATTTATTTATTTTTTTTGCTGTTATTTATCTCAGAACAAACATTTTTTTATTGTGATATCGAAAATTTGAATTTTATTTATTTCGATAATACAGTGCGTTGCAGAATTATAAGGCCACCCCCAAATTAAAGCGCCGCGCAATGATTTCGATATTTTGAGACCAACCAGTGTGAAAATCGTGTTCAGCATGACAAATAACCTATATGTACCAATTTTTATGTTAGTATCTTCAAAAGTAACCGCGCTGTGGTCCAAAACCGTTTTTTCAAGCGGTGCAGAATTATAAAGCCACCCCCATAAAACGGACTTTTTCGCATTTTTTTGAAACTTTGGCGGGACCAGTGTGCATAAAAATTGTTGTGTGGCTTTGAGAACCTACAGTGGTCCTTATTTTTCAGTTTTTGAATCATTTTGAAATGCCACGTGGTCGCTGTCTTAGTGTTTCTGAGCAGTCTCAGATTATCGCATTCAAAACGGCAGGATGGTCGAACTGTCGGGTTGCGAAGAATTTAAATGGTCCGAAAACATTCGTAGACATCTTTGTGAAGGATCCAACTCGTGGACAGTTTGGAGAACCATCAAGAATAACCCCAATATCGCTAGAGAAAAAATGAAGCCGGCCCCGCGACTCACAGAGGACCATAAAATTCGACGCCTTGAGTTCGCATTCAAAAACATGAATACGGATTGGAATAAGGTGTTCACATTCGAGAATGTTGTGAATAATAACCATTCAAACTTCAACAGGTTATTTTTTCCGATGAAAAACAATTTAATTTGGATGGCCCAGACGGCCATAACAGTTGCTGGCCCGAGTAATGAAAGAATCGCCTCCTGCTTTCAAAACTCAATTTTAGAGAAGGAAGCGTGATATTATGAGGGAATCGTTTTCGTAGGCCGGATTTCTGGAATTGACTTTTCTGACGAGTAGGGTTGACTCTTCGGATTATCAGAATGTTCTTGAGTGCTATATTCTTCCATTCCGACGTCATTATTGTCCTTTTTCAACAGGACAATACTGTCATTCATGTGAGTCGGTCTACTTTGGACTTTCTTCACTCTCACAGTGTGGACGTTCTCGACTGGCCAGCATGTTCTCCTTTTTGGAGTCCCATGTAGAACGTCTGGGGAGAGTTAGTGCGGCATCTCTATGGCCAAGGAAGAAAATTTGGGGAGTTGGAAAGCTCAAAACCGAAATCGTAGTCGAGTGGAAGATGTTAGAGCAGAAATTCAAATCTAAATCGACCCAATCTGTTTAAAACCTTCTCAAATCTATGCCAGACCGTGTTTCTGACATAATTACCTCGAATGGAGCTGCCACTAAACATTAAACTGTCGTTATTTTTGAGTTTATAACTTGTTTTATGGGGGTGGCTTTATAATTCTGCACCGCTTGAAAAAACTGTTTTGGACCACAGCGCGGTTACTTTTGAAGATACTAACATAAAAATTGGTACATATAGGTTATTTGTCATGCTGAACACGATTTTCACACTGGTTGGTCTCAAAATATCGAAATCATTGCGCGGCGCTTTAATTTGGGGGTGGCCTTATAATTCTGCAACGCACTGTATAGGAAAATATGAAATATTGCAGGATACCAGCGTCGATCTCAGTTTTAAGATGAAATACTCGCGATTCGATATTCGAATTCAGTAATCGCTTCACAACTTTTTTGAAAATTTAAACTGAAATATTCAGAATTCGCGAATCTCAATTGGAAATCACGTTCGACGCGCGTCACGATACTGTATTGAATGCATTCAGTCGAGAAAAACAAAATTTTGAATTGAATCTCTGTTCAGATCACACAAATCATTCCGGTTATTGGGTTGAATTTGAAAAAAATCAAAAAATTGCGCATCAACGGTGGATTCGCGTCGAATATTGAGCACATTGGCGGGTATTTTGAGCAGCCTTCTTGTTTTTCGGCTGGAAATTATTGAAAAAATTGTTTTAGAAAGTGCAATTTGCTTCGAAATAGCGAGACGAAGTTCGATTATTCGCCAGTGGTTGATTCGTACGCTGATCCAACATCGTCACAGGTTTTGTTTTCGAATTTTTCAATTATCTAAAGCCAAACGTCATCATGCGCCTTTAAAATAATTCTCTACTGAAAATTGATTTAATATGCGAAATTCGACTTACGAATGGGGTTTTCTAAAAAGAAACCCACAATTTTAACAATTTTTGTGGGAAAAATTTAAAAAAATTGAAATTCTCAACATTTTGAACTCGAAATTTCGAATTTTCAATGAAATTTCTAACATAAAATGTCAATTTTCAAACGAAAATGGGTCTTTCTTATCGATACAATCAAATGAATTAATAGTTGAATTTAAAAAAAAAGAAAATGGTCGTTGACCTTGAAAGAATTTGAATTTGGGACGTGGGTCTCGTATGGAAAAATTTTTGTCAGCAGCGATATTTGAATTTGCTTGAGATTATAATGTGAAATTGAGAAATAAAAAAATGGCGTATGCGCCTTTATGCTATTCCATAAATCTGACCAGACAGACGTCTTCTCAAAAATATATTTTTGAAATTTCGCCAATTTTCTCCCGCGCCATTCAAATTTTTTCCAGCTATCTTTTTTTCTGTTTTCCATTCAAGACCCATTCCATGCCAATAGCGTTTTTGTTTTCAGTACAAGTCGGTGATGGTTGAGAATGCGCTGAAAATGCCGTACCACATCAAATTGTCGGACCCGCTTCATTATGTCGATGGCAATTTCGATATTCGCACATTGCTCATCAGCGGCGATTATCGAGCCGTCAAAAATCCGTAAGAATACTTAAAAAAAAAATTTTCTCTCTCTCAACGCTCTCAAGTATTTATTTTTCGGGGTCCGTTTTCAAGAATTGCTGTCTGAAAATGAAAATGAAATTCTTAACATATGTATATAGTCGGCGTCTGGCGACTTCTGTACGCGGGTAGATTTACGCGCATGCGCCTTGAAAAGGTCTCGCCACGCGTGAATGCTTATTTCGCTGTTTTCACGTCAACTGCTTCATATTTCTTGATGAGTTTCGCATTTCTTGGAATTTCCAAAGTCATTCGATTAAAAAATTATCGAACCGGTCCAAAAAATTTGAAATAACCTGTTAGTCTTTGCGAGACCTTTTCAAGGCGCATGCGCGTAAATCTACCCGCGTACAGCAGTCGCCGGACGCTTCGACTATATGTTGAAATGATTCTGAGAATTCCAGACAAATTAAAGTGCTCTTCTACAATAGCCGAATTTCGATGGACAAAAACCTAGCGCAATTCGTATTTGCGAATGGGAGTGTCGTTGGAGGAACTGACAAAAAGGTCCGCAGCAAGTTTGGACCTAGCTTTGCCGGCATCGCGTTTTTCGGTGTGCTCTTGGTGCCACGTCGTCAAATGTAATTACAACATCCGTAAATCGACACATTGCGATATGCGCGACAAGACCTATCCTTGAAAAAAGCAGTGTCGCCGACAATATTTCGATTCAAATTGATCTCGTTGTTTTTATTTTTTTCAGACAATGACAAAATCGATCAAATCGAAAACGTTATTTTCGTATCAACTAAGGTGTGTCAATTTGTCGCCAAATTATTTTAATGATATCGCCCAAACTCGAAAAATTTCCGAGAAATGAGAAACGCGTTTGAATTGCCGCCAAAACTTGCGGACTATTATAATTCGGTGTAATTTACTATAAGGAACTGATGCGAAACAAACTAGTAATGAAAATTATTACATTTCAGACAGACAGTTAACAAAAGGACACCAAACATCAACGCGATTTCGGTTTGGGAGCATGTGGATGGCACTGATGAGGTTTTAGGTAATGCCATCGCTTAAAAAAAACGAGCAAATTGGGTGTTTGCGGACCAGTGATTTTTTTGCCGGGGGCGGTAATTCAAATTTGAATTTTTGACCGAAAATCGAGCCTCCCCATACAAAATTGACAGTTGAATTTGCTTGAAAAGTACTCTTGAAACACGAAAATTAGAAATTGACTTTCATTAAAAAAAAATCCGTGGTTTTGGTTTGGAAAAGAAAAATTGGTCAATTTGTTTTTCTCTTTTTGGACGAACTAAAAATCGCGCGATGAGACTCTTTTAAAGAAATGGTAGCTTCGCCATTTTTGTGCAATCACGCCGCATCAGCGTTGCGGACTTGCATTTTGATTGACGCGCAAACAACTGTTTGAAATTGGTGGTGACGGTGGGCAATTTTTGGGCACATTTTGGCGAAAAATTGAAATTCGTGTTTTTTTCCTCAGATCAAATCGAGATTGATTTGGACGCGAATTACAATAGCTCGTTCGATTTGGCCGTCATCGAGTCGAACGTCGCAATTTATTATGCGCGATGGTTCTCGTCGCGAATCGCCAAAAAGAGTTCGTGTGGATATCGCGCGTTCGAGATAGACGAGGTTTGTCGATGCTTGATGATTGCGCGCCTTTAAAACGGGTCTCGCGTCGACGAAATTGTGTCGACATTGGCATCGACGAGACCCGATTTAAAGGCGCACGTTTCGTAAATCGACAAATGATAATTGTGAATAGTTGGACATAAAATTGCCGAGATTGAAATGTCGAAAAGAATTCAATGCGATTTGCGAAAGTTTGTTGAGAAATGTGACAAAACGTGTTTAAATTTTTTATTTTTTTTCCAAATAGAAGAAGCAGTCGAAAAAGTGAGCAACGGAAGCGCTGTCGTCGAAGAAATGGTCCAATTTGCGAACGGCACACGAAGCGTGATGGCGAGTGTGGAAATGGAAACGAGTTGGATGAGTGAGTCGTTTTTTTTCGCAAATTTTCAACAAAAATGTGGGCTCCTAATAAAATTTGAGTGAATTTTCGCAGCGAGAGAGATGTATATTTTAATATGCGGATTGTCGATGTTTGCGCCGGTTTTGATGATTACTGGAAGCCTATTGATGGTCATTTATTGAGAAATTACTTGATGCGTCTTGCTTGTTTTACTTTTATCGTCTATAAAGAAATACTATTTTTGGTCGCTGTTGAAATATTGATTTTTGTTTTTTTCCCCCATGTTCTTTAATCAAAGATTTTCAAACGTTACTGATTATCACCGATCAGCGATTCTTTTTATTTTTAGTATTTCTCACTTTGACAAGATTCTAGGAGATTCAAAAATACCAAAGAAAATTACGCGTTTTAAAATTGTCGTCAATTAAAATGCATTCGGTGTAATCACGGAATGTACTCATTAATCGAAAGAAAGTTGGTTCCTCAATTTTTGATTTTTCCACTCAAATATGTACTTAGGTGTGTTGGGTTAGTTAAATACGAGAAAAAAAATGTGAAAATGATGTTGCGGACATGTGCATTTTATTTGACGAAACTTGAACTAGAATTTTCGTTTTTTTTTTTTTAATTTTTTTATAGTCGGGCGTCCGGCAGGTGCTGTACGCGGGTAGATTTACGCGCATGCGCCTTGAAAAGGTCTCGCCACGCGTGACTGCTTATTTTGCTATTTTCACGTGAACTTCTTCATATTTCTTGATGAGTTTCGAATTTCCTTGAATTTCCAACGTCATTAGATTAAAAAATGATCGAACCGGTCCATAAAATTTGAAATAACGTGTTAGTCTTTGCGAGACCATTAGGAAAGACACATTCCCGTAATTCTACCCGCGTACAGCAGTCGCCGGACGACCGACTATATTTATTATAAAATTCTGGTTTTTAATTTTTTTTTAAACGTTATCCCTTTTTTTTTTCTTTTCGATTTTCTCTGCATTATATCGACAATATCTAAGCCGCGAGGAAAAATATTGTTTTTTTTTTCTATTCATGAACGAGATGTTCAAATTAAGCTCCTCGAGTCAAAACAAAACAAGAATAAATTATTATTATTAATTTTATTGGGAGAAAAAAGGAGAAGAATAAAAACACAAAAGAAATATATTATGGTAAAAATAAATCTGTTTACACGTGAAGGGCAATACCACGATGAGCAGCAGCAGCGGATTTGGAGAATTCTCACAAAAGAGCAAAAAAAAAGGATCACAATGGAAAAAAACACGAATTGAGCTAACAAAAAAGGCACATTTTTGGTATTTTTCTAGAAAAAAAGAGAGAGAGAAACACAAAAAAAACTGAATATTGAATAATTACAATTATATTAGACATCGGAGACCTCGTCATTCTGATAAAGTGGGTTGTCGACGCGCAACGCGTGGCCCTCCTTTTTGGGTCTCGCCGGCACCGGCGGCTTCACCACAATGTCGGCCTTGGGTGCGATCACCTCGTCCGACAGGCGAATTTCTTCTTCGAACGTCGGCGGTGTGAACGAGGTGGCGGCGAGAATCGGCGGCGGCGGCGGCGGCGACGACGTCGACGGCTCCGAGGCGGCCGACGTCGATGGTTGCGGGCTCGACATGTCGACGTCCTCAAGATCATACACCGGATTCGTGAACGTCGTCGAATCGTCTTGCGCCGACGTCATCTGCTGCATGCTGTACTCCTGCGCCGGACTCGACTCCGATTTCGACTCCAACACCGGATTGCTGAACGAGATCACGTTGCCGTGGAACGACACACTTCCGTCGGCCGCCTCATTCTTCTTCGACATGAGCTGCCGCTTTCGATACAAATTCAATCCAACGAATCCGATGAGTCCGAGAGCGCCGAGAAGCGCGAGAAGCACGAGGAGCGACATGAGCAGATTGCCGGAGAGTCGGCCGATGAGTTTGCGGCTCACACTCGATTCCGTCTCGCAGTTCTCGCCCTCAAAGTCGGACGTGCACTCGCACGAGCCGTCCAATCGACACTTGCCGCCGTTCGTGCATCGACACTGCTTCGGCAGTGTGAGCGCTTCAACGTGTCGCGTCGCGCACGAGCCATCCTGAAACGACGGATTCGATTTGTGACTGATCGTCGACGACGCTCAAAAATTCCTACCATTTGCGGGAACACATTATCCGGACACAAGCACGCAAATCCGTTGGCGGGAAGCGTGACGCAAATATGCGAGCATGAGGCTCGCTCGCATCCGCTCGTCAATCGTTGTGTGTCTTTGGCGAACTTATGATTCACGCGAACCACATGCCCGTCTTCGAGGTCCGACGCCAACACCGAAACGCGACCGCGTCCAAATTTGTCCTAAAAATCCACTCGAATCCGAATTCTCGTCGAGAATCGCTCACCTGCACATAAAGCGTCTTCGTCTCCCGACTCAGCCAGTAGACATTGTTCTCAAACACATCGATCGCGTACGGAATGTTCTTGTCGTGCACAACATTCTGCCGATCGCTTCCATCAATGTTCACCGAGTCGACACGTCGATACTTGGGATCCGCCCAGTAGATGCGATTGCCTTTGCCCTCATCGACAGCCATCGACGTCGGCGAGAAGACGAGATCTTTGACAATGATCTGCCGATGGGTGCCGTCCATGTCGGCGCACTCGATTTTCGCGTGAAGACCGGCGTCGGCGTAGCAAATGCGACCGGCGCCCGGTGCCGTCACAATCGCCGTCGGCTGCTGAAGGTGGCCGCCAACGATTTTGCGCAAGTATCGTCCATCGGGCAGGCAGATGTAAACCGCTCCGGTGTTCTGATTATCGATCGGCTCCGACATTCGCTTGCGTCGCCGCGCCGCCGGCAATATCGCATCAATATTCTCGGCGACGGTGGTGATGAACAAATTTCTGCAAAAAAGTCGCACATCACATTTTTGACTTCAAAAATCAAAAACGTACCCTGTCGTATAATCGGACGCGATCGCCGTCGGCACAACGCCAAGTCCGGCAAAGTCCAAATCGAGCTTCTGACCCTCATGACTCTGATTGCCCTTGGCGATCGCCGATCGATAGATCGTCTTCTCATCGCCGTCAATCCAGAACATCAGCTCGCGTCTCGGATCGTACGCCATTCCGATGATGTCGTTGTCATCGTCATTCGCTTTGGCCGCCGCGTGCCGATTCGTTCCGCCGCCATGAAGCGATAGTTGGACGAGTGTCGAATCGGCGCCGATCATAATGTTCGCCGCTTCGCCTTTGGCTCGACAATCTTTGCCGGTCATCGATCCCACAATCACATTGTTCTCATAATCCTCGTGGCATCGGCACAGGTACGAGCCTTTCGTGTTCAAGCAGAGTTGTGTGCACGTGTTGTTGCCAGCGCACTCGTCGATGTCAATGCAATCCTTGGGATCATCGGGATTCGGTCGGAATCCGTCGCGGCAATGACAATAGAAGCCGTCGCGAATGTCGGTGCAGATGTGCTTGCATCCGCCGTTGTTGCCAAACTGCTCGCAGGTCCGCTTGCCGGCTTTCGCTGAACAACAAAAATAATGAATTCGTCCTATGTCTACCAACTTACAGCATCCGATCTCATCGGAAGCGTCGCCGCAGTCGTCTTTGATGTCGCACGCCAGTGTGCCGTTGATGCATTTGCCGTTGGCGCACTTGAATTGATCCGACGTGCAATCGCCGTACTCGGAGAAGCTCGAGCACATCGAGAGATGCTCATCGGAGAAGTCGTTCGGGCCGCAATCATTGAAGCCGTTGCAGAGTTGAAGGATGTTCAAACACAAACGCGAATGGGCGCATCGGAATCGCAACGGCGGATCGCATTGCGCGTTTCGGCATTCCGAGTTGGTCTCGTCCGAATTGTCGCCGCAATCGTTGTCGCCGTCACACATGAACTTGCGCGGAATGCACACCGAGTTGGCGCACTCGAACTCGAACGGCGAACACTGACGCCGAGTGACGTCCTCGCAGTGGAGCTCGTCGGAAGCGTTCGGACAGTCCTTCTTGCGATCGCACCATTTGTGCTCGGCGATGCATGTGCCGTCGTCGCATTGCCGATGACCGGGCAGACATTTGCGCAGTGTGCACTGCGATTCATCGAGCCCGTCGGAGCACTGAATTGTGCCGTCGCACACTTTGCTTCCCGGAATGCATTTGCCGTCGTTGCACCGGAATTCCGACTCGGAGCACGGTCGTGAGGTGCCCTCGCAGCTCGGATCCAATTCGTCCGAATTGTCGCCGCAATCGTTCTCCGAATCGCACATCCAACGCTTCGGAATGCATTTGCCCGACGTGGCGCATCGGAATTCGCCGACGTCGTCGCACGACGGACATCGTTGTTTGTCCTCGTCGGAGAAGTCGCGACAATCGTTTTGGCCGTTGCAGAACGCCCAGTTCGGAATGCATCGGTACGACGAGCCGCAGCGAGTCCAACCGCGCTTGCATTCGACCTGCGCGCAATCCGGCGTCTCGTCCGACCCATCGCCGCAATCGTCGTCGTTGTCGCAACGCCACGCCTTCGCGATGCACTTGTTGTTGTTGCAGCGGAATTCTTCGGCGGTGCAATTGCGCGCCGGATTCACTGAAAAGAAAAAACACGAATCATCACGATGCCGAACACTTCGCGGAACTTACTGCAAATCGCGTCGGCCTCATCCGACCGATCGCCGCAATCATCATCGCCGTCGCACGTGAACCTCTTCGGAATGCATCGGCCCGTCGCGGCGCACTTGAACATCCACGGATCGCATGGCTTGTCGCAATTCTGCTCGTCGGACGCGTCGCCGCAATCATCGTTGCCGTCGCAAATTTGGAACGGTCGCGTACAATTGTGATTGGCGCACTGGAACTCGCCGACGGGACAAATGCGCACACCGCAGATGCTCTCGCCGGGCTCGTCGGACCCGTCGCGACAATCCGGCTCGCCGTCGCAATACCACAATTTCGGAATGCATTTGGCGTCGTCGCCGCCGCACGCGAATTGCCGCTCGGTGCAGTTCGGCTCGCACGTCTTCTGATCGGTGAGTAGCACGAATTGATCGGGACACGCGCACGTGTATCCGTTGCCACCGGCGCCGATGAGGCACAGATGCGAGCATCCGCCGTTGTCGTCGCCGCACGGATTCGGATACGCCGGCTGTCTCATCGGATGAATGATGCGCAGATCGTTGGGCAGCTGTACCGTCTTCTTCAGCACCGTCTCGTTTCGGCCCGACCATTTGTCGCAACGGATCACCTCGCGAAGATTCCAATCCGACCAGTACAAGAAGTCGTCAAAGACGACCATCGACGAGACATGGCTCGTCCGCTGCGCCGGAATGTGACGTCGTCCATTTCCATCGAAATCCATGAAGCCGATCTCGTTGAGATGCGCGTCGCCCCAGAAGAGCTTCTCGGCGAAATAGTCGATCGCGATCGCGTTCGGCCATCCGAGATCATTCTCGGCGAGCTTGAAAATCGGATCGGCGAGCTCCGGCGATCCATCGAGTCCCATTCGTCCGATATACGGCTGAAGGGACCATTCGGTGAAGAACATGTACCCTTTGCCGGGATGGACGGCGATCGCCTTCGGCTGCTGAAGTCGATCGCGTATCAGCGTTCGACAGAATCGGCCGTCGAGTTCGCACACGCGTATCGATCTCTCCTGCCGATTCAGCATGTAGAGCTTCTTGCCAATCCAATCCACAGCGATTCCTGAAATCAGTCAATCGTCAGAGCTATTTTTTTCCCAAAGATCCCATCGAATCCATACCTTCAGTTCCGTAGACGTTGTGACGAAGCACGGTCTCATAGGACGATATCGGACCATCCATATCATCAAGATCAACTCGAAGAAGCCTCAATTTTCCTTGATCAATCATATAAGCCTTCTTATTCGCAATGTCGATGTCGAGCGAGACGACGTTGTCGAATCCCTGCGCCGCCAATTCATACGTTCCACCATCCATCGAGATCTTGCGAATGTAGTGCTTGTTGGCCAACAGCATGTAAGGCTCCGGCTCGTTGTCGAGCCTCTTGCAGCTCTTGTCGTCGCGCGCGAGTTGATAGCCATCAACACACGAGCATTTGTACGAGCCGATTTTGTCGTCGCACTTCTGACTGCATCCCGAGATGCCTTCGAGACATTCGTTGACGTTATGGCAGCTCTTCTGATCGGTGAGATCAATGGCGAACCCTTCGAAACAATCGCACTTGTAGCCGATCTTCTTGTCGATGCACTTTTGCTCGCATAGCGGCTTCTCGGCCAGCGAGCATTCGTCAATGACTAAAAGAGACCAATGATGAACGCATTCAAGGATAATTCAAAAATCCAAAATCTTACAGCAAAGCGAACTCTCGTCCGATCGATCAGCGCAATCGAAATTCTGATCGCAAACTTTGGCGTCGTCGATGCACTCGCCCGAATTACACTGATACTGTCCGGCGGCGCATTTCGACGCCTTCTGGCCGATCGCCGAATCTTTGGGACAATTCTTCTCATCGGAACCATCTTCGCAATCGTCGTTGCCGTCGCATCGCCACGAGTTGGGCACACATTTGTGATTGGCGCATTGCCAAAAGTCGGGTTGACACGCCGAATACGCTGAAATATCGTTGGGGATGTCGACGCGACGTCGAATGCGACCTACTGCAATTGGCGTGCTCGTCGGAGCCGTCGAGACAATCGTTGTCGCCGTCGCACTCCCACGACGAATGGATGCAGTGCTGATTGGCGCACCGGAATTCGCCCTTGTTGCACTCCTTCTTCTCCGTCTTGCACAACTCCGACGACTCGTCCTCGCCGCCGGCGCACGTCACGTCGCCGTCGCACAGCCACGCCTTCGGAATGCACTCGTATTTCGGCTGAGCGAGTTTCGCGTTCGACGCGCAATGAAACTCCTGATCGGTGCACGTGCGATTGCCGCAACCGTGCCGCGTGTGCTCGTCGGACCCGTCGCCGCAATCGTCCTCGCCGTCGCAGATGAACGCGCGCGAGATGCACTTGAGATTGTCGCACTGGAACAGATAGTCGCCGACGCATATCTTTTTGCCGTTGGCGTCCGTGCAATTCGTGTGCGTCTCGTCCCAACCATCCGAGCAATCGTTGTCGCCGTCGCATTGCCACGTCTCCGGAATGCATCGACCCGACGGGCATCGAACGCTGAAAGTTACGTGACAATCGCTCAAAAATCAAAATAACGCATTCTTACTAGTGTTGAGCGCATTGTTGATTCATGCAGAACAACTGATTCTCATCGGCCTTGTCGCCGCAATCGTCGTAGCCGTCGCAAAGATCCGCCGGCTGAATGCAGATGTTCGTGTTCGGACATCGAATCTTCACACCGCGACAATCGATCGGCAAGCCGGGGCACGTCGCCGACGACTCGTCCGACACCTGCTCGTCGTGACAATCATTGTGTCCGTCGCACACCTTCGTCATATTGATGCAATGGCCGTTGGAGCACGGGAACGTGCCTTCGGCACACGTGACAGCGCTCGGGCAGTCGAGCTCGTCCGACGAGTCGCCGCAATCATCGATGTGATTGCATCGCTTCGCAGCGTCGATGCATCGCCGATTCGTGCACAAATGATAGTCTTCAGGGCACGTTCGTGTATCTGGAATCAAACGAATTAAAGTGTGTGTTTGGGGTGGGGGGGGGGACGCCAAGGATGCTTCGAATGTCTTACTGCAATAGTTTGGATTCTCATCGCTGGCATCGGCACAATCGGGCTTCGAGTCGCAAGTGGCGCCGAGAAGAATGCACGCGCCGTCGCCACACTGGAAGTTGTACGGCGGTAGGCACTCTTTCGATTGTTCGGTTCGCAGGACGCACTGCGTCGGATAGTCCTTGCCGGGCTGCTGGACGAGCTCGTAGGTGTCGTTGCACGTGCACTGCACCTTGCTCGCCGCCAATCCGATGTCGTCGGCGATCACCGTGCACAGCTGATCGCAACCGCCGTTGTCGTTCTTGCACAATTGTGTCGTCAGCGCGTTGCACACCTGATTGCGTGTGCGAATGTCCGACTCGCTGGCGAACACACGCAACGCGCCCGGAATGCGTCGATCCGACACCACCGACTCGAGCGACGAGCCCGCTTCCTTGTCGATTCGGAACACGCCGTTACTCAACGGATCGCTTAGATAGAGCCAACGATCCCAAAGATCCAGCGACTTGGCGCGGTATCCCGACGCGACGATCTTGCGATTCTGACCGTTGTAATCGGCCACCTCGATGTTGAGCCGATTCACGTCGGCCCAATAGATCATCTGATTGCGGAAGTCGACGGCGATGGCGGCGGGAAGCGACACCGATTCCGACACGATCACCTTGCGATTGCCGCCGGCGAGATTCGAGCGCTCGATTCGCGGCTCGTACAATCCGCCGCTCGTCTTGTAGCCGCTATCCGACCAGAACAGCAGTCCGCTGCACGGATCAATCGCCAGCGCATACGTCCAATCGCCGGTGGCCACTGTCGCCAGATGATCGCCAGCAATGTCCACCGTCATTACTTTTCCGCCTCGTCCCGTGGTGAAGTAGATCTTCTGCGTCAGCCAATCGAGTCGCATATCCGAAATGTGTCGGATTTCAGCGGCGTGCTGTAAAAGGAGAAGAATTGAAGATGAGCTGAAGCGTAATCTAGCGATCGCTTACCTTCTGCTTCCCAGGACCGAACACCAATCGCGGATTGTCGGCATTGTTCATCGAGAACCACGAGATGTTCACGCCCATCGGACTCTCGGCGACATAGTAGATTCGTCTCAAGTTCACGTCGACGTCGAACGTCTGAAGTCCGTCGATTTCGGGGAACGCCTCTTTCAGCGGTCGCGACGCCTTCACGTCGGGCTCGATCGGCGTGTCGACGATGCGATCGTCGTTGGTGAACATCAAATACGTGTCGGGCTCCTCGCAACTTCGTCCTTTGAGGACGCCGCGCGCGCACGCGCACGTCGGCGTCTGTGTGCCGGGCGTGGCGAAACACAACTGTGTGCACGGGCTCTTGCGCAGATTGTCGGTGATCTGACAAGGCGAGCTCGATTTCGGCTGATTCGTCGCCGAGAACACGGCGACATCGCCGATGTCCTTGAGCGAAGCGGCGATTGTCGTCGGCGACAGCAGAAGCGACGTCTGGTTCGGCTTCGACGTCGCCTTGAACAGCTTCTCGAGCCGATTGTCGGTCCAGTACATGTTCTGATGATGGATGGCGATGCCGGCGGCCGACGCGATGTCCGTTCGAACCAGTTCCGGTGTTCCGCCGGTGCTTCTCGCCCGATAGATTCCATCCATCTTGGCGTCGGTCCAATAGATCATTCGACTCGCCGCGTCCACAATGATATCGGTCGGTTCGGCGATGCCCGACGACACAATCACCTCGCGTCGTGATCCGTCGAGGAACGCGCGCTGAATCGTCGGCTTCTGTCCCTGATCGGCCCAGTACAAATAGCGCGCCACCGGATCGACGGCAATCGACGTCGGTGTCTCCGTCTTCGTGCTTATCAAGATCTTGCGATGCTCGCCGTCGAGTTTGCACACCTCAATGTTCGTCTTCTCCGCGTCCTGATTGATGAAGTAGAGATTGTAATTGATCCAGTCGATCGCGAGACTCTTCACAACCATATTGCCGACGAAATCGCGAATGACAGCGCGCGGCGACGCCTCGCCGATCGTGTACGCCGTGATGCCCTTGTTGACACCGGAAGCATCGGCCACGTAGATCGTCTTCGATTCATAATCGTAGTCGATCGAGGTGATCGACACACCGCCAATCGGCTCCATCGCGACACCCTTGGATTTGGTCTCGTCAATCGGATAGCCGGTGACTTTGGTCTTCGTCGCGGCAATGATGAACGACTCGTCATACAGTTTACATCCGGTCTGTCCGTCTTTCGAGTAGCCATTGGCGCACATGCAGGTCCGCTGGGCGAACATCAACGGAACGCAGATGTGCGCGCAATTGCCGTTGTCGGTGTGGCACGGATGGCCGCTGGTAGACGGGCGCGGTTGAAGGACCTTGATGTTGACGAGATTCTCGACGTCCTTCTTGAAGTGCGTCCATTGCGGCGGTTGACCATCGCCGGTGATCGTTGCCACTTCCACCGAGTCGAACGCCGTATCGGAATAGAACAATCGATCGCCAAAGTACGCCAATCCATTCGGCTGTCGTCCGCCATCATTCAACACATAGTGGCGATCCTGACCATCATAGGTCACCGATGAGATCTGAAAGTAGTTTGTGTGTGTGTTTTTTTTTGTTTGTTGGTTCGTCAAGAATCCCTACCCGTCCAGCTTTGGCTTCGGAGAAGTAGACGACCTGATTCGTCGTGTCCAACACAATATGATCGAGTTCGGCGAGATCGTTGCTGGCGATCACCAACGGATTGCTTCCGTCGATTCCGGCTCTTGCGACTTTCGCGTCGGCGGCGCCACCGCCCCGATCCAACCAGAACACATAGCCTTTGTCCGAGTCGACGGCAATCGACACCGGCGTGACCACCGCCGTCGGCGATTGATCATTAGTCAAGATCACCGATCGATACTGGGTGCCGTCGGTGCGAACAAGCTCAATGGTTTGCGAGACCTTGTTGCCGACAACCAAGTTGCGTCCATTCCAATCGAACCCAAGGCAATAGGCGTCATCGGGCACCGACGAGGCGAACATTCGCGTCTGAAGTTATGAATGGGTTCGCAACGACAATCAAAAGCATCGTCATCCTACCCGATTTCCATCGAACACTCCCGTTCGATAGATGTCGGCGTCCGTCGAGACTTGCGCCAGCGTCTTCGCCACGTTGGTGTGCTCGAGAATGAACATCTCCGATGAGATGGCGTCGTAGGCAGCGTCGAACGCGTTGCCCAATCCCGACAATGGGACCATTCCGGAGAGCAGTGGCGTGGTGTCATCCCTACAACAAAACGACGTGAATTTGTTTGAGAACCTTGACCTTGGCATCTTACGCGGGTTTGTTCATCTCGATACCGAAGATGTTGTTCTTCTGAATCAGCACCAAGAACGGCTTCGGATCATTGACGCACTGCTTTCCAGTTCCGTCGAGTCGTTTTCCCATCGGGCATTTGCAAGTGAAGCTCTGCAATTCGAAAAAACAACATAGTGGCTCAATCGCACGAATCGCCGACTCACATTCTTATTATTGAGAAGGCATATATGACTGCAAGGGCTCGAAGCGCACGCATGATTGCTGATGACCGGCTGAAGGACGGGATGGACGGCGACGACGCCGAGCGCTTTGCTGAACGTATGACTCGGATACTCGGTCGTCGTGCCGTTGGGATATTTCGGATAGACCTGAAGGCGTTGAAGGCGTCGATCCGAATAGTACATCATGTCCTCGAAGATCGCCAACGCGTGCGGATGTTGGACGAACTTCGGCGAGGCGAGCACCTGAGTGCGACCGCTTCCGTCGTAGTTGACGAAATCGATGAAGTCCAATTTCGAGTCGGCGAAATACAAACGATCCGTCGTGTAGTCCAACGCGATCGTGTTCGGCCAATAGATCTTGGTGTTGACAATGATCTTGCGATCGGCGCCGTCCATCGAAGCGCGCTCGATGCACGGATTCTGTCCCCAATCGGTCCAGAACAACAATCCTTTTCGCGGATCGACGGCGATTCCTCGCGGCTGACTCACGTTGTGATGAATCAATAGAGTTCGATGAGTGGGACCATCGAGATTCGCCACCTCAATGGTGTTCAGCGACGAATCGACCCAATAGAGATGGCGTCCGACCCAATCGAGAGCGATTCCCTCGGTGATGTCGAGACCGGTTCCGATGAACACCTTGACATTCGTACCGTTCCGATCCGCCGAGAAGATCTTCTTCTCGCGAATGTCGGACCAGTAGATCCGCTGGCTCACGCTATCCCAAGCAATCGCGATCGCGTTCTCCACCGACGCGCCGAACGTTCGCCAATTCTCAAGATTGTGATCGCTCCAATAGATGCGATTCCGATTCGACACATAGATTCGCATGTCGTGCAGATTGGCGGCGACTTTGCACGTGCGTTTGTCGGCGTCCAGAATGTAGCCGTCGTCGCACGAGCACGTGAATCCGTGCTTCTCGTCGGTGCACTTTTGCGAGCAGCTACTCGGATCGAGGCACTCGTTCTCCGGCTCGCATCGCGTCTTGTTCACTAGCTGAAAATCGGGGAGATCATCAGACGATGGAATGTGTGTGTGTGTGTGTTACCTGCTCACCGAACGGACAACTGCAAATCGGGCCGTTCGGCGAATTGTGGCACTTGTAGGCGCATCCGGCGCGATCCGACGTGCACAGATCGCGCGCGCATCGTCCGCCCTCGTCGGTGCCGCCGGGACAGTGTCGTTTGCCGTCGCAGAGTTGATGAAGCGGAATGCAGACCTCCGGATTCTGATCGCACGCGACGTGCTCGAACGGGCAGCGCTTCACCATCGCCAGCGGGTTTTTGCATCCGCGATCGGCCGACTCATCCGAACCATCGCCGCAATCATTCTCGCCGTCGCACACCCAATTCTAAATAGTGCTCGTCAGATTCACAAGGATGGGCAATTGTGGTGAGACTCACATTCAGAATGCATCTGCCATTCGCGCACTTGAACTGATCCGACTTGCATTGTCTGGCCGACGAGCAGCCAATCTTCGGCTCGTCGGATCCGTCGTCGCAATCCAGTTGACCGTCGCATTTCCACGATGCCGGAATGCAGATGCCCGACGAGACGCATTTGAACTGGTCCGACGTGCACGCTTCCGGTTGTATCGTGCACGAGTCCTCGTCGGAGCCGTCCTCGCAATCGTTCTGCCCGTCGCAATGATTGCGCAACGAGACGCACTGCCTACCGCTGGCGCATCGGAACTGCATCGCCGAGCATTGCACCGGCGGACAGCGCTCTTTGTCCTCGTCGGTGCCGTCATAGCAATCGTTGTCGCCGTCGCACAGCCAATAGATCGGAATGCATCGGCCGTTGGCGCACGAGAACTGATTGGCGGCGCATGTCGCGTTGCCGCACATCTCAAGCTTCTCGTCCGAACCATCGCCGCAATCATTGTCGCTATCGCATTTCCACTGTTCCGGAATACATCTGAAATCATTGGTGATCGGTGTTGATGTTCGACCGACGCGACCGAATACCTGTGATTGTCGCACTGGAACTTCTTCGCCGAGCACACCGGCTTCTGGCCGTCTTTGCAATACTGAACGTCCTCGTCCGAATAATCGCCGCAATCATTGTCGCCGTCGCATCCGTACTGCGCCGGAATGCATTTCTTCGTGTTTTTGCACTTGATCGTGTTCTCCGCGCACTCCGTCTCGTGATAGCACTTGTTGCCGTTGTCGTCGATCTCGTCCGACTCGTCGAGACAATCGTTCTCGCCGTCGCAACGCCACTCCTTCGGAATGCAGCGGCCGTTTTTGCACTGAAACGAATTTTTTTTTAATTTTTAAAGCATGAATGAAGCATCTTACCAAGAATTGCGTTGAGTTCGACGTGCACAACGGCTCAATCGGCTCGGAAGTGTCCTTTTGGCACGAGTGCTGATTGTCGGGATTGATCTTGAATCCCTGCCGACAACCGCACTTCGCCTCCAGCTGACTCGGATTCGATTCCGACGGTGTCGCGAAACAGAGCTGTGTGCACTGCGACGCTCGGCACGGATGCTCTCTCGAGTCATCGGGAATCGGCTGATTCTGATGCGAGCACGCTTTGAGCGAGAATATCGATCGCTCTTCGGCGCCGAACTCGCGAATCACCTTCGCGCCGCCGCCATTCTTTTTGTGGACGCGTCGAATCGAGTACGGCCGCTGATGGACGTAATACATGTAGTCGCCCATGATCGCCAACGCCACCGGAATCGGCGCATCGACATTGAGCTGTTTGACGTTCGTGCCGTCGAAATCCATGCACGAGATCGAACGGAGAAGCGTGTCGCCCCAGCATAAGCGATTCTCGGCGAAATCGATGACCATCTCCGACGGTCGTCCCAACGACACATTCCGAATCGTCATGCAATGGGTGCCGTCGATATGGCAACGATAGATGGCCGCCGGTCGCATCGCTTCCGCGTAGAAGAGGATGCCCTTCCACGGATGGACCACCACCGATACCGGATCGCGAAGCTCCGAGATGAGTTGGCGGCGAACAAGCTCATCCGGATGGACGAGGCCGGTCTCGCCGATCTTGATCACCTTAAAGGAACGAGGAGAATGAAAAAGGTCAAGCTTCTCATGGGTTGTCTTACCTCCAAACTATTCCGAATGTTGTCGACATAGTAGAGCTGCTTGCTGATCCAATCGAACGACATCGAGAACAAGCCGTCGTTGTGGGTGACGAGCACCGGCGCCGATCCTTCGCCGTCCGGTCGAATCCGATAGATGGTGTTGTCCATGATGTCGGCGTAGAAGAACGAATTGCCGTGAACGTCGCATTCGACCTCGAAGTACATTCCGATTCGTCGTTGCGAGATCGGCGAGATCGGCAGCACCGCTTCGGCCAACGCGTTCTCGCGAATCTCGGGAAAAACGCCGCGCACGATTTTGTTGCTCGAGAACAACAAATAGTCGATCGAGTCGATGCAGCGTTTGCCGTTGACGAGCTTCTGGCCGATCGGACACGCGCATTTGTAGCCGACGCCGAAACCGCCGACGTCCTTCGACAATATGCACATGCCTTCGCATTCCGAGTTGACGCACGGATTCTCGATTTTCATCGCGAGACATTCGCTCTGGCCGGGCCCCGGCTGCGACATTGGATGATAGGCGGCGATGCCCATCGGGAACACGTTGTTCTCCGTGTTCGACCACAACAGTCTCGTCGGCGAGCCGAACTTCTCGATTTGAACGACGCCGAGACGCGTCCAGTCGGTCCAATAGAGGTTCTGATCGAATATCGCCAAACCGAACGGATGCGGCACCGTGTTCATGCCCTGCGCGACGATTCGCCGATCGTTGCCCTGATAGTCGATGCTCTCGAGTCGATCGACTTTCGGATCGACCCAGTAGACGCGTTTCGCGGCGATGTCGACGACGATGCCCGACACTTGATGCGTGTGCGTCTCGATGAGCACCCGACGATTCGAGCCGTCCATCGCGCAGCCTTCAAGTTTCAGCTGATTCGTGAAGAACATCTCACTGCAAAAAATTTGGGCGTTGCGTTTTTTTTTGTTCTTATCTCGGATTACCCTCTGAGTGGATCAAGAGCCACGTCCAACGGCAATGTGAGCCCATCGGCGAGCAGGACCGTTCTCCGATCGCCGTCGTATGATGAGACGTCGATTCGTCGCGATCCTGATTCGATAATGTAGAGGGTGTTGGTGATCCAGTCGACCGCCAAACTTCTTGGGTACACCAATGATTTTAGGCTCAATTTTCTGAAAAATGAGAATGCTGAATGAATGCCTTGAAGCGGCTCGTCTACTTGATATGCGAAATTTCGCCCTCGTCGTCGACGTCGGCGCTGAACGCCGAATGCGCGAGTCGATCCGTCCAGAACACCTTGCGATCGCCATAATCGAAATCGATGCCGTAGATGAACTCGCCGGTGGCGAGCTTCTTCGGCGCCTCGCTCTGATCCCTCGGATTGAGGCGATAGAGGCCCTCGCGTCGCGCGACAAACAATCGCATCTTGTCGGCGTTGTTCGACACACAATAGCCGCGCATTGTGAGGTTGTCTTTGCCGGGACCGTGGTCCATCTGAAACAGAATTGCAAAAAAAAGCCTTCAACACGCCCACCTGAAGAGTGTAGCAGTCGCCGAGGCACGAGCATGTGAATCCCGGTCGATGATTGGCGCACAACTGATCGCAATAGCCGAATTCGGCGCATTCATTGATATCTGAAATTATCTCGCGCTATTCAATTATTCGCGGAGTTGATTGCGCCCACCCGAGCACGTGCGTTTGAATCGCTCATCGAGCTTATAGCCGCTGGGGCATGTGCACTCGCCGCCGTGCGGCGACGGATGACATCCCGCCTGGCAGCCGAGCGACGGACACAAATTCTGTGTGCACTTGAGCTCGTCGGCGCCGTCGCGACAATCGTTGGCGCCGTCGCAGAGTTTGAGCTCGTCGATGCAATGCCCGGTGCCGGGACAATTCCATTTGCCGGGCGGACAGCGATACTCGCCGCACTCCTCCTCGTCGGAATTGTCGCCGCAATCGTCGTAGTAGTCGCAGCGGAATTTGCGCGGCTGGCATCGTTTGTTTTTGCACTGAAACTCGTTGGCGGTGCACTTTTTGAATTCTGCAAATTGATTTTTTTTGTTGTAGTTTTTGTTTTCGATTTCGAATTTACCGCAAGTGTCCGGCTCGTCGGAACCATCGGCGCAATCTTTCGAACCATCGCACACCCACGACTTTTGGATGCATTGCGTCTTGTCGGCGCAACGGAATTGATATTGGAAGCAGGCGGTGTGATTGCGCGAGCACGAGTCCTTCTCGTCGCTCAGATCGCGACAATCATATTTGCCGTCGCACTTCTTCGACATGTCGAAACATTGGCGGCCGTCGGCGCACATGAACACATTCGACGCGCTGCAGTCGATGGGCGAGGCGGCTGGAATACGAGACGGCGATTGAATCGTTCGACGCGCCGATCACTTACGGCAATCCTTCTCGTCGGAGCCGTCGGCGCAATCGGTGATGTTGTCGCAACGTTGGTATTCGGCGATGCACGAGACGCTGTGCCATTGATAGGTGTCGCATTGCCATTGGTCCGACTTGCAGCCGGGATGCGGGCAATCCTTCTCGTCCTCGCCTTCCGAACAATCGCCGGAACCGTCGCATCTAGATTTTTTTTGTTTTGTTTTGAAAATCTATTTTTACCATAAAAATTTTTTCCATTCTTTTTTTTTGAAAATAATTTTTGATCGTATTTTTTTCGAAAAATTCGAATTTGAAAAAATAAATTATTTTCGAAAAATTAATTTTTGGTATTATCGACGTCGTGCGACTTGGCTAAAAGCTAAAAAAATTTCAGGCGCCCAATGCGCCTTTAACCCATCCTTATACATATGCTCGTAAATCTACACCTTCAGTTTTGCACTGAGATCACTGTTATTGGGTTTTTTTTCTAATTTTCGAAGTCGCGCGACGCTGGCAGTATTTTTCCACAAAAATTTGAATTTTTCAAAAAATCAATTTTTTCTCTTTGTTTTTTTCAAATGAAAAACAAAGCTTTTGATAATATTTTATCATAAAAAATATTTTTATTTTCCAACAATTCCTTACTTCCACTCATTCCTTATGCATTTTCCATCGTTGCACCGAAAATCGTTTTCGTTGCACACCGATGAGGCGGTGTTCACCGAGGCGGACACGATTCGCGAGCGTATCGACGGCGGCGAATCGACTGCAACAACAAAATGTAATTGTGCGAATTTCTATTTCCTTGATATCGTTTGGTTTTTTTTTCTCTCTCTGATTTTATCGATCAAACAGCAATCACAAGGCGAATCACGAGAGCGCGTTCAATTTTTTTCTACCTACAGTCTATATTATATCTAGTTGGGAAATGAATTTTTCGGATTGGACCCGAAGTTTGGTTTTTGCAAAAAGTCACGTAAAATTCGATTGACATGTTCTCTTTTTTTTTGACCACAAAAAATGAAGAAAATTGAGGGAAAAATGATTTTTTATGAAAAAAAAGAATTGAGCAAAATGATTACTGTAGGTAGCTCGACGCAAAATTGCACCCATTTCAATTTTTGATTGTTTTTAAAGAAAACGAAATTAAAGAAATTTCTTTTTCGCAGAAATATAGGCGGTTTTTTTTTTATTTGAATGTCTTTTTTTTTCGGGAAAAAAATTGAAATTTAATATTAATGAAATATTTGAAATTGCCATTTTTGTGGAATGTGAGGTTCGAAAAAAAGCAGCGAAAAAAAATTGAGCCCTATAGGGTTACTGTAGGTTGAAAACGTGCGTGTAGAGCACACCGACGCAAATTTGCACACATTTTTTAATACCCAACAAGAAAAAGCGTGGGCAAATTTTTTGTTTTCGAGAAATTTTGCAAAAATTGAACTTTAGTAATAATTTTCTAACAAAAAAATGGTCCTACCGCAAATTTTAATTTTTGTCAAAACGAAAACCTAGAAGCATTTGAAATTGCTGAACCGTCGAACATTTTTGAGAAAAAAAGAGGTTCGAAAAAGAGCAGCAAAAAAAAATTGAGCCCTATAGGGTTACTGTAGGTTGAAAACGTGCGTGTAGAGCACACCGACGCAAATTTGCACACATTTTAATATCCCAAGCGGTTTTTTATTTGAATTTGGTTTTTTGGGAAATTTTGCAAAAATTGAACTTTAATAATTTTCTAAAAAGATGGTCCTACACCAAAACATAATTTTTGTCAAAATGTTATATTGTATATACTGTAGGTTGAAAAAAATGTGTGCAGAGAACGCCGACGCAAATTTGCACACATTTATATTTTCCAACAACAAAAAAAAACGCATGGGGCGGTTTTATCATTCAAGTTTCGACATGGGTTTTTTTGTTCGCGCTAAAAGTGTTTGCACAAGACGCGACTCGCCGTGCGCTCACGATGATGACCATCGCCAGCCAGCACTTTTGACCCCCCCCCCTCTCCCTTCGTTGTCTGTATTTTCTCAATATCACGCTCATAGCGGTTTTTTTTCTTCTTCGTCATCTTCAGGAACGAGTCCGACTTGCGACATCGTCGTATTTTGAAGAGCACATTGTGATTATGATTTGAACAAACAATTTGAGCGACGGCTTATGGCCGAAAATCGAATGCACATATATAATTGAATGTATGTATTAGACGCTATTGACATTCATTCGCTAGCGGGGCGGGGGGGGTCAGAATCGAGTTTCCAGAGTTGGCAAATAAATTGATGTTTCGAAAATATTTTCTTATTGATGGGGGGCGGAGCTTAGGCGTCGAAAAATCGGCGACTCAGGCAAATCGAATAAAATATTTTGAGATTCATTGAGAAACTAACGTGTCTCTATAATATTTTAGATTTTTCTCGATCAACTTTAGAAATTATTATAAGATTTTCGAATTTATTGAGATAGAATTAGAATTTGCTCAGCAAATTTTAGAAATAAAATTTTAGAAAATATTTAAAGTTTAGCGATTCTCAAAAAGTTTTAGAAGGTATCAAGAAAATTTTGAATTTCTCGAAATATTTTAGAGTTTATTTTTGGAAAAATTGATTTTCAAAATATTTTATTTGATTTTCCTGGTTTTGCGGACGAAATTTTGAGATTTTCAGAGTTTTTCGATAAAAATGAATGAATTTGAAACTTTCGATCAACAAAAAAGCTCATTAAGCTAATTGGTGGCAATTTTGATTTGGGCATTTCAAGATTTCTTTTTTTCGGACAGAAATTGAGCGATTTTAAAAATTGCAAAAATTGGATGAGATATTTTTGGGGATTTTTTGGTAAAAGAATCGAGATGTTTTTTTTTTTGCTAGCAAATTTTGTTAGATTTTTGAAAATTTTGAAAATTTTCCCAAATTTTCCAATAGAAATCCGAAATTTCAAATTTAAAAAAATCGCGATTTTCAAAATTTCGTCCAAAAAAAATTTTTTTTTGAAACTCGATATAACGAATTTTTTCTCGAAGAATTCAAGATTCTCCAAAAAAAAATATGCTTGATATATCAAATTTCAGAAATTTTCAGCAATTTTAATAAAAAATCAAAATTTTTGCATGAGAAACATCGAATTTTTCGATACGAGAGAAAAAAAACCAAATTTTTTTTTTGCTTAAAGGATTCCTCACCTTGAACAGAATGAAACGTCGCCTGTCTCGCGCTCGAGTCCGTCGTGTGCCATAAAGCGGCGAGCACAAAAATCAATCGTATAATCATCGCTTATTGATGCATTTGACTAATGAAAACGAAAATCGAATGATGGTAGCCAAAAATGAGAAAATAAAAATGGAGCGGCCCGGGAGCGTGGGGGGGTGATTTTTTTTGTGTAGACGGGCTACCCTTAGGCTTCTGCTTCTGCTGCTGCTGCTTTTGGTAGAGGCGTGGCCTGCAAAAAAAATAAACAATTGCATAAATGAGACGAATGAATGATAAGCAATATTCCAGTTTTGGTTGTCTGCCAAAAAATTGAGTGTCGCGGAACGATTTTCGTCGGTGTTTTGTTTGGATTTCAAGGGACATGATTGGCACACGAGTTGATTAATGAATGATCATATGATTGGCGACAAATCTCGATGGTAAGGTGACGTGATTGCAAACCGCGTCAAGCTGTTAGATAAAAATTTTGCGACAAATCCGGCAGCTCGCTGCGAGCTGCCGACATCTCGAATCGCCACCGCGAATTGTCGGCAGCACGGTTTTTATGTATTATCTGAAAATCGGTTGGGGCGCGTTTTCGAAACAAGCCCGATTGTTTTTTTTTTGTTGTTCGCCCAAACAACCAGTATTCCTGGCCCGAAATTAATTACCCCCCCTCAACACACTTATGTTAACACGCGTGTGAGGGGGGCAATTCAAAATATGATAAATCGGGGACATCTGCGGACATTCTACCGGTTTTGCGAAACGCGTGACTCTCATTTGTTTCGCAATCAAATCGGTTTCAGCCAAGAACAAAAAAGAACGAGAGAGAGAGAGAGCGGGGTTACTGTAGCGGAGATTGTGTGCGTTCACCGACGGCGGCGAAATGCACCAAAAAGGGCGATATTAGGAGGAAATGAAAAAATGAAGGAAAAAAAAATGCGATTTGGCCATTTTTTTTGGTTATTTGTGTTTGATAAGACGAATTTGGTTGATGATTTGAACACGTCGAATTTGTGGCGATCAACGAGAAAGACGACGACGAAACAAGGTGATGGCGATGAAGTTCGATGAGAGATGGATGAACGGAAGACGACGACGCAAACAAATACGAAGATAGAGAAAGGGAGCGGATTGAAATGATTGAAAACAGGTTTCGATGGGGCCAACCAACAGCCCGCGCGCGCGCCTATTCCGAATGATGACCGACGACGGTGAATACAAGGCGGAGGAGGACGTCGATGATGAAGGCAGAGAGAGAGAGAGAGAGAGACAAAAGGGGACACCAAGTTTTGGGATGTCCGACTCGTACGGTGATAACATCGCCAATTCCTTGTGTGGTGAGTGTATGTGTGTGTGTGTTTTTTTTACTCGCTGCCAATGAGCTATATGAATACGGTGCTGCCGACGCTTCGCGGGTTTCAGCCCTATTACGTCGGCAGCTCGATTTTTCTGGAGATGGTTTCGAGGGTGGGCTTCACAGATTTTCAGAATTCGATGCTGCCGACGGTTTGTGGGTTTCCGCCCTATTACGTCCGCAGCTCGATTATTCTGGAGATGGAGTGGAGAGGGGGGGAGCCTCGCAAATCTTCTGAATTCGATGCTGCCGACGGTTCGCGGGTTACGCCTCGCGCGCGCGCGCGCGCCAAAATAGTGTCCGCAGCACGATTTTCATATTTGAAGACAAAACGGCACGGTCAGACTGTTTCGCTTATTATGTCTGAGGCAATCGAGAAAAATTTACCGACGGGGGGGATTCGATGCTGCCGACATTTTTGCAGGCCCCATGCGCAACATGGGAGAATCGCGAGAAACCAAGAACCAAAAAAAACCAAAAGTGAGCTGTTGCGGAAGTAGTTCAACAATGTCCGCAGCACGAATTGAATATCGATGATAAAGCCGGCCGTCTCGCCAGCACCTCCCCCCCCCTTTAAGGCGGCGAGTTCGTTTTCCCAACTACTTGAAAGGGTTGGTTGTGTGCTGGTCAAAAGCGAAAGGGGGGGCAGCAGCAAAGGACAATTGTTTGCGCGAAATGAGCAAATAGGTGACGGTGTGTTGTGATGGTGATGGTGGGAGTTGAGAGCACGAGCACAAGGATTTCGTTGATTTGTGTGTGTGTGTGTGTGCGGCTCAAATCGATTCCAATCTGCCGACACTCATCCGGGCCACTCGCAGTACCAACTCAATTTGGCCTTGAACTTCCCCCCCCCCAAAAAAAAAACAAGCACAAGCAGAGAGAGAGAGAGAGAGAGAGAGAGAGAGAGAGAGAGAGGGAGAGCAGAGAACGAGAAAAGAGAGTGCGGGAGAGGCATCGGTGGACAGCTAGGCGCGCCGGCTGCTGCTGCTGCTGCTCACGGTGCCCTCGTGTCAACACAGCAAATTTGCGGCGGGGCCGCCCACCCCTCAGACCCTCCCGAACACACCGCAATCACCATCATCATCATCATCAAATGTCCAAAATGTGTGTGTGAGAGAGAGAGAGAGAGAGAGAGAGAAAAAAACCCATATTGAAAGCGCCTTGTCTCGACTGCTCAAAGAGCATTTCGGATATGGAGATAAGACGAGCCAAAAATCACCGCATTCGGGTTACTGTAGTAGGAGAACTCAAATTTCTGAAATTGAGATGCTGTAATCAAATAGTTCATACAAATAGAGCTCGACATGATCTAGTATCGGATTACTGTAGAATTATCGGCTCCACTGTTGAGTGTGACACTTTGAACAAGAAAAAAATACGCAAACTCTTATTGTACATAATTTCAATAGTGAAATCGTGTTATGTGAAAAAAGTGAAACCCGTAAAACGTCCGCAGCGTAGAATTAATATAGTCGAGAACCTTCAACGCGAGATTCGTCGATGGCGGAACCTCATTGTCGTCACGAGCGCTGTTTTATGAAAATTGTGCTGCCGACATGATGGACTCTAAACTTTGGTGGGCCGGAGAAATGTCCGCAGCACAGATTCCATAATAGTTTGTCATATAAGCTTGAGAATCCCACGATCCACCTCAAATCACTTCGTGCTGCCCGACATTGTTGAGCGCCCAACCCGTGACACCGTCGGCAGCACGGCAAATTCAAGCGCTCGCGAATGTGCAGCGAACTCCGAACGCGCGTCACATCGTGCTGATTATGATCACCATATATGATATACGGTATCTCATCGATAAATCATCGGCAGACGTTGTAAAGAAAATGGGTAGGATCAGGATGAGCGGACGTCGGCTAGGATGGATTGCGAGTGAACAAAGGGGTCAGAGACGCAGCCGATCAAAACCGCGCAATTATAGCATCGCCCCCCCCCCCATCATCGCATGTGACATAATCTGTGGACAAGAAGAAGAAGAAGAGGGGGCCTTGAACGTTTGTTGAATTTCTGTTTTTCTTTTTCAATATCAAATTTCGAAATCTTACAATTTGGTGCCATTTGAGGCGAGATCCTCGACGATTTGCACACCTTATTTTAGAAATCGATTTTTTTTGGGACAAATACGAAATTTCAATTGTTTTCTCCAAAAAAACACAAGATTTTCCCAAATAAATCCATCACTTGACCCAAATTAGGCAAAGTTCAAAGTTCAAACGATGCTTCAATGAAGGAAAAAAACGCGAGGACAGTGAGTTGAATAATAAAACGCAAACGTCGGCCGGTTGATGATAGAAAATAAAAGAATTGAAAAGGTGAACATCGTGCGGCGACGGCGACAGCGGCGGTGATATCCAACACACGACCCAGTTCGCAAAAAGGGTCGACCACGTCGTCAGACCCCCCCCCCTCCATCCTTCCGCGTCTTTTTTTTAATTCCCTCTGTTCAATGTACTTCATTTGTTGTTTATTATTGGCTATGGTGGGCAGCGCCAAAAGATAGTAGATCAAAAACGCTAAACGGATGATGAAGCCGACCGGTTTTTTTCTGCACCGCCCGACGAAAAAAAAAACAAAAACAGGATTACGGTAGTTTGGGAAGGAGGGGTGACGCAAAAAAAAGTGCACTTCATCATTTTGATATATTGTGGGGGTCAAACGATTGGACGAAATTAAAAAAAAAAGATTGGCAATGTGCCAATGGGTCTCAATTCGAAGTACGTGCTAGAAGTACAGAAGAGAAGTACAGCTAGAAGTACGCGAGACTGCGTACATTGCATTATAGTGTACGCGCAATCTACACTGATTTCGTAAATTTAAAGTTTGAAACCGAAAAAATAAATATATATATTTTTTATCATCACAAATTATTGAATAGTCGCCACCCGACTGCGATTCCTTCGAATGTAGCGCGGAATGTCGCCGATTCTTAGATGGCGCTTCTGGCGGGTCTCGATAAACTCTCGCGCGTTCGCATCGTGACTCGCTCGATTTTTGATCAGCTGCAAAAAAAAAAACACAATACAAACCACAAAATTGCATGTTGCGGAAAATTGGCAAAATGCCCAAAAAAATAGATAGAGGTCTCGGTGTATGCGCCTTTAATTCTACTCCTTAGGCGCGTAAATCTACACCGTTAGTTTTGCGCCACAAGACCACCACCATCGCTTTTTTCGCCAGCATTCAGCCAATTTTCCGGGTATAACAAAAAAAATCTATGCATCGAAAAAAAAAAGAAAGAAAGAAACCTGATAGAACATATTTTTATGGTCCGAATAATCATTGGGTAGTAGAGGCACACGAATCGCGTCGTTTCGATTCTCATCGCACGATGGTGGCACCGAGTGAAGGCCAATGTAGCCGCGACCAATTAATCGGTCAATTTTACTTGAAAATATCGCGTTTTTTTTTCGAATGGCGAATTTCGACGCCCGCGCGCGTCCATCGCAAATTACCGTTCATGGTCAAACACGGAAATCGCCAAACAAGCGCCACGTGTGAAATATTGCTCAAGGGGTACTCGTCTGGAAAAAAAACGATTACTTTCGGGGCAATGCTGAAAAAAATCGAATATACGAGTGTTTTCTGGTGGATTCGCATCGAGACCCATCGCATAAATAAACGGCATGCGTCTTTAAAAAAAATACCGTATCTCTTCCTCCTGCTGCTTCATTTTTAGGAAAGAATTTAATCATTTCTTAATGAGATGCTTTCGTTTACGCTATTTTTTTAAAGACGCATGCCGTTTATTTATGAGATGGGTCTCGGTGCGAATCCAACGAAAGCACGCGTATCTTCCAATTATTATTTTTATTTTCTTTTTTTCTGCATTGTCCCATTATTTTGAATACGTTCAGGTCTGTTGTTTCGATATTGTCCGATCGATGTGGTTCGCGAGGACCCTCGTCAAGACGATTCTTTTTTTTGGGGGGGAAAATTCAGAAAAATCTGATTTTTACATAAAAATTGGGTCCTTCAATCTCAAACGACTGCCTTATTTTGCAATTAAAGTAATCATTGCCCAAAAAAAGCAAGCAATTCTTGAATTTCGCGCCAAAACACACTTTATAGACAAAAAAAAGAATTTTAAAGGAAAACTTACGTCACCATTGCCTTTTTTTCATAATCGAAGAAAAAAAGCGAATTTTTAAAAAACGTTTTGACAATTCAAAAAAAAAATTGCGTAATTTTGTAAAATCCTTCTTCACGAAGCTTTAATTTTTTGAGAAGCCACTAGATTTTACTGAAGAAGGGACCATAATGCAAACTTCAAAAATGTACACTAGGAAAAAAATATAAGACCGTAACAATGGACCTCTAACCTCGACTTCGGGTCTCGGACCATAAAATGACGCGTTCGTTTTTATTTCACCGAAAAATCTCAAAAAACGCCTCCAAATTTCACACAATTCCACCAAATGAAACGCATAAATTACACGTTTCATTAATCGCGAAACAATTTCAAACTCACATCTCGAACAACTGCTTCCATTGGGGCCTCGTCGATTGCGGCACCGGATTCGTCGTCGGCGCTTCGAATTTGTTCGACGGGAACAGCATTTTCGGCAGAAGCTCGAGACGCACAAACAAATCGACGCGTTCGGAGAGCACGTCGATCCATTCAAGCGGCGACATTTTCACTACTGCAAACAGACCATCTCATCTTTTTTCTTTCTTTTTTTGCTTTTTGAAAAAATGATGCGAAACAAAAAATTAATTCACGTTTGATTTGTATCAAAATCGTCTCATTGTTCTCGATTTTCGAATACGAGATATTCACGTCGACCGTCGGCGCGTCGAAAAACTTCGTCCTCGCGATCTGAGTCTCAATTTCTGGAGCTTCTCCCTCAAAATCTCCATCGCTCACCTTATCACACAACGTGTCATAATAGGACAAAATGAGGTCAAATGTGGAAAAACTGTTCAAATGCAAGTTGGATAGCAGCTCGATGTCTTTTTCGTCCTCAATTTCCAGCATCTCGTATATCAATTTCAGTGTGATCTGCAAGCGATGGAGATATTCTACAGTAATCGCGGTGGATCGCGTCAAACATTACATAGAGATTACTGTAGTATTCCACAATTTGATTCTGTTTGACGTTTTTGCGGATTTCGCGCTCCAATATCGCGGCGAAATGTCTCGTGGCGATTTTGAAGCAGCTGAATTATCAAAAAATTTTTCTTTCGCATCGCCAATTTGAGAAAATTGCAAACTTTGGCAACAGAAGGCATCGAACATCGTCGATTAGACCGTAGCAACAATCGAGAATCGAGTCGATTTTCTCGTTGCTCGAAATTTCGCGCATATAGGGTTTCTGGAAACGATTTGACGATTGAGAGGAAAAAAAAGAAGAAGAAGAAGAAGACAACGTCAAAGATACCAGAGTTGACGACGAGTCCCTCGAATCGCTCGTGAGATTTTTCGCAATTTTCACCACAATCTCCTTTTTCAGTTGCGAATAATGCGAGAGAAGCACGCTGATTTGTTGCTCGCACGTCTAAAACAGTTCTCATGGGGAATTCATGACCAGCAAAAAAAATAATAATAAAGAAGTGATGGGACCTCTCTCGTGAGTTTCAGAAGGCGACTGGCGGTTGTCTGAACAGCGGCAAAGTCTTTCTCATCGACAAACTGCAATTTCAAGAGAAATTTATTTTACCAAAAAAACAAAAATTACAAACTTGTTGAACTCGGCCGATTTGCGCAAATCGTTCGTATCCCTCTTCGACGAAACTCATCGCCTGCTCGATGCCATTGGTGGCGCGCACCATTCGCGACGCCATCTCCTCATGGCTTCGCATCGCTTCGCCAAACAATTTTTTCGCGTACGCGTTGATATTCTGGCATAATATCTGGAATTATTGCAAAAATTATGCGAAAATCAAATAAACTCAGGAAAATCGAATAAAATATTTTGAGATTCATTGAGAAACTAACGTGTCTCTATAATATTCTAGATTTTTCTCAATCAACTTTAGAAATTATTAAAAGATTTTCGAATTTATTGAGATAGAATTAGAATTTGCTCAATAAATTTTAGAAATAAAATTTTAGAAAATATTTAAAGTTTAGCGATTCTCAAAAAGTTTTAGAAAGTATCAATAAACTTTAGAATTTCTCATAATTTTTTAGAGTTTATTATTTAATTTTTGATTCTCAAAATATTTTATTTGATTTGCCTGAGGAGAAGGAGAGAGAGAAAAAAATGAAATGTCACCGCGGTACACCGCGACGCGAAATTGCACCAGCTGGCTACCGTAGCCATGCAAAACAATATTTTCTTTTCAAAACAAAAAACATACATTGACAACAGAAATCGACGAAGTGACGAGATTCTGAGGAAGTGTGAACTCCAAACGACAAAGATCATCAGAAATGCCTAAATTTCAGATTTTTTTAAATATTCCTCTAAAAACCATTGGCACCTTTCTGAATGCACAAAAACGAGTACAATCCGGCGGGCAGCGGTCGCCGAGCACCATATTTAACCGAATCGCCGTCTTCATCCAGCGAAATGGTGCGCTCCACCATTTTCTGGGTGACTTCACGCCACGAATACGCCCAAAACACGATGGTTTCTTTGAACCACACTTCGAATTCGTACAATTTTAGATCGGAAATTCTGGAATTTCAGCATTTTTGCGCGATTTTGAAGTTGCAAACTTGAAATTTTTGGCCAATTCAGTCAAATTCCGAACGTTCATAAACATCCGCATGGTGGTTTTGGTGAAATGCTCGAGTTTTTCCGGATTTCTCGAATCGAGTTTCGCTAGCTGCTCGCCGAGCACATTTTCCAGAATTCTGCTTATCTGCAATTGACAAAATTGAACGCAAAAATTTTTGTGAAAAATGAAAATTTCAAAAAAAAGAAATAATCGTCGTCAAATACAATGCATTGAGCGTCGCGTGTTTGCACAGCAAGCATCATACCTGACGACAATTTGCACATTTTTCGAATTTCATCCCAAAAAATTTTCAATTTTTTCAAACTTTAAATGAAAAACCTGCTCATCAATAGCGCGAAATGTCGTCGAAATGTATCCAATGCCGAATTGTTGGAAAAAAATCTGATACGACGGGCTCTCGGAGCACATTTGATTGCACAAATTTTGAAGGCACGAGCAAACATCCTAAAAAAAAAAGCGAAACACGCGTTTCTCGTCGATGGAAAAATAATTGTCCTCACGCCAAACGCCATCTTCTCGACGCGCTCGACCCATTGTTTCGAGCGATTCACCAAAAACTCGAGGAATCTCTCGAAGAGGCATTCGGTGGGCGACGAGATCGCCGCGAAGCGGTCCCAAATCGACAGCACACAAATGTCGGCAATCAATTTCAGGCGGTCGTTGATCGGTTTCAGACGATGATAAGACACCGGCGGGAATATCGGCTCATCTCGAATGCTGTCCATGAATTCGATGATCGCTTCTCTGGTGCATTCATTCAAATACACCAACGAGGGCTGCTGAAATTTGTTCGTTTTGAGGTCGCAATTTCAACATTTTGCACGTTTCGTTTTGAAAATCTAAAAATTTGTCAATTTCCAAACGCAAATTTCCAGACCATTAGCGGATTTCCAGTGTCGACATCATTCTCGCAGGCGGTCATTTGAATGCACACCTCGGTCAGCGCTCGCTCATCCAAATTCTGCATATATTGGATTTCGAAAAAATTGAATAAATAAGTTTTTACCGTTTCGGTGTCATCCCAAACCAGAAAACATGTCATTTCACTGCAAAAAAAGAGCAAATTATGCATAATTGCTAAAAAATGATAATTTCTGCAAATTTTTTGCAGATCGCGATGAGATATTTCACCAAAAATAGTCTGTGCGCCTTTAACAACATATTAAAGGCCCTGAATAGTTCCATAAGAAAAAATTGAATACAACCAAAAATCTCTCAATGTCAATTTTAGGCTTTTTCTCTTACAGTAGTTTAAAGGCGCATCATGCGACTATTTCGAGATCGACTATTTTCCAATGGACTTGACAATTTCAAGGCGCATTGGTGGGTCCCGCAACGATGAATAAACGCAGCTCACCAGACTTTCAGCACAAACGACGGAATTTCGAAGAAGAACGCAATCGAGTAAAACATCGAAAACGACGTATTGTCGAGTTTGCCGTCATAGACGCTCCCATCAATCTGCTCCGATTGCCATTCATGGACGACACGGGCGGTCTCCAAAAACTCGTCAAAATCCAACATTCGCACCAAATTGCGATGATCGATTCGCTGAAGAAAAAAAAAAGAAGACATATTATTTTCAATTTGAATTCCAGAAACTTGCCATCAGCTTAAATTCGCCGGTGAACGCCTTATTATTCATCAAATTCACCGATTTTTTGATGGCCGATCCGAGTGGAAGCTGACCGATTTGTAGTATCTCCATATTCTTCTTGCTGTCCGATCTCATGACCCTTCAAAAAAAAACGAACACAAAAATGAATATTGAGAAATCTTTTTCTATTTTGTGGTTTTGGGCAAACTTCTTCAAAAGCGACGCCGATCGCCCGATTCCTTTTCTCGTCTCCTCTTTCGACAATCCGAATCGCAGCGAGACGTTCGTCGTCGGACCGATTTCGCTAGATAGTCGAGATTTGTTGAAATTCGCGCTATATTATTCGATACATTTTCGTAACACCGTTCGGATTCAGCGATTGCCCTCGACAATACTCCGGCTCAATGATATAGACTTGAATCGATTGATTATTGATTATCGTGCCGGAGTGCGGCCGAATTTGTAGGCTGTACGTTTGCTGAAATCAACACAAATCAAACAATTTTGCGAATTTCATTGAAAACGTTACATATTTCTGGCATTTCTCGTAAAACTCCTCAAGGCGATCGCAAATGTTGAAAATCTACAAAACAACATTTTCGCATTTGCGCGGATGACAATAAAGTCCGCAATTTTTCGTCGCCGCGATTTGCGTACCAAAAAACACCAAATCTCACGCGCAGCGCTTTTTTTTTCAATTTTCATTTTCGCAATTCCTAACATTTTTGCAGCTCCCCAATCGTCTCACCTCAGCAAACCTTCTCAATATCACATTGCGATGCTCCAAATCATCGGAGAAGCTAATCGTCAATGCGGCAAATATCGATTCAATCGCCTCATCTTTCATAATTGCCAGCAGCGCGGGCCCGCGTCGAAGAGAACAAAAAAAAGGCGAAGGCGCGAGGCATGACGCAAAACTGATAACGGCAAAACGAAATGTCAACCAATCAACAAAATACTCATTCATTTATTACAATTTCTCCGTATATACATGCAACGAAATATTGGAAAAGGAAATGTTCTCTGCTCATTTTTTTTCATAATTTCCTTAAAGGCGATTGCCGCTTTCGCGTCGACGCTTTCGTCCGCGTGATCTTCTCATAGTTCTCATCGCACGAGTCATCATCGCCAAATTGGGCGCCATCGTACGGCGCGGTGATTCTCTCGGCGCGTTCGTCATACTGCCAAACGCACGTTTTGCTGTCCCACTGAAAAAAAACACATTTATGTTTTCCGGGGTCAATATTTGTCAGGATGACAATTCGCAACAATTGTTCTTTGGTGCCTTTCGAATAATGCGATGATAAAAAAAAAATACAACTCACTCCACAAGAGGCGATCTCATTATCGCACGGATGCCAATCAACATCTCGCACCACCGACATATGGCCTTTCAGCCGACTCGACACACTTCCCGTCAGCATATCGTACACTATAAATTGGCATAGTTAGCATAATTAAATCCCCCACCCTAGCTCATACCGACAATTTCACCTCTCGCGCAACCCGTATAGATATATTTGTGTCCGGTGCGTTCCGGCGAGAATTTCGCGCGCACCAACGTATGAAGAACACTGTGTCCGCGAAGCGTCATCACCGATGAGTCGCCGTCGACGGGCTCGCAGAGTCCCGGCGGCGCCGGATGCCATCGATAGTCCCAATCTTGTTTCTGAACACATTGACGTGTACCTTCCTAAAATTGTGACGGGCGTCGACAACAGCAAAAACAAAGAGAGGGAGAGAGAAATAGTAAGCGCCAACGGCGAACATTCCATTTTAGACATAGAATTTCAAGAGAAAAAAAATCGACTTACAATTCCGCGTTGCGACGAGAAATGCCGCAAATCCCAGACTTTGATGGTTTGATCTTTGGCGTTCGACAGAAGATATCGATCATCCCGCCTCGAATCGATGTAGGTGACGCCGTCTCGATGGCCAGCAAATACTCCCACCGGATCCATGTCGCCATCATTCCAAGCTCGACGATCCCAAACCTAAACCAAAAGGAGCATCAATTGTGTGGGTGTTTTTTTCTTCAAATCTCTCTGTTGTGCAACTCAAACTCGCATCGTTCTTTGTTGGCTACAAAAACTACACTCTAGGCGACACTCACCTTGACGAGACCGTCATCACCGCCGCTGTAGATCAAATTCGACGACTCATCGGCAAAACAAACGCTATTCACGTCGTCCTCATGAGCGCTGTCGATGGTCTGAATCGGAATCCGTCGCTCAACGTCGATCAGACTGATACAGTATGTCGACGAGCCGCAGACGACCTGACGATTGTCATCGGAGAATTTCAGCGAGAACACGGCCACATTGCTGCAAAATTGACAGACGACTTGATTTTGGCTTCAAATCACTTACTGCTCCGTGTCGCCGAGATCGATTTGGTGCCAAATCGCGTTCTGTCCGTTCTGCATTTCACGATCATTCATTCTAAACGCCCGAATAATCTGCGGATTGAAAAAATTGCAATTTGAACTTACGCTGCCAAAAACACCGCATTCCTCCATGTCGAGTAGCATAGCAAATCGGCTCGATCATTTATGGCAACATCGAGAATTGACCAACTGCAAGCAGTCACCTAAAAAATGACCAAAAACGGAATTCGACAATCAAAATATTGATACCTGAAGCTCTTTGAATTGCACAAACCGCGAGTGATACGGCGGTTTCATTGCGCGATGATAGAATCGGATTTTCTCGTCTAAAATCAATACATTGGCATTCTAGACACACCTTGATTTCGTTTTCCTCTTTTGTTCTCACCTTGACTCGCCACCACCAGCTGCCGTCCATTGTCGGCATATTGGCAGCAAAACGATTTCGTGTTTTTCAAGCTATCAACAATTTTTCGCCGATTCGGCATATATCGATTAACAAGCGCCGCTTGATTTCGTGCATTTAGCGTGTGACGGCCTTTGGCGCCGATTTCACGTGCCTCGCATAATTTGAATAAACTCGTCGACGGCCCACACCCGCATCTCATATCAATATCCTCTCGGAGGTCATCAACACTCTAAAACTCAATGAATCTATAATTCGCTTGTTAATTGGTGCCGCAAATTCAACCTCTTGATTGCCAATCGTCAATCGGCCGCGAAATGCGATTTGCCGTTCGCGCTCGAACATCTTCTGCTCTTCGGCGGCGCTCATTTGGGGGCATTCATCGTCGTCGGAGAAATCCGTATCATCATCGCTTTTCGAATGTCGATCCTACAAAAAATCGAATGAACACAATTTTTTTGAGAAGAAAGAAGAAAACAAATTCTTTTGTGTTTTCTGACGCAACATTAGAGTCTAGTTTCGTCACAATAGACACAACTGAAACTGAACAGCGCGTGATGCGACGAGAAGAAAATGCGAATCGTTTGATTATTTGGTCGCGCGTTTAAACGCAAATCCAACATTTTTGGGCAAAAAAGCAACAATTGAAATATTTTTGTTCGCAAGAAAAACAAAAATAGTGCGTCTCGGTGTTTGCACAAAATGCGGCATACCCGACGGAATTGCGCACAAAACTCGAAAAAATTTACCTTTTGGGATCGTTTCGAGCCCCGCTTATACGGCATAATAGCGAAATAATCGAATCGAGGCGAACACAATCAAGAATGACAATCACCGAAGCGATCGATTGTGTCGAACGAAACAAAAAAATCAGTATTTGAGGCGGGGGGTTTGTGGCGCTGGCGCAAAAAGTGTGTGCGTGTGCGTCGTTTGCGGCCGACGTCTCACCCAACGCTATTTCGCCGTTTGGGCGCCGCCTCTCCCCAGTAAATGATGACAATTCCCCTCCCCTTCCCTTCCCCCCACATTCGTTCAGTTCACAAACTACGAATACAAGAAATTCGGGGTTCAAAACATAAAAATAGATCATAATGACAAAAAACGAAAATCGAACCTCGGTCATTCTCGGCAAATGCGCAATTCTTGCGGCAACCGTCGCCACAAACGTTCGCTGATTCTCGATATCTAAATTTTTTTTGTGGATTTTCAAAAAAAAAAATTTTTTTGTTTTTGCTTTTTTATTCTCACCTATTCCTCCAATGTATTTATGCCTCGGCGGAAACCAGTAAATCTCGAATCGCAGCAACGCCGTCGTCAGCCAATTGCCCATTCATTCAAGTCGAAATTCTGAAAATTGTTTTTTTCTCGAAATTCGAAAAAAAAAAGGTAAACAAAATTTTGAATGCCACAACGATTACAAAAAAAAATCATATTCGACTACAGTGTAGTCGGCCTAAAATCGATTCAAGTTGAACACATGATGAGGATGATGATGACAGGAACAAAAACGTATTGGGGCCTGAGAAAACCGGCCCGAAAAACACGACGCGCGCGCGCGCGCACGCAAACCGTCTGCGCCTCTCTCACACCGCGCACTATCTCGCCGACGAGAGAGTGTGGCGAAGTGCGGAGTGCGGCAGGCGGTCAGGCGAAATTCAAATGTCATCATTTTTTGCGTGTGCCTTCTGCTTCGAGCAAAATGCCAAAAATTCCAAATGATTCATTAAACTATACATCAAATTGTTAGAGAGAGAGAGAGAGAGAATGAAAGAAAACGTGTTAAAGCTGATTCGGCGGACAATTGAAAGACGGCTCAATGCACATCGCGTCGTCGTGCTCGCAGTTTTTGGCGCGGCGGCGGCGACGGCGCCCGCGACCAATACTCGGGGCTCTCGGCCGGCCGAATTCGATCCGGACGATCGCGATTCTCGACGTCTTCCGACAACGAACGCCGCCGCCGCTTCCGATCCGTCGACTCGTCCATCATTTGCAGCGGATAGCCGTCGAATTTGTCATGATCGATCCGAACGAACTGAAACAATGCGATCGTGTCGATCCAATTTCAACTTTTTTTTAAAAACAATTTCACAAAAAGCAAAAAAAAACATTATTTTGAGAAATTTGAATTTCGCCGACTATTATTCATGGGGTCCTATTAATTAAAAAAAAAACGATTCTATTGACAATTTCGCGAAAAAATTAAAATTCTAAAAAAATCGGAGCGAGAGAAAAAAACGCGAAACGTAAATGAAAGCAATCCCCGTAAATCTACCCAACGAAAAATTGCCAATTCGCCACGCCCACCAATTAATCATAGACCATGAAGCCAAATTTTGAATCACAACGTTTGCCATAAAAAATTCGTTGATGGTTTGGGATTCTCAAGAAAAAAATCGGAATTTTTTTCATTTCACAAATTGTTGGCCCTTAAATTTTTTTCCAGTGGTTATAGTCGGGCGTCCGCGGGTAGATTTACGCGCATGCGCCTTGAAAAGGTCTCGCCACGATTTAACGCTTCTTTTGCCGTTTTCACGTGAATGATTTATTTGTTTCTTGATGAGTTTGGCATTTCTTGGAATTTCCATCGACATTCGATTAAACAAATTATCGAAGCGGTTATCGAAGGAGAAAATGCGAAATAACTTGTTAGTCGGTGCGAGACCAAGTGAAAGACGCATGCGCGTAAATCTACCCGCGTAGAGATAGAAAATTGTTAAATGTTTAAGCTGAAACTGACTATTTTGCATGACGCTGAAGCAAAATAAACGCAAAAAATTAAAAATTTCCCATTTTCCAATTTTTGAGGACCATTTTGAGTTTGATTCGCAGGTGTGTACGGTATCCAAATTTTCATTGTTCAGATTAAAATTGGAAAAAAAAATTCCAAAATTATTCAAGGCTCTCATTTTTTTCTTGTTGCGATAGCAATATGATATTCCCTGAAGACATGTTTTGTTTGTCATCACGTTCGCAAAAATTTTGACTTGTCTACAATCTGGCAACGATCTTTCAACGTTCAACTACATCTAGGCGCCCCGCTTCTTCGAATTGTCATCATTTTCGTTGGAATTGACCGAAAATTACTTTTTTTCGCTGAGGAATTTCTCAAAATTTGAAGAAAAAAAATTAATCTTGTAATTTTTTGATTCCCGATGCCACACAAAAATGGAATTCTGTTCGGTTTTCTTAAATTTCAGGAAATTTTTTTTAATTCACTTAAAATTTAAAGCACTTTAAATTTCAAAAAAAACCAAGCTCACAATTTTCTGAATATCTTCAAGTTCCTCCAAATTGAATTTGTACAGCTCGTTGGCTTCCGGATCTCGTCGAATCTTCATATCATGATACTCGCGACTACTTCGGCCGACCATCAACGCCATTCTCATGCAGGTGATCAACGATCCGAGGCGGATTCTCGTCGCATCATCCATACTATTGAACGCCTCTTTGCGCAAATTCCGCTGAAATTGCTCGACCCAATGCTCTTTCGCGTTCGAATCATCGAGAAATTTCTTGATCTCACATCGAAACGCGTCGCGATTCTCCCTAAACTCATTCGCCATTCAATTTCGCCAATCGATTTGCGGATTCTTACATAACCTGCCGGACATATGGTCCCATGTGCTTCCATACGGCTTCTTCAACGCCCAACGCGCAGGCGATATGTCCGAGGACAAGTTCTGTCATGAATCGAGTGCCGTATTCGTTCCAATGAACACCGTCGTTTCTGAAAAGAAAATCGAAGATGACGATTTCTTGAAAATCGAAAATTTCGCCCTACACGCGATGCGTTTCCAATGAGATGTGCCGAAAATAGAACGACAAGTCGAGAACGTCGAAGCCGGCCTCGCGGACGATCGAAGCAGCCACGTTGTTCGCCTCCAGCAGTCTCATCCTTTAAATATTGGAAAAAAATTAAAACTCCTCAGCTCATTTTTCCATATATATATGCTTCTTTAAAGCATATATTACGTCTTGAAGTTTCTAAAAAAACTAATTTAAAGGAGCATCTCGAATCTTCAAGAAAATTCAATATCATTAAAATTCTGCTCAAAATCATATTTTGATATTGAATTTTGAAACAATCAGAGAACTTCATCCAATTTGTTTGTCTGTGGTTCACACCGACGCAAATTCACACACATTTCAAGAATTTTCTGCATTGAAAAAGAAAAAAACTTTTGGCACGAAATTCAAAATTTCAAAAAAAAAAAATTCAACCCCCACCAACCGAATCTCATTGTACGGTAGGCGATTCGTCGACAAAAACCCGTGCTCGCGCTCGTTCTCCGAATTCAGCGGCATCAAAACCCAAATGAATATCGCGTCCGGCGGCAGAATGACGCGCATTCGTCGACATATCATCGCGACACGCTTCTCATACTCCTCCATCGTCTCCATCTCAATGTCCTCCTTCGTCGCATTTTTGAACATGCTGGAAAAACCACAATGAAAAGTGAATTATTGAAAAAAAAAATGTATATAAATTTATAGTCGGACGAATTTGGGGGTATGTTTGAATTACCGCCGCGGGTCTCGTATGGAAAAATTTTTAGGCGCGATTTTTACGTTTTCAAACTATACATTATCGGCGTCAAACGACTGAAAGGAGGCGGGGCATTCAAATTCGCAAAATTAGAGTTGATTTAATTTTTTCGTTGGCTGAATATTAAATGCGCGAACGCTTAAATACAAGGTACGCAGTCTCGCGTACTTCTCGCTGCCTCGAGGCACATTGGCACAAAAATATTTCAATTTTCGTCAAGTCGTTTGACTCCAATAATAAAATAGAATAATTTTTTGATGCGCAATTCAAATTTCTGAAATTACCTGCACTCGAATCTCGACACATCCCAAATCGCCGAGTTCATCACAACAATGTCGGGCTTCTCGCCGCTCTCGACCATCGCCAGCATCACCTTCTCCAGCTCGACGCGAAACGCTCTGAAGATAATCTCAATTATGAAAAAAGAAAATCACTCGCTCATCGAACCTCGATGTGAAATGGTATTGAATTAGATAATTGCCGGTTTGGAATTCGCGCGATTGGCGAAACACTCGATTCTTTTCCAGCGGCAAAATGTCAATCTGAAATTTTTTTTTCCCATTTACAATCAATTGTCTTTTGTCAACCTGCCGATCTCCAAGGAACGTCTCCTCGTTGGGCGTTCGGAGATCTTCGGGTGACAGCAGATCTCCCGTCTGGAGCAGCGCGAGCAAGTCCTTGTATAAAGCTCGAGTGACTAAATAAAATGGAATCGATGCCAAATTCACATAATTGTCTATTTCTGATCAACAATGACTTTGAATATTTATGTTAGGATGCTCCTTTAAAGGCGCAATTTATTTATTTAAAATGTATGTTTTCTTTTAAATATAATACACATTTGCTTGATTTTTACAAAATGCCTTATTTTCAAAGATTAAATTCATTTCCATTTGAAGGGCTTTGGAAAATAGAATGTCCGTGCTCCTTTAAACTGGCGCTTTCTAGGGTGTCCCAAAAAAAAATTGCTCGCAAATTTTCAGTGATTTGAAATTTCCTAGAGGAATTGAGTGTCTCGAGGCGATTAAAAAATTTAAAACGCAATAATTCTCAGTTTAAAGGCGCATCGTGCAAAAATCAACTCGCTCACGTGAATCCCCAATGAACATCACGTGCTTATTTAACAGCAACGATCTCGCAATTTGCGGCGTATATGGAAAATAGGGTTTGACGAGATTTTGATACGAAACACCCGGCACTCTGCAAAACGATAATTGCCAATTAATTGGCTAATTAATTACCTTGGCATCATATGCCTAAACTCGTCCTCTGGAATAACGCCAGGCCGGTCTGGCACGAGTCTCGCTGTGATCCTCAAGTTCTCCATTCTGAATTTTGCCAAATTTGGCGAAAAATGATCTTTTCGAAAACAAATTCAGATACAACAATATCGTTTAAATAACGAATTTTAAGAAAAAATTAGTGAAAAATACAAAAAAAAATCTCGACACATTTATTGGGCAAAAATCGACAAATCATTGAGCATTCTTGAAATCGCGTGCTCTTCATGGAATTTCAGCGTCGGACATTCACCATCCGGAGTTTGTGTGTAATTTTTCAGCTGAAAATCATTGAATCTGCGAAAAACAACGAAAATGGGCCGCCCACATTTCGACAAAAATCGATGGCGATTTTGACGTCGCCGCAAAAAATCGCCGATGTCTGCTCGAGATACAACGTCTGAAGGGCGCCGAGCAACGAATCGAGCTCGTCGCGCTTCTCCTCAATCAATAAATATTGCTGATTCATGCAATTCAGCAGTTTAATCTAGAAAAATTTAAATTCTCCAAAAAAAACAAGAAGCAATAAAACCTTCAAATTCGGCAAATATCCTGAAATTCGCGCGCAATGCAAATCCGAATTCATCATCGATTCGATTTGCTCGACATTTTTGCGGTATTCGCTGATTTCCGCCTGAATCGCTAGTAATTCCTCGCCAATCGACTTCAAGCGCTTCAAACTCATCATGAGTCAAACGTTTGCGGTGGAGCGCGTTTGCAACAACAAATTATATTTATGCAAGCAAAAAAAATTAAGAAACGGGAAATTTATTAATAATTTCATTTCGGGAACACCGAGATCATGCCTTCGTTGTTGAGGCTGTCCTTCTACAAAAAAATGAAACAATCGAGAATTCTACACCAATTTACCACATCCACATAATCAACAGCCAACGAGTTTTTGAACAATTCTGGGAATGTCTGCCGACTAACACAATCCAATCTTTTCACATAATCGAAGTTCCTAAAAATTTAAACGTGAAGAAAAAAAAGCTATGAATTGTATGCCTTATAGGGAGGCCCATGATTATGGAAACACAAGGTTGAGGCCTTCTGGCAGATGCTGGCGCATTTTTCGCGAACCAGCTTTATTTTTTATTTTTCAGCATGTTTTATTAGGTCTAGAAATTAATTTCCGCGATTTTTTGTTGTTGATTTTATGTCAAAATGAAATTATTTTTATATAACGAATTTTCTGTTATAATTTTCTCTGCATTATCAGCTTTCTACTTATATATATATATCTTTCTTCGCATACTTTATAAAAAATCATTATTTTGGGCTCAGAATATGTCCACCTTTGTGCCAGGAAAACGTCATTTGCGAGAAGCTCTTCTTTTCCTTTTCCATCTCAACAAGAAAGCCACTTACGCGCACCAAATGCTTGCATAAGCTTACGGCGATGCTGCACCATCTATAAGAACCTGCCAAGAATGGTTTCAGCGTTTCAAATCGGGAGATTTTGACGTCAACGACAAAGACCTATCAGGTCAGCCAAAAAAATTTGAAGACGAAGAGCTTCAGGCTTTGTTGGATGAAGATTCGGCTCAAACACAGGAGCAACTCGCGGCATCTCTCGGCGTCACGCAAAAATCAATTTCTCATCGATTGAAAGCAATGGGGAAGATTCAAAAGGAAGGAAAATTGATGACCTATGAGCTCTCAGAACGATACAAAAAGCAAAGAAAAACAACGTCACAAAGGAATCCATAAGTTGCCCAAACTCTGGGAAAATGTTATTAATGACGGAAATTATGTTGAATAAAAATTTTGCTTAAATCTGTGTAGTTTTTTATAGTTTAATATGCGTTAAAAACGCGAAATTTATTTCTAGACCTAATAATTACCATTTTTCCAACATTTTCTAGTTCTTAGCTTCATTTTTAAAGGAATGGTAGCCAATTCAGTGCACCGAGGCACCATTATCGATATGACTACAAAAGGAAAGAGCGACAGTTACATCGCAAAAGCTCTCGGAATCTCTCGATCAACAGTTTGGAAAACCATAAAACGGTACAAGGAGCTTAGCACACTTGAAAACTGTCCGAGAAGCGGAAGACCTCACAGTTCTATCACTCCGGAAAAGATCAAGGTCGTCAGAGATCGAATTCGTCAAAATCCGCACCAGAGCATGAGAAAGATGAGCTTGGAGCTCGGTATGAGCAAATCCTCGATGGGACGCCTTGTGAAAAAGGAGCTTGGGTTGACCCGGAATCGTGTTCGAAACGCGGCTGTTTTATCTAAAAAAGAACAAGGTGGCCCAGCCCGAATGCAAAAGTGCAAATCTATTCTTCTTGCAGGCACGCGCCCGAAGAGACTCAACAAAGAAATGAAGAACAAAGGAAATCGAATCGAGTAATGTTGATGTACATATTTTTGTTGCTTATAACTGATTCAATAAACTATTTGCGAATTTTCAAGTTGATTCGATTATTTTTACAAAACCTACATCACTTTGAATGTGTTTCCATAATTACAGGGCCACCCTGTAGAATGTTTCGCAATTTAAAGCTTCTAAATTATATTACCATTCATCTTTAATCGAATTCGGACCATGGCGTTTCTGATGATCCAAAGCTTCCTGAATCGTCGAAATTCTCAATCCACAACTTTTACAAACATAGCGTTTCCTAAAACCACAAGAAAATTACGTTTTTTTGGCATTTTTAAAATCTCACATATTCATGTGCTCCTCAAGAATGTGCACATAAACCTGGAACTCTGAAAACATTGGGATCATGCAGCCGCATTTCTGCAAAATTTTCAATTAGTTTATGCGCCTTTAAATACGTCAACCGACCTTGCAATCATAGCAATCGTATAGCGATAGCGAATCCGGTTTAGTTCGCTTTATCGGCAACACAGAATTTCCTTCTTCCGAAATTGAGCTATCCGCACTCTAGAAAGCTATACTGATTAGGGAAAAAAAAAACGAAAAAAAATTAGGGTCACCTTTGATGAAGGCGTTTGAAACTCCCTTTTCAGCGAATTGCTGTTGGTATCAAAAATAGACATGCGAGAAAACGGGGTTCTTGGTGTAATCGGTGCTTCCTTCACGGCTTGTTCCTAAAAATTTCGAATAACGAAGTAAAAGCAAACCGATAGTCGTACGTCATCTTTGGATTTTTCCTTTGAGGCCTCCGAACATTCCGGTCGGATGTTCGAGTGGTCGGAACAGTCAGATGAATCTTCCGGGTAGCGCGAACAGTCAGATGAGTCCATATAATCTGACCTTTCCGAATCTTCAGATTCCTCTTTATCCATCAAATCCTTATTTTCTTTCACCATTTCCGTCGGCTCTTGTCTTATTGAAGTATTTTCCATTTCGGTTTTTTCCCACTGCGTCGCTGCGCATACATAACTGGCCTGAACATGACAAATATTAAATTTTCAAAACTATAAGAATGTACCTGGTTAGTCTGTGTTGAAATTGTTTTGCTAAATACATCAGGAAAAGTCTGAAAACACTATAAATATTTTTTTAAAGTTCCAGTTTCCCACTTGAAGACCAATTTGTTCCGTCGAAGGCTCACAAACTGCTTTAAACATGTGTCGAATGCTTCTACAGTGAATTGCGTTTGCATTCGTCTGCTTCTGAAATACCAAAATTCAATATTTAAACAAAAATCAGACAACGTACGCAGACTGTGGCGCTTAATCTTTCGTATTCGCTTTCAGATAAAACGAATGTATACGAAACATTCTGAAAATTGATAATCGCATTGTAAAGAAATTAATTCTTACACAATCATTATTCGGGCATTTTTTCCCGCCGACGTCGACAAATGGGTCCTTAAAATGATAAGCAAGCTAAAAAAAACGGATGTGAATAATATAATAAATTTTTAATCTACCAATGAATGCTCCAATTTGGCATTTCCGATTTGACAACCTTCGCGCTCACTATGTTGTAGTATCACAAAATAGGTCTGCGACATCTGAAATTTGCAATAAACGGAAAAGCAATGCAGAAGTAAAATAAAAAAACGATAAAAAACGAATTCAAAACAATAACAATAACAGTATATTTTCATTTTAGGACCAAACACTTAGAAAATAATAAGCGTCTTTCACGTTACAGTATTCAAATATCATATTTTATTTATTTTTCGTTTTTTATAGATTTGAAACCGAATTTGCTTGAAAACTTGAATTTTCAAATTACTTAATACTTTTTTAACATCAAATTATTATAAAATTGTTTCCATTTTCCATTCTTCCAGCTTCATTTCATTTTAAAAAGAAAAGCTTTTCAATTAATCTTGAATTCCCAACTCAGCTTCTCTTTTTAATTTTTCATATTTTTTTCGAAATTTCGAAATTTTCCAATCTTATTCTCATCAGAGCGCACATTCACTCGCATCATCACCGCCATCATAAATATTTTCAAATTTTTTTTGCGGAATGAACAAATTCCTGGCAAATCGCGCGACTCCCGCACCAAAATCAAACTCAAAAGAGCCAAAAGAAGCGACGTCAAATAAGGAAAACGCATCGGAAATAGAAAAAGATGATCCGAAATCATCTACCGAAATTTTGCACGAGGCGATTTCCGAGAAAAACGCGAAACTCGCCTACAATATTCTATCGAAAAATCGACCGTTCGATTTAGCAATGAATGTAAGAAAATTTCAAGAAAATCAATGTACTATTTTAATGAAAATTTCCAGAAACAAATGACGTCAATCGTGTTCGAGAACGGCTTCTCCTCATCGGCTTCTGAGCACATGCTGCTTTCTGTCGATGAGGCTGTGGTGAGCGCATTAACTGCCGGAGAATCGTGTGTTAAAACTTATTTCAAAAAATATTTCAAGGTCTCAAAAATTGCAGAATCACAATTCGCGGCGAAAATGATGACGATGCCGTCTTGTGCACAGAAAATGCCACATTTCCGATCAAAATCGTCGAATCCGCGACCACTTATCTCATAATGCACGATGTTTTAGGGCCGCCGGAAAAAAATGCGAGCGCCGAACCGGAATTTCAAGTTAGAAAGGTAATTGAAGTTTTCAATTTGAAAAATTGTCGAATATGATGCATTTTGACCCTAATCTACCTTCAAGTCTTCAAAAATCGGTTATTTTTCAATTTTCAATCATTCAAATCGGCAATCAATGATTGAAAATCAAAATTTTGACAAAAAATGCTACCTATGCCTCATTTTTAGCTATAAACCTCTAAAGGGTGGATAAAATTTCCTTTTTTTGACATCTTCAAGTCTATAAAATCGAAAAAATGAATTTTTGCTGAAAATTCGAGCTATGGCTCTCCAAAATCTCCAAAATTCGAAGGAAAATGATTTAAAAATTGGCAAAAAATATTCAATTTTGAGGAAATGTTTGTTAAAAAGTCGAAAAATGGAAATCAATTATCGAAAATGCACATTTCGAGCATCGCTTAGCTCGAAATCTTCAACAATTATAAAAAATCGGAAGAAAAATATAGTAAAATTGAATTTTTCGATGAAAATCTGAAAATGGATTTCGATTTTCATTGGGTTTCCAAATTGAAAGAGTCTGTGCAGAAAAAAAGGGGCCCTAAAAATACAGAATCGAATATGAGCAAAAAACATGAATAATCATTTGTTGGTCAATTCAGATCAGCGGCAAATGCTACGGAATCGGCGAATTGTGCCCACCGTCGGATATTCTGAAGTTGGCTCGTCTCAAGGATCTTCTGCACGAGAATGAGATCGTCTGGGAGACGTGCACACAGGCAAATGAGCAATTTCTTGGGTAACTCAATTCAATAATTTTTTTTTCGAGAAAATCAAACACCATCAATCAATTCTTCAGTTATTCGCTTAATGATCTACTCAAGTCGGTACAAATGAGCATTGGCGAGGTTGAAACGGCTCTTGCTGATCTACCGGTCGTCAAACTCAAAAAAAGTGGGCGTCTCTTCGTCGTTTTTCGATGAATTTTCGATTTTCAGCCGGCAAACTCCGCTATTTATCGCATAAGTATCGAGTGGAGCTCCTTAAAAGGCTGGTAGACGGAATCGACGATGATGATCAGCATGAGATTTCAATGGAAAAGGTTTCCGACATTATTCAATGCGCCTTTAAGGTCTTCAAGAGACAATTTTGCAAAAAATCCATTCGCTCATTTTTCGAAACATTCGCAAATCGAGCAATTCTTCAAAAAGTTTTCCCAAATTCGGCATGCGCCTTTAAACAATTTCAATAAATCTGTAAAATATGAAATATATTAGCGAATGCGCCTTTAAACCGAACCCATTTGGCCCCAAGGCGAACATTTTAATGAAAACTCTTGTGTGCCTTTAAACCATTTTGATAATTATGCAACATTTGAGACAAATTTTAATTGCGCCTTTAAATTGGTCTCAAAGCAAACTCGTCTAAATAGAAAATTTCGGCCCATGCGCCTTTAAAATCGAAATTTTCAGGTGACAAAGTCGAGCCTTCGCGACTATCTGCCGCCAAACGCTCTCGACGAAATCATCGATTGGTTCGTGGAAACGCGTTGCGATCAAATCGACGAATCGCGTAATCGCCTTTCAAACCAACCACAAAAACCATTGTCGAAAATCCGATTTAAGACAAAAAATTGCAGATTTTCGAATCAACGAGGAGAAGCTCGCGAGAGACATCATCATCGGTGTGCTGTATTCGACGCGAAAAATGAGTTTCGCGCAATTCGAGGATTCCGCCAAAAAGTGTCTGCCGTTCGGAATCGAGATCAAGTTGGCCACCAAGTTTCTTTTTTGATTCCAAACCACTCTAGGGACTCGTATTTCGCCGGCATCTGCGATATTGTCGACTCGCCGTCGGGCCGACTAATCTTCTATCTTGCACCCGAGGACCTTCCAGACGAGACACGCGACAGGTACCGTAATCTCGATGACCGCACGAGCCGCCTCGCGATTGTTCAGAATGATCTACCTGTTCAATCATCGCCGACTCTGGACAATGGAGCAAATTCGGCCATTCTTCAACGACATCTTCAAATCAAAAGTCGCGTTCGACAAATATTTGGTGCAGAAGTGCGATTACACAATTTCCAACACCAACGAGATGCTCTACTGTGGTGTTCGCGCATAATTTTCATGTTTCTTGTTTTATTCACACACTTATACAAAACAAAAATGAAACTGTGACATTTGTAAGAATTCTCAAAGAGCTACAAGCGATAATATTCGATTCGAGTCATGGTGCGCGATCATGACGATTTACCATATTCAAGACCAACAACCGGGCTAGAAGATGGCACAGTATTCCAAAAAGAATATTTCGAGCGGGGAGCGTGAAGGTAAACGGGTGTCAAAAAATAGGGGGAAAGGTCTACAAATAATTAAAGTCGTGCTTACATTAAACAGGAATACCGAAAAAAAAAATGGCAGAAACAAACATCGAAATTGGAACAAAAAGATCATTCTCAGGAGATTTTCAAGGCAAAAATGCAACAAAAAGAAACTAAGAATAATCGCGTGTATTGAGCCTTAAAAGCGCTCCTGAGAATCCGAACGGGGGGTTGGATGGGCGTAGTGTGCCGACCGGATCATATCCAATCTCAGCATTCAAAACGAGAAAATGTGAAAATTAAACGCGAGCGAGATTAACCGAGTGTTATTATGAAATGGTTGGTTCAATGGGACGAATTTGTGTATAATAAGTGTTGGAAAATATCTGAATTCCTGGTGATGGATGATAAAACAAAAAAAACATAGCGGGGGGCCGATGATGCAGCGCAAAATTGGAGATCAAATTTAATCACCAAACAAAAGCCGAAAACAACTAAATGATAAAGATGTGCAAAAAATTGCTGCCAAAAAAGCTCAAGAAATAGAGAGAGAGAGAGAGAAAATTCCAAAATTAGGTGGTTCCAGCGAACCCCTCCTAAAACGCGAATAATGATCAAAACAGTTAGTTATTTTTTCTCTCAATCTCTCGCTTTCTCACCCGCTACAATCAATTATAAACGTGAACATTTTCCAGGTGCTCAATAATATACACAAAAAACAATTCAAGAATCAACAAACAAATAAAACGCGCACTACGTAACAGATCGGATTTGATTTTCGAAGAGGGACGGGGGGGGGGGGGACACGACAATTCCAACAACGCTGTCTGTAACAACCATACACATACAAAACATATAACATAAACAACAACAAATTCAGATGAAGAGCGCAATTTTGCGAGCAAAATGCCATCCAGTGGCTAACAATTCAATCAAACATGGATATCTTATGAATGACGGCAAGATGACTGGAAACAAATCGGCATTCTTATTGCACGTCTCTCGCGGTTCCTTTCAACAACACGCCAAAATTAAACGCGCATTCGTCGCGAGAAACCATACAACAACATCACAAAATTACAATGAAATGTGACACAATTTGAAGACGAAGAAGACAAAAAAGAAAAATAACATAAACGTTTTCTGTTTCAAGTTAAAACACCCTAATTCACGCGCAAACTCCATAGGACATTAGTAATCACTTAAAGCTCTGAGAAGACAATCAAGTCAAATAAAAATCAATAATCATCATAGTGTTGCCAAACTAGTGGCAATTCAAAAATAATAAAAATATTCGCGGCTATACAAAGACATTAAAAAACAGACACAAAACTTCGCGATAAAAAAGCCAAAGAAATAAAAGGAATAGTGAATGGAGAATAGATAGAGGTAAACGGGAAAGTTATAGAAATACAGAGAGAGAGAGAGAAAAAAAGCAGACATATTTCCGGATTTCCGTTTCCATAGTTTCACTATCAAAGGTTTTTTAAGCGCGTGGCGCTTGCCAATGGCCAATGGTTCCATCACTATTTCCACAAAACGGCATTCCCATTTGCATATTGTTACGATGCATTCCGTTCGAGAATCCGCCTAAAATCGTTCAAACGTTTAATTTCCGCCATTTGACCTTCGCTTTCGCTAGCGTGACGCAAAAAGAAGGTTCCGTGTTCGATGGCAGCAAACATACCTCGACCTCTGGGAGCGAATCCATTCGCCAGCCCATTATGAGCTCCAAATCCACCGTTTGACGGAAATGGACGACGTGGCCCGTTTCCATACATTGGCGCGAAGCCGTTACCGAATCCCTGGTTCGGAGTCTGACCAAAGTTATTATGCATGCTGAAAAATCAAGCCATTAACTCCCAACACTTCCTCAAAAAATCACGTACTTTGTGTAACCACCACCACGACGGTGATCAGTTCCACCGAATCGGCGGTTTCCTGAATATCGGTTTCCGGTGTTGATTCGTCCTTCAGCCGCAACACGACGAAGCCAATCGGGGACTTCCTGGTTCGACTCCTCGACAAGGCTCATCAAATCGCGACCAATTCCGCGATTCTAAAACCAATATCAATGTTGAGATCTTCTATTAAAAATTCTACCTTGTCATTGAAGAAGCTCGTAGCGCATCCGACATTTCCGCAGCGTCCGGTTCGTCCAATTCTATGAACATACTCGTCAGAATCTCCCGGCAAATCATAGTTAATGACGTGACGAACATTCGGAATGTCAAGACCGCGAGCAGCGACAGCAGTGGCGACAAGCACTGGATACTGTCCCGAGCGGAAAAGATCCAAATTGCGCTCGCGCTCCGGCTGCTTCAAATCACCATGAATGGCGACAGCGCGAACTTGTTGCCTGTTCAAGAAGAACGAGAGCTCATTAGCTCCTTTCTTAGTCTCGACGAAGCAAAGAATCAAGTTTTGAGGTGCTGAAATAAAATAACCACTTAATTTATAGCGTGAAACTAAGCTAACCTTCTTCAGAAATGATTTGCATCAAATTTCGGCGCTTGTCGATCTCATCAACCCAAAGAAGGCGTTGCTGAATGTTCTCCGATGTCGATCCAACACGTCCAACAGCCAAGAAGACATAATCATTTTTCAAGAAGTCTTTGGCGAGAATCTGAATCTCTTTGGGGAACGTGGCGCTAAACATGGCGGTCGTTCTGTTTTCCTTGGATGGCATTCCAAGTCCGACAATTTTTCTGATTTGCGGCTCGAATCCCATGTCCAACATGCGATCGGCTTCATCGAGAACAAGATAACGGCATCCTTCCAATCCGACGTATCCCTGATCAATAATATCAATCAAGCGTCCCGGCGTGGCAATGAGAATATGGCACCCAGCGCGAAGTCTGTTGACTTGATCACGATAGTTTTCGCGTCCTCCATAGAGGATCGCAGTCACAATATTGGTGCGATAGCTGAATTTGGCAGCTTCTTTATGAATTTGAATTGCCAGTTCGCGAGTTGGCGAAAGGACCAAAGCGGCTGGATAATAAGTTCGGCGTGGTCCATTGCTGGATGGCTGAATTAAATGTAAATTAACAAAAATCACATGACATAAATAACATACCGGTTTGATTCCATCGGGTCCATTGACGAGAATATGATTGATGATTGGAAGGAGGAACGCGGCCGTCTTTCCAGATCCGGTTTGAGCACACGACATCAAATCGCGATTCGCGAGAAGCGTCGGAATCGAGTGCTTCTGCACAGGCGTTGGCTTTGTGTAGCCGCTGCGATTCACATTCTCGCGGATCCATTCATGAAGATCGGCGTCAGCAAACTCCTCGATCGCCGCCGGCGGATCACCACCGCTGACCTGCACGGGAATATTCTCGTACTTGTCGAAGTTGATTCCGCTGTCAGTACGATGGAAGAGCTGCTTCTCCGTCGAGTCGCTTCCAGCTGATTGGCTGTTCCAGTTCGTCGGCTCGGATCCGCTGAAAATTACAAATTTATATGAATTTCGTGAAAATTGTTGATTTACTCATTCATGTTCTGGTTGAATGACGAGAACGATTTTTGCTGATATCCATTTTCTTGATTTCTATGATAGTATCCATTTTGAGAGCTGAAATTATGGTAATTTTAATTAAACGTCTTGGTCAATTGTAGGCGAGTGCAAGGGACAACACATATGCGGGTGTAGAACAAACAAAAAACAAGTTAAACCAGCAAACAACATAACATAATAGGTTTTTTGTTGGTTTCGTGTAACAAAATTATTGACTACGACTATTATAACTACGAGCACATGCATACACTCCAGCTCTCACCCATTTTGCTGTTCATTGGCATCCGACATAATTGGTGGAGGCGGATGGAAAAACTGATGAGAATAGAGACCCGTTTGCTGTGCGGCCATTAATTGAGCCATGTTGGCCTGCACAAAGTTTGGTGGAGGAACCCCGTACCCATTTTGATGTGGTGGCGCGATCGTCGCATGCCCAAAACCGCCATAATAGCCACCACCATTCATCGGCTGAAATCCACCGTTAGCTTGATGGTGATAACCGTTGCTTTGCGCAAATCCGTTGGACTGTTGCGTATAATTCGACCACCTGGAAAAAAGAATTATTTAGAATAATGGATATTTGATATTCATTTCCAAACCCATTTTGCGCTGCAGGCTGCTGTTGTTGCTGTGGCTGCTGCTGCGGCGATAGCTGTTGTGGTTGTTGTTGTTGTTGTTGTCCAGCGAAATAAGTCTGACCACTCATTGTTCCAAAAAATCTTTAGTGAACCAAGGAAAACGGAAACCCGGAATGAAAATCGGTGTAAAAGCACCGATTGTTTGTTTACCACAAAGTTGAGATGTTAGGAAATCTGAAAATAGCCAAATCTTGAATTGTCAACATTTAATCCGATTTCAAAGCGCTTCAAGCGGGAATCATCGAGATAAATTAATTAATTCGTCGCAAATGCTCTTAAAACGTGACAAAAACCATCCGGAAATGAGCAAAACCAACAAGGTGAACCGATAAAAAGTGAAATATCGTTTTCTTTCTCCGTCTTTTTCGCCTCCACCCGCAACGTGAACCCTATTTCGCTGCGAGAGCTCGCCGCAATAAATGCGTGCGCCTTTAAGCGGTTCGTTGCGGCGTGTTTTCAAAAACACGCTGTGCAATACAAACATCTGCTTACCGTAACACAAATTTCATTCTTTGGACAATTTTCCCTGCTTTCAGCTTCTCTTATTAATAAAAGCCGAAAACGACAATTATTGAAAAGCGATGGATGGTTGCTATGGGTAAAATGGAAATATGATGATCATGAATTATATGGAAATATCGGGTAAACTCATTTTTCCGAATTCTCACATTTCCAGTCGAGCTTAATTAACTAGGCGAGCGTCTTCGAAATGATCTACACTTTTCGCACGCAGAAACCAACGAGTTTCAACAAAACAACAACAGCAATAAGAAAAATTTCGCCGTGTCATTTTTATTTATCATTTTTTTTTCCAAAAAACAAATAAAACGTGAAATTTTAATAATCGTCATCGTTGCCACGTGCCGATAAGAATCATGAAAGTCTAGCATTCAGAAACATGCTCATATTCAGGTATAAGTTCCGCGGAAAACCTTGAAATATGAGCAACCAGGTTCCAGCTGAGACAGTCAAGAAAATCGAGGAGGTTGGTTGTTTTTTTTTTGTGTGTGTGTTTGGCAGTTTTCACCTGCTCGCGTGTGATTAATTCATCAATTATTTAAAGGGATTTGCGAAACTCCAAGCCGCCGCTGATTGCAAATCGCTTCTCAAGAAACATTTGACGAAGGAGGTCGTCGACAAGAACAAGACGAAAAAGACGCGCCTCGGTGCCACACTTCTCGACGTCATCCAGTCGGGCGTTGAGAATTTGGATTCCGGCGTCGGCGTGTACGCGCCGGACGCCGAAGCCTACACACTGTTCGCCGATCTCTTCAATCCAGTCATCCAGGAGTACCACAATGGATTCAAAGCGACCGACACTCAGCCGCCAATGGATTTGGGCGAGAAGAATGTCGGCGAGCTTGTCGATCTTGACCCAGAAGGCAAATTCATCGTGTCGACTAGAATCCGGTGCGGACGCTCACTTCAAGGATATCCTTTCAATCCGTGCCTCAGCGAGGTGATAAAAAAAATCAATTTTTTCATCTCAGCAATTTAATTTCAGGTTAACTACAAGAACATGGAGGCTCGCATGAAGGAAATTTTCGGTGGCATCACCGATCCGGAATTGAAGGGCACCTACTATCCGCTCACCGGAATGAGCGATGAGGTGAAGAATCAGCTCATTGCTGATCACTTCTTGTTCAAAGAAGGCGATCGATTCTTGAAGGCGGCAAATGCCAACAGGTGAAAAAAAAATAATGAACTACCCGGATGACGCTTCTTGCAGATTCTGGCCAACGGGTCGCGGAATCTTCCACAACGAGAAAAAGACATTCCTTGTGTGGGTCAACGAGGAGGACCATCTTCGCATCATTTCAATGCAGAATGGTGGAAATGTCGGCGAGGTTCTCGCGCGCCTCATCAAAGGCCTCGGCATCGTTGCCGCCAAAATGCCGTTCGCCCGGCACCCACGTCTCGGCTGGCTCACCTTCTGTCCGACCAATTTGGGAACCACCGTGCGCGCGTCGGTTCACATCAAACTCCCGAAAATCTCGGCCAAGGATGATTTCAAGAAGATTTGCGACGAGATGAAACTTCAGGTTTGACGTTTGTCGCTTCTAAAGTCGCACCACTAATCTTTTGGATAATCTTTAGATTCGCGGAATTCACGGCGAACACTCTGAATCCAAGGAAGGCATTTATGACATCTCGAACAAGCAGCGTCTCGGCCTCACCGAATATCAAGCGGTCCGGCAAATGTACGACGGCGTTAAGAAGCTTATCGAGCTCGAGAAGGCTGCAGCTTAAGCCAGTTAATCGCACCCCGAGTCCAAACCCGTGTTATAAAAAAATGCATTGAATAAACGTAGCCAGATTAAGAAGAATGAAAACAGTTGAGTTTATTCCAAGAAAATATATAACGTGTGATATTTAAATAACAACAAAAAGAAAACAACGGGAATTGAACACATAGTACTCGTAGTAATCAATTAGGACGACGAAAATAACCAAAAATAGAAAGTAATTTTAAACATTTTGATAACAAAATTGGTAAGATAATGAGAACTCGGTTATTAAAATAAAACATGGTGAGCGGCGACGAATCAATAGCTGAAAACGAATTTGGCGGGTAGATCAAAAGCAAAAGCGTGTTCAGGTCAAGTTACCGTTTCTCGGTGGACCAAATGCGTCCATCTCCACTGGATCCAAGGTGAGCGGCGGCGCGGAGGCGGTCACGCGGTCCCACCGAAATCGACGGCGATCCGGCGATGGGTGTCGAGCGGAAGATGGGCGAGTCGCGGAACATCGCTGAAACAGCACGGTGAATTGCAACATCGTTCGATGGCTATGCGAACGTACCCGACGAATTTGCGCTTGACGACAACGAGCTCGCCAGCGACGTCTGATGGATCGTCGAGTTGATGGCGGTGTCGTCAAAAGCTCCGCGATTCTCCCAAATCTTCATTTTCGCATAGATGCAAGCTGAAAATTGGCGATTGCCGAGTTTCCGACGGATCATCGCCCTACCGGCCAGTATAACCAATCCAATAACGCACGTCCAAAGCATCGTCGGAATCATGTTATTATATTTATGAGCAATGAGAAGCATGAAATCGATGAATCCTTGCCGATCAAGTGCTGAAATGAACGAGGATTTGCCGTTTTGAAACTCGCCACCATCCTACCGTTATAAACTTGTTTAGCCGTCTCATCGAGAATCTGAATTGTGATCGGAATCTGAATCGTCTGGCCTGTCTGCGTGTTCTCGACGACGACGCGACACTTCCGCGCGTGTTCCGAGAACAACGCCGCCGATTTGATATTCAATCGAACGTTATAGAACGCGTTGCTCTTCGCCGAGTGCTTGTCGGTTTTGCCATAGAGCTTCTGAACGGTGACGATGTCGCCCTCGCAACCGCGCACAATCACGTTCTTCAAATCATAGGCGGGTGCCCACACCGAGAGGGCGGTGTCGGTTTGCTCCATGTTCGAGAAGACCAGCTAAAATGTCATATCCATATATATTATATAATGAGAAGCTGCCACAATGGACCAACCTCCGATTCCTCGGCGAACATGGCGAAATGGAACGGCACAATCGTCTTGCCCGACTTGACATTCGTCGCATCCAGTATCCATTTCGCCTCAATCTCCAAATCATATTGAGTCGACGCCAATTCGTCGGGAATCGCAATTCCCGACGCCATCATCGATGAGTCGAGTTTGCGAATCTCGCACGCGTAACCAACGTCGTTTTGGAATACCGGCGATGCGCGCAGCCAATTCACCGCCGGAAGCGTTTTCGATTTGCGCACAAACGAGACGCGACACTCGAACGGCGGCCGAATCGAGTCGAACAGCGAAATCTGCTCCGGTGAGCAATCTGCATCAAATCGAATATTCTTCACAACAACAAAAAAAAAAACAAAAGCAAAACCAACCTCCATAGATCGAATTCAATTTGCCGCTGCTGGTGTGATTCGTTGCCGCTGACACCGAGAACAAGTATGTCGAGCTCTCATCGTTGACAACCAACGACGGCTTCGACTTCTCCGTGAACCGAAGATGGTGCGGCTCGATGATGGTGACCTTCGAGTGAATCGTCTGCTCATCGGCGTGAAGTTTGATGAACGTGTCGCCAGCTTTCGCCAATTGGCCGACACCGAGGCTCTCATCGATCCATTCAATTCGTCCCTGACTGGAGCTCTTCGAAGACCATCGCGCTCCTGAAAAATGAGATTCTGAATCGATTCGAGAAGATTCTACTTAAGAAATGATTCATTTTTTGCATTTTTCTTCGCAAAACTAATCTCATTTACAATTTAATTTGAAAAATCCTCACCTCCTGATAGAATATTCGCTTGCAGGCACATCACATCCGACACGACGAGATCATGCGAATATTTATGCGCCGACGGCGGAAGAATCGATTCTGACGCCGAAAGTCGCACAAACGTCGATATATGCGAATTGGTCGTGTCGGCGATGCGAATGACCGTCTCTCCCGGCGATTTCATCGTAATCGTCAGCGTATAGTTATTGTTACTGGCGGCGATGTCAGTGAGATCGAATCGATGCGGTCGGTAGTTGATCGATGATGATGACGACGACGACAGCGCCCTTCCACGAACGTCTCGAGCGACGACGTTCAGCTGAATTTGCGCGCCAACCGGCAGATGGATGAGCGGTGAGCTGTCGACAGCATTCCGCAGCTCAACAGTCGGGTGAACATCCAACGAGTAAACCCGCGAGACCTGGAATAGTGGCAATTCATTGAAAATCCGACAACGAATACCGTAATCGGAATCAGGGCCGTCTCATTGTCAGAAGAGTCAATTCTGCGCACCGAGATCGCCGCAGCTCCTTCTCTTCCGTTCGTGGTCAACGTTCCGTCAGGTGACACCGAGACTCGAGTCGAATACTCGCTAGGAACTGAGAACATCGCCTGCGACCTAAAGAATTGCGAATAGGCCGGATTATAGGAACGTCGACGTCCTCACCAAGCAGTGACAAGCTTCGTCTGGGAGTTGGTAGCCACTCGAACAGCAGGAACCGCCATCTTCGGCTCAATCAACGACAATGCATCCTCAACGGTGACGGTCGTCTCCGCGTAGAACGTCGTCTCCGATCCGACAAAATGCTTCTTGGCATTCTTATGAACTTCAACCTTGGCTTTGATGGTGACCGATCCACTTCGAAGCGCGTCAAACCAAATTGCAAATTGATTCTCACTCGATTCCGACACGCCGCTTCCCAAAGGATGCACAGATTGAAGAACAAGCGGGTCCGATACCGACCAGGTCACTTTGAATGGATAGATCGCGCCACCGAACGCGAACGGCTCCTCATCGCTGGATCCATGAACGATTCCGCGCAATCGCAAGTTCACTCTACCACCAGTTTCAATGCGACGCGCTGACGCAGCCAACGTGATTCCCGAAAGCGACACGACGCGCAGAACAACGCTATCCTTGGTGACATGTCCATCGCCAACGCGAACCGTTCCGGTGATCGACGTATATCCGAGATGCGACGACGTGATCAACGCATTCGACGCGACCGTCGCAATTTTCGAGTCGTTCAACGCGAAATCCAGCGGCGGCGTCGGTTGGGGTCCTCCAACGACTTCGAGCTGGAATTTCGCCTCAGGAATCAATGTCAAAAATTTCGGCTGAAGCATAATCGGCGAGAAGATCTGAACCGTCTTGGGTCGCGACGTCAAAACTCGTCCCGACGTCGATTTGGCGAGCGCGCTCAACGAAACCGTTCCAATCGATTCGGCGCGTAGAATGTAGCGAAGACCGTCGATTCTGAAAATTTGGAGAAATATTGGAGCAATCTTCGCGAATCTCGTCTCACTTTTTCAGTGAAGCATGCTGATTGTTAACGTCGAGTTGAGCATCAGCCAGCGCTCGTCTCTCCTTGTCAAAAGTCGCGCCGGTCTCATCAAGCGCCACAATCTCGACCTCAATCTCTTTGCCAATCTCCACATACTGCGCGACCTCAATATCGAGCGAATTGATATCGGCAACTCGGACGTGCGCTTCGGCCGTCTGACTCGGCAGACAAGCGTCCACGATCTTCAGCGTCATTTGTCCATGATTGCGCGGCGTCACCGTCAACGCTCTTCCTCGCATCGCGATCGAAATCGGCGAACTCGTCGCCGGAATGTCGTTGACGACAAAATGACCGGAGCCTCCATTAATCGCGAAATTTCCCTTCGAGACCGCCTCGTTCCAAAGAACGAGTGTCGGCGGCGAGACCTTCAATCCTTCGGTGATCGTCACATCATATTTGGCTTCAAGCGACTTCAGGTTTCCACGGAATCCGCGAATCGACGCCACCTCGGCAGTTATGCTTTCAACGCTTTCTTTCGACTTTGAATGAAGCTCAGCGAACACTGTAAAACAAAACAAAGGCTTCTTGAAAAAGGAAAAGCTTACAATTCGAGTTGTCGACTCCAGTTTTCTCAATCTTCAAATTATACGAATTCGTCGACTTCCAACGAGCTTCAACTCCGTTAATCGATTGCAACGGCGTCGCACTTCCATCACAAACTCCATGACCACGCAGTTGGACCTTGGCTCGCGATTCAACTAGCATAACGTGCTGAAATTGAGAAATCCATATGTTGTATAAACTTCAGAATCCCTACCACATTGGCCGGACACTTGACGGGTTTCACGTCGTCTTCAAATATCTCGAGACGAATCGGCAGCGCACAACAAACCGATGTGCAGATCTTGGCGTGAAGCGGGAATGGAAGCGACGGGCTCTTCTGATTCCCGACGGTGATGCAAACCGATTCCAAGGCCTCCTCGCCGCCACAAGTCAGAACAACTCGCTCATGATCGAATTCGCTTCGCACAATCTTCGATTCCGAGCCTGAGAATCACAAATCAACTAAAATGCGCTCACAAGATCCCCCTACTCTTTCTATAGAACGACGACGGATCCAAAATCCATGGTCGCGGTCCTCCACTCAATTCGAGCCGGTAGTTCGATCCAAGTCCAAGCACCACATTTTTATGCGATATCTGAATTTTTAAAAGGAATTTTGAGGCAAATTTCAGATTTGCATCCTACATCAAAGTTGTCATAAACGGAAACATCAATGCTAGCCTGATGACCTCCATAGTAAATCGTGACTTTGGTGTCTCCAGAGGCCAGTCCGATCAATTTCACAGTCGAACAGCCAGTTCCAATTGTCGGTAGCACATTTTCGGCGTCTGAATGAAACACACACAAAAAAAACACTCAAAAAAAAAACTCAATTGCTCTCACTTTGCTGATGCCGCATGAGGCTCGAATCCGCCACCGTCACCCGAACATCAATATTTCGGCAATCGCTCATCGAAATCTGCGACACACCATCATCCGGATTGATTCCGAACACTTTGATGTTGAGCAGAAGATCCGAGCCGACGAATGTTTCGCGCGCAGTTTCTCCGAATGTCAATCCGGCGACGTCTGTGACGAACACTTTGGCTTCAGCGAACAACGACGGATTGATTTTGTCGGTGACTTTGACGACGGTGTCTCCTAAACCATTCGCAATCAATTTTCCCGAATTTGTTTCAATCGACGCGATATGTCGGTCCGCAACGCTCCATTCGTATATTCCACTTCCTCCGAACGCCTAGAATTCAAAATTTTTCTGTCAGAGCAGATTTTCAGAATAATTTTTCTATACATGGAATAAGAAAAAATTCATTACCGATAGATTGATCGTCGACTTTTTCTCATTAAGATGCGGAAGGTAGATAACGGGCGGCTCAATTCGAACCGGCTCCACAATTGTCGCCTTCTGCTCTCCAGCGACTCGTCCGCTTTGCGCCACCTCATTTCCCTTCTAAAACCAAAAATTTCAAGCAAATTTATTGAAAATTCGACCTACCGCATCACGAATAGCAACAAATTTCGTGTTAAGAACCGTTTTCGTCGGCTTCAATGGCGTCACCAGCATCCAAGTCCCATTTTTCGACATGAAATCAACACGCATTACACTCTCATCAATTTTCGTATCGAATTTGGCGTTCTGGAAAAATGTCGAAAAATTTTTTTTGTGGCTTCAAATCCGCGAATATCCTACGTCGGGAATGAACATCACATTTCCATGCTCATCGAGAATCTCGACGTTGATCGCGTATTGTTTTCCGGTTTGAAGCATCCAATTTCCGCCGGAAACCTGCCATTGCACCGATTCGGGATCGACGACGTGAATTTGGGTGGATGGTGGGCGGAGGCCGGCTTTTGCGCGAACATCGACATCTGAAAACTCACACTGTAAGCCCAAAAGTTCTTGTCGTGAAAACTGTGGCGAGATCCAAAGCGGGAAATTCAAACTCTAAAATCCTTACGACTGCTGAGAAGATGAACAGCGGTGCTTCCTCTGGCCAACGCTCTAACGCTAGACGTCCTCGTGTCAAGCAATCCAACGTCGTCGCTGTCGATTTGAAGGTGATAGGACGATGAGGGCATTGGGACCACTAAAATCAAACATTCCCCTTCTATCCTCCAAAAGTTTCCTACCTTCAGTTCCCCATTGCTTCACAATAAGCACTTGGAACGGGACGACAGAGTTCACCGGCATGTACAAATCCTGAGCAGGGACCAGAAGCAAATTCGCCACCACCGCGAGCTCGACACTATGAGCTTCAACGTTCTTCAAGTACGGATCGCTGAATTTCGACGTGAGTTTGGCTGTTCCGGTTCCAACGCCTTCAATCAGAATCACGTAGCCCTTCTTTCGGTTTTTCTCCAATTTGACGATTTCGGTCGGCGCTTCGTAGGTGGATTGCTCGAAAGGAACGATTCGAAGAGGCTTCTCGCCATTCGACGACGTCGACGCAAGCTCCCATTCCAATGCGATTTCGCTTAACGTTGAAAATCGGTCGCCATCTTTGTTGAACGCATCCACAGTCATTCTTGCTGGTGCGGCATCGACGAAAAGCACTTTGGTGGTCGTTTCAATGCTAATCGTGGCGATTTCGTCAACAGTAACACCGCAACTCAGCGTTGAGCCGCTTCCTACAAAAATTGCATCAATTTTTTATCGCGGAATTTCAAAACCTTGATCTTCTGCAAAAATAACCGCCGACAATTCAGAGGTGCCAATTCCGCCAGGTTTCGCAACCGATCGAATTTCAGCTTTATCGGAACACCCATTTGCATTTGTTTTAATACTTTTCACGGAAACAACGTCAGGTCTAGTGGATCTCCTAAAAAAACAGCATCAATTTTTAATTCAAACGATTCAACAAGTAAACCATACCATGAAAAACAACCTCCGCTTGGATGGGTTACCTCCAAAATGAAAGACACTGGAACACTTGGATGATAGGGCAGGAGAACACGCGGTACATTCAAACGATATGCATTAATTGAGCATAGACAATATAATATAAGCAGGAATGGAAATGATTTCGTCATTTCCAACCCGTTTCCCAACTGAAAAAAATCAAATATTATTAAATCACTTCAAAACCTAATAAAAATTGCGAAATCGGTTAGTTTTTAGTGAAAAGCGTAAATTTTTCATCTAAATTGTTCAAATTTATTTGAATAATTAAAAAAAATTGAAAACACAAAAAAATACGCCGATTTCTTTTTTAAAAATTTCGAATTCAAATCTCCGAGTGGTGTAAACACCGCGACGCAATGCAGACAAATTTCGCATACCGTAGTCCAAAGAAAAAAATCAACTTTGCGAAAATAAATAATTCCATTTCAACCATTTTTCAAGGAAAAAACGAAACAATATAATTCAATTTTAAGCTTTTCAACTTCTCAACAACAAAAGATGTAATATAACAGAAGGAAGCTTGATTTATTCAGTTCGCGCAATTCGGTGCTGGGAATAAAAAGAAAATGAGTCATTCATTGGGGGGTAAAGTCGGTGTTCAATTAATCAAGATGGTGCCATTGGGCGACTTGTCGGCCGGGATTCTCGAGCACCTCGACGACGTGCGAGTCTTCCATGTTGAGAAGCGCGCGACCGATGACGTCATTCCGATTGATCTTGTCATGATTGATCACCTGTAGATCAATGACGGCGCGATCAAGCCGATCTTCAGGCAGCTCGAACACAAACGACTCGTTGTAGACGGGATTGAGTGTCGACCGTCTCACATGCGTCTTCTTCTTCAGAATTCGCTCGCCGTTGTCTTTGCGCAAGTACAATTTCACATACGGGTCTGCAAACATATTGAATCATATTTTTTAGTTTTTTTTTCGCAATCATGAGCTCCTACCGGCAGTTCCGGCGTCGTTCTTGCTAAGACCACGAGCTTTCAAGACCACAACGGTGAGGTTGTTGAACGCCGCTTGGTAGGTGAGTGAGAGCAAAAGCTCACCGCGAGCGGCAACCGAGTCGGTTGCGCGCGGCAAAAGCGGCATCTCGACTCTGCGACAATTCGAAATCTCGAATTTGAAAAAAAAAACCGCCTACCTCATTTCCGGATTGAGCATGAGCTCGGCGTTGCCAAGACGATAGACGCATTCGCCGACGACGGTGTCGCGACTGTAGCGATCAAAAGCGACAACCTAAAATGGGAAAATAATATTCATTTTTCAAATAATTGCTACCTGGAAGTGCAATGTTGACATGTTGATGTGTTCGCTGCTCACTCCGTACATGGTGAATTGCTCGTCATACTGTGGACTGGTGGTGGCGCGCACGATTCGGGTCTTGACGCGATGCTCACGCTCTAAATACGGGCTTGGCCTTGATGATTATCATGCGATTTACCAGGAAGAAGCTGCAGTTTGACGTACGGATCCAAAAGGCATTGTCCGTCTCGGGAAACGACGAGCTCGCAAAGATGGCGGCAGTTGATGACACCGACCTAAAAGAGGAAAACGTTATAATTGACAACAAAATACGGAATTTGTCATCCGATACTCCACTATTTGTCCTTCTTCTTCTTCGCTAAAAGTGACGTCTTCCCCCCACTTAAATTCAACTAACCTGAAGAGCAAGGCTCACTGGATCGTAGCTCAGCGTAAAAGTGATTGTTCCGCGCTCAGACGGCAATTCCGATGGCGACAGCTGAAAAAAATAATTAATTGAATTTTGAATTATTATTTGGCGACTACCTTTCTGGTGCGATCCTCGAGAAGTGTTTGGAACGGCACCACCGGCGATGGTGTCGAATCATTGGAAAGTGGCGATTGAAGTGGCGATGGGGATTGTTTGAGACCGCCGGGACCTTTGGCGAAGCCACCGCGAACGGCGATTACCTGGAAAGAAAAACGTTTCGATCGCAATATGCATTTTTATGAGAAAAAAAATGTCTAGAGGAAAATTTATTAGGAAAAAGTTCAAAAATTATCAGTTGAAACGAGTAGAATGACCATCAACTTCTTCATTAATTGAAATTTTAAATAATTTATAAATATTTCGTTTTTAATTTGTTTTTGAATTAGTTAAAAGTCTAACAACTCTAAAACTTTTTATTATGCGGATATTTATAAAAAGTCGAGGATGGCGTTGATTCGCTTATTAATCAAGCCTTATTTTTTAAAGACTGTAAGCAATTTAAACAATTTGATAATTCCTTTGTCAAAATGGTCCGTCTTTGACAGTCTAATAGAAATTGGAATATATTATTCGAAAAAAATAAAAATAAAAATTCAACAATGACGCAAATTGTACATATTCTGAAAATCATAGTTCTCCGGAATAGAATATTCAGAACTACATAAGAGAAAGCGATTATGGGAAAAATGCGTCATCCTTTTTTTTTTGAAACAAGTTTAACAAAATAATATATAAATATTTAATTTTTTGTTAAAATGCGGCACATATAAAATTTATGACATGCATGACAAAGTGCGTTTTGGCTCCAAATTCAATTTTTTCTAATGCAATTCGCGAAAGCTTTTTCTATGCCTCATAGATGTTCTCATTGTGCCCTTAATGTTAGAATGCAATATGAATGGCGCGTGAAGGGATGTGTAGAAAAAACGCAACAATGGGCTCATAATTAGGAAGCGCCTACCTGCTTCGGTGGAAGAAGAAGTGACGGGTATTGACGTCGTTTACGGACGGCCAATAATGCGGCGATGGCGATGAGCGCGGCGAGACCCGCCGCCCCGCCGACGCCCAAATAGAACCATTCTGAAATAAACAACGATTTGATGCGCAATTGTCTCCGTTTCGTTGCATTGGTCCCCAGGGCAAAGCCGTCGATTTCGGTTTATCTCGTTTTAGTTTTTCCAATTTTGCGGATTTCTAGTATTGAAAGCAATCGTGCAGGTGCGAGCTTAGCATTTTCTCGAAGGGCTAAACATGTTTTAAAAAAATTCCACGTCATTGATTGAAAAATATAATTAGGCCAGAGTGGTTTTTTGCTAATTCTCGGGGATTTTCGGCGCTGAAATACCCTCTGAAAACTATTAATCTTCTCAAAAAAATGATTATATTTGTCTAAAAATAGAAAATGACGTAAGGTAATTGACATAAAACGCCTATTTTGGGAGATCTTTGGAAAAAAATGTATAATGCAAATACAGTATGACGTTTTAAAGGCGCGTGTTGTTTTGGTGCATAGGCGCCTACCACGATTACAGTAACCAATATAAATTAATTTCGAAGAAATTTTAATTTTCTTCCTAATTTTTTGTCGTTTTTCACAATTTTCGCTTAAAAAAAACGAAACAATTTTGACGATTTAAAGCCAATTTCTCGAAATTAACTATTTTTCAGGCAAGAAAATGTGGAATTTTGATGACATACCGTGTCCAGGTGGCTTATCAAATCCCTGCTGGTAGTTGGGCATTTGAATTCGGATGGTGAACTGAAGAATCGAAAGTCGAAGTTAGCGCGCACGCGGCCTTCTCCAACTACTTCTTGTTCGCGTTTTCTCAAAAAATGGCGAATTGCTCGCCGACGAAAAGGGTGAGGCGGGGGGTGGGGCTTCAGACGAGAAGAGGAGAAGACGTGGAGAGGCCCGCAGGCATTAGAGGGCGGGATCGATGGCCGCTGCGCGAGCACGCGGCGCTCCGTCGTCGTCTTCTGACATCGTCAACGACGACGTCACCCGAGTGGTGTTGCGGCGCAAAGCAAGAAAACGAAGGGAAAAAAAAAGCTCAGCGCGGGTTTTTTTTTCTCGCAATGGCAATTGGACCGAATGAGAGAGTGGGCGCCGCCGCCGACGAATTATTAACACGATAACGAGAATTCGTCAAGGTTCGACACGAACATAGTTGAGAAGTTCATAGGCATTTACAATTTTTGAAGAATCTAAACTCGTTGAGTTTTTCTACAACGTTTTGCGCATCGGAGATTTTTTGAGCCAATTTCCGGCGAGCCGCTCATTTTGAAACTCGATACTACAGTATTCTTCCATTAATATCCGATACACTATATTATAATTCACCAAACGATGACGAATTTTCAACAAAAAATTATTATTTTTTCTGTTTCATCGACGTATAATTAGGGGTGTTGACCAATTATTTGTTGTTGGATTCATGCGAAAATTGAATGCATGAGCTCATTCCGTTAATTGTTATGCGAAGCTTAAATATGAAACTGAATTGGAAATGAATTAATTCTTTGCTGCGTTACGGTAGGCAGCATTGTACATGGAAAGAGTCGGTTCGGTGTTTGCGGAGTTCAGATTTTTTCTTACATTAAAATTGCATAATTATTGTTTGAAGAGCGACATCGGCGTATACGATTGGGATTTCTTCGCACACAACAAGGAATCGTTTACAAGAGTAACATCCGAATTCGGGTTGTTTGAATCTGTGCGCCGGTGGCGGCCGTGGCCTGGTTTCTCGCGGCTCGCGGCCAGCTCGAGTAATTATTGCCGAACCGCGTTTCTGGTCCGATTTTCTCGCAACACTCTCAATTATTTTTATTTCAGATGAACACGCCAATGCACTTTCCAATAGATGAAAAATCAATAGTGAGTTAAAAAAAATAACAACAACAACAAATTTCGCAATAAATGATTTTCAGTACCAAATGAGTCTTAATCCGGGCCCGTCGAATCCAACAACGAGCTATGTCAACGAATCAACGACCGCCTTAACGGTAAAATGAAGCATCGAGCCTGTCTCGACAAGTTTCAGACACAATTTCAGAATCAATTACTTGGAATTTTGAATCCGCCAACGTCGTGCGAGGAAAAATCGCCGGGTTTCGTGGAATTAATGGAGCCGCATTATCGGAAGCAGGACGAAATCGCCGAGAAACTCGACAACCTCACCGCAATGGTGCAGAGCTTCATCGAATCGCAGCAATCGATCAATGAGTACATTCTGGAAAGGCTTTACGTGAGATTGACAAAATGATGAAATCAATGTTAGTCATGTTTAATTTGGATTTCTTTAGAAGTTCGCCAATTTATCGCCGGCGGCTTTTGAGCGGAATCCATCGAATTGGAATCAGATGAAGGGCGATTCGAACGAAGTGATTGTTCAAGAACCACAGAAGAAGCATCAAGAGGCCGCGTCGACGTCGAGCGTTCCGAAAATCTCGAGTTTTCCGCACACCACTGCCACAACGCTGCCGTCGGCAATCTCAAACATATCGATGGCCATCGATCAGCAATTAAACGCCAAAATGAGTGTGAGGGATTTCCTGAAGAACACCATGACCGTCGTGAAGACTGACGCCGAGGTTTGTATTCGATGTGTGCATTTTTGCGTCGTGGTGTACCGCGAGAAATTGTGGAAGTTGCGAATTTTTCAAAAATATGCGCAAAATATTCAGAGATACGGCAATTAAAGGCGCATGAGGTGCGAGATTCACGTACATAAAGCCTCGTGCGCCTTTAATTACCGTATCTAGAAATTTAATTGAACATTTGAGATTAATTAAAGGGGCCTCGCGTCGATAGACTATTTTTGAATTCAGAATCTTCGCGACAGCGACGATGACGATGGTGGCGGTCAAACAATTGAAGGGAATGGAGAAGGCACGAAGAAGCGATTCAACAAATTCCGAGTTCGGAATCGGCCTAAGGTATATTGCAATCCATAAGCCGATAATCCTCTCATTTCTTAGAAGGTCAAAAGCATTGGTGTTGCCTATACGCCGTTATGCTCGCAGAATTTCGGGCTCAACTCATCGGAGAGCTCGAGCACACCGCCACAAACCGGCGCTCTGCTGAAACCGCAAGAGAGCTGCATGGAGAATCCGGGCATCGAGCTGCCATTGATGCCGCCGAGCATCGGAATGCCGTCGACATCATTCATGGTGAGTCGCTAATGAAACCGCTGAACTTCGATTTGTTATTCTCAAAGAATCATAATGCGATATTAAATAATCCGCACACGTTGTCGCCCACGCACCTGCAGCCGAATAATCTTGTCGGCGGTTTGCAGTCGGAGCACAAATTTAGTGGTTTGACCGACTCAGAGAAGGATTGGATCGCTGCGCAGATCTCACAAACCACCAATGTATGGTAGTTTTGTAATTTTGTAGGAAATTTTGGTTTCTTTTTCAAAGGCCACGTCATAATGAAATATTTCATTTATTTTTTTTATCTTTAGTGATTTTCCAATATTTAAGGGTAATGAGAACGAGATTCGAAGTTTTGTGGACCACACCCAAACCTCCAACTTCCGGCCTTATATGGGAACAGTAAGTGATACCACCAAAATTTTGATGAAATTCGCCTAGGAACTCAATATTCAGAGCGATTCTCGGTCGGCGTTCGTGCCCGCAAATCAATCCTACTTCTCTCAAAAAGATCGCCAATAATCATTCCAATTTTTGAAAAATTCCAATTTCTAATGTTGTCATGTATCGCTAATTTAACTGGTAACCAAAATTCATTGATCTGCTTATTCATACTCTGCTTAATTCGTGTTTCAAATGAATTTTTATTATGGTTCACATGTGAGAATTGTCACGTAGATGAGCTTATAAGCGCCGTTCACCTGTAATTTCAAGTTGAATTTAAGATATGTTGGGAATTTGAATTGTTACCGGAACAAAATCGAAGATCATGTCGTCATCGAACACGAATCCTTTGACATGAACGATAAGCGAGAGCTCGTTTCCGCGGAAATCGCCTTCTTTAATGCGGATGTCTATTAGGTTGCCCGCTTCGCGATTGTCAAGGATCATCTGCGCGAGGAATGACATCGAATAGCCTGCGAAATGAGGAATGATGTTCTCGCGGCGAGACCTGATTGAAAAGCTCACGAAAATCGATGAGCACACTGCACGCCTGAATTCGGAAGTCCTCATGGAATTTGTCGACGACTGGTGAGAAGTCGAGCGTCTTTTCGGCTCCGTTGATGCTCTGCTCAAGTTGCACTATGAGAACTTCGCCGGATCTTTTCGCACCATCAGGGTCACGACCAACAACTGTCTGGAACATGAAATTAAAAAAATTTTAGTTAAAAAAACACCCACCAATGGAAGAAGTAGAAGAAACGCGAGCATTGTGGCCAAATGAACATTTTGACAAATATTCCTTCCTTTTATAGCACGAAGGACCATTATTCAATAAATTGGCCACATTAAGCGTTTTTAATGTGACATTTTTGACAAAATTTATTGCATTATTTGTTTTTCAACTATCTAACAGAAATTTTGATATTACATGTGTCGGAGACTATCGAAATATGCTAATTTGAAGGTGCTGATAAATTTGTAAAAATTCAATAACGAAAACACGACGTTTTTCGTTGAAATATGGAAAAATTTGAAAAAAAAAAAAAAAGAATCCCCGCTAATTACTACCAAGACCACTGTTACAAAATAATACCATGCGCCTTTAAGTTACGGTAATCAATTAAATTTTCGTCAATTTTATTAGCGATCAAATTTCGCTCAAATCCATCAAGACATCAAATTGAACTCAAAACTGTTCGCAACTAAACAAATAAAACAATCATGGAATGTGTCTAGCAGTAATTTGAGCGCAATTTTATAGTTATTACGCTTTCTTCATTTCGCCGTATGCTTTACAACATATACTCATTCATACGTTCGCCATGGAGGAGAGGCGAGCATGTGTTTCGCTGATACAAACTTCAGCTTCTTCTTCTTCTTCTTCTAGAAAAACATTAGTGTTTGCGTGTGTTTAAAACTAACTAGAATACTATTGAAAATGTTGATGCTGGACCAACTTTTTTTTGCCCAAATGCGATTTTTGCACTATTTTGCGCGTTTTAAACCTAATGTTCATTAGAAATGTGTCATTTAAGACCAGGGCCACCATTTTCCCAGACCCCCGAGCCATTTTTCTTTAATTTTGATGTTTTTAATGTATTTTTTTGATAATAAAAGTTCACCTTATATAAGATGTCGATTTTTATGTATTGTTGAATAATGGAAAACGCATCCAGATGTCGTGGGATCGTAAACAAGACCAAATTATTTTTGATGACTCCAAAATCGTTCAAAGGTCCTTATTCTACTAAATAAATAATTAAAATCAGTTGCTAAAAATGTTTAATTTGAAAATTCTACTGAAAAAAAAAGAAAACACATCAAAAAAAATTTAAAAAAAAAGAAAAATCTCCGTAAATCGCATCGAGGATTACGGTAACTGTCTCTTCTCATTGCGTACAAAACGCAGAATCCCACGACATATGAATAAATTTTCAATTTTTCAACAAAATAAGGACGGTGTGTTCAGTTTGTTTGAAGATTTGGTAAGTCTGAATTTTAAGCAGGAAAAGCTACTATAAATGTTACATTTTAGATACCACTAATGAAGATGGGCGGTATTGTTGAAGAAGACAACTGGCAAATTCAGAATTATGTGAGTATAGATATATTTTGGGTAATTATTATTATTCAAAAATTAGAGTATTGACTACAGGGTGTCATTTAAGTTCCCGCACAAAAGTTTGACGCCATGAAGAGCTTGTATGTCGCACTTTTCGTGCACCAATACAATTTATTTTTGTTAAATAAGGTATATTTTACTTACTTTCCAAGTTTCACTTCATTCGGATGTGTTTCCGAGAAATGGCGAAGGCTAACATCCATTGCGCTTCCATTATCGAACTTCATAAGCAAAATGTGAGCCCGAGAGACATCATTGAACGCCTCGGTGTGCCTCGTAGAACGGTTTGCGACACCATCAAACGTTTCAAGGAGCTAAATACGACCAGTGACCGTCCCAGACAAGGAAGACTCGTCTCAGTAACCACTCCTCATAAGATAAACGCCGTCAAATCGAGGATCAGGCGAAACCCCCATAGGAGCATGAGAAAGATGGCGTCAGACATGGGAATGAGCATCTTCGGTTTGGAACAAATCGTCAAAACGAAGCTTGGACTGACCCCATATCGTGTCCAAAAAGCGGCAATTCTATCGGCCGTCAACAAGCAGAGACGCCTCCAAAAAACAAAACGACTTCTTGCTCGCACGCAGTCTGGAGAAAATCTCGTCACTGTCTTCTCCGACGAGAAGCTGTTCACTGTGGAGGCGGCATTCAACTCACAAAACCATCGAGTACTTGCCCAGACATCCCAGCAAGCTTCTGAGAAAAGCAGTATCAATTCATCGAGCTTCACATCCTGACAGTGTGATGGTTTTCGGTGCCATCTGCTCAACCGGGAAGTGCCCCCTGGTTTTCGTGAATCAGGGGGTGAAAATGAACAAAGAAGTCTACGTTCGGGACATTTTGGGGAAGCATGTGATGTCCTGGGCCAAAACGCATTTCGGTGGGCAGAAATGGGTCTTTCAGCGGGACAGAGCACTCGCCCACACTGCCAAAACTACTCAGGAGTGGTGCCAGACCCATTTTCCCGACTTCATCAAGTCATCCGAATGGCCTGATTGCTCCCCAGACCTGAACCCGCTTGACTTTTCCGTGATGTGGTCTTGCAGGAGAAGGTCAACGCAAAACCCCACTCAAGTATAGAGGCTCTGAAGAAGACATTACTGGCGGAATGGGACAATCTTTCCATCGAATATCTGCGTACCACGGTCGCATCCTACCCGAAGCGTCTCTGTGAAGTCATAGCTCCGAAAGGAGGCCGAATCGAAAAGAGTTAATAGATAAATATTTGTTATACTATAGATAAAAAATATTTCGAGTCTTGTTTGATTTGGACTTTTAGTTTCAGAAATATACGTCTTCAAAGTTGTGCGGGAACTTAAATGACACCCTGTATGTCTAAATTTTTTTTAGACCCATTTCTTCAAAGAATACAATTCTGCCGAATTTCTCTGAGAAATACAATGAAAGTTGCCTTCGAATTTAATTAAATCGACTGAGAAGCTTTGATTGGCTGTGATTTGCACTGTTCTACCTGAATATGGATTTCTCATTTATATTTGGTGGCCGTTGGTGTGTCGACTAGATAAGGCTCGCTGAAAAGTATATTTTTTATAATCGAATATAGTCGGGGCGTCCGGCGACTGCTGTACGCGGGTAGATTTACGGGAATGCGTCTTTCGAAATGGTCTCGCGAGGACTAACAGGATATTTCAAATTTTTATGGATCGATTCGATCATTTTTTAATCGAATGACGTTGGAAATTCAAGGAAATACGAAACTAATCTAAAAAAAAAAGAATCATTCACGTGAAAACAGCAAAATAAGCATTCACGCGTGGCGAGACCTTTTCAAGGCGCATGCGCGTAAATCTACCCGCGTACAGCACTCGCCGGACGCCCAACTATACCATTTTGTAAAACTTAAAGATTTTTAGATAGAAGTATTTAAAATAATGAAAAATCATTTTTATTCAAATTAAAACAAATAAAAGTCTGTCATCTCAAATTGGTTAACATTTTTTCGATCGACACTAATTTGGAATTATAATTTAACACCTTTCTTTTTTCTATTTATGACTTCTATACTCAATATTTCATTTTTTTTTTAAATTTAAACTTGACCAACGTTTGCACAATTCCTAGACTTGAACAAGTTTTTCGTCGAGTTGCCTCTGAAAATCGACTGTTTCGAAATTCAGACGAATATCAACAATCTTATAGCCGAAATTTCGAACTGAAAAAGAAAAAAAATCGATTTAATGATGAAAAAAGTCAAGCCAAAAATCGGAAACAAACAATTTAACCCTAAATAAAAATTTATTTAACATTTCCCCGATTCTCTTCCACGTTGCCACCGTGCAAAAATTGAAAACTGAGCTTCTCACTCCTCCATCTCTGATCAAATTACTGTCTATTGAATAAAGTCTGATCGATTTGTTTGTAATTGTTTGTATTATACATTTATATAACCAGTTTTTTCCTTAATTCCTTGTGGTGGTAAATTATGATAAGAATGATAAGTGGGCAGTCCGGGAAAATGGTCTTTTTTTCATTTTTTTTTTCAAAAATTGGTCTAAAAAACTAAAAATAGTGCAAAGATCGCATTTGGAGGGGCTAAAATCTAGTCCAGCGTCTATACTACTTACTAACTCGTAATTAAATCAATATTGTGCTTCTTCTCATTTCTATGGTCCTCAAAAATTGAACACTGGAGCGCATTTGCAAAAATTGCTCTTCGCAATCAAAATGAGTCGCAATCTGCGGACATTTTAGCGGGTCCGGCCCTACAAAAAAAACAATGTCAAAATTGCCGTTTTAAGCTCAAAACTCGATCCATTGTCTATTTGCATTTTGTTTGTTTGCACTCGGATGCCGAATGAACGCCCAACTGTCGTTGAACCTTGCAAAACTCTCGCGCCTCTTTTTTTTTCGCCCGCAATAATTTTTGTCTTGCAGCGAACGATATCGAATCGAAACGAGCCGTCGGCGGTTTTTCAAGGTGAGCTACGCATGATTGGGTCTCGAAGCGAACTCTCTGAAAGATGAAGCTAGTGAATGTCAATGATCGTTTAAGAATCGCCAATATTTTCAGAAATCTCCAGTTGATTAAAATCAATGGATGTAAAATTTTTAAAGGTGCATAGCGTGTCAATTTAAAGGGGGGGGCATGGTCAAATTTTCTAGGAAAAAAATTAAAGATAAAAAAATAAAGATACAAAATCAAAGAAACCAAGTTTTTTGTTTGAAAATCATTCAAGCTTCTCGCGTCGACTTAAAGGCGCATAGCCTAACAATTTAAAGGCGCATGGCCTAATTTGAAGTCATTAAATGAGCATACTGTTGATAAATGGGTATTTTTTGTTGAAAAAAAAATGAAGTTCAAAATTTTTGTCGCTTCCTGATTATTGAAACTTCTCCATGCTTCTCGCGTCAACTTAAAGGCGCATGGGATAATTTGAAGTCATTAAAAAAGCCAACTATCGATAGATGGGTATTTTCTCTTGAAAAGAATGAATTTCAAATTTTCAAATTCTTGATTATTCAAACTTCACCTACGAGCATCTATCAGAAAACCTCATCCCTATATTTGAAGCATGAGCTTAAGATGAAGCTGGAGCTTCAAAAACTAGAAAAAAAGAAGAGAGAGAGCGAGAGAGAGAGAGTCCACAGCGATGTCTGATCCGATCCTCAAGAGGTTCGTTCGTTCGCGAGAACAGACACTCATCGATCGAGTGTGATTTGTTTTCCTGTTAGGCTCTGTCGACCCCCCCCCCCCCAAATACTCGTGTCCTGCAAAAAAGATGAAGAAGCTGAAGTTTGGATGACGATGATGATCATCCAGCATCTGCCTCTTCCGCATTCTCTCTCTCTCTCTCTCTCGCTCACACCAGCCAATGAGCTTCTCAACACCTGTCTTTTTGCGGTGTTGCACAATCGTGGCGCGAGGCTGCGTCTCGCCGCGAATTACACTAGCGTCGCGTCGAGACCACGCAACTCATCTCTTTCTCCATCTCTCTCTCAAAATTGATTTTCAGGAAACATCGTCTTTTATTAGTAGCTCCCCTGTCTTTTTTGTGTTTTGATTTTCGTCTCATCGAATTGTTTAAAGTCGCCTTCAATGGTTACTGTATTTCCAACACGTGTGCAATTTCGCGTCATTTTTGATGTCGCACAGCGAAACGAGCGAATTCTCGCCGATTTTATGACGCCAATCATATTTTTTGTTGTTTTGGTTCTTTCAGATTTCAACACCATTCGGCTCAAACCCATTTGAAAGAGGCAGCGCAACCCATCTTCTTCTTCTTCTTCTTCATAGCCAAAACACCATCATTATCATTTCTTTTCTTGTGTTGTGAATAGATTAGCGAACAAATGTCGATTTATCAGAGAAGGTGGGTGAAAATTCGCTAGGCCGATCTCAAAACCCAAATTTGAATTCAAGATGGTCGTCGTGCGGCAATTCGGCGACGCCCTCGTCCGATTTTCGACGGACGACTACGGCGAGCTGCGTCGAGCCGAGCACCGTTGGCACCAGGTGAGCTATTCATGATCGAATCCATCTGCGGACATGCAACAACAAAAAATGTCGCCGTTATGCTGCGGACAATTTACGGGGATTCGAATTGCTAAGGGAAAAACAATCGGCGGCGGAATAATTAAGAATCTTCTCAAATTTAACTTTGAGAATCAATCGATCTGCGGACATGTTACGGGCCAGCCTTTTTTCTGCACACCGCGAAAAATCGATCGATCACAATCTGCGGACCATTTCAATTCAAAGAAAAAAACAATGTTTCAGCTGGAACTCGGTGCGCTGGAACAAACCGTCGACGTCCTATCGGTCGAGCATCGCCTCGCGTTTCGAGAACACCGCAACATCGACACCGACGCCGTCATACACGACAAGCGGCGGCGGCGTCGGCTCGCGGAGCCGGTAAGTTGAGGGTGCTCGCAATTTGGGACCACAAAAAAAAAACATTTGGTGATGGGGGGGGGGGTGGTTTGGTGGTGTAAAGTTTGCCGTCCTGCGACCACATGAAATTGGCCCGGCTGGTCGCCGTGCATTTTTTTGTGCTGTGAATCCAAATAGTGGGCGGAAACCAACGGACCACGAAAAATGCAGATTCGACAATTCGCGTTTTGAGAATTTGCCACAATGGCACCCCCCCCCCTTCGGCGAGGACATTCAATGGAACCATTAGCAATTTCCTGCAATTCAACCCCCGACATTATTGTGGTCCCTTTTTTCGTCGGACCCTCTTCTAAGAGATCCCGCGACATTATGGTCGCTGGAATATTCATAGCCTAATTCATTTTCTCCCTCTTAACCCTCGAAGGCATCTCCTAGGATCCTAGCGATGCTACTCTATCATAGGAACATTGTGGTCCCTAAGAATGTTGAGACCTCGCCTACTAGAATCGTTATGGTCCCAATAGCCTAGCAAACATAAAATTCACAAAATTTTTCGACAAATTTAAAATGAGAAAAAAAAAACCGAATTTGTTTTCAGCTACAATCTGAGTTCGGCGGCGAAGAATGCGGCCGATGTCGCCAGGTGTGTAATTTGCGCTCAAATTTTTATCGCCATCCATTCATACACATCTTCGTTCATTCAGCATCGGCCCGTCGGTGAGCGCACGAGCGTCGCGCTTCGACACCGCCAACATCGCCAACAAGGAGAAGTATCGGAGTGAGGCTCGCGAGCTCATCAACAAATGGTCGAGTCGCGAGAGGAATAGCACACAGAGTGAGCTCGCTTTTCAATTTTTTTTAAATTTCGCCCCAATATCGCATTTATTGAATTTTCTTTCAATTGGCGCTTACTGTAGTCGAATTGGTTGGCGCCTCTTTTTAGCAACATTTTTTGAAATTTTGAATTGGCGCCAAAATTGCCGATTCGGTGTTTGCAGACTTTCGAATCATAAGAATATTGCAGTCATTTCTTTTTTTTTAAACAATATTTTCGTAGGCGAAAAGCGTAATTAATTGCAACTGCATGTGTTTTTCAAAATTCGATTACTGTAGCATGCGATGTGTGCACAACACCGCGACGCAAAATCTCACCGCTTAACACGATTTCAACAAATCGTTCATTCTAGTCAACAACACATATCGTTCGCCGATCGCCGCCTCTCGGCCAGCCTATCGCTCGTCGGACTCCCTTCTGACAACCTCCGGCTCGTCGAGCCTCAGTGGTCCCAGCTCATACACAGGTTGTCTAGAATCGTACCAACAACAACAACACCGGCAATTTTTGCAGCGTATCGCACGTCGAAATCGCTGACGCCGACGAGAAGCTCGTACGTGTCGTCGGAGCGCAAAAGTGTGCTCTCGCCGTCGCCGACACCCTATAGTAGTATACAGTAAGCCGATGGTGTGGGGGGGACGAGCTTTAAATTCTTTAAATGGCCTCAACCAAAAATAAAGAGCCATGGGCGGCTCGTCGGCATTTTCGCAGTACAACATCAATTGCGTTCATGCATTTTCAGCGTCACACCGAAAGCCGATCGGCCGTGGCGTCAACGAATGGCCGAATCGTCGCGCATCCGCAACACACTCGGCGACGATGTGAGTGAAGCGTATATGGCGAGACGCGCGCGAAACGCGTCGTCGCGTCGCGGCTCGATGTCGTCGGCGTGCGGCGGCGGCGGCGACGGCTACGAGACGCCGTCGTCGTTGGCGCCATCGCGCGCTTCAAGCTTTAGTGCACTAGGGCCCACCAACTCCTCGGTTAGTAGTTGATAGCATCACCATTCGCTCAGCTAATTATCTAACAAACTAATTAGGCTTTTTAATTACTAAAGCAATTTCTCACATTCCTCGCCCATTCCGACTACCGTAATTCGCTAGCGCCTTTTACAGTACCGCTCGCGTCAGTCGTCGGTTGAGAGTTCGGTGTTCACGCCGAACAGCCGATTCACCACCTCAAACTACATTCCGTACTCATTGCGGAATCGGGATGAACCTAAACCAGACCGAAGCGCTTCGAGGTGAGCTCGGCGATTCGTCGGCAGCACGAACGACATAATTCAGATCGCCGTCGCGCGAGAGCCTCGCGCCGCCGCCGCCGCCGCCATCGTCATCGGTGAGGCGAAGCGCGTCGCGTGCGCCGATCAACTCGTCGATTCGCGAGGGGAGCAGCGAACGCGGCCGTAAGAAGAGCATCAAAGAGCGCACGGCGCGACGGGCGTCGCGTCAGAATTCGCTTCAGGAGAGCTCGTCGTCGGACGACGAGGAGATCGCGACGATCATGCGACGACGCAGTCGATCGGGTTCGGCGCATCGGCGACGGCTCAAGAAGAGGAGCTCGACGGACGGCGAGAAGCCGCCGCCGCCGCAACCGTCGTCATCCATGCAATCATCGCTGTATGAGACGGGTGCCGAAGAGCAGGTGGCGTTGATCGCCGAATCGATTCAATCGCTCGCCAACTCGACGCATAATGAGAGCGACGCGTTTCAGTCGTGCGCCGCTTCGCCGCTGCTGCCGAATATTTCAAGAAGCAGCTCGAAGAATGGCGTCGTCAAAAATCAAATTATTAGTGAGTTTTTTTTTTATTTAGGCCTGAAATTGTTATGCAAATTACATTATGCGCCTTTAATGTGTGTGAGTACTGTAGTCGCATTTTTTTCGCAACAAACTGACATTTTTGAGGCGGTTTTTTGCGGTTTTCAATCAAATCGAAAGAACAAACAATTAAAATACATAAAACGAGAACTACTGTGGACCATCGTATTTTTTTCGGGACGTTAGTTCCAATTCCGATTTAAATAGTGGGAATTTGGGTACCGTAATACGGTGCTTTTTTTAATCAATAAAAATACACATAAAGTTAAAAAAAAGTGATTTTCCCGTAAATATGTAAAATATTTATTTATACAGGGGGAATGCTTAAAGTTTCTCGAAATTTATCAGAACTAGTCATTCAAAAAACTTTAAGCAATTTCCATAAATATCTAATTCCCCTATAGTACGCGGGTAGATTTACGTGCATTCGCCTTCGGTATGGTCTCGCACCGATTTAACGGGTATTTTGCATTTCGGCTGGATAGTCTTTAAATTTGAATGACGTTAGAAAGCAAGTATCAAAATCATCAAGACAAAACAAAGAGTTCACGTGAAAATAGTTTAATAAGTCATCACACGTGACGAGACCCATTTCGAAAGGCGCATCCCGTAAATCTACCCACGTAGATAACTCGCCCGACTATATATAATGCTTGAAAATCCATAATGCTGGGGGAAGCAAGCTTGTCACCGCGCGTTATGGCCAGAAAGCCAAGGTGACGAGTAGCTTAGCTTGCTGTTGCATTTTACGTCAGCGTGCCGAGCCTTGCGGGTTCGCATCCTCACGTCGACAACCTCCCTTTTTGCGTCGAGAAAACGACACCACTGATCGTTTCAGAAAGCCCATCGCTCGTCGAGGTTCACGGCCTCCCAAGAACCGAATCAAAATCAAGCATTAAGGTATTGATCTGCTCTCAGTTCATTCGTTTGTTTCCCTTATTATTTCGTTTCGTTCTCCTCCCCCGCATTTAGTTTCAGTCTAACCGCGACGATCACCACGACGACATCGACAATTCGATACTAACCGCTGACGAGGTAGAATTAGTATTCTAATTATTTTCTATTTTTTTTTCTTCATTCGAATAATAGCACGATGCGCCTTTAAGCGGGCCGCTATCTTCGGCGGGGTTCTGATCTACCTCACAATTTTTCAGCCATCCGAATCGTCATCGCGTCTCGACGATGAGAGTCAATACAGCGCGATTGTTCACTTCAAGCCGAATAAGGTGAAGCGTGTGGCGCCGGTGCCCGGATTATGGAAATCGGGCGCCGAGAATGAGGAGTTTATTTCGAGGAATAAACGATTCCGAAGGTACGCGTTTAAAGGCGCATGCATTTTATTTGAACGACGACGATGATGCATTTTTTTAGAGAGGAAGCCACCGCTGAAGTCGAATCGAATTTGGAGGTCGCGATTGTCGAGAAGGTCGCGCTCACATGTAAAGCCGGAGCTCGAGCACCTAAGAAGGCGATTGTTGAAAAGAAGAAGGTGATATTGACGAGGCAGAAGAAGGTCGAGGAGAAGGCTGAAGCTTCAAAAAAGGACGAGCTGCTCAACAAGGTTGAAGTTCAGAAGAAGCCTGAGGCGGTGCCGAAGAAAGAGAAGCTCGAGGCTTCGAAGAAGAACGATCTCGTGGAATCAAAGAAGCCCGAAGTTGTGAAGAAGAAGGACGAGGTTAAGGTGGAACCTAAAAAGGCTGAGGTTCAGAAGAAGCCTGAAGTGGCGAAAAAAGTTGAAGCTCTGAAGAAAGAGGAGCCAAAGAAGCCGGAAGTTGTGAACAAGAAGAAAGACGAGGTTAAGGTGGAACCTAAGAAGGCTGAGGTTCAGAAGAAGCCGGAAGTTGTGAACAAGAAGAATGACGAGGTTAAGGTGGAGCCCAAAAAGGTTGAAATTAAAAAGAATCCTGATCCAAAGAAGGCGGAGGTCAAGAAGCCGATGACTTCGACCAAGAACGAATCAGCGGAAATCAAAGAGAAGTCGAAACATCAAGAAAGCAAGGCCGAAGCTGCGCAGAAGCCAATTGATGCCAAAAACGCGAAAAGCGATGCGACTAAACCGAAGCAGATCGAGAAGCTGATTAGCGAGGAGACAACACAGGTCATTATTACTCGTTCAATTTTCTTGCTAGCCATCTAAAATTAATTGCAATCGTTTCCTTGGGGTTTAATTGCCCTAATCGGGTGTTGCTCATAGCGATTGAGCTTCTAGTGTCCATATAAGGCATGTTCAAAATTTGACAACTTTCAGGTGAATAAGGTATTTTCGAAGCGATCATGGACATCGCAGAAGGCGGAAAGAACGATCAAATTGATGAATAAGTAACAATTGGCCTAATTATCTATTAATTAACCTATAATTACCATTAGAATTGCCCATATTTTCAAGTGCAAATCATCAAAAGTTGCCGATATTTCGATTAGTGAACATTATCGAAGGCGTCCGATTGGCGAACGCGCCACAGTATTGGTGGATACACCAACACCCGATGTCAACTACAGTGTAGTGCGAATGAAGATCCGAGCGACGTGCAAACCGAAGACGTATTTTTTTTTAAATCTTGTTCTCAATCAATTCTTGTGTGTGCTCGAATTTCAGAAAAATCGAGGAAATTCCAACGGCTTCCGAGGCGGACGTCTCGCGGTGCACTTCGCGCGCTTCAACGCGAGCTTCGGTGATTCTTGACGAGATGCGATACACCGAAGCCGCTGTCGACTGGGTCAAGGATCACGGCGATCACGAGGATCCCGATGTTCTCATTCTTCCCGATCAGTCGATTCTTGAGCAGTATGTTAATAGGTGAGAGCGGATTGATATCTGGCGGTCTTGCGCTGGCGCGCGAATCGTCGCTGGATCGATTCCATCCATCGTCATCCGCGAGTTTTTCAGGAAACTGGAACGCCTTCGCCGCCATCGTCCATCGTCGATGTGCTCATCGCGCGGCTACGAGTCGAGCAATTGCGCGTCGCCGTGCCCGTCAACCGTTTCCGAGTTGTGCCAACCATCGTCGATCATCGTCGACGCGCCGCGACGACAGCACAACAGCGCCGAGCCCGAGCAGCGGCACCTCGTGCAGCTCACCTCGGCGCCGCGCGGCTTCAACAAACAACACGTCGGCGAGCCGGTGGTGGTGAAGCCGGTGGCGTTCGAGGCGCCGAAAACGCTGTTCGAGCGAATGATTCAAGAGCAGGCGAATCGGAATCGGAATCCCGACCAGCTAGTGCTGCCCGATGAGCCGGTGAGTGGTGAAGAATCGAATCGCCGGCGTTGTAAAATCTCGAAATGATGTTGATGATGAAATATATATATCATTATCAGCGAGCGAGTAAGCTAGCGAGCGAGCGAGCCGAACATTCATGCTCCCGAGAATTGAGAATGAGAGAGCTGGAGCAGATGCTCGAACTCGTCCAAGTGCATTCATTGTGTGCGTGATAGATAGAGTGATATTGAGAGGCGAGCATTTTCGAAAAAGTGTAATGTATCAATCAGCGGCCGAGCTGCTCCAGCTCCTCGTCGAGCTCACACACATATATTCGTGCTTCATTGACGACGACAACGACGACAAGTACAACTATTATTCGATTTCGTATAATTGTTTTTTTCTCAATTCCAAAATTCCAATTATGGGCTGAATGGCGAGAGATTTCAATATTATTTTAAGGGTAAGCGGGCTTGATGTTTTCTTTTTTTTTTTTGAATTTTGCGCCAAATTCAATTTTCCCAAAATTTTGTTTGGGTCTCGTACGACTCACTGGATTCATCCAAAATTCGAGAATACCCATGGTTTCTTTTTGGCCCCCTTATATTGATTGGTACTCCTTTTTCGAATCTCTTTCCATCATTTAAAGGCGCATCGTTTCGTTGCGAGACCACCCAAGCTCCCCCCATTTCTTGATTTGAATATGTATTGTTCTGCTTTTCTTTTTCTTCTTCTTCTCAAGTGCTTCAAAAAAATTGATAAAAAGATGAGAGAGCGAGTGAGTGACAGAGACGCAGAGAAAAACATTTTTCCGGTCGGTGGACGGAAAAAAATACACACACACACACACGCGCTCATAAAACGGGGTGCAGGTGACAATTTGTCATTGTGTGTTGCGGACCCGTCATATTACTTCTAGGGACCATCAACAAGCCAATTGGGACCATCATGAAACCCCATTCAACACCTAAACGCTCGAGCCAATTCTCTTTAAACCCATTCGGGACCACTCACCACATTTAGCGGCCTGTCCCATTTGATTACTGTAGTCTCTCGTTGACAACCTGAAATCGAGACGATCATGAAGGCCGGTCAGATTAAAACAAAGAAGCTTAACAAGAAATTTTTCCGACGCTCATGCTTTCTCTCTCTCTCTCTGGGTGTGTTCAGTTTTCGTCGAGAGAGAGAGAGAGAGGAAGAGGGAGGAAGAGAGAGAGGAAGAAGAATTGTTGAGGAAATGAGCAAACAATTGAAATGATGGGAGAAGAAGCTGCGAGTACACACACACACACACACACACACTGTAGTTTCATTTTGTTGAAATTTCGCATAGCTCAGTTGTGAGCTCATTCGGACCCCCCCCCCAATTGGATCTTTTTAAATTTCGCGCCATTTTCCTTTTATTTGAGGTCTCAACTTGAATTTTTAATGTAAATTCCCCCATTTTTATAGAGCCTTTGTTCTGGGTGGTTTGAGCAAAAATTTTTGAATTTCGCGCCAAATTTTGTTCTCATTGTTTTTTTTTGCGATTTATCTGAACAATGTCGTCGCAACTCCTCTGTGTGTGCGGCAAAATTTCGAATTTCGCGCCAAACCTATTAAAATTCTGGTCTTCGCAGCGATTTAAAGGAGAGCACGCCAAATCGGCGATTTAAAGGCGCTCATTGAGAAAAAAACATGAAATAGAAAAGCGAGTATGGTGCGCATTGGCGTCGCCGTGAGCGCACACATTCGAAATTGTGCCTACAGTACCCCCCAATTGTCCGACAAGTTTGAAATTGTCAAAATTTTTGTAGACACGCGACGCGTCACCGCGACGCGGCTCCTCGCAAGAAGAGGGCATGTCGTCGCTGTCGCAACAGTTCGCCTCGTCGGCGGCGGCCAACAATCCGCACTCGGCGGTCCGCTACGCCGCCCACATTCCGGTGAATCGCGTCGATTCGGGACGAACGAGCGCGGCGAGTGTCGACAGTCAGCAGAGGTTCGTCTCATTCGGCTCGGCTCATGTAGGCCACTCATTTGTTTTTTTTTTATTCCAGCGGCATTCTCGACGTCGCTTCGAAGAGCATTGATCACGTCATCGATCAGGCGCGTCATCGACATCATCAGCATCGAAGCAAATTCAAAGAAGCCATCGATTATTTGGATCAGATTTTCGAGGACTTGAAAAAAGAGTGCGACGTGAGTGACACCATCGAAATCCGTCTGCGGACAATATCGCGGTTGGAAGCGAATTGTCCGCAGATGAATGTCGATTTTGAAGAATCACTCAATGGCATGCTTGCAGACGGATGAAAAGAATAACAACAGCAACGAGAACGCCGACAACGGCGTCGATCATCATCAGAAGCGGCGCACTTCGGCTCCATTAGTCGCGGCGGCGGCGGCGAAAGTGATCGATGTGAAGAAGTGAGTGACCGACACCAGAGAGATAGATATATATATCCGGTGTCCGTGCGGACTACACCGATTGGCCAGCGATAGCGAGCCATGCGGCGAGACGTAGAGCAATATTACACAACGATCGCCCGGGTGTGGCTCCCGTCGTGTCGTGTGTCACAATTATTATTGATATCGATTTCGTTGCAGGACCACCACCACCGCGGCGGCGCCGCCCAAAACCACTCCGCAAACCCGTAAGGTTGTCGGCGCCGCGAAAAAATCGACGGTACCGTCAAAAGTCAAGGTCTCGCCGCCCGTCGTCGAGCCGGCCACGCCACAGGTCAGCTGATTGTTTATTTGTTGTTGTTGTTGTCACACTTAAACTAGAGCTACCGTAGAATCATCCGACCAGATGATTCTCGCGAAACGCTGTTTTTTTTTTCATTTCGAACGAATTGTTTATAATTGACCAACACACGTGAACTCATGTTACAGTATGCCGAATTGCAGAAATCGAACGACTCGCCGGTGGAAATTGTGATACCGGTGCGAAAGATCTCGTCGGAAGAGCCGATCGAGCCGACGGTCGCCGAGACGATCGTGTTGGCGAAGAAGACGGACAAGATGGACTTCACGCGACGATGGCTTCACGACGATCTGTCGTCGTTGGCGCACTTGCCGCCCGCCAACATTGCGCCAAACGCGGTAGGCGCCATCTCTCGCAATCATCGGAGTTGATCACTTCTTCTTTTTTTGTTTCAGTCCTACTATCAAGACTTCGATGAGCATTCGCTGGGAAGCTGCAGTGCCGAAGTCGCCGCGTTCAACACAACGAAAGAGAAGCGGAAGGCTAGTCGGAAGGCGTCCGACGCTTCCGAACCGCCGCTGCGACCGCGTCCGTTCCGCCCGCAGCCGGTCTATCCGATTCTCGAGCCGACGAACGGCAGCGCGTTTGAGACGTACGCGTCGAGCACACTGCCACGCGTGACGTCCACCGATCACATGTCGGCCGAGATGCGACGATCCGGCTCACAGGATCCGTATAGCACGCTGCGATCGATGCGATCCGAAGGCGATCCGCACGATCGCCCATCGCCGTCGGCATTCCAGCAGGTCGGCTCGCGCGCCTCACTTCGCAGCCTGCCCGATCACTCGCCGATTCGACAGCGTGTCGCGCGGCAGCAGCAGCCGCCGCACGCCGATCCGATTCTCTCGATCGATCAGCTCGTCGCCGAGCTCGAGCTCAACACCGAGCCGCCGCCGGCGACCGTCGAGAAGCGGCGATCGTTTCCGACGCAATTCATTCGCCACAACGGCAATGAGTACGAGCGGCCGAATCGCTATCGCGCTGAAATTCGGCCGGCGACGATACGCGGTCGCGGTCAAACGATTGCTGCAGGCGGCGGCGCGGCGAGCAGCAGCCTTCAGAAGCAGCAAAAGTCGCTCGACGAGGTCACCAGTATGCTGAACAATGTCGCGTCGCAATTCGGCGTCGAATCGACACCGCGAACACATCCGAGCGTCTTCAAACAATTGAGCGCCTCATCGAATCATAGTCAGAACGCGTTCGAGACGATCAATCAAGAGAAGATCAATCCGAGTCGCGTTGAAGCGATGCACACGATGTTCGAGAAGGGAACCGCGTGGAAAATGCATCAGCCGTACAAGCAGAAATCGCGCGAGGATTCGCTGGACGAGACGGCGCCACGGAAACAATCATATTCGGTGAGTTCGAGCGGCTCTGATGAGAATCGTTGGGGTTTTTAGCCGATTGCCGCCGTCGCAATCAATGGAGTATAAGGTTTCTTTTGCTTTCGTGGAATTAGGAATAGATCAAAATTTTGCTCGCCGCAATTCTGAAATGCGTTTAAGACCAACTAACACCACACGATGCTCATTTAATTACTAACTTTCGCGATTACACTAATCAATGAGGATGAGATGCAAAATTGCAGAAGGTCACACCACCGCAAGAGGCCCAATACGCCACACTTCACAGCTATTCGCCATCGGCCACCACCAACATTCCGGCCAGACCGACTTACCATGAGTACACGCCGCAATTGCCGACGACGCAACCGCCGCAACATCCGCCGGGATCGGCGAACTCGTCAACCGGCGGCTATTACTCGTCGAACAGCTCCGGCATCGGCTCGCAACCGAATCCGAATCAGCGGCGAAGTCTTCTCATCGATCAACAATCGATATGCTCACGGGTGCCGTCGGTCGATGAGGACGACGACGGATTCTACGACAACATCGGCATCTATGATGATCGGAGGATGTCGAGAGGAAGCGAGCTGGAAGCGTGTCGCCAACTGCCGCCGTCGTCGAAACACAATCGAATCGGCTCGTTTCTGCGCAAAATTGGCGGCGGTAGTAGTCGGCCGCCGGGTAGCGCGGCGAGTCTGATGTCGCTGAATAAGGTGATCGTTGAGAAAAAAAAAACGACGAATCGCCAATATCACGACGTACCATTCGTTTTCAGATCGCCAATGAGACTGTGATGAAGCCGGCGGGTTTGATGAAGAGCAACAGTCTGAGCACGGAGCCGTGGAAGAAGCAGGTGCTGATGGGCAATCTGTCGAGAGAGCCCAACAATAATCATCATCATCATCATCAACAACAACAGAAGACCGGTCTTGGAGCGCGACTGAAAAACACGCTGTTCGGCTCGAGGAAACGTTTAGACGGATGACCCCCCCCCCGCACTTTTCCTTTTTTTAAACTCATTTTTTGCCATTTCAATTATGACTTGTTGAAAACATAACACTATTTATGTACTATGTATACTATTGTTTCCACAATAAATCAATCAATAATAGTCATTTTAAAGGCGCAGACAATTTTTTGATTTTCGGGACCCGACAAGAAAAATTGGGTTCAATTTTGTTTCGACTATTTTCTATTATTTAAATATTCAAAATTGGCCTTCATGATTGATGACGTCACTTTTGAATCGCTAAATTAGTCTTATCAGACTACACTGTAGCTAGAAAGACCTGCAATTAGAAAAAGACGCCGCGTTTTTCATTCGAGTTTTGATTGTTATGTTGAAATTACCGCAAATCGACAATATATTATACAGGTAAGTCGATTTCAATGCTCCTTTAAGCGTTTCCAATTCAGCGGACCATCGAAATCGAGATTGTCGTCGTTCGAAGCCGGTGATCTTCTCGGCGAAGCCGCGATTCTTGTCTATCGCGACGCGCCGAAATCGTTTTTCATTCACGCGATCCATTGCTATTTCGTCGGCAATGGTAATCGTCTGAAATGACTTTTTTCTTATTATTATTATTATTAATTTTTAAATTATTTTGAATAATTATTTATTTTCGACATAGAATACTCGAAAACACCCACATTTGTTGTGAAAAACGTGCGCGACGGTCGGAATTTTGCAATTCGCCACGTCGATATTCTGCGCCCGAATGGCGACGCGATGGCCGTTGCCGAGTTTTCGTTGCAGCGCGACGTCGAGAATCCCGTGATCAGCGTGTTTCCGGAATTCCCGAGAAACGTGCTGGCGCCCGAACATTTTGAAAATGGCCGAAATTCCGATTGCGTCGAATTTCGTCGGGTTCCGAACGCGATCAATGGAAAACACTACATATGGATTCGCTGCAAAACACCAATAGGTGAGAGTATTCACGATAAATTCGCAATAACACTAGAAAAGGAAGAAAAACTGGGAATTTTTCGCCAAAACAAAATTTTATCGATCGCACTTCGTATTGGTGAATTTCGGCGTCACGGTGTACCACAGACGGCATTTTATGTGACGCGCAAATCGCAATTTCAAAAATTTTCCTTTTTGAAAGTCTAAATTGCAATTTTCAAGCGATTTTCAGACGACTCGGATCCCTTCCAAAAGCACGCCATTTTAATAAAGTTGTCAGATCTTCAATTGTACGGAAATGGTAAAAATGAAATCAATTTTCATCCAGAAAATTCAAAATTTCAGATATTCAAACGCGTCGAGACCATTCCATATGGCTTCACCAAACTAAGTAATAATTTAAAAAAAAAAAGTGGATATTGCATAAATGCTCAATTTTCAGGTTTGATGCCGCCGACTGGTTGTTGTACGAGTACGAGTTCGCCGGAAAACCCAACCCCTACTGCCTCGTCAATGCCAACATCTGGTCTCGCGACGGCAAAATTCTCATGTCAACATCGCAAGAAGTCTCAACGACAAAAACAAGAAGCAAAATGTGAAAAATTAATATTTTTTTACAACCTGTAGCACAATATATATATATATATATATACAACGTATAATTCACATATTATCACAATTCCAAAACCTCGAAATCGTCATCGCGATTCTCAATCTCGTCAAATTCTTCAAAATGGCTAATTTTTCGGGAAAATGTTCGCAAAAAATCAAACCTTTCAACTCGATTTTCATGTTCACACCCATATACGGCTCGAACGGCGGCCAATAGCTCGGCCTTCTATCTAACAGCTCAAACATGGGCGGTTTCGACGATGGAAGAACATTCTAGAATTTGCGATTTTTCGTTCGTCGAATTCTCGTTCAACAAAACGCAACCTTTTTGAGATTCTCACAAAGCTCGTCGAAATTTTCGCGAGTTTCGCAGAACATTGCCAACGCCAACGACGGATCAATCTGAACAATCATTAACGTCGAAATTCGGTGTCGTTCGACGTCGACCCACCGATTCATATTCCATCCAGAGCAGCATTTGGCAATGATAGGTGGCGTCGTCCATTTTCGTGTAGAAATCCGACGTCTGCGATGGCAGCGGCTCGAGATCCTCCAATTTGCTGAAGCCGTCGTCATCGCTTCGCGCCTCCGCCGCCGGCGCCTCCTTCGTCGTCGTCTTCTTCTGCTCGGTGAATGGCTTCGCCGTCGTGGCGGTCTTCGGCCGACAATAATGCGGATCGAGATAGAACAACTTGCTGCCGGAGACGCCGACGAAGTAGAGCGCGTGATTCGGACGGCCGCCGATGATGCCGACGCATTGCGGTATTTTGAAGAACCCCTTCAAATGGTAGATAATTAAATTCGCCTAATCGATTATTTTATGAGAAATTCGAGCTGCGGACAATTTCGACGAACCGGTTAATTGTCCGCAGCAATAATTTAATAAAATTGAATGAATGTGGATTACGTGAAAAAAAAAGTGATAAAAAAATACATATATATGAAAATTGAAAAAAAAAAAAAGGATTTTTGGCAAGAATTTTTTCAAGAAATCATATTTTTCAAATTTTCAAGTAAAAATTTACCTGAATCGCGGATAAATAGCATTCGTTGATCGACGTGAGACCTAATCGCAACGGAATCATTATCAAAAGCGGTCGCCAATCACTGGAACTCCCATTTCGCTCCTTATTCAGCGTTTTGTCGACTTTTCCATTCTCTAAAATCGAAAAATTCCAGAAAAAATTACGGTATTTGTCTAGAAAAAGAAGTACCCATGATGAGTTTGACGGCGTCTTCTGGCGGATACGTCGTCGCCATCGTGACGGCGTCATCTCGCACCAAAATATTGTCCAAGGCCACGTGGACAGCAATGTTGGACCATTCATCGAAAATCGTCAACTTTTTGAGGACCTGCGCGGCCGTGTTGGGACCAAACCACTCCGAAATCGCCTTCCCCTCGCACACGCCCATTTGCGCTGAAATTTGAGTGGTCAACGATTAAAAAAAAATTGCCGACAAATTTTGGCTCACCAATTTGGTGCAATGAATAAAGAGCGTCCTTCTCATCGAAAAACATGGCCAGAATTCGCTCATAGACATCCGACTTGTCGTCGATGTTCCATTTGAAGTGTCGTTGAATGTGACGACGCAAAAGCGTCTCGCCGAGAAGCATTTGAGCGCATCGCAGCATGCAACCCCATCCTTGATCGCTGGTTGGCCCGATGCCGCCGATCGGCGAGAAATTCTTGCGATACGTGAACCAGAATCGCGATCGAATGTATTGTTTGAGCTCGTCGACGCCCTCCGCCTTTTCGATGGCTCGTCCCAACACCCAAACCGGCCAATTGTCGATGGAAATTTGCTCGAACGTCTCCCAGAATGGTGGCTCTTGGGTGAGAGCGGTTTCGACGATGCCGACGCCTTGGCTGAGCTCCGCCATCCTCAAAAATCAATAAGTTGAAAAAAAGAAGCAAGAAAAACCAATTTTCGTTGACGGAAATCATGAGCAAAAAATTTGAAATTGAGAAAAAAAATAATTCACGAGGGAGGCGTGTTTGCGGACGCTCGTTGCGGACTTGCATACCGTAACGCAACAAAAAATTTCCCACAATAAATTTTTCATGTTCTATTGCCCATTTATTGTCGTTTCCACGTAAATATTATTTGAAAACTAAATCTAGGTGTGTGTTTGTTTGAAAATTGTCCGATGGGTCTTGCAAATGCGAATTTCTTTTTGCGTTCGAAATCTCGCGAAAACGTCGGCAGATGGATTCTAATAATAGGGCGCGCATCGAAATGGCGGGTTCAAAAAAAAAAAAAAAAAACACAAAAATGGATTGACAGCATTCGGACCCATCAGCAAGTTTCAATTAACGTCCACCCGATGACAAGCCGCTCCGGTAGCATTCTTTATTCAAGCGAAACTAAATGGAGATCAAAAAGAGGATGAAAAATGAGATATGAAGAAAAATTGCTAGATAGGAAAGGAAAAAAAACCACAAAAAAAAGAGAAGTGGGGGTGGTGGAAAGTGATGAGCATTTCACGAAAAAAAAAACAATTTTGTATTCTTTTTTTGCCGACTTTTACTGGAAGCGATATGGAAAAAAATTCTATTTAAAGGGGGGTTCGATGATGGCACAATTCGAAAACACAAAAATTGGTTGCTCTTAAAGGGGGTAGGCACTTAGCAATTGGCACAATACGATGCGCTCGCGCCCGAATCATTGTCGAGGCTCACACCGCGGCATTCTGAAATCGATTCGATGAAAGCAACAAGAGAAAAAAAAAAGAAACGAAGAAGACGTTACCGGATAGCGGCAGATTCGACGTTTCGACACTCTGCTGAATCCGCTGCATCACCAAATCGAGGAGGCAATCGACCGACTTCTCGACGTTCGTCGACGTGCACGCCGACGTCTCGAAATAGGGGAGTCTGGAAGACGGTGGAAAATATCAAAACTGAAACTCTCCGATCGGTACCCGAGCTGATCGGCCAATTGTTTCGCGCGCGCGGTGCTCACTTGTCGCCGATTCTCGAGGTCCGCCTTGTTGCCGCAAATGATGATGTCGGGTGTGTCGCAATAAGCGTGCACCTTGAAACAAAAAATAGTGGAAAATGATTGATTGACGGCTTAATTGGCCGCTAATTACGCGCAATTGCGAGAGCCAATCGCGAATGTTCAGAAATGATTGCTCGTTGGTGATGTCGAAGATCAGAATGAAGCCCATCGCGTCGCGAAAAAACGCCGTCGTCAGACTTCGGAATCTACAATACAAAAATAATAATCCTTGGACGCCATGAGCCAATCGCTCACCGCTCCTGCCCGGCGGTGTCCCACAATTGGAGAAGGACCCGTTGGCCACGCCCACCGAATCCGCCGCGCGCGCTTTTGTACACCTTCAATATCAATGTGGAAGCACCCAATTTTTTTTGTTCTCTCCTACCACTTTCTTCTCTTTGAAATCGATGCCGACGGTCGAGATGAACTGGCCGGTGAACGTGTTGTCCGTGTAGCGATGCTGAAATGGTCCGGCGTCAAATTAAAGCCAAAAAAAACTTTGACATCTTTTTTTAGTTTTGAGAAAAAGCTGTAAATCTCAAGCTCCAAAAAAACATAATTCCCACAATTTTATTATTTTTTTTTCTCTGCCTAATTAAAAATGGAGGACACACGAAAATGTTGTCCATCGAATCGCTTCAGCCTATATTTGTCAAAATGCATCTGCGGACAAATTATTTTTTGAGAAGACGCCCCCATTGTCCGCAGATGCGTTTGGGCTAATCGAGAATTGTTGTCAAATTCTCACCAAGAATGACGTTTTGCCAACACCCGAGTCACCCAACGCCAAAAATTTGATCAGATAATCGTAGTCGCCCATAATCGCGCGTTTCGTGTGGGCGAAAAATCTGAAAATCAATTTTTTTTCTTTTATCCTAATTCTCTGTCATTTATTTTCAAAGGCGCACGCGAAAAGATTCGCAGGGGTCTCGTAGCGATTTCGATACTGTAATTTTTATTTATTATTTGTTTCACTGAAAATGTCTCTTTTTTATTGTTCGGGCCATCTCACAACGGCTATTTCTTTTCAAGAATTCACTTTTCGCCAAAAAAATCACATAGCTCGATCATATTTAAAGGCGCACGTGAAAGGTCTCGTCGCGAAATCCCTACTGTAATTTTTTTTATTTATTTCTTTTGTCGAAAGAAAATCCTGCCAAACAAAGAATGAAGACAATTTTCAGTGAAATGAATAATAATAAATAAAAATTACAGTAGCGAAATCGCGACGAGACCCTCGCGAAATTTTTCGCGTGCGCCTTTAAATATAAATTTCCGATAAATCGCCTCAATTTTGCAATGAAAAAAAAAAACAGAAAATGTTTTTCTTTAAAAAGTACTCTTAAAAATGCTGATTTCTACATTTCTCAAAAAAAGCGTACAACGCGCGAAACGTCGCTGACTCAAACCCCCGCCGCTCTCATCGCCTCATATTTTCTCAGCGTCATAATACAATTAAAGGTCCATTAAAGTTGAAGACCAATAAAGACAAAAAATGTGAAGAAGTCGTATATTCCAAAAAAAACCACAAAACGAAAAAGCAGCAGCGGCGGGGAAAACAAAACAAAACACAAAAAAAAAAAAATAAAACACACACACACACGAGACAAGAGAGCGAGAGAAGGCGACGACGACGACGACGACGGCTCGCCACACCCAGGCCGCCTTATCGATTTTGGCCCGTTTTTGGAAGCCTCGAGGCGTTTTCTCTCGCCTCTCCGGCGCAAATGCACAAAAATTGCGGTGTCGCGCCACAACCAACGCCCACCGCCATCCCTCTTCCCCCACGCACAACCACCAGCGATACACTTTCTCCTCCGCCTTCTTCTTCTTCTTCATCATCATCTACTTCTTCTAGTCCGCGTGGTGCATGTGCTCGCCGAGCCGCCACATAATTTTCATTTCGCGCGCAAAAAAAAATGGATAGGTGCCGCCGCTGCGGGACCGCTCGAGAATTTCGCGATGACAGCGAGCCTTAAAATTTCATTTAATGAAATATAAATTATTATTTGACAAACAAAAAAAAAGAGAGAGAGAGATGAGGAACAATTAGTGTAGGAAAAATACATATTATGTTACATGAATCAGATGGGCGGTGAGGCGACGAAATTGGGACACAAGAAGCCTCAATCGAGAATGTCAAAACGAGCAAGCTTGTATTCTGATTCTCCATGCGACGCCGTCAATTTCGTAATTTGCCTGTCGACGGCCGCCTGGAACGATGTGAGCGTCGACGACAAATACGACTCAATCTCCCGTTTAAAGTCCGACAATATTGGTGAATGGTGCGTCGGATAGAATACCGTCGGATGATCTGAAATTCAAAAAAAAAAAGAATTCCAATTTCTCTCTCTTTCTCTCCCTACCTTGTTGAACGCTTTTCTTCTTGCCGTCAAAAATTCCCTCAAGCGCGCTCTTCGCGATATCCTTCGAATGTACAATATAATGTCGAGCTCGGATTTTCGAGGTGAACTCGGCGAGCTGCAGCATCTCTAGCGTGATTTTGCCGTCCTCATTGTGCGGTATCGTGGCAACGTCGAAATAATAGCAGCGAGCAAATCGTGGTCCTTAAAAACGTCCAATTTGTTTTGTTACACACCAATTCAACCTTTATAGAGCACTCCTGGCTTATTGAGCATGAACATCGTTGGCATCGGCGACGGCTCAGTGCTCTGCTGTTGAGGCTCCTTCTGCGCGGCGTCAAGATGCTCGCTCTCACTGGCGCAAGCTTCAAGGACAACATCAATGACCGGATCGGTCTTCTCATATTCCACCGGTTTGTCGTGCTCAAGAACCGTCGATCGATTTTTCATCAAATCGTGCTTCAACGGCTCCTCGGCGACGCCATTCGTCGTGACGCCATTCGACTCTTTCGGTGGCTCATGAGCACCGTTTTCTGAAGGATTTATGGCTAGTGTCAATCTTGGCGGCGAGAATAATGGATTTCGGAATGGCGCGCTCGTTGGAAGCACAAAAAATAATTGGGCGAGACGCAACCAAAAAAAATTTCAAAAGGGGAGAAGAGAGGAAAACCAAAAAAAAGAGCACTTCCTCACCTGGAGCCTTTCCAAAATCGTCGACTATATTTGAAGCAAACCCGCTGGTGAACGGCGTCGCTGCATCATGAATCATCTGGGCGCTGAGTTTGCGCACATACTCGGCCGTTTGCTCTCCAAGCGCCTCGGCGCCGTCGAGGCTCATTCGCGCAACATCGTCGGCGAGCATCGTCACCTCACCGACAGCAGCAGCCTGCACAGGGGTAGTAGATTGAGCCTCGTCTGTCGTCCGATCTGTATCCATGCTGATCTTCTTGAGCACTGGAATCTCCTCGCCGCAATCGGGCAACAATCCATCGTCTCTTGGCTTCTGCGGCTCAATTGGCTGCTGAAAATGACGAATTTTTTTTAGCTGAAATCGAAAAAAAAGAGAGAGCTTACATCAAATCCTTCAGCTGGCTGCTTTTCGTCAATAATGACAAGAGAAGGATCAACAACAGGAGTTGGAACTTGCGGAGTGAAGGGAACGGCGACTTCGGGCTCAATAGGAGCTGGTGGCGTCGGATCGATGTGTGGAGTTGGCACAATCGGCTCGGGAATTGGATCGATGTGTGGTGTCGGCGCTATCGGCTCGGGCGGCGTCGGCTCAATCGGATCAGGCTTCTTCGTGACGTCGATTGGCGGCGGAATTTCGGGCTCAACGTCGTCAGGCTTCGTTTGCGGCTCCTAAACGCCCAAAATTGCGATAAGACAGAAGAATGCAAAACAGAATGGCCAGCAAATCGATCAAAATAAGGAATAGAATAAGAAAAAACACTATACAAACGACAACAACACACCTCTTCTTTTCTCGTGCCGTCGACATCATTGAGAATGTCGGGAGTCTCACGCGGCGGCTCGGGCGTCGGCGGTATCACCACAATATCAAGAGACGGCGCATGCGGTTTCGTTGGCACATCGTCTAAACACACCACCGAATCATCGAGATCGACGACGACCGGCGGAACGGCGACGGGAGCAGCCGATGGTGGTGCGGCGACGGGTTGTTGAGCCGATGGGGCCGATGGCTTCTAAATGCGCCACATCACTGAAGCGTAAAAAAAACACAAGGAAAATCAATAATGAGAACATTGAGTCAAATGATTCGTAAAGACAACATTGAGAATAGAGAATTGTTGAAATACCTTGGCTAGTGGAGCGGTCGTAGACTTTTTCGCGTCATCTCGCGAGGGAATCGATGGTTTTCCAGCGGGTTTTGACGCTGGCGGTGCTCGCGTCGAAGTTGGTGCAGCTCTTTGAGTTCCCCTTCTAGAAAAAAAGATTAAATTAGATTCGGAACAATTGGATTCCCGCCGGCGTACACAGTCGTTTTCTGGACAACTTCTTCAACTTTTCGGCGTCCATTAGCTGACGGAGCTGCTGGTGGTGGAGCTCGGCGAGTTGGCGGAGCCGCACCAGTTGGAGCCGCTCGTGTTCGTGGCGCCGGCGCCGACGGGCGCGAGGCGGCCGTTCGCGGAGCGGTTGGAGCGGACGGTGTGCTGCGCGTCGAGGTAGCTGGACGAGATAGCGATGGTTTCGAGTCCGAGCGAGAAGCTGCAGCACCACGGCCAGCGTCTCCCCTGGAACAAATTCAACCGTAATTCAAAACACATGGTGTTTTTGATTAAAAACGAACCTCGAGAGCGGCGGCGGCGGCGGCGCGGCGAGCGATGGCGGCGGCGGAATCGCCGAAAACGCTTCATGCGATGTGACGACGGCCTTGTTCAAGAACGGCAAAAATTTCGCGGCTCTGTCGAGCGACGCTTGAATTCGCGCCATCGAACACGTGCCGGTGAGCAGAACGCGACTGACGCGCTCATCCTTGTGCACCGGCTTCCATAAGAGGACGGCGACGGTGCCGTGCTCGGCGGCCGCCTTCTCGACGTGCTCCTCGTTGCCCGACTGAAGAGCTTTCGCAATCGCTTCGCCGTCTTTCACGTCGCCGGCCAACACGTACATGTAAAGCGTTCCCTTGTCGAGCGACTGCAAATAGAAAATTGAATAATTGGGGACCATTTGAATTTAAAAATATTGAATTCAGGTACCGTAAATTTGGAATTCAGGTACCCGGGCGCACGTTTTTTGCGAATGTCTTCATATTTCATAAGATCGATAAAACAAAATTGGCTAAATTAAAAAAAAAGCAAAAATTTTTGATTTCGCGTCAAGACCGTTGACACATCTTATTATATAATTCATGTATGTGAAATTGCGAAATTTCGCGGCAAAATCGACCACCAGTTCTTTTTTTTGTCGCTTCGAGACCAATTCCAACATCGCACATTTTCTTGAGTATTTCGATGTTTGGCGCCCCCCCCCCCAAAACACGTGAGCAAACACAATTTTAAGAAACGAGACACAAAATTACCCGATAAATCAAATATGGCTCGTATTTGGGATGGAACACCGGTTTGATGTCATCAGCGCGATGCGATTGCTGTTGGATCTCGTGAAGCGCGGCGCCGGTGGTGCCCGGCTTCGACGCCTTCAATTTCGGCACGTTCGCAATCAGCGGCGTGAGGCGATTCTGAATTTGGCGATTCCACGTTTTTTTTTGTTTTTTAACAGAGGAAAACCTTCTGTGCCAACGCGTACGCGGTGCCGATGGTGTTCTTCGTCGGCGCCGACAAATAAACACCGCAAATGCTGCGCACATTCTGCAGAAAATCGATGGTCTTCTCGGCGTGTCCGCCGTCAAGAATATAGACACCTGCAAATTTGCCGCGTTTTCGAGAGAAACACCGAAGCCGAACAACGATGAGAATGGATGTCAATTATTGAAATTGCACACCCCCCCCCCCCTCTCAGCTGGCCAAATATGTCAATGAGAGGGGGGTGGAAAAAAATGTGATTGGCAGTTTACCTTGAAAATCGTAGAGGCGGGCGGTTCCTTCAGGGCCAAGAATGTAGGCGCACGAGCGGTACTGGGTGATGTACTCCTCAGACATCTGCAATTCGCGACGGTCTAGAACGAATTGAAACGAAGACGAAATGCAATTTTAAGCGAAAAAATGCCAAAAATTGCGCGACGATTGCGCAATTCGCCGCGATTGGGGCAGATCAAATTGGGGAGAAAAAAAAATGCAAAAAAAAATTGCGTGTTTTGTTGCTCGTCGAGAAATTGATTTCGACACACACTTGGAATTGGCCCCCCTCCCAAAGGATTAAATTGAATGAAACCCATAAATACACACATGCGACGAAACCAAACCAAAAATGGATTGAATGGAAAATGGGTGAGGAGAGATGGCAAATTTTCATAGGAATTTTGAATTTTCGACAACGAAATCTCACATATTGATTGCGGTTCGCGGAAATGCGGGTGAAAACGAATGGAATGTTCGGTGAAAACGCATAGTACAACAAATGCGCACCATGTTTGATATACTCTTTCGCAATGTTCTTGTTGGGCGGGGCCGGCGAGGCAGAATGAGAGGGGGGGGGGAGGCAAATAAAACAAGATCAAAAAAATTTCGATTGGGAGCAATTTCATTTTTTTTCTACTGTTCAACTGATAACGCAATTTTTTTCTGCAAAATGAGATTGAAGGCAAAACGAAAAAGAGTTATCATCAACGAGGCGAAATTGTTCTGCACTCCGCTCACCCTCCTCCTCCTCCTCCTCCCCGCCACCAAAAAATACATATAGCGGCGGAGAGTGTTCGGCCGGCCAGCCGGACAACAGCGGCAGCAGCAGCAACAGCAGGCCGCGTTGTGCGTTTTGACGCGAACGAGATGATGATGAAGAAGAATAAGAAGAAGAAGGAGAAGAAGAAGAAGGAAACAAACACGGAGAGTGGTGGTCGTTGTGGGGGGGAGAAAATATGAAAAAAAAATCGGCGGCCCCCTCGCCCCTGAACACTGCTTTTCTCCGCTCGTTTTTCCTCTTTATTAGTGGTTTCGTGTGCGAACTGAATTAAGCGAGTAATGAGAGGCAATTATAGTCCTTTAATTAGTTATGAAATCAACTTTACAATCGAAACGCAATTGTTTTGGGGCGTTGGCCGCGATTCGGATGGATATTGAATTGCGTTGGCTTGGGTGATTGATGCGGAATTATTTATCTATTTGATTGCAATTCCCGAACGAAAATCTGTGGATAAAATTTGGGGAGAAATGAACAATTCTTTTTTTCTGGCCTCAATTCTTCGGAAAAACCTGAAAATCGCACAAATAAAAGCGTTGGCTAGAATGAAATTATTTTTAATTAAAAAAAAAAAGAGAAACGAAAAATGAGCCTAATTTTCAACAATTTTGCATTCTAGACGGTTTTTTCCCGCCAATTTCACATAAAAAGCCGAAAATCATCTTAAAACCAATATTTTATTAGAAAAAACGCAAAATAATCAAAAAAAAATTGGAGTGTGAAAATTGGCGGCCTAAAAAGTCCGCAAACACGTACGTTTCGACTACCGTACTCTATTGCAATCTACAGTACCCTGCGAACATTTCAGGCCTAATAAAAATCATCAAGAAAAAAAAACATTGAATTGATTATCATTCCATTCCAGTGCCGCGCAAATTCTTGCCAATTATCATGTCAACGACCGAATCGATGACAAGGTCGACCTGATTGGTGTCGGTGGCGCAAGTGACATGCGAATAAATCTTTTTCAACGTGTCGCATTTGACGAAACTCTCAAATTGCTGCCGCATATACTGAATCGACTCCTCATAGCCATTGCCGCCTGAATTCGAAACGGTTTAAAGGCGCATCGACGCGTTCGACGCGCACCTTCATAATTGCGAAAGAACACTCGAATGTTGGTTTTTTTGATTTTCTCGGCGAATATGTCTTTTTTGTTCAGGAATAGGATGATGGACGCTTCGAGGAACCAACGCGACGAGCAAATCTGCCGAAAAAGGTCCAGCGACTCTTTGAGGCGATTCTAGAAGACAATCAAATATTATCTAAAGGGTCCCAACTTCGCAATACCGTCTTCGAGTCCTCGCTCAACGTCTGATCGTACTCGCTGATCGCCGAGATGAATATGATCGCGTGGACATCATCGAACAGATGAATCCATATTCGCCGCTCGGATCGCTGACCGCCAACGTCGAAAATTCTGAATACCAATCGTAATTGGACCATTGGGGGGGGACCACCTGAACAATGTGCCTTTGATATTGATGGTGGTCTGGACGACACCAGTCGTCGTAATCCGAATCCGTAGGATGTCCTCGATGGTCGGAATGTAGGCGTGATCATTGACTCGATATAAATGGTCCATAAAATATTCGAACGAGTCGGCCACGTGGAACTCGTTCCGTCGATCATACGTCTTCCGAACGTTCGGCTCCGCCCACAACGACTTGAGCGCCTTGTAGGTCTGATCGGCGAACGGCATCATGTCTTTGCCGCTTCCAGCGATCGAGAGGATCAATCGCGACGATGCCTAGAGCTCAGGGCCTACAGTAATCGGTTTAAAGGCGCGGCGCGGCTCACCTCGAGCTCATCGCTGGACAGCGTGTACATGAACGCTTCTCTCGCCCTCAATATCAACGCCATTCCATTTATGGTATTACTGTAGACGAGGCACGCCATATTCTGGAGATCCGTGTGCGTGTAGCCGTTGTTGTGAAGAATGCTGAAGAGAGATGGACCAGAAATGGACCAAAAAAAACAAGGATTGATCTCACTTGATCTGTTTGAGGATCGTCGATTTTCCGCCCTCGCCGGTGCCGAGAAGCAGAAGCTTCTGATTGCCGAGCTCGCGATCCTCGTCGCGTCGAAATTGCCGCTCGATTTGCGTGTTGATCTTCTGCTGCTCGAGCAACTCCGGCGTTGAGCACATCGAACCCATTCTAGCTCATTCTAGGCGGTGTCGGCGTCGCTGCAAAAATGGCGGTGGGGCGGCGATTGGGATCGATTTTTGTTGAGAGGCTCGAAAACGAAATTAGAAATTAGCATGGTCCCTAGGTGATTTGGGCCGCTAGAATCAGATTCTGACATTTTCAAGTTCATAGCTCGCAAGCTCATAGAGCTGGACCACCTTGAACCTTGTCTAAAGGACCTTATATTTCTAACCGAAATTAGTTTCTATATGGCTCTTAATATCTTTACAATTTGAATGGTCCCTAGGTTTTTGGACCGCTCGAATCAGATTCTGCAATATTCAAATTCATAACTTTAACGCTCATAGAGCTGGACCACCTTGAACCTTGTCCAAAGGACCTTATATTTCTAACCGAAATTAATTTCTATGTGGCTCTTAATAAAATTAAAATTTAAATGGTCCCTAAGGGATTTGGACCTTTGGAATCAGATTCTGACATTTTCAAGTTCATAGCTCTCAAGCTCATAGAGCTGGAGCATCTTGAACTATACCATCGCAAACTTGAAGCTGCGGATAGCGAATTTCACATTTTTCAGATCTCACAACTCATGCTCATTGAGCTGGACCAACTCGTAAACTATTTTTAGGCAAATTCGAAGATTTTTTTGATTTTCTCACTGATCCGTGAAAGAAATGAAATAGTGTGCGGTGTTTGCGGACATTAGCAACTACAGTACCACTAGCGAATTTTTTATGGCCAAAATTTGAAAAACGGCGAGTGATTTCTAATCTTACAACCCGCAAATTGTCCACAGATGAATATCGCCAAAATAAAGATGTGCGATTTTCTTTTAAAGTTTCCATCTGCGGACACGCTTGCGGGTGCGCTGCCGCCAAAAATTTGTCCGCAGATGAAATCGCATTACGCGGTTTTTTAAAAGAACGAAAAAAAAAGAAAGCGAGAATGTGAGAACTTCAGTTGCCGTCTCGATTTTGTCGGAATGTTGCGAATTGTGTGAATCAGAGTGTGTTTCCAGGTAGACGCGTGTGAAAATTTGCGGGGGCGGGACTTGAATGCGCCTTTAAATTCGCGTCAAACACCTACCCTCCACCACCAACTAATTGTTGACTCAATTATCGCAAATTTCATCATTAAATGATGAGCTCCCCTGAGGACCATTGAGGCAAAAAACGAAAAGAGCAACCGATAAACAGAAAGTTCGGCCCCCCCCCTAGTGGGGTGTTGTCGAGACCACGCCATAAAAGGGCATGAGAATATGGAAAATCGGTGGCGAGAAAAAAAATTGATGTGAACATTGAAAATGGCACGATCTCATCTGCGGACACGCTTGCGGGCCAGCGAGACAGAAAACTTGTCCGCAGATCAAAAAAAAAATAGTGAAATTGAGCGATTCGACGCGGTTTGCCGTGAAAATTCGAAATCGACGAAAACGATAGGCAGCTAAAATGTGCTGAGACATGTTTGGGGCAAACGCCTAATCACCGCCTTCGCGTAAATGGCTGTGCCACATTTTCGCGTTTAAAAGATTACTCTCGCAGAGTTTTAGCCCCTCAAACATTCAAAATTCGAAAAATTGCCAATCGGACCGACTTTATTAAGTGGAAATTCATCTGCGGACACATTGCGGGACAAACCCGAAAATTGTCCGCAGATGACTCTTTACAATAAAATTCAATTACGAGATTGTGAATCGAGATTTCTTAAATGCGAATTCATCTGCGGACACATTGCGGGACAAACCCGAAAATTGTCCGCAGATGAATTTCAAGAAAACAAATTGCGCATGTCGACCGATTTTGGTCCTTCCCTCTTACAACTACCATATTTGGTCCAAATTTGATGAACAAAAAACGAAATTCAAGCAAATCTCGTCGTCTTCAAGTTTTCTTAATCAACTATGCCCTCAAAATGCGGCGGATTTGAGATAAATCGAAAAATGTGAACTATTCTCAATGACACTAGTTGACGTTTGTTTATTTGTTAACAAAATACGGGCTGCTGACAAAACGTTTCCGAGAACACGCCGAAATTGAGTCAATTAATGCATTTTTTCGCGAAAATGTGCAATTTTTTGGCGCGAAATTGTCCGCAGATGGGGTTTTGCTAAAACGCCGAGCGAACGAGATAATCGTTCAAAGACTTACCGGAATAAAGTTCGAATTTTCGAAATTGTATTCCAAATTTTTTTGAATTTTGTTCAAAAGACCAAAAATCTCCGAATTATGCATTTTCCAAACTTGTTCATTGTCATCTGCGGACAATTTCCAAGCGTTCCGAAATTTTTGATTTTTGTTGGACTCATTTTGGAACAAAAGCTTGCGAAAATTTGCAGATTTTCAGCGTTTCCTCAAAATTTGACGGAAAATTGTCGGTAGAAAAAATGCCACGTGGCAACACGGCAAATTACGGTAGCCTCGAAAAATTTCGGCACCGCACCGCAATTATTTATCCGTCGGCCAACCATTATTCGGCTTCTCGCCTTCAATATTATAATTTCGCAACCTTTTTTTTCGCGATTCGATGCAAATTATGAACAACACGTTGTTTTTCGCCGCCACTTTTTTTGGGTTCTTTTCTTTAAATTCAAAACTAATTTCCGCGGCATTATTTGTCGAAAAAGCTCGAGTGAGCTCTTGATTAATGCTGCGGACACGCTTGCGGGCAAACCCGAAAATTGTCCGCAGATGGATTTGAAGAACCCAAAAAATTGGGGAAAATTGGAAAGTTTTCGAAAAATTCCATCTGCGGACAATTTTCGGGTTCCCGCAAGCATGTCCGCAGATGGATTTGAATAACCCAAAAATTAGGGGGAAGTTGGAAAGTTTGAAAGTATACCAAAAATTCCATCTGCGGACATGCTTGCGGGCGAACCCGAAAATTGTCCGCAGATGGATTTGAATAACCCAAAAAATTGGGGAAAATTGGAAATTAAAAAAACTAAATCAAATTTCGAGATTTCTGAAATAGAAATGACATTTTAAGTATTTAAAGGCACATACATCGATTTACAGTGATCAATTTATTAAAATTTAAAACAAAAACCCGATTGTGTTCTCAAAATTAGCCGTCAAATGAGTAAACCTTCTTGATAAAAGTCGGTGTCGTTAATTCGAAAATTCTCGTGATTAATATTAATATAATTGAGATCGTTGATTGATGACGAATTGGGAAAATCATAGACGAATTGCAAACTGCGCGACATGACGAGCAAAAACGCGGTGATGAGCACGACGGCGCAGAAAAGCTTCGAGACATTCGTGAGCGTCGTGTTGTTGTAGAAGTCGTTGAGCGGCTTGCGCTCGTCGGTCGCCGGCGTGCCGAACGCCAGTCTGCAAAAGAGATAGACGAAATGGCGAAGTTGTTGAATGCGAATCCATCTGCGGACGCTTTGCGGGACAAACCCGAAAATTGTCCGCAGATGACTTTTTAGAAGCCTTTTACTATGAAAAGACAATTGCTAGATTGTGATTCGAGATTTCTTAAATGAAAATTCATCTGCGGACACATTGCGGGACAAACCCGAAAATTGTCCGCAGATGACTTTTTAGAAGCCTTTTACTATGAAAAGACAATTGCTAGATTGTGATTCGAGATTTCTTAAATGAAAATTCATCTGCGGACACATTGCGGGACAAACCCGAAAATTGTCCGCATATGAATTTCGAGAAATCAAATTGCGCCCGTCGACCGATTTTGGTCCTTCCGTCTTACTACTACCATATTTGGTCCAAATTTGATGAACAAAAAACGAAATTCAAGCAAATCTCGGTCGTCTTCAAGTTTTTCGTAATAAACTACACCTTAAATGTGACTAATTATCGAGATATAATCAGAAATGTAAAACATTAATTTTTTGTTTATCAAAAATAGACTTTTCAATTGTCTGATTTTTCAATATTCATCTGCGGACAATTTCCAAGGTTTTCCCAGCAATTTGTCCGCAGCACGTTTCTTCAAATCACCAAAAAAACTCAAATTTCGTTTTTTTTCGCGTTTCAACAAAATTCGATCAAAAATGAAAGGATTAGGCCAATGGAAAAAATTCTCAAAAACACCTCGTCAAAATGGAGAGTATCTTGAAACGAATTTAAAGGAGCATCCACTCACTTTCTCGTCGACGATTGATTGTAGGTAGGAATCTGGAAAAAATCGAAGAAATTTTGGTGAAACAAAAAAAAATTTTTTTTTTGCGCTCACTCACATTGAATGCTCTCGGTGTCGTGATGCCGCTCTCGATACTCTCATCGCTCGAACATCTCGACGGCCGTCGATCCCATTTGCGGGTGACTGTGCCGAAAATCTGCAAGCGAAACATATTGGCTGGTCGGTGTTTGCGGACTTGGCCAACTACAGTAACCAAGCCGAATAAATCAATTTTTTAAACAAATTATGAAAAAAAAGAAACCTAATTAGGGAAATTGAGAGAAAACCACTGAAATTTTTTCAGCAGCCCGTATTTTGTTATCAAATAAAGAAACGTCAACTAGTGTCATTGAGAATAGTTCACATTTTTCGATTTATCTCAAATCCGCCGCATTTTGAGGGCATAGTTGATTAAGAAAACTTGAAGACGACGAGATTTGCTTGAATTTCGTTTTTTGTTCATCAAATTTGGACCAAATATGGTAGTTGTAAGAGGGAAGGACCAAAATCGGTCGACTTGCGCAATTTGTTTTCTTGAAATTCATCTGCGGACAATTTTCGGGTTTATCCCGCAATGTGTCCGCAGATGAATTCGCATTTAAGAAATCTCGATTCACAATCTCGTAATTGTCTTTTATCATGACGATCTTCTCAAAATTCATCTGCGGACAATTTTCGAGTTTTTCCCGCAATGTGTCCGCAGATGAATTTGCGTTTATAAAATCTCAAATCACAATCTAGCAATTGTCTTTTCATAGCAAGTGGCTTCTAAAAAGTCATCTGCGGACAACTCACGGGCGCGCAAAAAAAATTTCGCACCGGAAAACACGCATTCGATGAACAATTTTGTTGTTCGAACGTCAAACATCAAAGCGCTAATAATGAGACACACGCAATTTGTGCTGCGGACAATTTTTGAAAAACAAAATTGTCCGCAGATGATTATTATCATTTTCAATTGTTCTAAAACGCGAAATTAATAAAATGCTTGTCAGATTGTCGAAATTTGGCTTCCAAAACAATGATTCATCTGCGGACATTCAAACTTCGAAAATTGTCCGCAGATGGATTTGCATAAGTGCAAAATGAGAGGAGAAATTCGGAGAATTCGTAATACATTCATATTTTGTCCAATTTTGATGAGAAAAAAGAAAAAAGAAAAAAAAACGCGAAATTCACTCAATAATAAATTCGACGCTCAAAAATTTTGCAGTTTTGATGAAAGTGATGAGAATGATTCAAAAAACGAAAACAAATCGCAAATCGCGAGACCCGCAAGAATGTCGGCAGCACGAAACATCGATAATTTGGCCAACCTTTGCGACGCACGCCACCAGCGACTCGATGCCTTTTTTGGTGGCAAATTTCGATGTTGAGGCCTCGTTCATTTGATCGCTCGCTGGCCCAACTTTGGTCATAAAATTATCGGTTGTGCCCCCGTATGCCTGAAATATTGGCTATTCGAAACTAGTGCTACCGTAACAGGTAGATTTAAAGGCGCATGGTGCAAAAACAAAAAACTAATTCGAAACTAGTGCTACCGTAACAGACAGATTTAAAGGCGCATGGCACAATAAAAAAAACTAATTCGAAACTAGTGCTATCGTAGCAGACAGGCTTAAAGGCGCATGGTGCAATAACAAAAAAACGTGACGCGCCGCCAAAAAAAAAAGAAAAAGAATTATTTGAAACTAGTGCTACCGTAACAGACAGGCTTAAAGGCGCATGACATAAAAACATAAACGTGACGAGTCGCCAAAAAAAAAGAATAATTCGAAACTAGTGCTACCGTATCAGACAGCTTTTAAAGGCGCATAGCACAATTAAAAAAAAACGTGACGCGTCGCCAAAAAAAATGAAAAAAAAAATGATTGGTCGTGTTTTCAAATCGCGCTTGCTTGATGGGATTATGACACACCGAAACGCGTTTTGCGCTCAAATCAGCTCGCATATGACTAAAGCCCAAAAACGAATCTCTGGAATTTGTGCGATTTTCGCACGAAATGAAAATTGTTCAAAATCGAAAAAGAGAGACGTTGGGGTTTTTTTTCCACCCATGCGCCTTTAAACCTGCCCCCCCCCCCTTTAAATTGAAGAAAATTGGCCATTAAGAGTTTTCCGATTAACCGAAAAAAATGACAGCAAATCGCGATTACAATTTTCATTGATGGTCTCGATGCTCTGTGTGTACTCCACGCGGACAAGCGTCCATTAAGTAATATGTGCCTTTAAACAACTATAGAGAGGGGTTTAAAGACGCATAAGATTCGAATATTGTGGTCTCGAAGCGAATTTCTCAATAATTTGATTTTGAGCAAAAAAAATGAAAAAATAGCTCCCAGAAATTTTGCGCCGACCTAAAAATTCCAAGCCCACTGTTTTCAACGGGTCCCAAAACCCCCTCAAAAAAAAAAAAAGAACCCCCATCAACAGCCAATTAGGGTCCCCCAATTTTCCGGAAGAGCGCTTCAATAATATCCAAAAACGAGAAAAACACAAGAAAGAAAACAAACTTGTGCGAGAATTTCGAAAAAGAGAAAAAAAAAACGTGCATATATAAGCTCATCGGCAATTCCGCGCACGCAATCGACGGAAAAAAAATCACTAGACATAAATTGAAATAAAAAATTTTAATTGGAAAAAAAACCCATCAAGATATCAAAAAAAAGCAAAAAAATTTGTGAGGCACATTAGACAAAAAAAAGAGAGAAAGAAAATATATAAATCAACAACAAATAATAATTATAATTATAATAATAAATAATCTATTATAGATTCAAATATGTGAATAATATAAATATTTCACAGGCGGGCTCAAAAAAAAAAATATACAGGGTGTCATTTAAATTCCCGCACAAAAGTTTGACGTCATGAAGAGCTTCGCTGACGCACTTTTCGTGCACCAATACAATTTATTTCTGTTAAATAAGGTATATTTTACTTACTTTCCAAGTTTCACCTCATTTGGATGGGTTTCAGAGAAATGGCGAAGGCTAACATCCATCGCGCTTCCATTATCGAACTTCATAAGCGAAATGAGCGCCCGACAGAGATCATTCAACGCCTCGGTGTGCCTCGTAGAACGGTTTATGACACCATCAAACGTTTCAAGGAGATAAATACAACCAGTGACCGTCCCAGACAAGGAAGACCCGTCTCGGTAACCACTCCTCAGAAGATCAACGCCGTCAAATCGAGGATCAGGCGAAACCCCCACAGGAGCATGAGAAAGATGGCGTCAGACATGGGAATGAGCATCTTCGCTATGGAACAAATCGTCAAAACGAAGCTTGGACTGACCCCATATCGTGTCCAAAAAGCGGCAATTCTATCGGCCGTCAACAGGCAGAGACGCCTCCAAAAAACAAAACGACTTCTTGCTCGCACGCGGTCTGGACAACACCTCGTCACTGTCTTCTCCGACGAGAAGCTGTTCACTGTGGAGGCGGCATTCAATCCACAAAATCATCGAGTACTTGCCCAGACATCCCAGCAAGCTTCTGAGAAAGGCAGAACAATTCATCGAGCCTCACATCCTGCCAGTGTGATGGTTTTCGGTGCCATCTGCTCAACCGGGAAGTGCCCCCTGGTTTTCGTGGATCAGGGGGTGAAAGTGAACAAAGAAGTCTACGTTCGGGACATTTTGGAGAAGCATGTGATGCCCTGGACCCAAACGCATTTCGGTGGGCAGAAATGGGTCTTTCAACAGGACGGAGCACCCGCGCACACTGCCAAAACTACTCAGGAGTGGTGCCAGACCCATTTTCCCGACTTCATCAAGTCATCCGAATGGCCTGCTTGCTCCCCAGACCTGAACCCGCTTGACTTCTCCGTGTGGGGAGTCTTGCAAGAGAAGGTCAACGCAAAACCCCACTCAAGTGTCGAGGCTCTGAAGAAGACATTACTGGCGGAATGGGACAATCTTTCCATCGAATACCTGCGTACCACCGTCGCCTCCTACCCGAAGCGTCTCCGTGAAGTCATAGCGGCGAAAGGAGGCCGAATCGAAAAGAGTTACTAGATAATTATTTGTTATACTATAGATAAAAAATATTTCAAGTCTCGTTTGATTTGGACTTTTAGTTTCAGAAATATACGTTTTCAAAGTTGTGCGGGAACTTAAATGACACCCTGTATGTTTGTGTGTGTGAAGGTGAGGGAGGGGAGAGGAAGGGGAGGGGAACCCGTAAAAGGCAGCAATATCATTTTTCACCAAATTTGGTGAAACAAAAAAATCTTCGAGGTTTCTAAAGCATTCAAATTTAAGCCAAAAAAAAAGACAAAAACAACTAGACCGGCACAAAAAAAAAACAGAGTCGATATTTGGAATATCTAAAAAAGTGTTAACCAATGGGACCATCGAAACTCGCGGCCAAACATCTGTGGACCATTATCATCATTCACGAAACAAAAAAATCAAACCCATAAAATGTGGAAATTAAGTGAACGAAAAAAATTGGATAAGTCCGCGGGCGGGGGTCCTGATGTGATCAAAACGGAAATTAGCACCAAAAAATAAAAGCTCAACAAAACTGGGGGGAACTCAAGGGACCATAAAGCCCAAAATTCCAAATATCATATACAAGAGTGCACAAAAAATAGTGAACCATGCACAACCTGGCCAAACGTGCGATTCCCAATAATAGGGACCATCATGGACCAAAACGATTGGGATGAGGCAAAAATTAAAAACAAAAAACTAGGGACCATAATGTGCAAAATTGAGGATGGAAGAAAAATGGGTAAAAGTTGGAAAATGAAAAAAAAAATGAACGCACACACAGAGGCAGTCCGACATCGCCTCATTCGCGCTTCTTCAACATCATCGCCGCCGTCGTCTCGCTTCGCTGCGGCGTCGTCGGCGAGGCGACTTCGGGCGTCGGATGCACCGCGCCGCATTCTTCGTCGACGATGTCCAGACGCAACAAGCGCGCCGCCACCTGAAATACATCATCGAAATATAGCGAGACCGACGAAACATCATCCAAATATCAAATTTTAGTTGAATGAGGAAAAAAAGAAAAAAGAGAAGAGCACACACGATGAATATTTTGAGAGCGTATGCCTAATTTTTGATCTACCAGCCAGCCAGCCGATACGGGTTTTGAAAGGGAATTGAAATGATGATTGGCGACGTCAAGATCGCAGTGAAAAAATTCGCGTCACCCAATTCTAATTATAGTAAAAACCCTTTCGAAGGCCACGCGTTGCTGTCACAGTGGAAATTTTACAAAAAAAAAACCAAAAAAATCGCCATGCGGTCAAGCGCGTTGCGGTCGCGTCGCGGTCAAAATAGAAATTTGACAAAACTCGAAAAACATCGCCATGCGGTCAAGCGCGTTGCGGTCACGTCGCGGTCACTATAGAAATTTGACAAAACTCGAAAAACATCGCCATGTGGTCAAGAGCGTTGCGGTCGCGTCGCGGTCACCATAGAAATTTTACAAAAACCCAAAAAAATCGCTATGCGGTCAAGCGCGTTGCGGTCGCGTCGCGGTCACTATAGAAATTTGACAAAACTCGAAAAACATCGCCATGCGGTCAAGCGCGTTGCGGTCGCGTCGCGTGTGCCGACATCCCATCGACTCACCGGCAAATCATCAATATCGCGTTCGGCCAGCGTCGGAGCATGCGCTCGCTGAAACTCCAACTCGTCGTCCTCCTCATAGTCGCCGTCGTCCTCTTCCTCCTCGTCGGTGACGACGTCAGTGAGCTCACAATCCGCTTGGCCTTCCTCCTCCTCCTCGTCGTGCCTCTCATCCTAGAAAACAAAAAACGAAACAAAACTGATGAGGCGATTCTCAACGCGTCTCACCACCGGCGGCGGAATCACATCGCGAATCTCATCGTGCGACAATCCGACGCGCATGTCGCGCGTCGATCGTTTTCGCGGCGAGACCACCTCGTCGATCATCGCGTCGCTGTCGATCGGCGATTCCTGCAATCAAATTCAAAAACGCATGATGAGAGGACGGTCATTCCCCCAAACCGGTCGATCGCTGCTGTTCGATCGATTCATTCTCGGCGTTCGACCGTAGTTCACATTGATCGAGTCGGTGATCGACGTGTACTCCTCATGACGCTGTTGGCGTCGAATCGACACCATCGTTCTGGAAATTCGGTTTTGGCGAAATCATTCGATCGATCATTGCCGGTCTTACGTTTTCGCGGCGAACGTCGTGTTGCCCGGCATGACGTCGATCGACGGCACCGACGTCAGACGCTCCAATCCTTTCGGCGAGAGAAGCGCCGCGCCGCCGCCGCTCGCGTCGACGTCGACGGTGTAGCCGCACACCGTCGACGTGCGATTCCGACGCACCGGACGCAAATGGTGGTCGGCGTCGTCTTGCGATGCGCGCAACTCGTCGCCGATCGCGTCGCTCGTCGTCGGCAATTTGAGAATGATCGGCGCCGGCGTGTCCGACGCCGGCGAGAGGCATCGCGCGATCGCCGACGGCGGCGGTTGGCCGGCGGCGTGAAGCGCTCGCACAATGTCGAGAATCTCCGCCTGCAAATTGGTTGTCTCATTTAGGGTCTCCTCAATAAAGGACCCCCCCTACCCTATGGGATCAGAAGAGTGAAGAGGGAGGGAGGCGGGAAAGGGAAAAGCTGAATTTTGAAGACCAAAAGGTGAAAATTGGAAAATTCAAAATTCCACTTTAAAAAAAATGCTCACAAATTTCAAATCACCTGCCCATTTTTGGCATTTTCAATACAATTTCAAAATTCGAATATTTGAAACAAAAAAAATGGTCAAAATTGTTCGGAATCTCGCAAATTCCGATAGTGTTTTGCTCAATTTCCGAAAATCGCCGAATTCGACAAAAAAACATTTCAGAAAATGTTTTCTTGCAATGAGTGAAAACTCGCATTTTACTCAAATTTGGACAAAAAAATCTATCAAAAAACTGAATTTTTTTCGGGCAAAAAAAATGAACCGCAATTTTCTTCACATTTTTCTGACATTCATTTAATAAGAATCGCATTATTTCCAATTTCTGATTCATTCTATAATTAGAAATTTAAAAAACAAAAAAAAACCGTTGGAATTCAATTTCCACGCAATTTGATTTCAAACCAACGCCGACCGCGACGCATACGCAACGCGGCAGGCGCTTAAGCGCGCGAATTTGAATATTCGACACAACCTACTTTCTTTCTTTTTTTTTTCTTCTAAAGAGATTCTCGAATTACCCAATGTTGGGACAATTCGATATACAACGCTCACCTGATTCTTCTCAACCGCCGTCAATCGCTGATCGATCTCCGACACCGCCTCGCGACTCATCGTCTCCTTCGCCTGCAAATCGACCATCCGATTCAGAATCTGATCCGTCCGCTGATCGGTGCGCAAAATTCGCTGCTCGTTGCTCGTGTTCTTCTCGTTCTCTTTTTGACGCGCCAAATCCTCCATGCAGTCCTCCTCGAAATCATGAAGCTTCTCGATTTGATCATCGGTGAGGAAAAGCTCTACAAGGTTCGACAAATTGGCTCGACGTTTGCCAAAAAATCAAAAAATCAAACTCAGCGAAAAATCGAAAATCGAGTGCTTCTGCTCCAATTTCTTCTGCTCATCCGTCGTCAATTTGTATTGAATGTATTTGAACAGCATGTAGACATGGTGGATTGGTGTGAATGGTGGCGGCAGGAATGGCGTCGACTCGTATTCCATCACCTGCTTATATCGTTGAAACAGCCAAATCTGTTGGGCGATCTCGTCGGTCGCGTCGAATATGTGGCTAAAGCAAAAAAATAATAATAAAATCGTTCAATTTTTTCTCGAAAAATGCCAAAATTTCACGATTTTCGCGCCCAAAAATGCCCATTTTAAGTGGAATCCAAAATTTTTGGCTTCGATTCTCACAAAAAATCGCAATTTCAGATCGGTCTGACTTCGAAAATTTTGAGTAGTCTAAAATAAACATTTTCGGCGTCAAAATGCTGATTTTAAAATCGAGAAATCCTAGAAATTCAAACAAAATCGGAATTTTCATCAAGAAAAATCTAATTTAAGATGGAAAATCTGAAAAAAAGGCCAAATTTCGCCAAAAAATACCTTGCAAAACTCCACAAAATCATAGATATTTTTCAAAAAAAAAAAAAACCACACAATTCTGGTGATTCTCACAAATATCGCAATTTCAGATCATTAAAAAAAACTCGAAAATTGTGAGCCTAAAATAAACATTTTCGGAGTCGAAAAGCTGATTTTAAACTCGAGAATCTAAAAAATGAAATTACTGCAAAAAAAAAAAAAAACGCTGAAATCCTAGAAATTCAAACAAAATCGGAATTTTCATTAAAAAAAAAACAATTTTTGTTTCTCATCATTTCCCGGTCAACAAGCCTAATTTAAGACGGAAAATCTAAAAAAAAAAGCAAAAAAAACTTGCAAAAATCCACAAAATCTTAGTAATTTTTCAAAAAAACCTCACATTTTTGGTGTCAAAAGAGTGCATTTCAAGGTCCGAACCAGCAAAATTTTCAAGAAATCAAGAAAAAAAAAAGAATCTCACTTGAATATCGCAATAAGCATGCTCATGAGCAGAATGTTGGCAATCAGAAGGAAGAATGTCATGAGGAGCGGCGGAATCCAATGGCCGGGCACACACGACAATCCCGTCGTGCCGTTGCCGAGCATCACCGGACCATCGTTCTCCAAATGCTGATCCCACGCCTCGTCGCCGCACGTGTCGATCTCGTCCGCGTATACCTCGCCGTAGAGCATGAAGTAGGGTTTGAGGAACACGTTGCGCACGAGAATCCAGTGCCAATCCTCGTTCGGATAGGTGATGCTCTGACGGGCGAGTCCGAACGACAGCAGCGAGACGACGAGCATCACAATGATGTACGACATGTTTTGGATCTGCAATTTTCATTTCAATTCGCATTTTTTTCTTTTTTGAACGGGTATTCCGCAATGGGTATTTTTCTTGAAAATCTCTTATTGGAAAAAAAAATTGCGAGAAGCTTTTGCACTAGACGCTTAAAGGCGCATGCTGAAACTGTAGACGCTTAAAGGCGCACGCTGAAACTGTAGATGCTTAAAGGCGCATGCTGGAACTGTAGACGCTTAAAGGCGCATGCTGGAACTGTAGACGCTTAAAAGCGCATGCTGAAACTGTAGACGCTTAAAGGCGCATGCTGAAACTGTAGACGCTTAAAAGCGCATGCTGGAACTGTAGACGCTTAAAAGCGCATGCTGGAACTGTAGACGCTTAAAAGCGCATGCTGGAACTGTAGACGCTTAAAAGCGCATGCTGAAACTGTAGACGCTTAAAGGCGCATGCTGGAACTGTAGACGCTTAAAAGCGCATGCTGGAACTGTAGACGCTTAAAGGCGCATGCTGGAACTGTAGACGCTTAAAAGCGCATGCTGGAACTGTAGACGAAAAGCGCATCTGAAACTTAGACGCTTAAAGGCGCATGCTGGAACTGTAGACGCTTAAAAGCGCATGCTGAAACTGTAGACGCTTAAAGGCGCATGCTGGAACTGTAGACGCTTAAAGGCGCATGCTGAAACTGTAGACGCTTAAAGGCGCATGCTGGAACTGTAGACGCTTAAAGGCGCACTAGAGCTGAAACTGGATGCGGAAGACGCTTAAAGGCGCATGCTGGAACTGTAGACGCTTAAAAGCGCATGCTGAAACTGTAGACGCTTAAAGGCGCATGCTGAAACTGTAGACGCTTAAAAGCGCATGCTGGAACTGTAGACGCTTAAAAGCGCATGCTGGAACTGTAGACGCTTAAAAGCGCATGCTGGAACTGTAGACGCTTAAAAGCGCATGCTGAAACTGTAGACGCTTAAAGGCGCATGCTGGAACTGTAGACGCTTAAAAGCGCATGCTGGAAACTGTAATAGACGCTTAAAAGCGCATGCTGAAACTGTAGACGCTTAAAGGCGCATGCTGGAACTGTAGACGCTTAAAAGCGCATGCTGAAACTGTAGACGCTTAAAAGCGCATGCTGGAACTGTAGACGCTTAAAAGCGCATGCTGGAACTGTAGACGCTTAAAAGCGCATGCTGGAACTGTAGACGCTTAAAAGCGCATGCTGGAACTGTAGACGCTTAAAGGCGCATGCTGGAACTGTAGACGCTTAAAGGCGCACACTAGAAAACCTTTAAATACAGTTTTCAATGGCCCTTTGCCTACTTTTTAAGCAAAAAACCAAAATTGCTAAAATTTTTTTTAGAAATTAATATTTCTTACATTTTCAGTCCGGAAAGCGAATAGAAAAATTGAAAAATATTTAATGAGACGAAAAAATTTGAAAAAATCTTTGAAATCGATCAATTTTTTTCTCATTCTTAATCTAAAAAATCGCATTCGATTGAAATTTTGGAATAATTCGAAATCGATTAATTCATATTCGATTTCGATTGAAAAAAAAAACATTTACAAGCTTTTATCTAAAATCTTGAACATTTTTCGAAAACTGTTCGGGGAATAATCGGATTTTTCAAATTTCGCGCCCAATTTCTTTTTGGCAAAGATCGATGTGCCATTTTTCAGACATTTTAATAGCGTTTCTTTTGGTTGGAAAAAAATTATTTTCAATTCCCCATTTCTGATGATTAGTGGGAGGAGCTCGGCAAAAAAAAAAACTATCGGAATAGGATTTCAAAAAAAAAAACTTTTCTGATAGAAAAAAAACAATTTTTGGGCATTTTTCATTCAAAAATCCATTATTTCTTAATAAAAATTTTTTTAATGACATATATATTTTTTTCCCAGCACAAGGCGTCAAACTAGTTACCATTTTGCCGGCCATCGTCACATATGGTCCAAGTCTCGGATGCACACTCATATAATCCAGCAGCTTCATCGTCCACAAAACCGAATCCGTCGCCATAATGACTCTTCCATACGGGACACTTCTGGAAAAAAAAACAAACAAACAATTTTGAAATTATCAAAAAATTCCAGCACAGGATTGCACGGCAACAATTATTCGTGTAAAACCTCGCAATTTTTGCGCCGATTTTCAATAATTAATACAAAAAAAAAATCGAATTTCAACGTTTCTTCAAAATTTGGCAGCTTTTCTTCAATAATTCGCAATTTATAATTTTTTTTTCAAATATTTTCCTTTCGTCAAATTTTTTTTAAAAGCTATTTTATGAAAAAAGCGAGCTCGAAAAAAAAATCAAAAAAATGTTCCTTCTGTTCATCGAATAAAATTGGGGCGTTTTTCGCCAGAAAAAAAAAAATAAATTCAAAACAAAATTTTTGTTTTTCAGATTTTTTTTCCAGCGGCAACAGAATTCCGTGCAACCGCTATTCCTCAAAATAAATGGGAAAATGATTTAAAACAAAAAATGAACTATAGAAAACGACTCACATGAACACTCGAATCAAGAATCCGACAATGAACAAGACGATGGCGAGCATCGTGACCGAATTCCAGAAGTTGCTGTAAAACGCGATCACCTTCTCAAAAAACGTTCGCATATCGCTCATGAGCATCTGGAAGCAAAAATATTCGAATCGAATAAGAGCAAACAAAAAAAACTTTTCTCGTGTATTCGAGGCCGAACGCGACGACATACGCGAACAGGCACCACTCGGTGATTGTCGGCGACGGCGGCGTTTTGATGAGCAACGTGTGCGTCAGTGTGCCGATGAACACCGCAAACGAGATCGCCCACGCCCAGAACGTGCTGATCGGCGCCGTGTAGAACTCGTAGAATCGACGGCGGTATTTGAGTTGACGCTGAAATCAATCGGGTCTGATTCTGACCCATCTAGTTCAACCAAAAAAAAAAAGAACGAACTATTCCTCGTAAAAACCTATCCCTATGAGTATGCTCTGGGTAAATCAGAACCAATCGAATCGGATCCGACAAAATGCCGGAATCAATCGTATCCGATTGGTTTTTTTGGGAAATTTTCGAATCCGTTTTGTTTTTTTCCATTCGAATCGGATCCAAAGATCCCCAAATATCCAATCTGATCGGGTTGATTCCGGAGCCCAATATTGTCGAATCCGTTTGGTTTTGAGTTACCAGAGTACTCATGACTATCATTAATGATTCATAAGGAGAAAAAAAAACACAAAGGAATCAAATGATAAAGCGCTTACCGTTCCTTGGAACTGCTCGAGAATTCCAATCTTCGGCATTTCCGACGAGACGCCGCTCAACTTCACCGATTTGTCGAAACTCTCTGCAAATCAAAGACGGCCTTCGAAGTGTTCAAATCAATCTGGTTGGAGACGAGAGAGAGAGAGAGAGAGAGAGAGAGAGAGAAAAAAAAACAGCCTACTATTCGATCCAAAATGCATCGATCCGGATTTGCTCTCCATATCGTTGTCCCTATACGAGGTGTGACGATTGCGATGCTTCAGATACATCGGAATCGGCGAGAGGGCGCCGTTCGACGCGAATGTGCCGTACTCGCCGATCGTCGGTCCGACTCGGCCATTCTCTATCGTCGCCACATCGGGCTCGCGATCCTTTTTCGCCTTCTTGCGCTTACTGTTGAACAACTACAAACAATTTGCTCGATTACTGTCGCTCTCGCGTTGAAAGTTGTAGTTGTGCAAACACCGCGGCGCAAATTTGCACAACACGTTTTGCATTTAGAAAATATCAATCAAATTACTGTAGATCGAGTGTGTCTGTGTGAGGACACCGCGACGCAAAATTGCACCAAAATTGGATATTCTACGAAAACAAAAATGAAATTACGGTATCTCGCGTTGAATATTGTGTAGACACCACCACGCAAAATTGCACAAAATTTTTCGAAAGCCCCCACCCCCTTCAAAAAAAAAAAGACGAAATGTTTAAAGGCGCATACCGAGGCGATATTGAGCGACTGGACACTTCCTTGCGATTGTTTGCGACTTCGTCGATCTTTGCCACCATTGTTGTTGTCCTCGTAGTCGCTTTCCGAGCCGCTCGTGCTGCTCTCGCTCGAGCTGCTCGAGCTGCTCGACGACGACGACGACGACGAGACGATCTCGTTCATGTCCTGCTCGTGCTCGGCGGCGGTTTGCGGCTGATTGAGAAGCTCCTCGCGCGTTTTGAACTCGAGACACAGCACCATGAACGGAAACAGCAGGCTCAGCACGACTTTGACGTTCGAATGCGTTCGCATTCGCAATCCGCCGTGCCAAAGGTCGGCGAGCAATATTTGGCAGCTGGAAACAAAAAAAAAACCAAATCTAGAACGGTCGAGTTTGATTCGCAGCGTGGTTCCCTAGTACGGTATCCAGTTTGAATTCAAATTTGAATTTTAAAAAACTTAGAAAGAAAAATGCGCTGGTCCACAAATTCTTTGGGTTCCTGTTTCTGAGAATACAGTAGTCATCTTCCAACAAAAAAACCTCCCAAATTCAGTCGCCACAACACCCATCTCATTTTCAGCGTTATGTGCCTTTAATAATTAAATTAATATAAATTCAATTTGATTAGAATTTGAGAAAAAAACCGTTCTATCAAACTTTTTTACCGAATAGAAGAAAAAAATTTTGCAACGAAAACGTGTAAAGTGTCCAAGGGGGGTCCAAATTCAAAATTTTTAAAAATTTCGAAAAAAAAATGATCCCAATTTAAACCACAATATTGTTAAAATTGTAATTTGTCTTCAATTTTCGGTATAAAATAGAAATTCAAAATAAAATTAGCAGTTTTTTTCAAGGCACACGCAATTTTTTGAGTGGCGCGTCTCTCGCAGCGAACACGAAATGAAACATCAAAAAATGGCGTGCGCCTTTAAACAACACCAACAACAACAACAAAAAAAGCCATGACCAACCAGGGATGCGCGAGAAAATGCTTGTTGTTCACAATGACAGCTAGTGCCAGACACGTCTCGTCGCTCCAATTCGACAGCTCATACGTCAGAAGCTGAAGCGTCTGCGCGTCGTCCTGATTGTAGCAGTGCTCGAGGAGCTCAAGAGAAAGCACTCGAAATTCTCTTCAAAAAATAAAAAATGATAATTTTTTTTTCCAAAAAATATATACTCGGCATATTTTTTGAGCTCGTCGCAAATCTCGACTTCGAGATAATCCTCGGCGGCTTCCGTCGCCAAACTCTTGTACAAACGGCACGCCACCAACGCCTTCGCCAACGCCTCTTCGCCGTGCTGCCACATGCACAACGCCATTTCTTGGCGTTTCGTCAACACCGCCCAAATGAGCAGCTCGCTGTACGGATAGCGAAAGTCGGGCTCGGTGCTCGAGTTCACCGAACCGCCGCTTAGCGACAAATCTGAAAATGTGCGCACAATGTTTGCTCTGTTCAACGCGAAAAAATAAATGCAAATTCATGCAATCAAAAACAAAATATTTTTTAATCAATATCGTAATTCTCCGCTATTTATTTTCAAAGGCGCACGCGAAAAGTTGCGCGGGTCACGTCGCGAAGTCGGTACTGTAATTTTTTAAATTCTGAGTGCTTAAAACGTCTTTTTTTTTGGAAATCTATAAAAGTATCTTGTTTAATCAACGTTAAATGTTCATCAGAAGCGTCATCGAGCGAAGTCTACATCAAATCAACACAAATACTCGGGTAAATGAAAATCGAAAGGATTGGAAGAAAAAAAATGTAAATTAACCTGTTTCGATTGAAAAATAATTCAAATTCAATTAAGAAAAGCTTAAATTCGATTTGAAATCTTGGTTTCGATTCAAAAATCTTCGAAATCGATTTTTTTCTCATTTTTAATTTAAAAAATCGCATTCGATTGAAATTTTGGAATAATTCGAAACAGATTAATTTACATTCGATTTCGATTGAAAAATAAAACATTTTCGAATCTGATTGATTTTCATTTACCTGACAAGGGAGGTCATTTTGCTGTCCGTCTTAAAATTGTTTTATTTTTTGCATACAGATTCTTTAGAAAATTTCCAATCAAATGAACTAGGTCCCTACCTGAGTATCACGATTGTTCATGATAATTAAAAAAACGAAAAATAGACATAACATGTCGAATTTGGAGTAATTATAGCAATAATTGTTTTTTTTTTTCTCGTTCTTCAATCCGTTACACATTTCCTCTTCGAAGTTTTCGAAAAAATGCGAAAAAAATAACCCACAGAATGAAAATAAAAAATTACAGTACCGACTTCGCGACGTGACCCCGCGCAACTTTTCGTGTGCGCCTTTGAAAATAAATAGCCGAGAATTACGATATATCGCGTCAATTTTTTTTTGTAATTTTCGATAGGGAATTCACATGAAAAAAATTGATTAAAAACAATTTTTCTTTCATTCCATGATATAGTCGGGGCGTATTCAAAATTTCGGCTATTAAATTTTTTCAACGATAATTCGAAATATAAACATAGTCGGGGCGTCCGGCGACTGCTGTACGCGGGTAGATTTACGCGCATGCGCCTTGAAAAGGTCTCGCAAAGACTAACAGGTTATTTCGAATTTTATGGACCGTTTCGATAATTTGTTTAATCGAATGAGGTTGGAAATTCAAGGAAATGCAAAACTCATCAAGAAAAATGAAGCAGTTCTCGTGAAAACAGCAAAATAAGCGTTAAATCGTGGCAAGACCTTTTCAAGGCGCATGCGCGTAAATCTACCCGCGGACGCCCGACTATAGATTCTTTTAAGTTTGCAAGACTAAAAAAAAGGGGTGTTTACCATCTCCAAAATCGCTATAGCATTCTCTCGAGTCGCCCATATTCGGTGGTCGATTGGCATTCGTCTGAAAAAAAAATCAATTGGAATTCAAAACAGGCTCTGAAATTCGCGATGCGCCCACATTCGTCCGATAGGCGCTCCGCCACAAAATGTGATTGCTCAATGCGCGACTGCCGCACACCGCGTTCACGCCGACCGCCTCGCAGACGGTGTCCTGCGGATTGTTGTAGCTCGCGCCGAACAGCCCGCCGACTTCCGTCGATTGACGCGACATCGCCGCCGAGCCGCCGTGCGAGCGCATCACAAACGGATTCGTCGTCGCGCCCTTCTTCTTCATGATTTTCGTGCGCTTCTGTCGCTCTTTGTACTTCTCGCGGAATTCCGACGACGTGTATTTCGATTTGTACGCGTTGCCCATCAGCTTCTCGATCGCCAATCCGATGTCGGGAAGCCTTAAATCAAAATTTGTTTGGTCTCATCCAAAAAGGAAGAACACAAATTTTGCAATTCGACGAACAATTAGAAAAAGAAAACCCAGAATTTTCAATTACTATTTTTTATTACAATATATTTTGGGAAAAAAATATTTGCTTAAAAAAGTCTTGAGCGGTGAAATCGTAAAAATTGAGAAACCCATTTAAAATAAATCTTGCATTCGTCATATTCAATTTGTAATTTTAAAAAAACACATTATGGACCTATTCAAAAAATGAAATTTTTACCAAAAATTAAAAAAAAATTGAAATTTCTTTAAATGCATTATATCATCAAGAAAAAGAAATTTTCAAAAAATTGTAAAAATGCTCGCTTGCATAACAATTTTTCTGGAAACATTCAAATGCGCCTTTAAACCATTTCAAAATATTCAAAATAATGAAGATTTTATAGTAAATTAATGGAGTGAAAAATTTTTTTTCAAAATTCGCGCCACTCAACCTCGCGGCCGGCGGGTAGATTTACGCGCATGCGCCTTCGCTATGGTCTCGCACGGACTGCACTGCACATTTTCATTTTAGAGCTCATTCCATTAATTTTAAATTCAGTGATATAAAATCTTCAAGGAATCAATGAAAATTGAACAGTTCACGCCTTCACGCGTGGCGAGACCATTTTTAAAGGCGCACCGTGTGCATCAGTCGCCAAACGCCCGAACTACAACAAATGTAGACAAAACTTCTCTTCAAATCATCATACTTGAATCGATATCCATGCTTGACGCGAACAACATCGCGAATAATGTAGAACAACGTGTTCGGTGGTCCCTTGTCGGTATTGTAGAGCTCTTCGAGTCGTGTGATCGACAGAAATTTCTGCATGTTGATGCCCTGCTCGAGGAGAAGCCTCACAAAATCGACGCGATCATGAATCAGCGCTTCCATCATCGCGTTGTGAAGGGCGGCTTGCGGCCATTCCTGAATTCAATAGACGATCAAGACAAAAATCGTGAGTCCTAGAGTAAGAGGAATCGCATTCAAGAATTTTCAGATAAGAGAGAAAGAAAAAAAGAAAACACCAACATTGCCATTCGTGAAGATGTCCGATCGCGCAATGTCGACACGATTCCACGCCAACGCCAACGCCAACTGATCGGCCACCGACAAATTGGTGCCTTTGAGCAGCGCGGTGAGAATCGCGTGGTCGACGTCGAGTTCGCCCTTCTCGCCGAGCCGAAAGATCGTCAGCAGATTCTTTTGCTGCGCGCACACGATCAACTCGTGAAGGAGGCGATTCGCCGACGCTTCCGTACAGCCGAACGTCTTCTCGACGAGCTCGAGCACCTGCGTTCGGATCTCATCGGCGAGTTGCCTTCAAAACGTCGGTCTCTCATTTTGAAACATCATGGCTACCGTAATCCTCACCCGTTCTCTGTCACATTCTGATGGACGAACGCCAGCAGATCGGCGGCTCGGCCACTTCCATCGCAGACGACGACGGGCACGCGGGGCACACTAGAAAATGGCACACGCTCAAAAATCACTTTTTAAAGGCGCATTCGGCTTTTCACAAAAAAAAATTGCGCATTTTTGCCTCGAGTTTCGGCAATTTTTTTTTCTTGTCTAGCAATTCAATTTTCGAATCAAACCAACTTGGTGACATAATCGAGAACGGATCGAATCGTGCAGCTGCCGCCTTCGAGCACCACACAGACGACCGGAACACTTCGGGTGCCGCCGAAGATCTTCTGCTTCTGCGAGATGTACATTTCGAGACGCTTCCGAAGGATGACCTCGGCGCCGAATCTGAAATCAATTGCTCAGATGGCTCGTTCGAAATGGCTCGTAAACGAAAAATTGACATTTCCAACTCGAATTCGACCAGATTCGAATCTAAAGTGGCCTATTTCGGAGCCCAAATGAATTTCCAGAGATTTTGCCCCCAGAAAATCGTTGTTTTGTAATTTTCCGAAAAAATTATTGTCACCAAATATTATCAATTTTCGATTTGAAACCCTAAAATTCAAAATTTTGCAATCTCCAAAAAAAACGTTTCTGTCAAAAATCAAAAAAAAAAAAAAAAAAACAACAACCTTCCAACGGTTCCATTATCAACCAGAAGGAAATACGAGTGCCGATTGTTGAGTACCGTGAATCTGCCCTTCGGCGCCGACGCATACAACTTCACCGGCTCATCCTACAACGAGAAAAACAAAACACCAAGGTCCTCGATGCGCCTTGAATATCCGCATACCTGCACAGTGAGCTCGTCGCGCTTCTTGAGCAATCCCCACGGCGCGATTCCAATGCACACGATTTTGTTGCGTTGCGCCGAGCCGGCGCCTTCAAGCGCCGCCGCAACATGCTTCACAACTCCCGTATCGCATCCGCTAGTGATGATCCACGCTCCCGTCGTCGACGCCGCCTTCAGAAGGCCTTTGCGGAAGACGCGCGCGAGTTTCGGTTGAAGACTAGAATGAACAGAATGAAAAAAAAAACAGAAATTAATATGGACACCAAAAAAAATAAGAACAAGCTAATGAAGCGGCACTCACTCAAAATTGCTAGTTCCGCCATGCACCGTTATTATCAATCTGGGCGGTGTGATCTGCCAGACATGCTCGAACAACGACATAATCAGCGCCGGCTCCGTGTCGAAACTCAATCGAATATATTGCGCCTTGTACGGATGAGGGCCGCCTGCAAAAAATAAAATTGGGCGTGGCATAGGGGTCCCAAACAAAGTGGGCGGGGCTTAAAGACTATTTTGAACAGAGACTAATAGTAAAGGCCAATTGCTCTCAAAATTCGCGGAGCCTAGAACTCGATTCTGTTGGCAGCTCCTCCCCTACTAGTGGGCGTGGCATTGGGGTCCCAAACAAAGTGGGCGGGGCTTAAATACTATTTTGAATAGAGACTAATTGCTCTCGAAATTCGCGGAGCCTAGAATTCGATTCTGTTGGCATCACATTCCTTCTAGGGGGCGTGGCGTAGAGGTCCGAAACAAAATCGAGCAACGACTAACTAATATTAAATCTCAATTCTTTTTTTTTTTGGAGTCTCAAAATATGCTAAAAAAAAAAACAAAATAAATCGTATTCATAATGGGCATGGGCGTGGCATAGAGGTCCCACAAGCGTCAAACCTTGAAATTCGATTTGCCCGTAGGCGTTCGTCGGCAACACGACCGTATGCTTCCGAAGGCTCCACTTCTCATTGATGCCATCTCGTCTCTTCAAAAAAAAAAGAAACCCCTCATCGGACATTCAAATCTCGCTCTTACCATGTTGGTCGCCGTCGTCGTCATCGTCGCCGTGTTGATCTCCGAATCGTCTTTGCCAATCGCGCGCGACTGCTCCAATTGTTGAAGCGAACGCTTCTGAGTGAGATATTCGAGCGTCAATTTCGGTATCTCGTCGTGTGCCAATTTCGCTCGTCCGCAACCGCATCTGAATCAATCGGCTTCAGGGGTTCGTTGTGTGCGTATGCGCTCACTTTTGCAAATCGCGACTCGTCGGAATGAATCGCGAGCATTCGCGTCGCGTGAACGTCTCAATAATCCAATTGTTGCGATTCAGCGACTGAAACGAAAAAAAAACCAATTGAATGGCTTGATTTGTTAAGAGCGTCCGGCAACATGTGCCCACTGCGCCGTTCGAAATGGGTCTCGCCACACGTATTTCAGGGTTGTGCGGCAATCGGAAATTTCCATACTTGCAAATTCGACCCGGGGCGGGTCAGTAAAAAACCCGCCGAGCCGCAACGACACTCCAAGTTTACAGCGAGGCCCTTGTTTAGCGAAAAAAAAGAATTTCGAATTACGTTTTTTGAGTAGAATGAATTATTCTCGCAACAAAAATTGTTCAGAAGTCCTCAAACAAAATTGATTGAACCAGCTTTCACTGTTTTTGTTTCGTTTTCGATTTTTTTTGAAATAAACTTTTCTTCAAAAAATCTATTAGCGGGTCGGGGCGGGTCGGTAGAATTTTCACTCTGACCCGCCCCGTTGGCGAAAATCAAAATTTCAGCTATTAAATTTTTTTCAACGATAATTCGAAACATAAATATAGTCGGGCTTCCGGCGACTACTGTACGTGCGGGTAGATTTACGCGCATGCGCCTTGAAAAGGTCTCGCCACGCGTGAACGCTTATTTCAGTTTTCTTGATGAGTTTGGCATTTCTTGGAATTTCCATCGTCATTCGATTAAAAAATTATCGAACCGGTTCATAAAATGCGAAATATCCTGTTAGTCGGTGCGAGACCAAGAGAAAGACGCATTCCCGTAAATCTACCCGCGTACAGCAGTCGCCGGACTATACCGAATTTTCACGGTATCCCAAATTATTCAATTTACATTGATTTTTGTTCCGCCGAATTTTTTTTTCGACATCAAATTGCCGAAAATCAAAATTTCGACAATTCCATTGCCGCACAGCCCTGATGTATTTTGTTTTATTGGGAAATTTGACGGTTTCTTTTTTTTCGCGATCGCTTCAAGCCAAATTCTCAATGTCTCAACAAAAATCCATAAAAAGCCAATCTCAAATTGAGGCAATTTCGCAGTGCTTTGAATTTCTATTCGCGTCGGGATATCGCCTTTCAAAAAATCAATTAATTCATTCCAATTCTTCATTTTTTTTTGTTTTCAGATGGGAATTGCTAAAACAAATAAAATCGCTGTTGAGAGCAAAGAAAAAAGCTCTCGGAATTTCAGCCCAAAAACGAATTCAATTGATATCGGATTTTCTATAGCTCAAAAATGAGGCGAGAAATGCGAATTCCATCGCAAATTTGATCATTTTAGGCGATTTCTCAACAAAAAATCAATCAATTACCATGTCGGATCCCTCGAATCTCGCCTGATTGAACAAAATCGGCGGCATTCCGCTCGTCGACGTCACCGATGCCGGCGTCGTCGTCGTCGTCGCCGCCGCCATCGCGCCGTTGCCGATGAGTTGCGTCGTCGAGCCGGCCGACGCCTCGTCCGCGTCATTCGCGGCTCTCGGTTTCGTTTGCAAACAAGTTGTCACGCCCAGCTGAAATTCGAAACGATTCGATTCTTCTTTCTTTTCTTTCGTTGGTTTTTTTGCTCCAACATTTTAAAGGCGCACATCACCGAAAAATCAATAATTGGGTCCCGCCATCTAATAGGAAAACTAATTTTAAAAAAATAGGGGGTCTCGAACAATCATTTTGGGAGTCTGTAAATTTTAAAATTGACGGTTACGGTAGGTGAGACAACCACTACTACAGTAGTCTCTTTAAAAACACACCTGAGACAACAATTGTTACAGTATTCTTATTTCGGGACTTGCGACATGGATTACAGTAGTCTAGTAGAATTATTGTTGGCTTCGAGAAACCACAGCTTCAAATGTGAATTACTGTAACGACTTCGCTACAAGACCCCATAAATCTACAGTACTAAGTCGATTAGGGTCTTTTGTTACGAGACCCAAACTTCAAAAATCGGATTTCGAAAAAATTTCGAGCTCTTCTTTAAACAGCTCCATAATAATTGGTCCCAACACGAAAAGACGCGCCTGTGTACTCCGCACGGACAATGCGCGAGGCACAATTTCTAGAATAGAGCACGACACTATTTATATTTTTTGTAACTCTACAGTAATCCTGATTGTTGCTGAGTAAGAAGAGTCCGAAATCAATAAATCTGCATAGATACAGTAGTCATTCGTCGCGAGACCCCCAAAAAAAAAATTAAATACACCAAAAATTGCGAGGAAGGCGGGAAATTTTTAAAGAACGCTGTGCAACGAAACAAACAACCGATAGTTAGTAAATAATTGAAAGATGCTATCTTCGTGGGGGGGGGGAGAAAGTTTCTTCCTTATTTGGAGGTACCCACGAGGGTATGGAGAGGGGGTTGGGGGTTCGATTTCGATCAACGGAACACAACCAACAAGTTGGGTGTCGAGAATTTCTAAAAATGGCAACAGGAAGAAGAAGAAGGAGAAGAAGAAGAAAAGGCGCATTACAGCAAAATCGGTGTTCTTTAAAAAAAGAAAGAAAGAAAGAAAGAAACCGACGATTCTCTTCTCAAGGTCTCGAAGCGATAATTTTAAAAAAAAAATTCGGATTTATAGAAAAAATCTCAAATTTGAAAATCTCTAAAATTGCATTGGAAAAATTTCGGTCCAATCTTCAAAAAAAAATAATAATAATTTTCCGAGATTGTCGTCACAATTTTGACGGTTCCCAAAAAAAACTCCCCAAGAAAAAAAATTGGGCCAAAAATGATTTTTGCAGAAAAAAAAAATGCAAAATTCGCCAAACTCGTTCGCGTTTTCTCGAGCGCGGTCAAAACGGCGATGGCGGCGAAAAAAAAAAACATACAAACGATGAATCGAGATTTTTTCCGCGATAAAATCGAACTGCTTTTGAACTTGCGGCCGGCGTCGAACTCATTTGACACCACAAGCTCCGCCCACTCTTTAAGGATATTCTTCCCCCATCTCAAGGGTTTCATTACCAACAAAAAACAACAAATCTAATCATTATATATTTTTTAAAATTATTTTTTTGCGAAGAAATATTCAAAAAATGCTGATGTTAAGCTCAAAAAACTAATCGGGCAGTTGAAAAAAAGTGGGCGTGGTCAAAAGAAGACAGTTATCAAAACGAAATTGCTCAAATCTCCAATTTTTTCAAGAATAATTCTAAAAATGTAGAAAACAAACGCAATTTCGACGATTTTAAAGTTAAAAACCGACATTCTCTTCAAAAATTTTGAAAATCCAATAAAAATCGTGCAAAATTCCAAAAATTTAGAAATTTTCAAAATTTCAAAAATCTTTCGCTTCTAATTTCAAAAAACTACAACTCTTGAAGAAAACCTTTCAAAAAATTCCAATTCCATTCATTTCAAGCTTTAAAATCAACTATTTTCTTTTTATTTCTTTAAAAAATTTTGGGCAAAAAATAACTCTAAAAATGGGCGTGGCCAAACCGATAAAGCTTCAGCAGCAAAAAATCGTTGGGTGAGTTAAAAAAAAAATTGGAAATTTCTTGATATTTTGCTCAAAACCACGAAATTGAGAAATTTGAATTGAAAAAAAAAACGACTGACTGTCTGAAAACGACGACGACGACAAAAGATGTTATCGGTCGGGAGGTATGGAAAAATTTTTTGTTGTGATGATGATGACCGACCGACCGACCGACCTCGAGAGGCAACCGACACAAAACGAGGGTGAACCGATTGCGATTGGGTCTCGAAGCGCGCAAAATGGAAGAAGAAAATAAACAAACAAACGACAGTAAGCCGTATAGTCAAAGGGCGGGTGCGATTACGGTATCATTTGAAGAGGGTCTCGAATGGAAAGAGATCATAATCTTAAAGAACATAATGATACTATGAAGATTTTGCGAAAACTGAAAAAAAAAATAAAAAGGTGTAAAAGACCTCTGAAAATCAGATTTCTTCTAAAAAAAAAAACACGGCCACGGCCACGTTTTTCAAAACCTACAGTACCACACGATTTTTTATGGGTTTCAAGTATTTTCTACATTTGCTACTTTTCAATTCTGATTAAAGGCGCATTTACAAATGTTTTAAAGGAATTATTTTTCCGAAAATGAGGACAACGAAAAATGCAATTTCAAAAAAAAAAACCATTGAAGAATGAAAATTTGTCGGTCGGTATCTGCTGGATTAATTGCGATTAACCAAAAATCTCGCCATAATTCCTCCCAAAAACAAAAATGGAAACCTATTCAACAAAAAAAAAGCTATGATTGGAAGACCATCACTACAGAGTTGGGGGGGGGGGGTCTGATAATCAACCCTGTGTTGCTGTGTTGATGCTCCCCCACAAATATCACGCTGAATCAATAAAAATTTAGTCGACACAAAATCCAATTAACAAACATTTGCAAAAGCAGGCAAAGATTGCGAGTGTTGTTATGATTCTCGCTAATTCTACTACTACTCGCCGTGTTTTTTTTTTCTCGACCAAAAAAAAACAACACGACATCCCCCCCAATGGTGCTCTCATCATTTAAAGGCGCATAAGGAGGCCGACGTCTGCTAATTCCTTCAATTTCATTTTGTCGTAATCCACACGACTACGACGAATTGGCTAAACGCAAGAAATGGTCTCGAGACGACGTCGGCCTCTAAAAATGCATTTTCGAAATTCGAAAACACCTCAAATTTTCTTCAAAACAAAAATACCGATTTCAGATATTTTCTATTCAATTTCAATTTATTTTAATTTTTTTGCTGCTTCGAAAATCCAAAAAAGGGTCTCATAAAAATTGCGAGTAAACTCAAATTTAAAAAAAAAACCGATTAAAGGCGCATAATGCGGTAAATTAAGTGGGTCTCGAAGCGGACGATTCGGGTTACGGGACTCGTTAAAACGTTAAAGGTCCATTGCTCGACGATTGGGACCTCGTCTAGCAAATAATTCAAAGACCGTCATTTCATTTTTGATATTTTTTTGTTGCCCAGGAAATTCTCGAAAAAAAAGAGTTGAAAATTCGCTTGAAAAACCTCGAGAAAAAATTCGAGATGACCGAATCTCGAACAAAATTCACAAATGTGAAGACGATTACTTACAAAACGAAAATGACGAGAACCTCAGGCAAATCAAATAAAATATTTTGAGAATCAAATATTCCAATAATAAAATCTAAAATATTTTGAGAAATTCTAAATTTTCTTGATATTTTCTAAAACTTTTTGAGAATCGCTAAACTTAAAAATAATTTTAAAATCTTATAAGATTTTCTAAAATTTATTGAGCAAATTCTAATTCTATCTCGATAAATTCGAAAATCTTATAATAATTTCTAAAGTTGATCGAGAAAAATCTAAAATATTATAGAGACACGTTAGTTTCTCAATGAATCTCAAAATATTTTATTTGATTTGACTGAGAACCTCAAAAGAGGAAGAGAGTTCTGATAAATGACCATTGGTGTCGGAAAAACAACAAAAAAAGAGCCCCCCCCGTGATTGTGCAAATACGGGGTGAGGAAATGATTAAAACCGGAACGTAAATATCAGCGATCGGCTGGAATGTGTTGTGTGTGTTTTTTTTTTCAGGCAGCTGTCTCATTCAACTGACTGGAAGAACAACACACACACAACTGTCTCTTTTTGCCAATTTTCACAATAAAATTTCAATAAATGGTTCGAAAAAATCGCAAAATTTTAAGATTCTCTTGCAAAATCTTGAAAATTCCCAATTTTAGCAACACAAATTTGAAATTTTTTTTGGAAACTTGCAAAATGCCATGATTTTCTTAATCCAATCAAAAAATAAGAAATTTCTCATCAAAACGTTGAACGATTTTCAGAAAACACGTAAAAATCCTCAAAAAAAAAATTGAAAAAAAAAATTCAAAACGACAAATTCTAAGAATATCGGGAAATTCTGCTTGAAAAAAAATCGAAATTCAAAATTTTTGCAAAAACTGAAATTCGTGACCCAGCGTGTCTGAAAATGTTGATTTTTGTTGCCGTTTTTTCCCTATTTTCAAAAAATTGTTGAATTTCGGAGTTTCATGACGGAAAAAAAATGAAAAACACTAATTTTTAGGAATGAAAAATGGCAAAAAAAAATTATTTTTTGAAGGAAAATGCTCAAAATTTCACATACTTTGATAAGACACCATAATTATGCATCACTAAACCCAACTCCATGCGCCTTTAATTACTGTATTCACAATGGTTGAAGGAAATCCCACAAATTCGAAGATTTTTTCAAAAATTTTTGAATATTTGGAACATTAAAGGAGCACAATTTTATCGCGATAGAATTTTAAACAAATTAAAATTCAGATTATGGGAGTCAAATTTTTATAAAAACCAAATATTTCTTAGCACTACGAAGATTTCACAAAAAAAATCGGCGAAAAAAACTCAACCTTATAATCTTTGTGAAAATTTTGAGAAAATAATTGAAAAGCTTGCCCAAACTTGCCAAAAAAAATTTAAAAATTTACATTCAAAAAGCGACATTTCTATTCAAAAAATAAATTTTCATTTTTCCATTTGAACGATTCTTCAAGCAGGTCGTAAAATGACATTAATAAATGCAATTTTCATTATAAAAATTTTAAAAAATTGGCTTTCTCAGGCAAATCAAATAAAATATTTTGAGATTCAATGAGAAACTAACGTGTCTCTATAATATTTTAGATTTTTCTCGATCAACTTTAGAAATTATTATAAGATTTTCGAATTTATCGAGATAGAATTAGAATTTGCTCAATAAATTTTAGAAAATCTTATAAGATTTTAAAATTATTTTTAAGTTTAGCGATTCTCAAAAAGTTTTAGAAAATATCAAGAAAATTTAGAATTTCTCAAAATATTTTAGATTTTATTATTGGAATATTTGATTCTCAAAATATTTGATTTGATTTGCCTGAGGTTCTCGTCATTTTCGTTTTGTAAGTAATCGTCTTCACATTTGTGAATTTTGTTCGAGATTCGGCCATCTCGAATTTTTTCTCGAGGTTTTTCAAGCGAATTTTCAACTTTTTTTTTCGAGAATTTCCGGGGCAACTAAAAATATCAAAAATGAAATGACGGTCTTTGAATAATTTAATTCTCAAAAAGTTTTAGAAAGTATCAAGAAAATTTAGAATTTTTCATAATATTTTAGATTTTATTATTGAATATTTGATTCTCAAAATATTTGATTTGATTTTCCTGGTTTTGCGGACGAAATTTTGAGATTTTCAGCGAGTTTTGCGATTAAAATGAATGATTTCGTTAAAAAATCGATAAATTCAACAAAACAAAAATGAAGAATACCTGTTTCAAAAGCGCGGCATCCTTCGAATCGGTGATCGCCAGCATATCCCGCCAATCGGTCGTGTGCACATTCGGCGGCGGTATCGCGTAGCCCAGAAGGCTTCGATTTCGGTGGCCTTTTCGCGGCCATCCGCCGCCCGTGAAACTTCCTGCAAACAACCAATCATGGTCCGAATTGGAAGACAAATGGGTCCTTCACGAAAAATAAAAACATCAAAAAATTTTGCCAATTGAATCCTCATTTTAAAAAAATTCCAATACTCTCCCTTAGAAAAAAATCAACAAATTTTGTTCGAAATCCAATTAAAACCCAAAATTCAACAAATCTCGAATCAAAAAAATTAATTAAAAAAAAGATGGCATCAAAAAGTTTCGGAAAAAATCATCTTCGAAGAAAATTGATTTTTTGATACGATCATTTAAATGCGAAAATTTAAAGGCGCAGAGCGAAATAGAAGAAAAACTAATCGGCATTAGCTTCCCTTTAAAATGGATATCATACGGAAAATTTTCAAACGCATCAAGACCCATTTTAAAGGCGCAGCATATATGGAAAAAGAAATAAATGGGCATGCGCCTTTAAAATGTGTCTTGGCGCAAAGACCAATTTCAAAGACGCGTTATTCTGTTCAAAATCCAAGTTTTTTGGGTCAAAATATTTCAAAAGGCCCAAAAAATCAAAATGCGCCTTTAAAATGGGAAATTCCGAAAATCGCAACGAATTGCATTTTTTTTAATAGTCGGCGCGCGCCTTGAGAAAGAGAGCAATTGGACAATTTCGCCTCAAGACCCACCGCTTCTCCTTCGTCGATGCTTCCTCGACTTCTTGCGCAGTTTCTCGCGATTCGTAACACTATTCGACGTCGGCTCTTCAGGCACCGTCAATTGGTCGAATACGCGCATCTAAAAAGCAAACAGTTGAAGGAAAAAAAAACCATTTTCAAATGAGATAGCCGAAAAATTCGAATTTCCGCCAACCTTTCAAAACTCGAAACAATTGAATTTCGACCATAAATGGGTGTAGAATGAATGAATAAATGAATAAACGATTGATTATATTGGGCCTTATCAAATTTTAATGGCGTCTAGGTTATTTTGAAGAGGAATTTCTAAAAATTCGCACCAATATTTGTCAAAGATCATTCAATTATGGCGAGTGGGAATGTTTGCTCGAAAAATCGCGCCAATGGCCTAATGATGAAAATGTCTGTAAACATCGCGAATGACTAATTACCCAATACCATTAAAAAAATTTGTTTGCGGGTTGCTTATTCATTTGTGCGGGTCTCGACGCGAAAACACTGATCGGCAAAAATATTGTTTGGCATTCAATTAGGGGTTCATATTTTTTAAAACATTTATTTCTTCGATCGCGCGCCGCCAGGAAAACCGAAAAATCCATCTGCGGACATTTTCACTACCATGAAACCTTGCCAATTCAAACAAAACTGGTATTTCTAGAAAACTGGTCTCGAAGCGAAATTTCAAAATTTGACTCCTAAGTGAAAACAAAACGTTTAAACTAAACAATTTTTTTTTGAAAAATTGGGTCCCCAATAATTCCTTCTGCGGACAATTGCCTTCAAATTTTTTGGGCGGTCAAAAAGGCCAAATTAGGTCATTTCCGAGTTTTCGACGAATTCGCCAAACAAAATCATACAAAATGGGGTTTTCTTGAACGCTTTGACCGGTTTTTTTTTCGGCGCCGAACGCTTAATCCCAAATTTATCGGACAGATTGAAATTGTAAAAAAAGAAAATTCTGGTACTGAATAAAATCTCTGAAAATTGTTGGATCATTCTAAATGTTTTTGCATTTTTTTTTTAGCCAAAATTGGAATTTTCACAAATTTTGAAGGGGAAAAAAGAAATTTTCGATGAAAATCAAATATTTAAGAATATTTTTAGGAAAAGTAGCAAGACTTCTGGAAATTTTCAGAAATTCTCAAAAAAATTTGACATTTTGAGTTGTGGGCGCTCCATTTCAAAAAAAATCTAGTATTCAAAAGACAAAAAATATCAAAGTTTTTAATTATCTGGAATAAATACCATAAAAGTCTCAAAAAATCGAAGAAATCAAAAAAATTCGACAAAAATAGCTAAAAACATTAATTCCACCTAAAAATCACATATAATTTGAAGAAAAAGCGACTAATCATCATCAATTTGCGAGCAAAATGCGCAAAAAGTTGGCAACAACTCATATAAAAAGTCATAAATTTCTCAAAACATCTGTTGCCGAACAGATGTGATGCAGTTGGGCGACTATTCGAAAAAAATTCAAAATAATATGAAAATGAATTTAAAAAAAAAACGAGGCTTACCTGCAGAGGCTGATTGCTTCCGAACACCTCCTCGTCCTCATCCTCCTCATCCTCATCGTTGTGATCCGAGCCGAGGAGTTTCTCCTCCTTCTCGCGTCGCTTCTCATACCGTCGCCTCATTTCGACTCTCGGCTGCCTGCAATTATGTCCAATTAGATAATTATGAGATAAAAAGAACCAACGCAATCGTTTCCAGCGAGTTCGTGTGGCATAAAGAAATAGCAAAATCTATATTGACCTGCAAAACCCATCATTTTCATTTTTAATTTTGTCCATATCTCAAACCTCTCGTGCCGCTGGAAGTTGGGGAACTGGGATGATAATATCATCTAAGCTTTGATCGTCGTGCTGAAACAAAAAAATCAATATCAAAATCAATGTTTAATTAAAATCGTTTGGGACATCAATACTTTTTAGGAACAATAGAATGGAAATAAATCAAGTTTGCGTGGTCATCGTTATCAAAGACCTCGTTTATTATCAACGATTGTGCTCTTTTATTACATATAATAATAATGACCACCGAATATTTTGATAATAGATGATCACGAGCCGAAATTTGAGCAAAAATTTTAAAAAAATCAATAAAATCCGTCAAATATAATGCAAGTACGCATACACCGAGTCAGAATCGGGAACGACGCGACGAGACACTTTGCCGAAAACGGCAATGCGCCTTGACTACACGCTACGGTAATTTTTTGCGTTTTGCAAATTTTTTTTGGGCGGCGAAATTGTTTATTTTTTACGGATTTTTCTCGAAAAACCTCGAAATTTTTTCAATTGCAGGTGAAGAACAAATAATAAACAAACAATGCGATGCACTCGACTTTGGCGAAACTGCGAGAAGACGCAATTTCGAATTCAAATCGGTTCAAGGGCAGAACGAAAAAAATCGTTTTCAAAAAAAAAACGAAATGAGTCAGATGGATGAATGAAAAAATCGCGAAAGCGTTGTGTGCAAATATGACGCACCATTTAAAAGCAAAAAAAAATTTTTTCTGCGCTCTCATGTGAAAAGAAGTGGAGGCGGATTTCCATCGTGAAATGGACGAATGTAATGGCCAGCTGTTTCGACGAGCACATTTCGGACTTTGCGTGTTTCTCTGCGTCGCAAGGTCGCCGCAAATGATATAGAAAACGTTCCCGCTGAAGGCACGCTATCTTATTTACAGTTTTACGTTCTTTAAATTGCGAAATCGTTTTAGGACCCAACAAAAGTGCAAAACGACGACGAATAATATATCATGTTTCATTGTTTGACCCGATTTCGACTCGTTCAGCTCAATCTCAAACAATAGAAGCCATTTTTTGTAACGAACGTTTTCCTGCCAACAAAATGTGAGATTTTTATTGTCAAAACTTTTAAAATGCGAGATTTATTAAGGGAAAACAAGTAATTGATGAGATTTTTTTGACAAATGTTAATTTTTCCAGAAATTCTGGTTAAACTTATGTTTTCGAAAAAAAAAACTACCAACCTCGGAACTCATTTTCGCTCACATCATCCGTTGTAATGAATCGATGCCGAGTGAAAGTCAGTCGCCAGATGACGAATGATTTTGTAAAAGAACTGATAAGAATGAACAGATGAAAGTGCGCGAAAAACCACCCAGCCTTGCGGGCCTGATACACACACACAAATCGACAGGCAGACAGCGGTAGGTATAGTTGTTTGGCTGCGGACAGTCGTCGACAACGGGTCAACTGAAAAACTCAGCATTTATGCAAATTTCCATCGAAATATTCGCGTTGAAACCGGTAGAAAATAAGTGAATTTATGGCTACGGGTACTGTAGGCGACGGATGTCCGCAAACACCGAGACGCCAATGCTCGTAGGCAAATTTGTTTTTCGAAAATTTTTGATATCTTTTTGGATTTTTCGCAGAAATTTGCCAAATATGTTTGATATTAAGCAAATTTTTAATTGAAATTCCACTTTTGAAACAATTTTTAATTAAAATTGCAGACAAAAATCGAGATATTGGTTCTGTGGCTCGAAACCGAAATTGGTTCCGCTTCATATTCAAACTTGTAGGTCAAATGTTACTTTATCGATTATTTTATTAAAGCAAAAACAATTTAGGGAATAAAATTCGCGTCGACATTGCCGCCGCAGAGAATCACCGCCGCATTTTCGACGCCCGGCGGGCAATGGAAGAGAAGAGGCGCGAATGCGAGAGCAGCGGTGGGCTCAACGCGTTGCTAAAACGAAGGAACATTTTCGAATCGACGAAATTCATGACTTTACCTTCAATCGTGTCCACAAGATGATCAAAGCCTCGCGAATCTCGTTTTCAGTCTAGAAATTGAATAAAAGGCAATTGAAAGAAAATTTTGGAGAGTCTACCACAGAAATGATATTGTTCGAGCTATATTTCTCCAGAATTGGCCTACACAGACTCCCAACGTGAGCGACACGGACTCCATCAGCCACTAAAAGCTTTCAGCAAAATTTTCAGGCGAAAATCACCCAACCTGTATCGAGCATATCTTTCTCGCATCGAATTCCATCATTCAGCTGCTTCTGCAAATTCTTCGATTCGGGTTCAGCGAGGAAGACTGGAAATTGGCGAGGAAATCAATCGCTTGAAGCCATTTTATGAGGTTACCTCGAATGTCAGGCCTTAAATGGGCTAGGCAATAGACAACTGAGGCTGCGAGTCCGCCGCCGCCGATCGCCAGAAACACGGAATCGATTTTGCCGTCGAGTTGCTCAACGAGCTCGAACGCAATGCTTGACTGGAAATGCAAAAATTTCTTCAAATTTTAATTATTTTTCGACGGAAATCACAGAAATACTCATCCTCATATCGGTGTTCCACCAATAAAATGACTTACATGTCCATTAATCATTGTAACACAATTTGATGGCTCAACAATTCGGAATCCTGTTCCCCGAGCCAGTTTATCACACGTGTTCTTCCAAAAATAAAAAAAAATCGAATAAAATGTGATTAGAATCTAACCTATCCTCCATCGTTGATTCACACATGACAATCTCTGCACCATATATCGAAATGGCGTCAATTTTCGCTTTTGGCGCATTTTTGGGGACCACTATGACAGAGTTGAGGCCGGCGTTTCCCGCAGCCCACGCCAATGCTTGACCGTGATTGCCGGATGAATGGGTGACAACTCCTTGTGTGCTCTCTTCCTTCGCCAGTAGTACTGAATTCAGTGCTCCGCGAGCTTTAAACGAGCCGGTTTTTTGCAAATGATCACATTTGAAATAAACAGTTTTGCCTGAAATTGGAATTTGGCAATTTATTTCGAAAATCGCCATTACCAGTGATTTTGTTGATTTGCTCGCTGGTCATTATTGGTGTGTTGTGTATGAGCCCCTTGGTCCGCTGATACGCTGCCTCCATTTCGGTAATATTGATTTCAGCCATTTTCTAAATTCAAATTTCAACGAAAAAAAAAATCGTGGAAAGAGAGAAAATCGAAAACCAACCAACACTCTAAGTGTCTGCGTCTCTCGATAAGAATCTTGGGTTTGTTTCGGTCCAAAAATCGTCGAAAAATATCAAAATTTGAATTTGATAACGTTGGAAATAGGGTTAAATTTTGTACCTAAAACAAATTCGATATTTCCGGCGGAAAAATTGCGATTCAATTGAAAATGATGGCATTTTTCGGTGGCCGGGCAACGCTGAAAATCAAAATTCCAAGAAAAAATAGAAAAAATCCGCTAGAAATCGCAAAAAAATTCCGAAACCCACAATTTTAAAATGAGAAAATCGACGAAAAAAATGTATGCACGCACGCGCACGCAATATTGCACACATTTTTTTTTCAAAATTTTCAAAGAAAATTTTTTAAAATTCAAATTTTTTTTTGAAAAAAATCACTAATTTGAAATGCAATCGAGAAAACCATTTAAAATTTGAGCAGAAATTGGGCAATTTTTGAACTAGCTATGCCATTTCGGTTCAAAAAAACTGGGTAATGAAAATTTTGAAATTTTTGAAAAAAAAACGTTTGAAAATTGCGCAATTTTTTGCTATTCATCAGAATTTCTCACAACTTGTCAACAGATATTGCGTAACTCCAAAATTCGGTTTGTTTCAGCGCAAAAAAAGGTGTTTTTCCCGAGAAATAATAAAAATTTTTAATTTAAAATTATAATCGTTCTCTAATGTTTGGAAACCTTCAAAAATTTGTTTTAAAGGTTTTAATAAACTGATTTTTTTTTGCGAAAAAATTGATTTTCGCGTAATCTGCGTTAATCCTTCGGCAATAAATCTTGAGTTTCATCAATCGCCTCGGGGAAATATTTTTCTTCATCTTGTCAAAGGGTGTATGTTTTTTTTTCGCATTTCCGATACCATTAAGACATGTTCTCAACAAAAATCCAATAAAATTCCACAAAATGTGTTACATCTGTTTAATTGGAATCGTATGTGTGTGTGTGTGTGTGTGTGTTCGACGGGCTCCGCGAGTCGCCCAACTTGTGCAAACATGTCCGTTTGGTGAAAATGCACAACAAAAATTTCATTTTTTTCCCCTTCCAATCCAAAAATGATTATTAATTCATCTTTTTTTTTTGAGGGACCCACAAATGACGACAAAATGGCGGTAGTTCGAATCATCAAGAAGCAGCCGCCGCCGGCGGTTCACACGATTTCCGTCACCATTTATTCCGGTAACTCAAATTCGACATTTCACTCGTTTTCTGCATAATTCCGTCAATTGTGGTGTTTGAGCAAATCGCGCCGCAATTTCTATTCAAATTTCTGCATTTGTGCGTAAATTCTGATGTTTTAGCCATATTTAAAAAAGAATTTCGAGATTTGGTCCTGAAGGGAATTTAAAGGATCATAAAATACTGAAATTTAAACATTTCCATTTTTGTTCCAGCAAAAAATGAAATTGACGCCAATTTCATGAAATTTAATAATGCTTAACAAATTATTGTCTAAAAATGGTCCGATATTGAAGGAAAAGCTGAAAGAGCAAGCCGGACTCGTTTTTTATTTGACGTCTTCGCTGTATGTGTTATCAGAGCCAAAAATAAGACAGTGATTTGAATAAAAAATCATCTGCGGACAAATTTTGGTGAAACTCGAAATTTGTCCGCAGATGAATATTCATAATTGAAATGAGGCAATCCGAAAAAAACTAGTCTTCGATACTTATATTATAAGCGTCATTTTTAGCGAAACCCATCTGCCGACGTGTATGCGGGCCCGCAAGCATGTCCGCAGACGGAATTGAATATGAAACGATTTCAGAAGGCGGCAGACCTCCGCGATTTTCGGCGTTCGACGTCCACACAGAAAACGAGCCGAAAAAATTGAGAAAGACGGTGGCGAGAAGGAAAAAAAAGAAGGTAGGGCGAAACCCGTGAATTGTCGGCGGCAGATTATTCATTTTTGAAGGTTTCGACGACGCCGAGAATCGAGGGTGAGTCGAGAATGTTCGATTGCATGCCTAATTTTTTTCTCATTCTTCTAATTTTGGGGGGCTTCTCGCATTTCGTTTTTTTGTTTCAGTCAAATCGTTTCAAGAAACCGAAACGTCGATGTACGTGGAAATGCACAAAACGAACGTCGGCGAGTTCACATGGGACCAAAATTGTACACGAATTGACGCGTTGGTACGACCGATCGTCGAACTCGATCGCACAACGACGCCCGAGATTCCGATTGCCGTCGAGCTGATCGATTAACAACAAATTGGCGCCAATAATAAATTTCTAGTAATCAAATTTGGGTCTCGCGACGAAAATCAAACTGCTCCACGATATCTCGGAATTGTTGGGACTAACACGTCTCATTTCGCTTCGGGACCCAAAAAAAATCAACTAGCCTTATTTGATGGTCTCAAAGCCACAAAAAAATGCGCTGAGTCGCTTTTCATCGTAGACCCATTTAGAAGCGGCACCTTGATGAAATTTCGTGTTAAGACCCTTCTAGATTTTGAATATTCCACAAAAAATTTGAGCTTATGCACTCTGCATGCTTCTTTCCTTCAATTTATTGCCCTATTCTTGCTTCTTCATTTTTTTTTCATAAATGGTCGATATTGCCGACGAACACCGATACTCCTCGTGAAGTACACATAGAAATAGTGTGGGATGAGATAGAGACGCCGAGAAAAAGACGGCACGGACGGCACTTGACAAAAATTTCGGTTTGGATTTGATTTTGTCTCGAATGGTATCAGCTGTCGATGGCGGACGAGAGAGCACGCGGAGCGGAGAGAGCGCAGAGTGACAGACGGATTACAAATTCGAGAAATCCATGCTTTTTCAGTTTTTCCTCTTCGAATTTTCAATTAGTACTTTTTAATTGATATTTTTGGCGAGTTTTCAGGTTTTGTGGAAATGTCTCAACCGATGAAAGAGGGTAAGATGTTTGCTTAAGAAAATTGACAATTTCTTTGCTATATACCAGTTATTTTTAATTTTTTTTCCAGTGAAAATTTATTTAAAAGTCAGTTTTTTGTGTTTAAATTCTAATCTGCTTGGAAATATCGCAAAAAATTATTTTTTTTGAATTTTTTTAAATAAAAAATTGACTTGTGGTTACTGTAGCCATGAGGTGTGTAAACACGTGACGGCAAATTGCGCACTACGAAACCCAAACATTTTTCAAATTTTTGTCCAATTTTTCGTCATTTTTACTAATTTTCCGGATTCAGAAGTGGAGAAGACAAGCAAGAAGGAAGCGAACGGCTACGGAAGACCTCCAGAAGGCAGTCTATCGGATCAGCGAGCTAAAAAAGCGGGTAAATTTTGAATTTTAGGATTTTCGAAAAAAAAAATAATTCTTCAGCAAGCCATGTCGCGCGTGAGATGCTCCAGCTCTGCGAGATAATTGAGGATTTCGGCCGAAGGAAAAATGCCGACGAGCCGATTCGCATCGATTTTGGAAGTTTGTTTCGAATTTACACATCGATTTCCGACAAGGTTAGAAATTGTTGACAAATTTCTTCGGCGAATTTTTTTCCATAATTCGTGTCAGGCAAATGATAGAAAGTATTCTAATATTTTAATAACGTATTAGGAATTCTAAATTTTTATAAGAAATTTCAAAATTTAATAATATTTCAAAAAACTTATGGAGACTTCATAAAATTGAAAAATTTTTGAATCGTGTAGGAATTTCTTCAATTTATTAAAAAACTCTAGAAAATGAAAATCAATGAATATCGAATTCGAATAAATTAAATTTTTAAATAAAATAAAAAATGAATTAGTTTTCAATCGAATTATTCCAAAATTGAGAATAAATTTCAAAGATTTTTGAATCGAATTTCAATTTTTTTAAATCAGATTATTTATATTTCATTTTCGTCCAATTGATTTTCATTTACCAGAGAAAATGTGAAAGTTTTTAATGAATTTTATAATTTAATAATGCTTTCTAAGTTTTTTTAATAAAAAACTTAAAATATAGTAAATTGGTAAACTTTTTGATCGTTTTCCTGAGGCGGTGTGCAAAATAAACCTGCCGCATTTCGCTAATATGTTTTTTTTTGTTCAAAAAATAATAAAACATCAAAATTTTGCAGGTTGTTGGCACATTATTGAGGGCTCGAAAGCACGGAATGGTCACATTCGAAGGAGAGATGCTTTTCCAGGGACGCGATGATAAAGTGGTGATTTCGCTGATTTTGGAAGGCGACAAGCTTCAGGAGCAGATTCAGGCGCACGCGGCGGCTAATCCGCAAGATTAATGAATTATTCAAACAATGAAAATATTCTGTATCGGGTGACCATTTTCTATTATCATTTTTTTTGGTTTTGTATAATACTTGGAAAAAAACCAATTTTTTGAAAATATATAATAAACGGAAATTTGAAGAAATCAATGAGCATTCAATTTTTTATGATTTGAAAGCTTGTTTGAAAATTTCAAGTCATTTCAATTTTTGGTAGATATTTTTTAAGTGCATAAATTTTTGCCATATTTGAATCAGATATTATCGACGTCAAATGAATGAAAGGAGGCGGGGCGTTCAAATTCGCGAAATCAGTGTAGATTTGTATTAATCGTTGACTGAATATTAAATGCGCGTTCGGTATAATGCAATGTACGCAATATCGCGTAATTCTCGTTGCCTCGAGACGCATTGGGCCATAGTCAAAAATTTTTTAAATCTCTTTCTGACAAAACACCGCCATAAAAAATTCGTAGCGCGCGAAATTCGAATTTCCAGTCATATCACAGTCAATTCTCGCTGCCTTGAGATTTTGCTGTGAAAAAAACCAGCAAAAAATTTTGAAATAAGTGGTTTTTTGGTATCTTTTTTTTCTGTTACATTTACGTCACGGTGTTTGCACACATTTTCGCGCGCTACCATTCATTTCAACGTTGCTTCCAAACGTGCAACAATACAATTCGCTTGCCTTTTCTCAAACTTGGGTAATTAAACCTTATTGGCATAATGAAGCAAGCGATAAAACTGAAATGGAACAGCAAACAAGACAACGATCGCTCTTAAATTTCTCTGCGATTCGAAAACCCAAAATTTTTTATACTGTCAGTACGACACTCCATTTCCATAACGTCCTCGATTTAGCGAATATTCTTACTTACTTAGTCACTTAGTAGGTTCGTCCTTCGCCTGGTGAGGCGCGAACCACAGCTTTCCAAGCTTTTCGGTCCAATTCCACGGCCGCCACTCCGTTAGAAGAGTAGTCCATCTTCCATCTGTTCTTCTAGCAACGTGTCCAGCCCAGGTCATCTTCCTCTTCGTGATGTGGTGTAGGGGGTCCCGAACTTTAGACATGATGCGGATGTCCTCTCGATGAAGATCTTGTTCACGTGGTTGTGATAATTAGCGAATATTACCTATATGATTGTGGGGACGATCGCACTTTTCTCGAGGCGGCAATTCAAATTTGAATTTAAACAATGAAAATTCGGGGGGAATCAAACTCGCCGTAAATCGGCTGCTCGTTTTTATTATGCATGTGATTTAGATAGTATGGGCGGTTCAAAGGGCGAACAATCAATTATTCGTCACTCCTCCGAGTGGAGTACACCGGCACGAGTCGGCCACGGCCATGGCCGGTTGCGCGAATTTCAAGGGACCAAATGGCGACGCAAAAAGAAAGGAAAATGCGATGCAGAAAAAAGAATCGAAAATTCGCATCGAGACCCATCGCATAGCTAAATGGTGTGCGTCTTAAAATACCGTACCTCTGGCTTCATTTCTAGTTTTTTTTTACGAAAAACGCATTTAAAACGGGTCTCGGAACTTAAATTTTCAAAAAAACGGACCACTCAACCAATTTTGTAAAATTCTGTTCATTTCTGCGTAATGTCCATTGCGTACTTTGCTACCGTAACGCACAAAAAAATGAAAAAAAATTTTTTAAAATTTTTTTTGTGGAAAAACCGTAAAATGTCAAAAAACGAAATTTCGTGCATCTCATTTTTTCAGCATCGCCTTTTTTCTTATATATTTTTCGCTGCTTTTTAACCCTCTTAAAAAAAATGCGCATTTCACACAAAAATCATGTATGCGCCTTTAAATTATCGAAAGTTTCGAGTTCTCTGAATATTGCAAAATTTGGCGCCAATTTCAAATAATCCATATTTCAACATAGAAATGCTAGTATATATATATGAATGTGTGCATTTCGCGTCATGTATTACTATTATAATAGTAATACAAAGCAAATAAGAGAGAGGGGAGGGTCTCGCAACGAATTAACACCCGCCGGGGCGAATTTCACCACATCAAACATTTTGTATTGTTGTCCGCCGGCGACGATGAAACGAGTTCGGCGAAAACGAAATTTCGATTATCTGATTAGACGGATTTATTAATTCGCTTCTCGTTTAAAGGCGCATGCCGAATTTTTCCCTTTTTTGTCGGGTTTCAACCCGCCTTTGGTTGTAATAATCTAAAAATGGGGGGTGTCTGGCGACCTTTCTCGCCAGACACCCTCACTTCCACCACACACCACTTCACCATCGCACCACAGCGTTTTTATTGGACGAGTCCGAACCGACCCATCACTTTCTCCTTCATTAAAGGCGCATGCCAATCGTTGGAATATTTTAAAGGCGCATATTGCTGGACGTTTTTTTTCAAGTCCAATTTTTAGCGTTTTTTTCCAATTTTTAAAGGCGCATACAGAATTTTCTAAAATTTCCTTTTCCATGTTTAAAGGCGCATGCTGACTATTTTTCATCAATTGTAAATTTGTTGAATTATTCTCAAAAATATCTCCTTCTCTCTCTCTTTCTCGTTTCGAGCGTGCGCCTTGAAATCGGGTCTCGTCACGAATTCGATATATTTTGACATAACGAGTGCCATTTAATCTCACGAAAAAATTTAATCTCAATTTTTTTTTCTCATTTCTCAGCTTCTCCCTTTTTTGGTTGTTTTTTTTGTGCTTCAGCACGTATTTCTTTTCTCAAATATCACGAAATATTCCCCAATTAATTAAATGAAGGAAGTGCAAGAAATTCGAGGCCAAAAACTAATGAGGCTCCCACGAATTTTGTGCGTTTTTTTTTCGGTTTGCAAAACTTTTTTCATACAACAACAAAAAATTTGCAAAAATTATTTTCTCGAGGCCCGGACTCGAACCCTCGACCTTTCGCGTATCAAAATTTCCATTCAAACACCCGCAAAAAGTGCGTTTTTTCGCAATTCCATGGAAAAGAGAGGTCAATTTTCGGCGACAATGCTCATCCGTCTTGTCCAAATTAGGTATTTCTTTTCTTAAATATCACGACAAAAAATTTGCAAAAATTATTTTCCTGAGGCCCGGACTCGAACCCTCGACCTTTCGCGTATCAAAATTTCCATTCAAATACCCACAAAAAGTGCGTTTTTTGGCAATTCCATGGGAAAGAGTGGTCATTTTTCGCGCGACAATGCTCATCCGTCTTGTCCAAATTAGGTATTCTCGGGACCATATGGTCCCAAATTATAATTAATCAACAAGCGGCGAATCGTACCAAATTGATCCACCTACTTCTCGCAATCGAATTCAACGTTGAATGTGAACAAATTGGCCCGGCCTTCCGCAAAAGTTTCTCGTTTTAATAGGCGCGATTTGTTACGGTGGGTTGGCCGCATAATTTTCTCCATATATGGGGGGAGTGGGTTGTTATTATTGTGTCGAAACTAGTCGTTATCGCTTTTTGGGGATGGTTTCCTTATTTGAATAACATCGCTGCTGGTCGTTATCATTAGGGCATCTGGCCAATTCGAACGCTTTCGTTTGCCCAAATCGAATTTCCTGCTGGCCGGACTCGAACCCGCGACGTGCGCTTGATTGCTAGACGTGCGCGCGAACCACTAGGCCATCGGCGGAGGGCGCGGCGCCGCCCCCGCCGAATTGTCCGCAGCACGAATTGCATAACACCGCCATTGGCTCCTCGATGGTCTCTCTGTGCTGTTAGACTTTTGATCGACAAATCTGATCCACTAGGGTCGCGAGATGTCCGCAGCACGCATAGCACTTGGTCTTCGCGCTCCCCGGCGCCGACGCCCTCAAATTGTCCGCAGCACAGTTAGTGCAAAGTGTCTAATAATATTCACCTCCTCATTAATTATTCATTACTTCGTCGCTCCGCCCATTTTCGGACACCCTTCCCCCTTCTTCTTCTTCTTCTTCTTCGTTTTCATCGCGAAAGTGTCGCGCTTGGAGAAACAGATGTTCATCACAATTTTATGACTTTCCCATATAAGGGAATTGTTGTATAATCGCGCGAGAAGCCATGTGTTCGCCGTCGTCGTTCAATTATGCCATTTTCGGACCCCCCCCCCCCCCCGCTTCCCCTCAACCGCCCCCCCTCTTCTCACCCATTGTATTCGACGCCTCGAGGCATATACACAAATTGGCGGCCTTCGCCTCCTCCCTCTTTGCCGTTGCCCAAATATAGTAGTACTAGAATTCTGTTAGCTTTTCCTTCTAGCCTAGCCGTTCTCAAATTTTTTTTTCGTGTTTTTCGGGAGCTCAAGTGCGAAACTGGCAATTCCTATTTTAAGTGTTTTGCTGTCTCAATCCTTTAATGGAGGAAATGACCCCCCCCCTGCGCGCGCACGGACAGGAAAAGCGCGACACTTCATTCATTCGTGTCAATTTCCGGACGATGCAAAATGTTATAGAGTGGTCGGGTTTGAACCCGCCACATTTTGCACGACGACTCGGTGCAAACGAAATGCTCCAGTTCGGACGTGGGACTGCTCCCGTTCGAATGTAAAACTGCTCTCGCTCGACGTCGGAGGGGGCGCAGTTTCACGTCCGAAGGGGGACAATTCACGCCCGAATGGGAGCAGTCTCACGCCCGAACCGATGTGAGACTACTATCAAACTGCGACAAATTGGTTGCGAATTGGGCCCGATTCACGCCAGATTCTCGTTCGAACTGGCGCCAGATTACGCCCAACTGGCTCCAGTCAAATGTATTCTTTTTGTGCATTCACTACAAATTGGATGCATTCGATTTATTTAAATCAAGTAATTAAATAAAATAATAGATATCAAACGAAAAAATATTAATTATCGAGGGAAGAGGAAGAAAATGGGAGAGAGAGAACATTAAAAGCGGGTTCGAGGAATTACTGTCGCGGAAATCGGAAAATAAACTAAATGCCAAAAAATGAGAAATGTCTTGGCCCACGGCATGAGCCTCAATACTTATATTTTGTCCGTATATCTACACATTTAGTTTTGCACCAAGACATCTCCTTCAATTTTTGGCACTTTGTAATTTTCCGCAATTTTGCGACAATTAAATACAATTAATAAATGTCTTAAACCATCTTACAACAGGAAGGGGATACAAATTCTTCTTCCCCATGACTCTTGACATTTCATCCATTTGGGAAGTTTCCTAGGTCTTCGCATTATGAGCTGGGTCTAGGTTGAAGCAGTTAGCAGCTTGTAGTTTCATTCTGTAAAACAAGGGTTAATTGATGATAGCATCCATATTTTATAACACTTACTCAATATATAGTTCCAAAAAAAAACAGTTGGTCCTCCAGTAAGCATATAGCAAATTCATCCAGCATCGCATTCAGCATCAGAAATCAGCATCGCAGCTTGCCATCTCATTTCTAAATTATAAGTGTTTAAAAGATAATAGAATTGCGAAAAACGACGATAAATTATGGGCAAATTTAAAATCAATTTCTATTCACTTATCGAACGTTCACCGTTATAATAAAACTTTAAAAGTTCTCCTAATTTAACATCATTTTTGCATTTAAAACCATCCAAAAACGTGTTTCCGGCTTTTAATGGCAAAAATCAATACAAATGTGTCTGAAAACTACTTTTTTCTTAGAAAAGACAATGAAAATGCCCAAAAGTTTCAGTTCAAAATTTAGGATAACAAAAATATGCGAAAGTTTAATAAAAAACAGAAAAGTTCCACTAAAATACGAGCGAATTGATAGATACACATTTCCTTAAGTTTTAGAAAAAAAATTACGAAAAAAGCTCGAGAAATGATCGAAAAAAAGCAATAAAAGTGTTTAAAATAAAAGACGCCATTTCGAAAAAAAAAAAACAACCGCGACGCGGCAATTCCGCGGCGCGGTATTTCGAATTGCTGCGGCACACCATTGACTGCTCCCGTTCGGGTGCTCACGCCCGAACTGGAGTCAACCGCTAAAAACCCCTGCTCCCAATTGGATGCAAATTGGCTGCAGTTCGGAAGTTGAAATAATCCTCTCCAGTTCGGAAGTCCGCCTGCCACCGATTGAACGCTATCGCCCGAACTGTACCAGTGGGAACCTATCGGTCCCAGTTCGGGAGTGTGTCGGCGACCAATCGAGCGCTATCGTCCGAACTGGAGCATTTCGTTTGCACCGAGCGACCCCGCGCTTCACCGCCTGCGCCACAACTCCTCCTGATGGATGTGGCGGAAACGCCGTATAGGTCGCGGCGCCCCCGCGATTTCATTAAAGGGGCCCATAAATCTTCGCTTGCATGCATGCGCTTAATCCCTCCATTTTAGTACAAAGTCGTCATGTCAACCCCGTTTTTCGTTTCTCTTTTCTCCTAGCATACAATTTCTTTGCTCATTCCTCTTATATATATAGTATGCGCATGTCTAATTTCTTTTTTTCGGCTCACTCTTTTCATTTTTCCATTGAGAAGACAACACCGGCGAAAAATGCTTGTGCTTTCGTGCTTTTAATCAAATTGGCTCAATTTATGCGCAGGTTTCTTCCCATGGCCGAGTTGAAGAATCCCGTGGAAAAGGAGAAGGAGCCGTTGATTGATGATGATAGTGCGATGGCGGCGGTGGTGGCAACAAGTGCGAATGACGAGCCGTTGACGTTTTGGAAGGGCTGCGAGTTCTTGAAGACGTCGAAATTGTGTTCGAGCAGTTGTAAGTGGCCGGCAAAACGTTTTTGACAACGGGTGGAATCGAACCCATGACCTTCAGCGCGACAGCCCTAAAAGTTATCAATTACGACAGTAGTGACTTCACGCGCGTGTTGAATGTGGCGAATATGTGTCGCGCGAATCGCGCTTTAACAAAAATCGGGAAATTGATTGAAAATGACACATATTGGCGGGCGATTAGCATAAAATGCGAAATTCCAGTGTCGCTGCAGCTGCCCAACGCGAAAATGTGCCGAATATGTCATACGACGTCGTCGACGCGATCGAATCCGCTGATTTCGCCGTGCCGCTGTTCGGGCACATTGAAATATGTGCATCGGGGATGTGTGGTGGTGAGTTTTCGTTGAAGCGATGATCAAATGTGTCTCGATTCGTTTGAAGCGTTGGCTAGAGATGTCGTCGCAAAAAATGGTGCCGTCGCCGAAATGCGAGCTGTGCGGCTACGATTTTCGACGCGGCAATATTTGTCAGGTGCGCTCATTGGGGGTGGGGTTTTTCATATCAAATTCCATCTGCCGACACATTTCCGGGTCGCATTCAATCAAATTTCATCGTCCCAAGTTGAATGGCGCATTTCGATAAATTTCGATATTAAAGGCGCATAGCGCCGAACCACAATTGGGTCTTGCAGCGATTTTAGGCAAAACTGCCTTTAATATGATGGAAACTAGATTCAAAGTCTCAGAAATGAGTTGGAAGGAGGAATTTCGAAAAAAAAAAGCGAAATTGAAATCATTGCGGACTTGTGCATTTTATTTGACGACAATTCACAAATTTTTGAACTTCACGACGATTTAACATAGAATTTTCGCTCTTTTTTACGCAATATTGCGTCAGGATGCAGAAAAGCAAAAATGAAGCTCGTTAGCCAATAATCGCCTCCAAAAAAAATTGCAGACACCATCATGTTCACAAAAATTTTATGAATTGAAAATGACGTTGAAAAAAATCACAAAAAAATCTTGAAAATCCATTGAGAAAAGGCAAATTTCGAAAAAAGTGAGGCGTGGCCACAAAGCGGCGCACAGTTTTGCAATTGTGCGGCACACCTCTTCTATGCGCTTTTTTCTCCCAGTTTGGCGCAAATTTTGAGTAGTTTGTGATATCAAAATTGGAAAAACCGGAAAAATATATTAATTTGACTAAATTGTAGTTGGCAATCTTTAAACAAAATGAGGCACAGTTGACTGAATTAACATAAATCAATGTAAAAAAAGTCATCAAATTGTCGAAGCTAAATATCGTCAAATATGTATAATTTAATCAAAAATTTTATTATTTAAAAACGACAAGACAAAATTTAAAAAAATGATTGGCTATGTGCCAAATTTAAATCAACCCATATTTCGAAGGTTTTGAAGGTCCCGCCTCCCTTTAGTCGCCGACAAGCATACGTTTATTTTATTGATTTTTGTGAAAATTGCCTTGGTCGCTCAATTGTCTATTATTTAATGATATATGATTATTCCATTCATATTCATCGCAAACACCCGAAGCATATTCGTCCAATATTTCTTCAACAGAATTACAGAAAATTTCCGTTCCACAGATTTCCCACAATGTTTTTATTATGCTTTCATAAAAAAAATCAGTGACATTGGAAAAAAAAAGAAAGAAAAATGCAAAATTGCGGGGGCGGGGATCGAACCCTCAAAACAAGATTACTGGCCCGCACACTACCCCCCACCACCATTCTCGCCGATAGTTTGGTGCGCCGAGCAGCGATTATGTAACCCCTTGTCCAAATCGATGATGCCGGTAATGGAAAATCACTTTGGATTTTCAGACGACCAAAACTGGAATTTTGAACTTCTAGTTTAAACAGAGCTTCCCTCATGCCCAAAAAAAGGCCTGCAAATTTCTCAATTGTCTCTCGCAATTTCCAGCTGCGCTCACTCCATTTGCCATATGTCGATCAATTCTCGATGGTGCTCAACATCGTGTTCGTCACCTGCATGATCATCTCGCTTCTCTGCTGGTACTTCATCTTTCAATTTCTCACCGAGAACACTCAAACTCGATCAAAGTGAGTCGAACAAGAGATTCTCCTTCGATATGCGCCTTTAAAAAAAAAATATTTTTTTTCCAGACTCGCCGTCGTCTCATCGGCAAGCTATTGGAGCCGTCGCGGCTACAACGACGAGGCGTTCGATAGGCGACCGTAATTTAAAGGCGCATGAATCGCTTCGACGTCTCACTTTTTCAGATTCCATCCGAACAACAAGCCGATATTCGCTAGTATGATGGATTGGCGCATCTACACGTGCGTCGGCATGTTTCTGTTCACATTTGGCGTCGGCATCGGCGCCCAATACAGGTAACCATTTTGTGCTGCCGACACGCTTCCGGGCCGCAAAAAAACATTTTTTTTTGTTTCCAGAGCCGATTGCACGATTTTCCGGTGCATTTTTCGATTCTTCGTCATCAATTACAATTGGATGATCAAAAATTACGATCCAAAGTCGGTTTTTTGGCGATTGATTGCCAGAAAAAAAATCGAAGCAATTTCAGAAACGATCCGGAATTGGGGCGGAAATCGGCGAGAAGCGTCGAGCCGACGGAGCCGATGCTTCATTCGAGTTGCGTTTGATTTCGATTCACATGGTTCACACCAAAAATTTTGCGGGTTTTTCTTCTCAGGACCACTTTCGTTTTTTTCTCTCGCCGACAAGTGCCTATTTCGATGCTTTATCCAATTTTTTTTAAAATAAATTTTTTGTATTTTATGGTCCCTCTATAATTAGCTTGTAAAACCATATTAAGGACGAACATACCATTCGAACTTGATATTTAAAAAATCCCATCTGCGGACAATTTGAGCGTCTGGAAATGGTTGAAAAACGAGCTCGGTGGTCCCTAAAACCCAACAAATTAGGTTGAAATAATTTGCGATCACTTTCTCCAATTTTTTGCTGAAATTGACGCAGTTGTTAGATTTTTTTAATTTCAGGCCTGAAATTTTTGTGACAATTTTTTGCATGCGCCTTTAATCGCGGTTACTGTAGCTAAAATTTTTTTCATTTTTGCTCGAATTCTATCGTTTTTTTTTGGATTTTTGACGGGAAATAAAGAAAAATTCAAAGAAATTGACCAAATATGGCAAATTTTTGATTTCAGCTTATTTAGAACATTCAAAAATTAATCTAATTCGAAAAATAATTATTATTGGGTTTTTCACAAAAAAATATTGAAATTTATGAAATGTGCTACTCATGTCGATATTCCTTGAAAAAAAAAGTGCAACGGACCATCGAGGCACTTTTCCATTCAAAATTTGTCACCTAATCCGTTTCTGTGAATTTTCTTTTTTTCCGAGAAAAAAAATGCTGCATATGACATTTGCTCAAAGTTTCATTTCGAAAATGGAATCTTCTTGCCGAGCATTTTCAATTTTTGTCCTTCCACACACTCGCAGCTTTTCTAATTAACCCGAAATGCGCGGCGTCTAATCCAAATAATGAAACGAGCCGCCGTTTTCATCGATTTTCATATTCTTCATCTTCTTCGTATCGCCGAAATTGTCCGCAGATCGGTTTTCTCAAGATGGCACCGTCCCGGAATGTTGTCCGCAGCTGATTATTTTCATATTGCAACTCGTAGGCGCCCGCGCTTTCCTGTGGGGCAGCGCGCCGCTCACTGTTAGTGTAGCGGCAGGGTGCGCACGCGCTCCCACGCGAAAGGTCGCGGGTTCGAGGTCGCGTGGCTGCCAAATATTTCATTGCGCTTCCTCGATTGACCTCGATCGCCTGTCGGCAAGACGGCGAACTTTTGAAAAATGAAGTCGACGAATTTCCACTAAAAGATGTCATCCATTAAAATTCGCGCGCGCTTCGCCTTCCTCTTGATAAGCAGGGCGGCGTATGGAAAATGTCGAAGAAGTGACCAACCGGATTAACCCGCCATTTTTCGGCTTGCCAATTTTTTGCCTGTGAGCAAGCAGCGCACTTTGAGTCCCTCAAGAGGATTCGGCTTTTGTTGCCGTTTTTCATTCTTTCTTTTTTTTGACCGTAAAAAAACGAAATGCAATTTTGAATAGAATAATGCCGCGCCTCGCTGCTTCTCAATTCGGTTACCTTCTTTTTGCTTTTTCTTTTCGGGCTTTACAAAATCTCGCCAACCTTGACTTTTTCCAAACCCCCCGCGTCTCTTTTGTTGTATAGATAATTAACGGCGCGCGGGAGGAGGACATGTATAATTATTTATTATAATAACATTTATAAATGATGATGACCGCGGGCCGGTCACTTCACACTAATCCACTTTCAATTTCGATTTGTTCGGCGGCTTCCAAATGTCTTGCAAAACGCTTTTCACCGCTGGCGGGTTCGAACCCGCGAGTGTCAGCGCGCAAGATCTGCAAAACAACCGGCTGAGCCATGCTGGCAGCTGACAGCCGTTGCGCAAACTCTGTACACGTGCCGCGCGCGCCGCCTCCTCTTTGACACGCCTTTGATTTATTGCTACAACCATTATTAATGATTGAATGGTCCCCAGAGGCTTCGGCGGCCCATTTTTGGTGTTAAAGCTCTCAAGATTTTTTCTTGCTTGAAGTTCGTTGTGGCCTCATGAAAGTTGCAAAATCGAATTTCCTGGTGTGCAACGCGAGTACTTGACGAATTTAGTGCGCTTCGCGCGCGCATCAAAATTCGTACAAAATCGCATTTGTGGTGCTAAACTGCGAATGAGTGCGAAACGAATACCTTCTAGGCACCAATTTAGTTCACCAATCTCTACCAGATGGGGTGGAAAATCTCATCGTTTTACAGTGGTCCCCCCATACATTCCATAATGGTCCTCATTGTCGTTGTTCATGTAACCCAAGGGAACCCATCAAATTAGCGCAGATTTCGAATCAAGATTAAATTCGATGATATCTAGAGGACGTTTAAAGGGAGAGGGGTCCGAAAAGCACTTTGCATAATTTGATGCTCGCTTTCGGACCCCCCTGTCCTCGTTGATTTCAATTTCATTCCGAAACCGGTTCCATTCAACATATATCTTCATTTATCATCGCCAATCTTATCATTATTCGTGGATATCGTAAAAACGCAAGTTATTTATCTATAGAGTCCATGCTGCGGACATCCATGCGGGTCGCCATTTATTTTAATTCGCCATATCTTCGCCATATTTGGTCCAATTTTGATGAGCAAAAAACGAAATTGTAGCAAATTTTGTGAGCTTCAATTTGTCTTAACAAACCATAGCGAAAAAATTGCACGTTGTCGAGATATGGTTCAAATAATGTGAGCCCGGAAAGATGTCCGCAGATGAAATGGACTATACGAGTTAGGTCGTCAAATTCTAGCTAATCTCAAAGTTGACGGTTCTTGATGATTTTTTTTGAGATTCACATGAATTTTGAATTCTAAATGATTGTACTATCAACTATTTAAAATGGTCGCCCCAAATTTTTTGTCCCATCATCGTTTTGGCAAGTTTCGAACGCGCAATGTCCTTGTTCGGTGCGTTAATGGCCACGATAAATGTTTATTGGTTTCTGGTTGGAAGTTTCTTTTCAGCTGCCGACAATTTATCCACCGTGCTTAATTCTTAAGGATTTTATTTTTAGGTTTTTTCAATTTAAAAAAAAAACAACATTGAGACCCATAAAATTTTCAATTTTTCTTCAACAATATGATAGAATTTTCCAATTTGCTGACCCGCAAGCATGTCCGCAGCTGATATTCATGACGCGAATTTTCATCAACCCTGCCGACCACTATAAGCAAATTTATTGTCAATTTTCATCTGCGGACATTTCGCAGCTCGTTTTGATTCAACAAATCCCCTCGTTGTCCCGGAACGCTGTCGGCAGCAGGAAATCGGTTTATAATTACGCTAAACAGCAAAAACCTTGAAAACCGTTCGCCGATAATTGCACGCGACTGAATTAGTTTGAGGAGAGTGATGAATACACACCATTTATGGTGGCATTTGGCGTATATCTTTTTTTATTTGAAGCTGCGGACGTCATTCCGGGTTTGTTCAATATTGTATTAAATTTCTGGAGGCCTCCAAACGTGTCCGCAGCATGTTTGATATATTATTGAATAATTATTAAAGTATCATTGATAGCTGTGCAAACCGAATTTTTCGAGATTCTCCGCCTCTTTTTTTTTGGTCCCTTCAATATTTGACGGGTGTTTTCGAAATGTGGCGACCCGTAAGAGTGTCCGCAGCACAATCTCAATAGATGCACAACTCTTGCTAATTAAACAATAGTCCGTCTTCACACATCGAGAAAAAAACTGGTCAGTATATTTTTTTTACCTTTTTTTAAATTGAAAATCAGAAAAAAATAAATTTGTGTATTTTTTTTAATTTCGAAAAACTCGAAAAACCAAATCCCTAAATTTCTTTATTTTTCAACTTAAAAATTTTTTTTTTCAATTTTTTGACGGAAGCCGGAATTGATCCACGGATCCGATCCGATCCAAACCAATGTCGACTATACGATTTAAGCTTTTTCATGTCGACAGAGGGGAGGGGTTGTCGTCGAGTATTAATGAGAGAGCTGCGTTTTTGTGCATTTGTTTGAGGCTGTCATGCAATGTTTCCGGAGGGTCCAACGACTTCCCATATTCGGACCGGACCGGATCGGATCGGACCGGTTCGCCGCCGCCGCCGTCGAAGAGAACCCAGACGGCCGAATATTTATCTCGTCGTCTCTCATTTCTCCGTTTTCCGGTCGTTTGAGGTGTGCCGAAGTCGATTTCAATCAAACAGCCATTTCGCTTCGGGAAAAAATTTTTTTCGCCCAATTTTCACTTCAGGACCTTTTCATCAATTCGTGGCCTTTAAACAATTCGATCTGCGGACAATATTAAGGGGGGGGGGGCTAAATTGGCCGATTTGTTAATCCCATTTTATATACACATATATGGTATTATTCTTAAAGGGGGTGTGCGCAAATATTTGACAACTCGTTGCAACCTCCTCATCATGCACACGTTTCTTGGCGAAAACCCGAAAAACAAGAAAATGTCGCAATAATTGAGGTGTTCGTGGGGCTCCCCGGGGACCATCTTCTTTTGTTTTGTCTCGCCAGCTACATTTCAGTCGATACCCGTTGTTATTGTGTCACTCCAGCTGCGGACACCGTTACGGGTCGCCCGTCATTTTTTAAATCGTCATAACTTTTTCAAATTTGCTCCAATTTTGATGAGCAAAAAACGAAATTGTTGCAAATTTTGTGGGCTTCAATTTTTCTTGATAAACATGACCCCAAAAATGGCTATTTTTTGAGATATACCGTAAAAACGAGGAACACCTAATATTGTCCGCAGCAGAGATTCTAGATAAAATTCAATCGCACAAGCTTGCGTAATTATTCATTCTCTGCTGTTGGAATTAAACATCGAACCCGAAACATTGTCCGCAGCATAAATTTTCTTATAGCTGTTTCAACATCAAAAGAAGAAATATCAAGCGCGAGGTTGTATGCAATTCCATCTGCGGACACCGTTACGGGTCACCCGTCATTTTTTAAATCGTCATAACTTTGTCAAATTTGCTCCAATTTTGATGAGCAAAAAACGAAATTGTTGCAAATTTTGTGGGCTTCAATTTTTCTTAATAAACTTGACC